AGTTAAATTAGCTTGGGTTTGGGCACAGTAGGGCAGGGGTGAGGAAATGGATCTCGCCGGAGCCAGGTGGACAAGACTGTTTGAATTGGGAATTTGCTTAGCTCCTGATCCTTGTACAGCACAACTTGAATTTAAGCCACAACTGCAAAGGAAGAATCGGGAACTTTTGCTTTTGGATTTGGTGCATTCCTGTTGCACTGCTTTTGGAAGGAGCACAGTAGCGAAAAGTACCAAATTCAAACAGTGCTGCATTTAACCTGCGTCTCCCAAGGGATTGTTGCATTTGGTGCTGCGTTTGAAGCTGCAGCACCAAACCTGTCCCTGTACCTGACACCGGATGATGGACAGATCTGTGTGGCTTGGCACAAACAGCCCAGCAGAACAAAGGGCCTCATTAGACTCCCCGACTGCAGTGCCTCACTTCTGGAGGAGAATCTGAAGACGAAGGAATTGTGTAGGAGGACTTTGAAGGCTGTTCTGATGGAACAGCAGGAGAGAAAGGGCAGAGCCCTTTGAGGGAGCTGGAGACCTGATCTGTCAGGGTATGAGAGCAGAAAGGTGGCAGCAATTGAGGAAGGGCATGTCAGACTTGGAGAAGAAGGGGCTTGTCTTCATCTACCTGCTCTCCTGGCCCTTTCCCAGCACTGCAGCTGTGCTCTGCTTGAAACTAATCTGGATTGAGTGAGGTGGGAGGGCATACTATTGGGTGGGTTCTGGTGGCCTTTCGAATGTAAGCCATTGGGAATGCGTGGCTTTCAACATTTGATGCTGGCACCTTCCTTTTTTAAAGCAGAGGGGGGAAAAGAAATGCATTGTCGTCATTCCAGGTCTTACAGATCCACAGATGGACGGACAACGCCGCAGCTGGGGAACCCCTCAACCCCACAACCAGCATCACCCGATGTTGGCAACTGCTACGCGCATTCTGATGTCTCCCACACCCACTCGCCACGCAGCCCCATCAGCCCAGACATGTTCTCTGGTCCCCACACCCCTCTGTCCCGGGACTCCATGCGGCATCTGTCCAGTGAGGACACACGATGTTCCACACCGGAATCTGGCCTTGATGAACAGGTGGGTGGTGGGTTTCTTTGTGGCTTTGCTTAGCATTCCAGGTGGTAATATTAATTAGTTGTGTTGACAGACAAGTAATGTCTACTGTGAAGAAGGCAATCTCTCTTCCCCGCCCTCCAATAACGGGTTTCCAGGGCGCCTGTAGTTAAAGTGGGGTTTTACTTTCTGGACAGAAAGCAGGGCCCCCTTCCCCAGTCCATCTGTGTGCAAAAACTGTCTTAACAAAAGCACTGGACGCAATATCTCAGTGGACCTGCTATCAGTCTGTCTGTGTACACAGGTGAGGTTATGCCAGGGGCCTTCTGGTGTTAGACTTAACTCTCTTCCCCATCAGCCAGCTTGGCCAATCTCTAGAGGGCCACAGCTTCCATCCCTTGTTTATGCTGATAATGGAACAACCTTCCCCAGCCAGGGTTACCACATGCTTTGGACAACAGCTCTCAGCCCCAGCTAATATGGCCAATGGGGAATAATGGTAGAACATCTTCAGGGCACCAGAAGGGTCTACCAGAAACTTCTGAACCAAGATGGGCCAGGAGGAGATAGGAGTGCTTAGTTGCAGACAAGAGCATGTGAGATATAGTGGGCATAACTGAAACCTGGTGGAGTGGAGCACAGCAGTGTGGAATACAGCTATCCTGCTAGATAAAAACTATTTAGGAAAGATGTATAGGAAGTGGTCTGGTTCCAGGTGTTGGCGAGGGGTGCCTCAGTCAGGACACTTAACTCCCATCCTTTGAGAAGGTTGCAAGGATGTTGTTGCACGTTTCTTGGAAGAAGAGCAGGTTGCTGTCAGTGCCTGAAGATTCAGGGATGGAGGATTTAGGTTAAATATTGGGAAGATTTGTGTATGGGAATAGAATGTATACATTGCCCAGGGAAGTTGGGGGATACCTCCTGGAGATTTCCAAGAAAAATTTGGACAAGGCAGCGACTCTATCAAGGTCCCAATTCAGTGTTGGTGCTAACTGTCCCAACTCCCGTTCATTTCCCAACCGGGCAACATGTTTCTCAGAAACGCCTCAATTAATATTGCCGTACAGATTTCTGTAGTGAACTGTGTGTCTGGGACTTAGCTACAGAGATAATGGTTTGATGTATTCTAAAGGGTGTGCAGATCAATGTTGAAACCCCCCTGACCAGTCTTGGTTGGTTTTCAGACTGTACAGCCCTGGGAACGACGCCACTTCCCACTGTCCTACAACCCCAAGACAGAGTGCGAGGACCAGTTGGATCCGCACGACCGGGCCTCACGGTCCACACGGCGCACCTCCGGCAGCAAGCCTTCCCGGGAAACAGACGGAGCTCCCACCTCGCCCACCCTTGCTTGCCTCAAGAGCCGGAATCCAGGGGCCGTGGCCACAGTTCAGCGGCCGACCCACAGATAAGAGATGGACAGGAAGATGAGAGCAAAAAGCAATCCACCAAACTAACTCTTGGCATTAAAGCTTCTGAAATCTGCGTTTGATATTCAAACATCCTGCCGGGAATTTTCACAGTTTTTAGTGAATTTAAGGAGTTTAGAAACTGTTTTATTTTTTCTTTCTTTCTTTCCATGTTTCCTTGTCACGCACACCTTTTATCCAGTGCTGTGTGGTCTAATGAGGAGAGCAAACTTGTCTCCCTTTTCCCATGCTTTAGGTGTACACTCCACAAACAGGAGGGTGAAGCTGGCCAAGTGACCCCTGGAATTGGTTCTCTGGTGAAAGGCTTTTCTTTCTTTCTCCTTTTTTCTTTTTCTTCTGTTCGGTGTCTGTTCTCCTCACCTTACCACCATCACTGTGCCCCTCCCCCAGGATTTTAGTGGAGTGAAATTAGTGGTGAAAAGTGACGTCTTCTGAGTACAACTTCCCTCACTATCTGTTTCTGCTCTTGGGCCGCAGTGGCACTAGAATGCACTTGCAATGCAAACTCTCCCTGAAGCTGCACCCAAAAGAGATGGCTTCCCACCTTGTGGGCTAGAAGAAGAAGAAGAAGCTCTTCCCCTCCAGTTCCTTCACCCTGTGTTACATTTATTAATCCATTCTGCTGTTTGTTGCTGCTTTTCGGACCATCTCTCCATGTTAAAAGATTTGTACAAGCAAAGGCAATTTCCTATCAGTACCCTGGATGTGATTTTTTTTTTTTAAATCAGTTTTATTCAGCTCATACTGTGCTGCTTAATCCCTCCCCAAGTAGCAAGTTAGGAGCAGGGAAAAGGCTGTCAGCCCATCTAGATTTTTTTTTTGGGGGGGGTCATTCTCTTCAGTATTCCCTTTTTAATTTTGCACTTTGCCCATTAGTCTGAAAGTTGCAGTAGGTTGTATTTCTTCTGCTGCTCAGTTGCAATACAGTAGTGTTAAGCCTTAAAATACTGAGAGGGATGTCAGCAGGATTCAGGAACTTGCCACCCCAGATTCACAAGCCATATTTTAGCAAGTGTCGTAAAATTCATTGTTTTCCCCCACCCTATATAGAAATATATGGTCTATGCATTGCTTGAGATTACATCTTATATTTTAAGCTATGTTTGAGTATCTAAATTGTTTTCAACTTTTTTTTTCTGGAGAAAGATAGGACTTTGTTTTTCACCACTACTGCTTAACTCCACTTCCACACACCCCTTAGTTCAAAAGTAAACTTCTCCGTCAAGTTTTCTTTCCTCTTTCTCATAACTTCTTGGGCTGGCTATTGACAAGCTCAACAGGTTTGGAAATTTTAAAAATCACTTTGTGTTTTTTTTTTAATTTAAAGAGGCCGTTCACATCACATCCCCAGTGGCTCCCAGATTCTGCACACCGATCCATCTGTAATGTTTTTCTGACCCCTAGCGGTGTGGCTGTTGGTCCCTGTCCTGTTGTTAGCATTGCGCCTGTCTTCTGTATTAATCACATCACCAAAAAAAGGAAAAAAATACATTTTTTCTCATTTTGTAATCGTAACGAAATAGTAGCTAAACTGCTTAATGGTTGGGGTTTTTTCACAATTTTCAACATTACCTAATGTTTTTGGTTCTGTTCTAGTTAATTTCTTTTTAAGAAGAGGAAAAACCCAATGCTACCATATCCCTCTGCATTAAGTGCTTTTCTATTTATAAGGTTGAAAATTCTGAATAACCCTCTTAGCGTTATAAAGGAAAAATCCAGAAAAAAAACCACCTTGTATTTTGTAAATATTTCTTTTCCTGCTTCAAGCTGTGTAATGTCCTTGTTATATAGAAACGCTTTTCTTCAGAGAAGCTGATCTTTGTTTAATGTCTTGATTCTGTTGGCCAAAGCACAAATGTGTGCTTATAAAAAAAAAAAAGATTAAAAAAATTAAAAAGTTAAGAAAACTGTGTGCTAAATCTCTTCTTTGGGAAATAACAGTTGGATGAGTGCTATTATTAGAGATTAGTGAGGATGGAGAGGTATCGATTGAAATTATCAAGGAATAAAAGCAAGCAATGGCTTTAAGAATGTGACTCAACTTTTAAATCACCATTTTTAAAATTTCTTTTTTGAAACTAGCATTTTCAAAGACAGGCTTTCCCCCAGAATATAATAAAATGGTGGTAGCCATGGTGCTGAGGTGGATACCTTTCTGCCTAGCCCTGCAGCCTGGTGAGGATGCAAGCCACTTGATTTCTGGAGAGTTACCCAAGGGTGAATACAGCCCTCAATACAAAAAGGTCTTGCCATGCCTATAGTGCTATAGAGGGGATGAGTGTCTTGTCCAGATGATAATTCAGCTTAAAGTGAATGAAAGCAAAAACAGGAATTCTGGAAGTACCATCTTCACAGGAACATTTTTCAGTTTAATGATGTGGTAAGAATTTACAAAGGCCTAAGTATATGAAACTGGAACAGTGCTAACAAACATCTGTCTGTTAGTTGCGGCAAGAACGGTGTGACTTCTGTACTACCCCAATCGCCACCATATCCCTCCAACAAAGGCAAAGCTCGTTTAATATTGTAGTAATGAATTCTTTATTTCCAAATTCACTTTTACAGCAAGTCGGTGTAAACCAGTTGTTATAACACACAAGTACAATATGGACAGTCACAGACAGGTAGCTAAGCTAGGATGATCATATGGAGATCTTACTCCTTTCCCACCCCCTCCCACCCCGTTTCCCCACCCCCGTGAAACTTAAAAGGGAATTTGTTGGGTCTTCCAAACTCCATTGTCCCTTTTTCATACTTTCAAGTTCATGACAAAAAGCCCATTTTTTTTCCTCTTTAACTTTCAAAACCATGATTTTCATCTGTCAAATTTTAACACTTTTCCAACCCCCTAGATATGTATATTTATATACCAAGACAAGACACCAGCCAGTCAATTCAACATGGCCCTCGATTGGAACCCTCATGGGTCTAACCCTCTATAAAACTGATGCCATTATGCATCCTAAAATGAGCCATAAAGACACAATCAAAATCCATGTTTGAAAACAGATATTATGACTTAGGGAGATGGCTAAATTTGGGGTGGGGGAAAATAACTCAATGTTTCAATGGTTGATCCTATGCTTGGGGAAGGGGAAGATTTGAGCAGTGAAATAAATGGATGAAGGCAAGGGCTGTTAATATTCAGGAGAATCAAGGAGTCAAATGATCTCAAATATAACTTTGTGTTTGTTTTTGTTGCTTCATACTGAATAAAGAGGGCTATTGTTTTATTTACAGCTTAAGCCAATACAAAAACTGACAAAAGATGACGTTTTTCCAGCCCTAGCTCAATCCCCTAATGCAAACAGAAAAGAATGGTATATGTGCTCAGTGGGAAAAATCTCACATTTGTTGACTTCAAGCATATTAAGCTTTCTCACATCCTAAAGTAATACAACTGCAGGCTTTATTTTTAAATACAGTATCATAGAGTTATTGGAAATTGTTGAAAGGTGACCAATATGCTGATCTGTCTGAAGAACCCTGGCTACCACATTGGTACTGCAGTACAGTGATATAGCCAACAAAGTAACATTCTTGAACCCAATCGGTTCCTCTCCCATGCTATCCCATCCTCCATCTTAGTCACAACTTACTCAACTTTTTTTTTTTTTACTTCATTCCACAAAATACTTTTGCTTACAGAAACAATGGACAAACTGTACTTCCCAACAATTAGTTGAACTGATTTTATCCATGGCTCAAAACAATAAGCAAGCAAAGGCAGCAACAGACTTTACAAGGTGGTACTCCTAAAGCAGAAAGCCTTAGTCCCGACTCAGCCTAACAAGGACAAAAACACATGCACACAGCCCATCTTCAAGGTGTCTTATCTCACAAGGAATGTATTAAGTTTAGAAACCGGCGTCGGCTTGAAATTTGAACACTGCATCAGACATTTTCTCAGAAAAACATGCAAAGAAAGTTTTTAAAGATTTTTCTTCTCACCACCACTTAGAAATAGAAGCCCGCTTTGCAAGTTTCCCCCCCAAATATTCTCTACCACTTTGGGGTTTCTTTTGAGCAGCTGCAGTTTCCACAAACATTCCTCCAATATCCTTGAATGCCTAGGTCTGTCGCATTGTACAAAGGCTGCTCTGGTTAGGGTACAGAAGATTTGTTTCACAATGGTGTGGGGTTTTGGAATAATTATGTGGCAGCAGTGGGGCTGTGGCCTTCCAGCTGCTGTTGGTCTATAGCTTCCATTATTCTTGAACATTTACTCTGCTGGCTTGGGCAGATGGGGAGTTGAGTCCACCATCATATGGAGGTGCGGAGCCAGTAGCTTTTCAGAAGAAGGTAGACTTGACTCCCTACCAGTCCCCAACAACATGGTCAGTGATCAGGGATGATGGGAGCTGTGGACTAACAGCACCTCCAGTGCCACAGATTCCCCACCCTGGTACAAAGACAGATGCACATGTTGGGTAGCAAGACTATTTGAGGAAATGGAGAGAACAGGAAGATGAAATTCCTAATCACTCTGAGCACTGTCCTCCCAACTCTACAGTTCTGTGATTCTAATTCTGCATGCTATGATCCTTATCTGTTGCAGAATCCTCTGCACCCATGACAAGACACCTGGTGCACTTAGAGGCTGCCACCCAGTCACCAACCACCACCATCAGTTTGACAAAGTCAGATAATATACGCCTTGCCAAGCTTTAAATACTATGCTGTAAACCTACACCACAGTTCCTTATTGGACCTAGCTCTGAGGATCAGGCCTCTGTTGCCATATTTGTGAACTTACTGTTAAAAAGCTATGTATGCTATCAATTTGAGATTCCCCCCCCCCCCCCGCTTCTTGGGTTTGTGTGTTTTGTTTTACTGAAACCATCTTATCCTCTCACTTGGAAATTTCCAAACACATCCAGACAATTCCAACTGTGTAATGTATAAGTGGTGGTGGGACTGCCTTATAAAATCTGTATTATTTACAACCGTTCATGCAATAGATTGTGTCATAATTCTAATAGGAGCTCTGTTGCTGTTCGGTGTTTCAGGTAGTACTCCAATAAACTAGGCTATGTTTTGCAAAGCCTGTGTTGCTTGGGAACTTACATCTGAAGGATGGAAATTTGAGAGGGCAGGGGAGAGAGAAGGATTCTATCAGATGATAAAGGCAGTGGCAGGGAGGAATAGCCATTCACAAAAGGCAAAGTACTCTCTGAAATTAAAGTATTTTCACTTAGCCTAGGTAGATGCACAGCTACAACTCGTACCGTAAATGTTTTTTAAACAGCAAGGGGGGGGAAGGGTTTGTAAGGACGACCCTGGAATCTGTACTACAAATGCAATTAGTCTTCCAACTTTGACAGGTGAGGGAAAGAGCTCTTTCTGCTAGTATGATAGCTTCTTGAGCCAGTACACATATGCAGGTTATGTTCAGAAACAGTCATTATTCAGACACTTCTGCACAGTGTGCTAGTTTTGGACTCTTCCCCCCCCCCACCTGTGAAAACTTGAATTCTCTGGCACCTTTTCAGAAAATATGGGAAATAGATTCCTGCTGGTTGCATTGTGCTGTAGGTTTCCCTTGGAGCATGCACACCCAAGTTTGGGGACTTGTTCATACTACATGAGCAATGCTTGAGTACTCATAACTGAAAGGGTGAACAATCTTCATGGAAAAGTATTGTACTGGAGGTGATAACGAAACCTTTTGGTGTCTATGATTTGTGATGCTTCTTCCACAGATGCACGTACTGAGGAACAAACATGCATGCGATGAAGAGAGCATCAGATATATGCAACTATTATGAAAGACTCTTGATTCTAAAAGGTGCACCTATTCCCACATGCACGCCCTTCCAGGAAGTTACCCTTCTTCCCCCATGCACTTGCACTTAAGTGCACCTATCTCATTTAACAAAAAACCCTAGAACCACACCTCTACCTCACAAATTTCTACGTACAACCACAATTTTGTCATGAAAACCAAGAGAAACAGCCATGCTTATCGGACTGAACACAAGGAGCAAATCTGAAACCCACAAACCTCCTTGCTCCCCTCCCCCAAGAACGCCTACCAAGTCCTTTGAGCCAACCTGCAAATGTTACGGCAAGAGCAAAGAGACGGGCATGGAACTTGTGGCATTTTTTAGGCTGGAAAGATGAGAAAGAAGGCAGGCAAGTGGAAGAGGGGAGAAAAGTGGTAGTAATGGTCAAATAGTATGAAAAATTGCTTTTAATGTCCCTACATTTGCAAAAACAGTGTCCCCAAAGGAGAATCGCATGAGGCAAGCGTCACCTTGCTCCTCAGTATGCATCATTTGAACCATAGTTGAGGGAGCTGGCAGGATTTCAATGCTGTTTGCTCTTGTAATTCAAAGGTATCAGGCCAATGCATTGGCCCTCGCATGCAGTGGTATGGCTCTAGTCAAACCCCATTCAAGAAAACTTAAAATAAAAGGCATATGCCTGTGGCAAATTGGGCATTTGCCCCCTTCCCAGCATAGAAACATGTCCCCCTGCAGAGATGAGATTCTGAAGACTAATTCCCTGAGGACTGAAGTAGGGGATATTTCACACTGCAAATCCTGTGTATGCAGTTGATATCTGCTTTAGACTTACACTATCACACATACCTGTAACAAAATGCAAAACAGCAGGTGTTCTTGAAGAAGGTTACTAAACAATCCCACAGCAATATAGGCTCTTTTCTCTGTTCATGGGGACAAACTTGGTTAGCTGCTGCTCATCGACAGAGGCAGATACTAACCCGCTTTCTCAAGCTTATATCCTATGCAGCACAAATTTTCCTAACAATTACATTTCCTTTTGTTTAGGAGCAAGTGGTGAAATGATGTCTTTCTCTAGACTGAGATATAGTAAGAAATCTTTGTTTTCATACTGTTACTAATTTTGAAATCCTGAGACCACAGATGAATAAATGGCAAGGGGGACAGGGAACCAGATTAAAAGAGTTAGCCCATTAATATAAAAAACGAAATAAATTAAGGAATGGTGGGGAATGAAGATGTAAAACGGAACAGAGGAAGAAAGGCCAGAGTGGATTCTTCTCTTCTTATTCTCTCCACCCACTTTAACACAATCACAAGCCCTGCTTGGCCAGGGAAGCAGACACTTCATCGGCCAATGTGGCCAGCTGTGGGGAGTCCACCATGTTGATGCTTCCAGTGGAGGAGACGTTGCTAAGGCGCCGTGGGGAGGCATCTCCAGATACAGTGGGTGATTTGTACACAATTTCAGCTCCATGGTCAGTCTTGGCTTTGGCGTTCTCACGAAAGGTCAGCTTGTGGCTCTCAATCTGGAATGAGAGACATCGGCAGGTCAGGACAAGAGAGCAGGACAGGGAAAAGTGGAGGGGGTTGATGCTGTTTCCCCACCACCCAGTTCAGCTATACCTTCACTAGCGTTTGACTGGTATGCCAAAGTGGTTCGTTCAGCCGCAGCTCCTCTTCTCCCCATCGCCGCTGCTTTGGCAAAACACTGATGTATGCTCAGAATTAGGAAAATCCAGGCTCTCAGTTTTTAGTGTGTTGTTATAAGGGCAGTCCCACTCATTTGCTTGGCTGACATTTTTTTTAATTAAAAAAAATAATGATATCCATGTTTCCTTGATCTAGGAATCCTACATTGCTTCATACAACCTACAGGCAGAAGTTGTATGCAAACTGTGTGCTATAAGCCTATGAAATGGAACATACAAAAATGTCAACTGCTTTCAAAAGCAGCTTCTCCCAGAATTGTACTACCATGTTATGAAAAGGTGACCTATCCAAATACATTTATGAATGTTTTCAGGCAAAGAAGTCGAGTCTCCTATCAAACTGGGCATCCCTTATCTTGAAACCATGCCAGATGAAAGATCCCAGCAGCCAATCTTGCAGATAGGTGAGATGGTGATAGAGGTCTGATAGTCCAAAATATTTTTATCGTATAGGGGTTTTTTTCACATTAAGCTGCTAGGGTTAGTACAGAACATCAGGTTTTCAATCTAACAAAATCAGAGAAAACTAGTATGATGCCTTCCCACCCCACACCCTCCAAGCTCTGGGTATCTGATTCCCATCTGGCTCTCACAAAGCTCATGAGAACAGGTAACTACTTACTGGCATCACATGGGTGCAAGTCGGGGAGTGGGCTCTCCTCAGGGATGGAGGGCTCCGTGATGGGGGAAGGAGGCCCAGTCTTATTGGGGCAGTTTTGAGCACCGTTCGTGTCTTCCTTGCCCTTCTCTCTCTGCATGTGGGTGGAGAAGGTCAGTGGGATGCAAAATAGCATCGTCAAATAAGATGACATGAAACCAAAAATCTTCAATGGGGAGGGAGGGACATATAGAATTGGAGGAGGACAGAGCATCAGGAATATAACTGCAGTGTGCAGAAGAAGGTACAGGAACCAGAGATGGAGAATGCAAGAGCTAGCGAATAAAGATGGTGTGCACTCCGATATGTCTCATACCACTCAGCAGATGGCTGATGAATTTTGCCATTGTCAGTCAGCAGAGAGTGGAACATACAGGGATGGGTTAACTCCTCTTCTGGAAAGCAGGGTCAAATGATTTTTACCAAAAAATAATTCTAGTAGGGAAGAAAGCTTTGTCCAATTTCCAATCTTAACTCTATCCTCACAAAAAAGCAGGTTTAATTCTTGCCTTTGTATGTTCCTGTTGTCGCCATAGGTGCCTTCTTAAATAAAAAAATTAGATCTTCTCAGAAGGCCTTAACTTTGATACAACCTTTATCCTCTGGATCTCCTCTCTCATTAGCCAGAAGTGCTGAGGAGGTGGGCTGGAGCCTGTACCTGGGCCCTCCTACTCAACTCCCTGCTTAAGTACTAAGGGCTCTGCGGAGGAAAAAGAGCTCCGTTTACAGCCTTTGGGCCACTACATTAGAGATAGCCAGGAGTCTTCCCAGACCCCTAAGCAATCCCAGGAACACCAGCAAATGATCAGGGGTAGCTGGGGTCTTATGCAGACCCCCATTCCACAGTTGTAGAAGCAGAAGTCTTTAGAGGCCTGGGTATCTAGAGTCTACATCCCTCTCCCCTTTCTTATCAGGTGGTGACAGCAGGGTTTTTTGCTTAAAGCAACAACTTATTGTGAGATGAAGTTATATAGCTTAGTGATGGCTGGTGCAGGGATGCTACTAAAACAGAGGACCTCTGTAGTGTTTTCCATATTCTTTACTGTTCCCAAGAAAAACAGATGCTCACACTTCATTAGCAGAATTCGTTATCACAGGAATGGATTCCTTCTAGATGCCCTGGCTGTCTCAGGGCACAACTCCAGAATGGTCACCAAGCCTGAGCAGATAGCGAATATAATAATGGAACTATTCCAAAGTTTAAACTTGTCTCTTGGGGAGGGGAATCAGTGGGGGAGAGAAAAGTGCTATCCCTGACATTAAACCTTCTCACTCTCATGAATTCTCTGCCCCCTTTAACTATGTTCATCACGCTGCTTGCTATTCATGGACTCCTCTTCCTGTGCCTGGAGCATAGGGCCATCCAAGTGGGTCAAAAGTCATACTTATGCTCACAGTGCCTGCAAGGCTTTCCTTCTCTGATACCTACAAAAGCCCAACTGTGGTCCAGGAAATGCAGAAAAAGAGGGGAGAGGGGGAGTGAAAAGAGGTGGATGCTCAGATGTGTGAATGACACTGAGAGAAGGATAAGGAAGCGGAGAAGTTCCTCCATCAGAAGCCAGCACATTCACTGGAAGGAGCCAATGAGAGCTAGAAAGGTTTCTAAGGCTACTAAAATGAGATGCGTCTGAGAGGAAGGGGCTGAAATGCATGTGAGTAGAGCCTCCCTCCCCAAGACAGGCACAACAGATGAGGCAAATACAAACAAACAAACAGAATTAACTGGTATACGTGAATCACTCTCCAAATGGGGTTTCAAAACCTATGATGCATCCCTGCTGATAGCTCCAGGGCTCTTTGTGCATAAGCTGCCTGAACTGGGTTGCCAATTTATGAGGAAAAATAACCCAGTCTGGACTGCTCTTGTGCTTTTAACAGCAGCTTGATACACAGAGAGCAGCGGGCAAACCTTTTCATAGCATGGAAATGAATATCACCACCTGTTAATGTTTGTACATTAAGCCGCTATTAAAGGCACACATATAGGGGCCAGCTGAAAAGCTGGCAATCCTATTCTGAAGTGGAATGATTTAGGGACTTGATATTCCCAGATGCACAGTAAGCAGGCAAGCCTGGTCCAAGGAAAACCGCTAATTGTGCAATTAACTTCTAAGTATATTATATGACCTCAATGGGGAAGGTCCGCCTTAACAGAATTACTGTGCTGATTCATCATTTTATCAGTCTTTCTGGGAGGACCACTCCAGTTGGCAGTATTTGCATCCTATAGAGGGACCAACAGAACAGGCTGCTCTGCCACATTAAATATCTCAGCAACCTGGATACCAGCAATATGTGAGCAGGTAATGGTCAATGGGTCCTTTCTTTTTAAACAAAAAAAAGTTGAGAAGGGCCTTCTGAGAGCAAAGCAGGGGCTTTGTGAAATTTTTAAAAGGCCTCAAGTGTACCTTATCAAAATGATATCTAGACCACAGCATCAGACATCAGTCTTGACTGTAGTAGCAAACATAGCCAAGCAAGCAAAGACCCCTCCTCCTCCTTGCTCCATTTGAAACCTTTGCCTCCCTCTGGGCGCATACAGACGTACCTAAAAATGGCAGCCAACATGTTAATTTCTCCAGTGATGTGAGCCTGGTTTCCCCCTCCTTTATGCTGCAAATCAACAGGCATACTTACCTCCATTGCAAACACCACATTCCTTGCTGCCCTTTCCCCATGCTTTAGACTTTCTGCTTTTTAAAAAAAATTATGTAAAGCACCAATGATATATAGCTGTGTGATTAAAGGGGAAACTGAACTTACCGTGAAGCTCCCTCTGTTTAATCAGTAGGATCGCTGGCTAGAAAGACTAACTTCTCCTGTACCTCCAACGGCAAGGTCAACCTAACTTATATCCCTAGTTGGAGAGGAATTTCCTTCCAAGATCTTGGCAGATAGCAAATGCACTCATTAAAGAAACAGTCTAGCAACAGGCATGCTCACTTGAGGAAAAGCTGGAAACACCAATGCATGACAAAAGGAACTAGGAATGAGAAAAGGGAAGGAGGTCTCTGATGTAACATGCTGCTGCCCCATGCACGCATCACCTCCCCACCCCCCACATTGTGCTTGCCTGACCGCCACACCAGTAAGTCTGCTCACCAACCTACCAACTAACAAGCGGGAACACCCAACTTCCCTTTCTCATTTAGTTTAGCCAGGAATCCCAAGTTGGGAGAATGGTTGCATTCAGGGCCTGCTTGCAGCTTCTCACAGGGACCTGGTTGGCCACTATGGGAATGCAATGCAGGACTAGATTCAGCAGGGCTTGGCACAAGACACTGCAGTCAGTCAGTTTTTGCTTCAACTCTCTTTTCTCCAAACTCAGCAACAGGTTTGTCTGGCAATAACATGATGGCAATGCTTTCAGAGCCCACAAGCTTTGTTTTTAGGTATGTCTGTACGCACCCCCAGGTGCCTCTTGGAGAGTATGGAAGGACAGAATTCTTCTGAAGGGCAAGTCCTACCCCACTTCAGCCATCATTGTGGGCAGCTGCTAAGGAACTAACCACATGTTATGTACAAACATGCTTTAAACCTCCAGGGGGAGGGGCGTGTTCAGTGTGGGGAAAAGGGTTGAACACTCCTTCCCACACTATTTTTCTGCTCTCAATCACCTCAGCTTGGAGAGGGGAAGATCAGCATCACAGCTCCAATAAGTGATTTTGCATGTAACACATAGTTTAGTCTTTGAGGCAGCTCCCTTTTTTGGAACAAAGTGGAGAATGATGCTAAGCAATTACCCCTTTGCTGTTAGTCTGGCAAATGTAATAGGTATTTAGTAGGCATTAGAGAAGCATACAGAAAATGCATGGGGAAAACAGGGGACTTAAAAAACAAGGTTCAAAGCAGCAATATAAGAGACTGATGGGGAGCAGGGCTTGAGAAAGATGCTGCTACCTGTTATTAACTTGATGAGATTTTCCCCTCATGCACAGAAAACAGCAAGAGGAAGAATGCTTACCTTTTTATTTCCTCCTCCAGGCATATGGGTGATGTTGTCTAATGACCCAATTTTTGATTGCACCTTATCTTTGAAGTCCAGTTTCTCAGATTTCACCTCCACCTGCCCACCACCTAGAGGACAAATAAAGGCAGGGTTAACAAATATATTTAAAAAGTGTGTGTACAAGATTTGGAGAAAATAATGTCATGGATTTGGCCTGTTATCCTCAGAGTTTAGTGCAAGTAAATAATAAATTCTACAGCCTAGAAAGCAAAAAACAAAACCCAGCAAGTTCACCCAGCAGAAGGCAAGTTCCACACAATATGCAAATATACTTTGATCTCATAAAACTGATCAAGTTTTACTACATGTCCATGCTCCCTTTCAGCATTAGAAGTGGAAGCAGTTGGTCCAGAATAATGCCAGCTGAATGAATTGCAAAATAGTGAAAAAAATAATGAAATACTAGCAGGCAAGAGCTAAAAGAAAAGAAGAGGATGTTGGGTTGGATGAGCTTGAGAAAAAATTATCTTGGATCAACTTGGTGGATGCTCAGTGTGTAAGCTACTGCTATAAAGAAGGAATATTGTCAGGTAGGTGTTTTGTTTGCCACCTGTCACCAGTACGTGGCTTGCTCACTTGACTATGCAACTCAGTTGTATAGAAAGTAAATGGCAACAGTTGAACATGCCACTATAGGGCATACTTTAAATTAGATGCTAGCAAGCTTATATGTACCTAATATACCAAGGTGATAAATACTATCAACAGTCTGATGAGACCCACTCTTTAAAAAGAGTCCCCTTTTCTCTCCCTCCCTCCCTCCCTTTCTCTTTCATGGCCTCCATCCGTAGGAACAAAGGAAGCAACAAAAGGCCTTATCAATTACATTTGCAGGTAGACTGTGCCTGGTGCCAACTGGCTTCTGTACCAGCCGGTTGGACAAAATAGCTCAGAGAGCACAAATGTATGTACTAACATGTGTGTGTTAGATGGTTGCCCCCAATAGGCCTATATGCATCTGCTGTGACATCCAGATTTCTTCAACGTTTTTTCCCCAAAGCAAATTTACAGCAGAATGTGTACAGGCAGAGGACTCAAGTCCATGAACCATGCCTAGGAAGGGCTTCCAGAGATCAAAGATCTGATCCAACATGTTTGCCTCTGTAGGAGGGCTTTTGGAGGCATGCACATGAAATTATTAAGTAAGGTAAAAGTAGAGGGACCCCTGACCATTAGGTCCAGTCGTGACCGACTCTGGGGTTGCAGCGCTCATCTCGCTTTATTGGTCGAGGGAGCCGGCGTACAGATTCTGGGTCATGTGGCCAGCATGACTAAGCCGCTTCTGCCAAACCAGAGCAGCGCACGGAAACGCTGTTTACCTTCCTGCCGGAGCGGTACCTATTTATCTACTTGCACTGGCGTGCTTTCAAACTGCTAGGTTGGCAGGAGCAGGGACCGAGCAACAGGAGCTCACCCCGTTGCGGGGATTCGAACCGCCGACCTTCTGATTGGCAAGTCCTAGGCTCTGTGGTTTAACCCACAGCGCCACCCGCGTCCCTATTATTAAGTACTAACCTATTAATAATTAATATATTAAGTTTATAATAACCTAAAAAGTTATGCAACTATGTTATCTTGGTCATGCATCTAGGCTTTTCTAGAATAACCCTGTGAACCAATAGTTGACAAAATCATGTAGATGATCAATTCCAATATTTTGCAAACATTTCTCTCTCTCAGACAGAACTTAGTACAGTGGTACCTCCGGTTGCACACGGGATCCGTTCCGGAGCCGCTTCTGCGCATGTGCATGACGAAACCCAGAAAAATACTTCTGGGTTTGCTGCGCACATATTCCGAAGGATATGTAACTGGCGGTGAACGTAACTAGAGGTACCACTGTAGAGGCAAGCATTACATGGGATGCAGGCTATCTTTTTTTCATTTCGCAGTTGTAATTACTTCCTCTTCTACCTATCATTGTCCTTCTTTCCCTCCTTTCCCCTTTCCTTTGTCAATGTCTGCAAAAAAGCAGAATAAAAAAAGCTATTGGGTCCCACCCCCTTTAGAAGTCCAGTAAGACTTTTAAAAAACATATATAGTCACCATCACCTGGTTTATGATGAATGTTGTCCAAGGAACCACATTTAGACGTTATGTGGCTGAGATCCACTGGCTTGTAAACAATTTGTACCTGTGAGGACAAAATTAAAGAAGTGCACAGAGTGTTTGGGGCTGGAATTTATTTCAACTTGAAAAAGAATGTCTCCCCAAGATATGCAGAAAAAGTGAGACAGACGACACACTGGAACCCAACTGGAGAAGAAAAGCAGTTTGAAAAGCTGTCTAAAAGATTAATCATTCAAGCACAGGCAGAAGGAGTGTTTTCCACCAGAAACTGTGAAGTCAAAGCACGCATTGTAGCAAAATCTCCCACCAAAGGCATGCATACTTTTTCTTTGACTGATTTTATGAAATTCAAAGAAAAGTAACAAGGATCATCATATAACAGGAAAAGTAGATTGGATGACATATTTTTGTAACCTGAGTTTCCAAAAGCTTTAGAAAAAATATACCCCTCTCTTCCCTTGTTTCTAACATAGTTGTTATTTTAAGCATACCTATATTCCACAGTCTCAACTTTAGGATTTCATTTTCATTTTAAGTTAGATGAGATTCCAATTGCTGTAGTTATTCATAATAAATCTGTTCTATGTATTTATATTTAACCTTTCTGTTCAAATATTTTAAGAATTTAAGAATATAATCAGTTGTTCAAAAGGTAATGAAAAATACATTTCTTTTATACTTGCAAGCATTTTTATCTAAAAAGATTTAAAATGTCCGGCAAGATCACCACATGTGGCTATAGTCAACATTATCCTTATTGCATTTCCACAGCATGCACAAACTCTTTATCACACCTCCAGAGGAAGGAGGCGGGAAAGCAATGGGAACGGAAGATGCTCAAGTGAGACAGGGAGAAAGGGGTCAGCAGACAGAGGTATAATCAAATAAGATATGCTACAGAGAAAATATAAAAAACCAGAAACAGAATTAAATACCTTTTTCTGATGTAAAACTTAAGGTTTATGTCCACAAAAACTGAAACAACAGAAATAGTCAATGTGCATTGAAAGGGTTGATTTTTTTCTAAAAGGATCTTTTCAAAATGTTGCAACAGAACAAAGGTATCTGAAACAACATGGAGACTGAAACCATACTGTGGAAAAGATTCATTTTTTCCAAAAATATTTTCTTAAAGCATGCATTCACAGCAAGAGTGAAACTTCTGATGAAATTTCATCAAATTCGCTTATGTCTACCGAGCCCTCAAAAATATGCACTGAGTTTTCAGAGCTTCATTTGGATATGATGAATACCATCACAGAATTTAGATGTGTAATATTCCTTGCTTTGAATGTTCTATTATAAAATAATTACAATCACAGCACAATTGTGACACATTGAACCATTTCGCTTAAATAGTGATCTATGCAGTACAGGGAGACGAATACTAAGGTATTTAAACAAAGCATTTCTGAACCTTTGAATGGCATACACAAGCTAGCAAGTGTACAACATGCACAAAAGGTACAGATAAAATTGAATTAGTGGTTATTGGGTTACAAGCATTAATGACATTGTGGGAAGGAATACAATCTGACTAGAGGCAAATGGTATTCAGGGTTCTTGTGGGCTGGGTGGGGCAGTATCTTCCTAGTCCATCCCTGTGCAGTTTGCTGAAAATCAGACTGGGTGTCAAAGTGGCTGTCATCCTCTCAGCCACCAGGCAAAGGAAAGTTCAGCATTTAGAATTGCAACCTGCAATGGCTGAACAGGTTGCAGGGTAAGCCTCTCAGACAACAAGCATTGTTTTATCTGATGGTGGTACCTCTTCCAGGCCCCTGAAGTTGAACTTACAGCTGCTCACTGGGCACTTTTGTCCTGCTTCTAGACATCCAAAGCAGTATTTTAGAGGTCTCAATTCTCAGTGGCCCTTTCCATGTTGTGCTTGGAAAGTCTACTCGGAACCGTTAGAATCGTTTCTGGATTCTCACCTACATCCAGAACACCCTGGAACTGAGAAGCCATCTTGTTCAAAAAAGAACACTGGAGATCAACTGGAAAATCTCCAGTAAACTGGGATTAAGGTAAGGTTTCCAGAGGTGTTTTCTTCCTCCCAGCCAACACCTCTTCTTAAGTTTTCTGGGACCACACCTACCTGCAGGAGGCTTTTACCACTCCCATCATGCAATTCCAAAGTTCCCCTCTAGCACCTCTTGTTAGTGAAGAAGGCCAAAGATGAAGCATACAAGGGCTTGGCCTCAGTTCTCCAATTCTATGTATCTTATTAATGGCTTTTTTTCTTTTTTCACAAAAGTAACTCAAAGCAACTTACAACAATATATGACACATACATTAAAACCAACATAAAACAAAGAGGAGATTTAAAAAATTAATTGTGTCCACATCCAAAGGCTGTACAAATGGGAAAGTATTCAAAACAAGCAGATACCAAAATTCCTCTGTTGACTCTGCCTTAACTGTAGGATCTAAGTCAGAGTGGGTAAAACCATTTCTGCCCATGAAGGGTCTGGGATATTGGTCATAGCCAGCTACCAAGTTGCCTCCTATTTGTAGAAGAATCAAGATTTAATAGCCCTTTGACTGCGAGAAAGTGCCAGAACAGTTGGTAAAATAGTGATGGAATAGTGTGGCCACAGAGTAGACTGTACTAGGCACACTAATAGTCTATAGTACAGTATCTAATCTGTTGATCAGATTAAATGCAAGTCTACTATTACTAACACTTTACGAGTCACCCCATTGGTTCACTCCTTCCAACTTCACAAATGAAGAGGCTAGCTCAGCTCCACAAAGAGAAGAAGGGCACTTGGGGTGAATCAAGCCCTTAGCCTCATGAGGCCTTCAGCAGGATTGCCCAGTTTGGGTGAAAGGAAACTCTTCCCAAAAGCCATCAAAAAATCATTTAGGATCCATCAGTCTCCCGGAGCAGGCTGTCCTGATAGGTCTTCCAACCATCCTGAGATCTGGGATCCCACCAATCTTTTTAAAGATGAGTCTAAACTATCCTGGACATCTCAAAGATTCCTCTGTAAACACCTTTCTCTTATCGTATTTTTTAATCTGTTTGCATTTGGTGAAAGCTGTGACGGAAGGAGAGATATTTTGGTATGCATTGTTGAGCACAGGATGAAAAGCACCCAGTGGGAAATCAGGAATTTGTGTTGTGTAGCTTAGTGCTAGAATGAACACATATATAAGGTACAGGGTGGGGAAATAGATAGGAAAAAGTATCAGGAGAGACCACACAAACGGGCACCTGTTTTCTCTGCCTTTGTTCTATAGTAGACCCTTCTTGCATATGCATCTCAGGAGGCTTTTCAATTCAACCTTGTCACAAAACGTGCAGCCTGTCTTCCTAGTTCAGCACATCTTAAGCACAGATCAGTAAAAATCTGCTTATATTTGGTATAGAAGTCAGCTCAACTCTGTATTTTGCTAGGCAAACTGTCTTCATCTGAGAGCACATTTCCATCTTGCCTGCCAAAGTCAATAGGTTAGACTTAATGTGTACTAGATAGAAATGCAGTAATTGTTTTGCACAGAATCCACATCTAGTATCATAGCACAGGGAAGTAATGATACCTATAAACCTATTAATCACTGTGAATCAGATCTAAAACTCTTCAAGATCCAAGTGTCTTTGTAATGTCTGAATTGCTCCAAATAAATCACATGGACTTACCACATAAATCCCAAAGAAGCATTTGCAATAAAAGGGGAGCAGCCTAGGCTTTTCCTGGGGCAATCCAATTTGTCCATGTTTTATAAACAAAGAAGTCTTTGCTCTCTGACTCTAAAAATAGAACAAGAACGCCATTCCATTGCCTTCGACACCAACCCCCAGGATGGTGTATTGCAGTACTATTTTGGTGTTTACTATCTCATATGTCAGGTGTCTTTTTTTTCAGATTGACACTGAAGAAAACTTTCCCCTACTTAAGAACATTTTTGGGTTTTACTTTGGGATACTGCACATTTAGCCTAAGCTCACATAAACCTCCAACACTAGGTGAGTTTATATACATTCATTTTAAATTACAATGAGGTTTACAAAAATTAAGATAAGTAAAATAATAAATACACTTTATTGTGCAGGGTGTGGCAGCCTCGGACTATAGCTCTCATCAGCTTCACGCAGCACAGCAAATGCCCACAGAGCACTGAACAGATGGCTTAGAATAAAAGCACTAAGCACTAGTTCCTGTGCCTGAACACTAGGGGTGTTATTCAACTAAGCTCTACTCAGAGTAGATCCACTGAAATTAATGAACACGACTAAGCTAGAATTGACTATACAAATAGCAGTGCTGTTGCAATTTTCTTTCCTCTTCCAAATGCTAGTCACTGAAAGATCTTCAAATTTGAAAAAGGCAAAAAGGATTTTTTAATCCACAATGAAAATACATCATGGCTTCCTTTATCCGTGATTTATAAAAGAAATGTCAGAAAAAAATTGGGAATGCTAACTTTAAAAGCATAATATACTTTTGCAGGTTCCTTATGTAATGTGGAAATCCAGTCTCCAAGTGCAAGTGCCCATGCAATATCTGCCTTCATCTAAGCCCATCTGTGCACTCCTTTTCTTCCCCAGCTACTCTTTGCAATATTCACAAACCGTATAAACAATTCTGATGTGCAAACTTATTTGGAGATAGCCAACTTCACTAAAAAGCCTTCCTAACTTATAGGGCATCTATAGATAGGTACATTAAACAGTACAACAGCAAGCTGGCCTAAGTGCAACGCATAATGTGTTCCTTACTAATCTTGAATGGAGCTATAGCCCTTGAAAGCATTTCAGGTTTTCTTTTTAAAATATAAATTTGTTTATAAAAGCTAGCTCAAGATGAAATGTATCCACTGCAGACTAGTGCATAAAATAAACCCTGCTGTCTGATATGTCCCACAATTATCTTGGCTGACAAAACAACATGAAAACATCAACATAAGGGATGTGGTAGGATACAGTCATACCAACACCAAGTCAAAAGAGTCAAATTGTTTAAACAAGGCAAACCAATACACCAAACTAATGTGAGCACGTTATGTACATTTGTGAAAGTATGTGGAACTTGTTCTGAATACAGGCTACAAACCTTGTACATATTCCTTATTGCTTTGAAAAACATACCGGGTGACATTAATTGAGAGGATGCTCACCTGATTTGCAGATGACACAAAACTGTGATGGGTAGCTAATGCTACAGAAGACAATTGGGATTCAAGATGACCTTAACAGATTGGAGAACTGGGCTCAGACTAACAAAATGAATTTCAATAGGGACAAATGTAAGGCTCTACACAGGCAGGAAGAAACAGCTGCACAGATATAAAATGGGAGACACCTGGCTTCATAGTACGTATGAAAAGGATTTAGAGATCTTAGCCTGGAAAAGAGGAGACTGGGAGGAGAGATGCTAGCCATCTTCAAATATCTAAAGGGCTGTCACATGGAAGATGGAGCAAGCTTCTTTTCTCCTGCTTCGGAGGGTAGGACCTGATCCAATGGCTTCAAGTTACAAGAAAGGAGTTTCTAACTAGACAACAAGGAGAACTTTATTATGGTTAGGGCTCTTCGACAGTGGAACAGACTCCCTGGGAAGGTGGTGGACCCTCCTTGGAGGTTTTAAAGCAGAGGCTGGACGGCCATCTGCCATGGATGCTTTAGATGAAATTATTGCATTAGACTAGATGACTCTCAGGGTCTCAACTCTATGACTGCATAATGTATTCTTTGATGTGTCTGTGTTAAGCACATGACTGTATTACTTGCTCCTAAATGTTTGACCTGGAAGCTCAAATTCCAGCACCTTCAAAACTCAGCCTTTAGAAAGGCACTTTTCTTCTTGTTTGCAGAGGAATGCTTAGAAACCAGAGTTGGGCTGGGCTGGTGTGCCAGTGATCAGCAGACAGAGCTTGTGTGTCATGTGCTTACTCTCAATTTTCCCTCCTTCTAACAGCAAACTTAGAAATGGAGCCAGAAGAAGAGGGCCACTGAGAAACAACAAAGAGGTACCAGGCTGCTTAAGAGAATCCTGAAGTTCATAGAAGTACAAAAGAAAACCATTTTTCTAACCAAGAGGGATAGCACCCCACCCCACCCAATTGGCACAGTAAGCACCAAGAACCTACTGAACATTGCATATCAGTTGTAAAAACAAAAATTCACAAAGTGCAGGGGAAGAGTGAATTGGCTTGCTTGAGCCCCTAACAGCTTATACTGTTTTGGAGGAAAGCATCATGGCTGGAAATCTGGACAAGAGAATTCCTATTAGGTAATAATATCCTGCAACATTTTGTTGCAAGACCCTCCTGTATCCTATATATACCAGTTCTCCCCTACCCCCTCAATTCTACTATATACAGAACACTAAACACTTTCCTTTTCTGCCTTTCCCTCTGCTCCCAAAATCCTCACTAAAAATAATAAAATTTCCCTGAAAACTCATATCATGGAAGCAAAATAAATTCTGCAAAGTAAGCCTAAGGGAAATGATTCATTATTTTATCTAATTTGCATATTTTATTTTGAGGGAACAAGGAACATGTGCTTCCTTGATGAAGAATTTTGATTTATTTTTTTTTAAATGCTGATTATATGCGTCCATGAACACACCACACTTTTAATCAGCTTTCCATTTGCAATACACTCTACACCTTCATTTTCCATCAACTATCTGAGTCAGAAAGGATAATTTCTGGGGTAATTTGAACACTATGTATTGAGAAGGCAGCCACTTAAATAATATTGCCTCCAATTCAATACCCAATTAGCTCAGTGCACATCCCCATACAGCTAACTCTGCTGGAGCTTTAATCAAGCCATATTTTCACTGGTAACAGGTTAATTCACTACACATCATCAATAGCTATCTGACTGTGCAGACAGCATTGGTGTTTCAGGGTTAATGCAAAAGTCATGCCACTTATAATAAGTTAGATTATTATAGTGCATTGAATGGTGTGAAGGTACTCACACTGCCTCCTCCTGGGGTATGTTTGATATTATCCTTTGATCCACACCTGGATTGGACATGGCTAAAGTTCAGCTTCTTATTAACCACCTGCACCTTTGATAGCCAGAAAAAGAATATGAGTGACAACCGCTGCCAGTAGAGATATCTTTTGCATTTTGTAGCAGTCATCTAAGACAAAGAAAGAAGCAAGGGACTTTCCCCTTGGGACAAATGCCAGTTCCTTGCTTTGAAGATGAAGCTTCAAATTTCAGCTTACGCAGTGGCGAACGTCCTACAGTCAGGCCTGAAATAAGTACAGTGCTTAAAAGAACAAACAAAAACAAAACAAAATCATGACATAGGCTGCCCCATTTCTAACACAGAGATATTTGTCCCAGCACAGGACTGCAAAAAAGTGTGTATATGAACAATATAAAGTAAAACGAAAGCAACTGTGTTTGCTTATTGGTTGGAGAGCCAGGGCAAATTACTGTTAAGGGTGGTATATAATAAATGCAGTTAATGGCTCTCTCTTCTGCTATGTCCATTGGCATGGCAAATGCTGCTAGGATAATCATATTCACCTCCTAGTTGTTGCTAGCACCACAGAATAACCATTATATTTGGAAGCACGTCAAACTTTCACCAGACTTTAAAAAGGGTTGTCAATCTGAAAGCACCTGAACTCAACTGTTGATCTCTCTCTCTCTCTCTCTCTCTCTCCCTGAAAGCCTCATTCAGAACTGCAACGGAGTTTCCACACATCAAGGAATTTAGTACTTTCTGTGTATTTATCTCCCATTATGTCCTGTCTACACTAGTGGGCATGGCATAGACATGCGGCTGGAGAAGCAAATATTTAACACAACAAGCCATTTTAAATAAATTCTAATACCATTTTTAAAAACTGTGCTTCAGTGCTTTTAAAATTTCAACAGTATTACATAATTACTGTAAAAAAATAATGCTTAAAATTAGAACAAAAATATTTTAAAGTGAGCATGGGGGGAGTGATCAATAGTGAAAATGGCACTCAATACAAATATTCAAATAACATGCATGTTTTATAAAACATTTTTTTTAAAGTTGCATTAAAACCCATTTTAAGTTGAAGCACTTTTATACTAATGTTTTTTAAAAAACAAATAAAGGAGAAACAGTGCTAATTTAAAAAGAGATCCCCACCCATCAATGACACCTATCAAAAAGGTAATAATGAAGTGTACCAAAATACAGATGCAGACAGACAGGCCTGCCTGCCTAATACAACATTGCAAACATCAAAACCATACCTTAAAAAAATAATATGACAAGAATAATGCTAAAGTGATTTACACTTGCTGGATTTTCCATAGTCTGAGGAAAGAGGGTGGAAACACAAGAGTTACAAGATTTGATGACATTATGTTGCTCCTCTGTAAAAAGTAAGTGAAAAAAGCACACTCTAAAAACCTGATGCTGAGCACCCAGTCAAGTAATCTGGGTAATTTGTGGGTGGTGTTTACATTTGCAATAATGGTTACCACTCTATCTACTTACTGTATTTCTTATTCACCCTTCACCATAAAGCCCCAGGGTAGGTTAAAACAACATTAAGATAAAGCCAAATAAAACCACCAACCCCTAACAGTCATACATTAATTAACAATTTCAAGGCAGGTCATAAAGACAAGCAAGCTATGACCAGTAAGCTAAGAACGTCCCTTAGCTACAGACAACTCATATTGTTTTGCAGATACAGAATATTTAGGTCTGCCAATTGTTGCATCAGTACAGGGAATTGGACAAAACATAGATCCCTAAATTACCATGGGCTGCAGCAGCCTCATAATAATCTAACCCTTTAGTTTAGAGCAACCCTTCAAAGAATGACTATATATTGTAGTAGCACTAGAAGGAGCCCACAACTAGATAGAAATTACTTATCAGCAACACAGTACTGCAGCAAACTGAAAACGTGGCTTCAGATTCTGCGCCCTTCTGTGGGCCTAATTCCATGTCACTTTACTTTCTTCCTTCCTCTCTGTAAACTCCCTATGCAAGAGAATGGAACTAGTGAGTCTGGCTATTGATAAAGAAGCCTTACAGTTTTGCTGAAAGATATTTGTCCTTTAGAGGAAGGGAGAATAATACAACTATCTTCCCCACATTAGCCCCCAACATGCCTTCATGTAGGAGAAGGGCCACAGCTCAGTGACAGATCATCTGCTTTGCATGCACAAGGTCCCCAGTTCAAACTCAGAAATCTCCAGGTACGGGCCTAATGGTGTCAGTTCCTAAGGTAAGGATTGCAGTCTCTTTCTCCCCAGTGCTTGGGGAGAGAAGTGAAGCAGCCAAGATTAGCACTTTGAATTGAGCAGGAAAATTTATTGGTGGCCAATGAAGTCATGTCTGAATTGGTGTAATGAGCTAAGTCCATCTTCTTCCAATCAGCAATCTGGCTGAATCAGCTGCACCTTCCAAATGCAAACCCACATATAATACATTGCAGGAACCCTAGAAGTTATCAGAAGTTAGGCTATCCTTGTCCAGATAAGGGCATAGCTGAGCCACCCACCAAAGCTGATGGAAGGCATGCATGGCACCAAGGCCATTGATAATGCCTCTTTCTTACCTAGATGGAGGATAGTGTGTATAAAAACTAGCCTCCTGCACAAAGGTAACATTTAAATGCATTGCTCTGCTCACTTTTGCCTCTGGCCCTGATTATCACTGATATGTGGCCCAGAAAGGAATGTGATCCTCAAGCTAAAAAAGGTTCTTCACCCCTGTGCTGAAGGAAGATTATCTCTCAGCCCCCTGCACAAGCCTCTTCCAAAGACAGCAGGTGTTCTAGCAGTGAAAGTTGTTGACATAGATAAACCTAACTTAAGGATTTGCCAAGTGACATGTGTATACCATTTCTATTCTCCTTTCACATGTTGGTTGGGTACAGCACAGCTCTATCTAACCATGCACATAGCACTTTTCCTCACCACTGTGAGTCAGTGATTCTATGACATGGCTTTTAAATACGTGTCACCCCAGCTCTAATCTTAGTAAGAGTGTTCCATACAGAGTCCATTTACTCTATCTGCTCAGATTCCATGTGCTTTCTAACCCTTAGTTTGTACAAATGCACTTTGAGCACAGGGTGATCTGAAAGATGAAACTTCTTTTTTTTGAACAGAGGGTGAGGTTGGAACCGGAAAACAGAACTTTTGCAAGTAATGTAACATGGCATGGAGAAGATTGAGCCCATTCACTACTTTGTAGTACAGTGGTTCTCAAACTATAGAAAAGGCCCTCCAGGGAAGTGCAAGATATCTGGGACAGAAGACAGAGTTCTAGAGAAGGAGAAGATAACACAGTAGGCGCTGCCATAGGCCTTTTATTCCCAGCAGCAGAAAATTAGTTTTGAAGCAACTGAAATTACAGTGCCGCCCACGGAAGTCTCAAAGTGGCAGCCGGGGCATTTTCAGAGTGCCTGGCCACAGGAGCTGCTCTCCATCCTGACTCCTTCCCCGGTTGGCTAGTTTCAGGAGGAAGTTTGAGATGCTGTTTCAGTTTTCTTGTAATGCTACTGCTGGGTTTGTGCCCCAGTCAAAAGATCTTTATACAAAGTTGTGGGCTACACAGAGACATCTGTGTGTAAAGATTCAGGGGACTCACATATTGAAGAGATGGCTGCCGCTGCAAGGGTCAGAATTCAATAGAAGTTGACAAGGGGACGAACGGAAGGTAGGTAACTTCCCATCTAACTCCAAACTTGTATTTCATTTGCCCACACATAACGACAAGGTGCATTGGATTTACCTTTCCACCCCCTGGCTGATGCTTCAAATTTTCAGTGGAACCAATCTTGGACTTTATATTCTTCAGGTCTGGCATGGGGACAGGGGCTGTCTGCAAGCGGCTCTTGACAGAAGAAGGGGATTTTGGCGGGGTGCGAACCACTGCCACCTTCTTGGGCTCCCTGTTTGGTGGAGTTGGCAGGGAGGGTGTGCGGGAGCGACTGCCAGGAGTTCCTGGAGATCCAGGGCTGCTGTAGCCACTCCTGTCTCCAGACTTTACCGGTTCACCTGCAATTTGAAATGAAAGTACAATATGTTAAGTAATCATTTAGCTGTTGATTCAAAAGAACCTTCCACACTGTTCAATATGCACGAAGGAAATTAGATCCACCAAGGAAGTAGAGCAGCAATGACTGCCAATTTTGTGCTGGCCACATTTAAAGTTTTGTTGCTGACTTTTAAAGACCTAAACAACTTGGGATCTGGGTACCGGAAGAAACACCTTAATCAGTATAGACCTGCCCAGTTGTTGAAATGCCAAAACGAGACTCTGCTGGCTGGGCCACAACCTGGAGAAATCCACATGGCAGCAAGCAGGGGGAGGACGTTTTCTGTTAGAGCACCTAGCTTATGGAATCATCTCCCCACTGAAATAACGCAGGAACCAACTTTGGTGAGTTTTTAGCACCTTCTGAAAATACACTTGTTCATCCAGGTCTTTGCCACTGAAAACTGTTCAGCTACTGCAGTTGTTGCCATTTTTACTGTTTTTATTGTATTTTAATATGCCGTTTTATTATATCAGCATCTATTGCAGACCACCCTAGAATTTTAATGAAGAGTGATATAAAAACGTTTTAAATAAATAAATAAATAAATAAAAACATATGCTATGTTGCATTTAGTACTGTTGCAACTTTCTTTCCGATGGAAAGATATTTTAAAATATGAATAAAAAAACATTTACCTACCCCCCAAAATGGTAATTTAAATATCAAGGTTTTACAGAATTTATTGTCAATGCCAGCGGACAGGATTTGTTAGGAATGAAGAGGAAATAGTAAACTTTTTTTACCTCTCTCAGATTTTGCTGCTGTGTTAGGGGGCCTTCTTTGCTCCTTTTTGGCAGCTGAAAGAACAAAAACCACCGCTCCGTGAAAAACAATGATAATCTTGCATCCTGGTTGCTAGGGGGGAAAGGAAGGGCAGACTACAGAGATTCCAATGACTATTAGAAAATAAAAGGGAAACAGGGAAAGTGTACTAAGGGGACAGGGAGCACAGGAGCAGGAGCTTAAGCCCTATCTTAACCCTACCTCCAAGACTGGGTAAACCACTCATTGGGTGACTATGGGAGAACACATGTATCTGGGGGTGGGAGAAGCAGCACCAGACCAAGACCTAGGCCTAGGCTCAAGGCTTTCCAGCCGGTGCCACTATCAGCGTCTTGTTGCAATGAGGTGATCCTTAATAATAATAATAATAATTTATTATTTCCCCAGCCACTCTGGGTGGCTTCCAACAAAATATTAAAATACAATAGTCTTTCAAACATTAAAAGCTTCCCTAAACAGGGCTGCCTTCAGATGTCTTCTAAAAGTCTGGTAGTTGTTTTTCTCTCTGACATCTTGTGGGAGAGCGTTCCACAGGGTGGGTGCCACTACCAAGAAGGCCCTCTGCCTGGTTCCCTGTAACTTGGCTGATTCCCTGTAACTTGGTGATTCTTTAAAAAGAAGACAAGCTGGTAGCAAGAAACCACCATCTTAGGTCCCTTTGTCATCATGTCAAGCATTGCATTGAGGGTGATACAAGATGGCAGCCACCTGCTATCCAATCATCCAGTGCTGAGTGAGACTTGGTTCTTAAGCAGGATTATGGTGGCAGTGAGAGGCAGAAATGGACAGGTTGGCTGGTGCTCCCTGCCCTTTATAAAAGCTCATCTTATGATTTTGAGAAAAGGCTACTTCTCATGCTACTTTTATTAAAATTCCTGCCTTGAGGCCTGTGTCAAATGAACTTTTGCGGTGCTAGGCCACATCAACTTCATGCCACTTTCTTCAGAGGCTTTTCGGGTTCTTTTAAAAGGTTTGTCTGCATAGGCACAGTTCTTGGTCACATCTACTGCCAAGAAGAATATACTGAGGAAGGACTTGTACTTTCTCTTGATACACTACAAATAAAAGCAAAACCCGACACCTTTGTATTTGAATGTGAGGGAGCTCAAGTAAACCACAGTTTGTTTGAAGCAATTTCCAGAAAGCAAAAAAAACCAAACTGCTATGCAACACATGATCAACACACACAAAAACCCTCTTCTCTTACCAAGGCTGGGTGGTGTCTTGGGGATGGTGGGAGTTTTGGCAGGGATCCGAGAAGCATTGGCTGGACTCTTCTGATTCTGTCCCATACCAGGACGTGGAGTGGCTATCTTTGTTTTCATATCTGGACCCTGGTGACAGAAATTGAGAAAGGGCAGTATTTATTGACTGCTCATAGACTAAAAAAGCAGAGTAAATTGCTGTGGATTAGGGGATTTCCTCTTTATTTACACATTTTCAACCTAAGCCTGAGAAATGGACTCACAATGCCAATACAAGTTTCAAGACTTTACCATGTGCTTATTATACGTATTTTTATGAGGTTGGGCATACAAAATGCTATTCTATTCAATTCTACCATTTTCTCATTTGATTTCAGAACATAAATAATGAACAACTTATGTAAAGTAAAACTAATGGCTTGTCCAAATGCAAAGTTGATGATGCCTTGTCCCTACTTAGCTCCTAAACATGCAGCTTTTAGAATAGATATCCACAGTAATAACAGTATTACATAATCCCTTTTTCACCCACATTAATTGAATGCACTTATTTCATGAGTCCTTTCTGTTGCATAAAAAATGTGATATCCACATGAAAACATGTGTGACTGTTGAATAAATCTTTCACTGTTACGTCACCACAGCTTGCAGGAGCAGGTGTGATAACATGCAAATACTGTGCCATCTGGAAAACCTGAGCAACAAGCAACATCAAATGTCTTACATATCCATTAACTAAATAAAGCTCAGTAAAACGCTGGCAATGTCCGGGGGCGGGGGGGAGGAATATAAAAAACTAAGAAGAATTTAAGCTGAATAAACAAAGTTGGCTAAAGGGGATGTATATATTTGCACTTTTCATTTCTTCTCTAAATTGCAAAGTTTTATTGTTACCTACCCAGAGATCTGCAGATGTGGGCCAGTTTGTAGACTAAATAAATAACACTCCATCTGAGCACATTAATGTATCAAGCGGTGATTTATTTGACTTCATTTATGTGCAAATTAAACACAATATTAAGTGCATTGTGAGGCTGCTTGTTCAACTATTAGAAAGAAGTATTCTTCGACTTGGCTATAATCACTGGTCAATCCTAGCACAATCTCTTAAAATGGGAGAAAAAGGCAATAGATTGGGGTGGTAGTAGCTAGCCATAACCAAGTAAAGTATATTCATATCTTGGGGTCATTAGGAAACAGTCAGGTAAGTAAAAATTACAAAAAACAACAACCACTTGCATGCAATTTGCTGTAAATGAATGCCCAACTTAATGCAAGGAATCTAAGCAAATGGGAAAGAAATAGATTTACCCCAGCCCCTCACTCCACCAACTTCTTTTTACACCATTTCTTACCTTGCCCCTTTTCTCTTTTGTTCCTGTACTGGTTGGTCGGGATGCGATAGAAGAGATGCATTTAGGGATGGAAGTTGGTACTGAGGACTCAGCAGGGTTGGAGGGTTTTTTCAAAGGGACAGAACTAACAGAGGAGTTTCGTTTGGGAATAATGGAGGATCTACCTTCCAAGATTTTGACAGAGGAAGGTATGGATGTCTTAAAAACATGTGAACAAAATAAAATAAAACCAAAGATCAGCATGAGAAAAAAGTAAAAAATAATCAAAATAAACTGAAAAAGTGTGGTGGTTAAAGTAAAGTCAGAATGACCAATGGCCTTAAGCATGTTAAAAGAAAGTCAAAACCTAACTGAAACTGGCTCTCTATCTCCTGCACTGCGCTGGCATTAAGAAGAATTTCAAAGCATCACATCATCTATCTCACCCTTAGAAGGATAGGGTACCAAACTCACAGGTTTTTGAAGAGTACATCATCAAAGGAGCATCTGAAAGTAAATATGCTCCCACATATTGCATTTATCAGTTCCGTGGTATTGGTTTCCACCATGACATCATCATAAAGAAGAATTCTGGGAGAGATGGTGACATCCAGGAGTGGCTGGCAGGGCAGCACAGATCTGGCTGCCTTACTTTCTTGCCTTCCAAACATGACATGATGTTGCTGCTTATTGAGAGGGGGAGTAGGAGGGCAACGAGAACTTGGTGTAGGAGGAGTGTTCACCTGGCTCTGCTGCCACACCAGTACCTGCTGAGCTCTCAGTTGCCTTGCCCTCTCCCCCTCCCAGTAAGCAGCAGCAACACACTGTGTTTGAAAGCGGGGACAGCAATGCAGCCCCACCTGAGCCAATCTGCCATCCACTACTGGCTCCATCAATCCCTCTGCGCTTGCAACATAACCTAGAAAAACCACAGGTTTTGCCATTTATTGTTTTACTCCCATGGGAATAGCTGGTTAGTGTCTGAACAGGTTTCCATTAAATAAAGAAGTTTGCTTCAGCCTCTTCGCTAGTAAGCCACTTCATTATTACTGCTGAATGAGGAAGAAGGGTTTCTGAACTACAATGATCAATAAACAAGCCAGGCTCTGTGTATGTATTGCTATCTACATGGCCAGCAGACATTTTCCAGGCAATCTGTTTGAGATTTAGGAAGGGGAGAGAGCAGTTAAGTTCCAAAACTTAACCCAGAAACAGAGGCTTGGGAGAACAAGCCTTTAAAAAACCGGCAGAATAAAACTGTAGTCCTTCCAGTCACATGCCTTTTCCAGGCAAGTCTGTGGGCCTGTCAAAGCAATCCTTATTTTCAAGCTTCCTGTGCGTGCTCTGATCCATTTTGTGGCTTGCCTTATTTGCTCTTTAGGCAATTCAGTCTTTTCTTTTTGTGGTTCTGATTAATGAGGCAAACGATCCTTTCAAAGCTCGAGTTATAGGGCAAGGTATGACAGCTGCTGCTTTTGTACAGCAAAAGGGGGCTTTCATTCACTTTATTTTATTTTATTTTATGTTTGTTTGTTTGTTTGTTTGTTTGTTTGTTTGTTTATATTTCTATCCCTCTCACCATTAGCCCTAAGTAGGTTACACTTAAAAAAATACACATAGAAATACACAATAAAATCAAGGTCACATTAAAACATGTTTAAACTAGTGGGTAGGTTTCTCCAAAGCCAGCACCACAGGGAGGAAGAGAGGCTGTCCCTGAAGCAGAAGTTCCACAAACAAGCTTAACACTGATTACCACACAGAAATGCTTCTCAGAGATACTCGGGCTTGAATGAAACTCTACGCAAAAGGAGATGTCAAGTTTTACAGCTGCAACTTCCTGTCACACCTAGTTTAGTTACAGGGAAGAAAGTGGCTTCTCAAGCTTAAAATACATATTTTAAAGGGATTCTAACTTAGAATGCACACTGGGCCTTTGAAAAAAAAAAAAAAGTTGTGGTGATTGGGGAGACAACAAACTGCATTTAAAGGTTTCTAGCAGAAAGCAAAATATTTACTCCATCAGAGATAAAGAAAAATGTTTTAAGGAAGAACCAAGAATGCAGAGAGGATGAACTGCATCCATGTTCATATATGCTTGTCAGCTTACCTTTGGTTTAGGCTCTTCAGTCCCAGTCTCATTTTTATCTTTGTTGTCCATTCGAGCTGATGAGAAAGGAGAATTACTGTTACATTTTGCTGCGTGGAGGGGTGGCAGTTCTAAAATACAGTGGTACCTCTGGTTACGTACTTAATTCGTTCCGGAGGTCCGTTTTTAACCTGAAACTGTTCTTAACCTGAAGCGCCACTTTAGCTAATGGGGCCCCCCGCTGCTGCCGCGCCACCAGAGCACAATTTCTGTTCTCATCCTGAAGCAAAGTTCTTAACCCGAGGTACTATTTCTGGGTTAGCAGAGTCTGTAACCTGAAGCGTATGTAGCCCAAGGTACCACTGTAGCTTCTAGAGAAGGTAACCCACTCAGATTGTAACTGTAGCATGCAACTCTCCTCTGCCCTTGCAGAAACAGTAGTAGGAAAGCTCCATTCCTTATAGAACCATATTTCTGATTTATAAATTTGCTCTCACTCTTTCAGGCTAAGCTTTAATGCAACAAGCAAGCGTGTTGTGCCTCACACCATCTGGGAAAGCAAAATAAAATAAATAAGTATTGCCAGCTGTATTGGGAATGAAAAAATAATAAGAGTTCCCAACTGATTGGTACCACTTTTGGAAGCTCTTCCAAGTGTTTTGTGTGAAGCTCTGTTTGCAGTGTGATGTCAGGAACTGGCAACAGCACTGTGGCCTTTAACCACTGAAGTAACAGATCACTTTTAATAACCCCATAGACTTCTAAATACAAGTAGTCCAATAACTTCTGCCTGTCTGCATTAAGCTATCTGAAAAAAGCAGCAAACCAGTTAAAGCTGAACCATTTAGTTGGTTCCGGTAGTTTCCACACTCCCTATAATGGAACACCCAAGTTTAACAAAACACTTACGTGGGACAAAAAGTATGATTCTGTGTCAAAAGTATTCATGCTCCTTTCTAACAGAATGTTGCTTTGCCTACTTTGGACGAAGTCATACAAAACTCTAAATCAATGTTTATCATTTTGATAGGGGATAAAGAAGCTACTAATTAGTTCCAAACAATACAACCTAGCTAATGGAAAAATCAGCTTAAATCGAAAAGTGTACGCCTTGCTTTCAGCTCACTCTAAGTATAGGGTTCAGTTATAGGCCATAAAGGGCAACATGTAAATTTAGTGAAAGGGTTAAGTTCAGTCCAAGTTAAAAGCTAAAGTTTCAGCTTTCAGTTCAGTTAAAACCAGTTTAAAATAGTTCAATGGGGGGGACGGGACCCTAGGCTTTTAGCTTTAAATTCAGCTTTTATAACACTTACACTCTAATTTTGAATGCTAAATAGATTTTAAGTTAAAACTTAAAACATTAGGGTATTTTAAAAACCCCAATTCAAACTCAGTAAAGGCCTGGTTTGAGCTTATTAAGGATAGCATGTAAACTAAGGGGTAAGGATTGACCTTAGGGCGAGTTGAAAGCTAAGGTTTTTTGTTCAGTTTCAAAATCAGTTAAAATCATTCAGATTTAAAGCACTTTCATTCCCAGGGGGGTTTCAACTGCCCACATCACATATCCGTCAATATCACTACCCAGGGTGCTAAACTGAGATAAATTTCCCTTTCAGATTTTTAGTCATTGGAATTTATTGCAACCCAAGGAGTCTTACCTCCTTGCAGGCCCATGCAGAACTTGTCTGAGGCCTGGGGTGGGAGTCTTGTTATAACTTTATTCTAAGCTCAAACAAAAAAAAAAGCCAGTCCCTGGTGGGGCCCGTCAGTTCCCTTAGCCCAGCAAGGCCTGGGGCTAGTGTACCCAACTGCCCGCACCCCCTCCCCACCCCTTGCAGGGCCCTGCCTCCTTGTGTTTTTCCAACAATGACTTCCTGATCTAATTGGCTGCTGCAGAAGTCGGGGGAAGCTAGACAGGACAATAAGCTTCAGGCAACCCAGAGAGAAAGAATCTGTTTTAGAAGCACAAAAGGAGCACCATCTGGTGAAGATTCTCAGTCCCAGTAACAAAGTGTCAAGGTAACAATGCAAGTTAGGCATTTGTGCAAGTTTAAAACAGAGCAAGCGGGTCAAGCCTCACGATGCTCCACCTCTTCTTTGATTTAAAATTCAAACAACACAAAGCATTCAGGTAGGAAGCCAGCAGGGGTGTGGGGTCTATTTAGAACACTGTACAGAATGCCACATAAACAACTAATGGCTGCCTAGATAGATGTCATGGGTGTTTACTCAGTGCAGGGAGCTCCTGACCTTCAGGGAACAAGCTCATCCCCTTGTGGCAAGGAATCCTCTTTTTAAAAAATCTAACTTGTCCATAAGATGTAGTGTGAGGACACTGTGTACTTAGAATTTCAAAAAGACTTTGATTAAGTAACTCACCAAAGACTCCTGATTAAATGTAGTGGTCATGAAATAAGAGGAGAGACTCTCCTGTTGATTAGTAATTGGCTATGAAAGAGGTTTAGAAAAGGGCTGCCAAAATTATCATGGGACCGGAACAACTCCTATATGAGAAGCTGCATTTGAGGCTTATTCGTACAATAATAGGGCCATCTAATAAAGCTAAGCAGCAGAAATCTGGTCCAATATGATAATTGTCAGCCTCCTATCATTCACTGAGGGAAAAGTTGCAGAAGCAGGGCAACAAAGAGGCTGCTGGCAGGAAGTAGCTTCACACACAATTTTTTTTTTTGTTTTTAAATAGCAAAATCTGAATACATATATAAAAAATGGGGCTGCTACACCCACATTCAGCCAACAGAATCGGCTAAAGGAGAAGAGAGGCTGAAATGTTTGCCTGCAAATCAGCCTGAGAAAGATGGATTGATTGCAACCAACATTCTGTTCACCCCTGCCCTATAGGAAACTGGGGGAGTGCAAAGATTATAATCCTTGACTAGTATATCATGGACACATAAAGACTGGTACTATACTCTGCTGCTGAAGTGCACACATTGTTTTTGTTCTGTTACGAGAAAGTTGGTATCTTTTGTTGTGTATCTATGTCACTCTGGGTTGCCTTGGGCAATATAAAGCAAATAAATAAATAAATATGCTTACTGATGATTACATTTCCCATATTTGCATGGACATCTGCGTGACACTTTTCTGAACAAACGAAGCTTTATAACGAAAGATTCTAGGTACAGCCTGTAATCATGCTACCCACCCTCCCTGGTTCTTGATAGAATTTTGTAGACAACTGTCCATAGCTGCCAGAACACAATAAATTGCAGGGTGAGCATGAGGGCCCACTTCTCAGCTACCCCAAGCTGAAGTGATAAGCTTGATGCAGAAGAATTCCATAAGGCCATGAGTCACTGAGTTTCTTGCAAAGAGCAGTTTGTCATAGAATGACTTGACATTAGAATCACCAATGCTTAGTCCAGACGGAGTGAGCTCCCATTGCTTTGTCCCAGCTCCTGCTAATCTAGCAGTTCAAAAGCATATCAGCACGAGTAAATAAATAGGTACTGCTGAGGCAGGAAGATAAACGGCGTTTCTGTGTGCTCTGGTTTCCATCATGGTGTCCTGTTGCGCCAGAAGCAGTTTAACCATGCTGGCCACATGACCCAGACAAACGCCGGATGCCTTGGCCTGAAAGCAGAGATGAGCACCACACGCCATAGTCAAATTCGACTGGACTTAACCATCCAAGGATCCTTCACCTAACTTTATACCTACATATCTTTTTCTTTTCCAGAGGCTTCCTTTTCAATGGCTTAGCAAATTCCTCATTCTAGCAGACTCTGACAGTTAATTGTAGCCAGCACCTCCCTCTTTACTACAAATTGAAGCTTCTGGAGTTATGAACCTTGTCATCTGATCAGCCTATGCAAAGCATTTTCACACATTCATCAACTGTTCAGGTTTGGACAGAATATTTAAGTATCATTTGGATTGTTATGGGCCTTGGGTCTCTTCTTCTTGAGCTTTGGTTCTACTGATTTTCTCCCCTTTCAGTTCTAATGCTCTGACAGCTGACAGAAAGGCCACCTCCTCTAACACAGCCAGATGTTTCAATGCCAAGGAAGCTCACAGTTAAGTTCTTTGAGTTAAGATTCCTTCAGAGAAACTAAACGACAGCCCAGCAAACTGTTAGTGGATGTAGCACAGGCTTTCTCCCATATGAGCGCTTTGAGCTGATTTACAAAGTCCATCCAAGATCTTTTTGCACAATTTGGGCAGTTCTGGCAGGATTCAACAACATGCCCCGCTCTATTGAATATTAGACAATGGTCATGCTCAACTGACAATAGGATCTTTCTTCCAAAGAGATGGTGCATTAACAACCCCCATGAGCCATTTATGACTAGCAGTGTTCACTGGAATCCATATAATAATATAATAATAATTTATTATTTATACTCCGCCCATCTGGCTAGGTTTCCCCAAACCATGAAGATCAGGTTACCCTTCGTGAAGGGATTTCAACATTCCAATTTACTCTACTACAAATTCTGAAAAGCTGGAGGGGAAAAAAGAAATACCAGTGCTAATTGTTTCACCTTCTTGCCTACTGTGCAAGATGCAAAAATATTACCGTATTTTTCATCCCATAGGACACTCCGTCCCATAGGACGCACCTAGTTTTTTGGGGGGGAAATAAAGGAAAATTTTTCCCCTTTATTTCCCACCCAAAACCAGGTCAGGGAAACCAAACCAGGTCGGGGAACAGTGGTATGGCGGCGCTCCGCCTCCCCGCTGTCCCCCGAGCTTGTGGGGCTGGCACTGGGGAGAAGCGCGCTTCTCCCCAGCGCCAGCCTCCAAACCAGGTCGAGGAACAGCGGGATGGTGGCGCTGCGCCTCCCCGCTGTCCCCCGAACTTGTGGGGCTGGCCGATGTCTGCCGGCGCGAGGCACTCTGCTCCAGCACGCCAGCACTCCATGCAGCAGGTCGGCGATCCGCGGCCTAGGGGCGCCTGCGGGACCTCCCGCAGGGCTCCCCAGGCTGGCCGATGTCTGCCCGAAGCGCGGTGCGCTCTGCTTCAGCGCGCCCCGCGCTCCATGCAGCAGGCTGCTATCCGCAGCCTAGGGAGCCCTGCGGGAACTCCCACGGGCTCCCCAGGCTTGCTGATAGCTTCCTGAAGCCTGGAGAGCAAGAGGGGTCGGTGCGCACCGACCCCTCTCGCTCTCCAAGCTTCAGCAAAAGCCTGTATTCGCCCCATAGGATGCACACAGATTTCCCCTTCATTTTTGGAGGGGAAAAAGTGCGTCCTATAGGGCGAAAAATACGGTAAGTTTTTCAAGCAGAGGAGGAAGACTCATGCCTCCTTATTGCAGAAGTTACAAAAGGTCCCAACTGTGATGTCAATATCTGTTATTTAGGAAACTCTTTGGTCCCGCCCCCCCCAAAAAACCCACATATGAAACTATGAAGAGGCAATGTAGAAAGGGATGTTCTTAAAGAAGATACATACCGTATTTTTTGCTCTATAAGACTCACTTTTTCCCTCCTAAAAAGTAAGGGGTGTGTGCGTCTTATGGAGCAAATGCAGGCTGCACAGCTATCCCGGAAGCCAGAACAGCAAGCAGGATCACTGCTTTCGCTGCACAGCGATCCCTCTTGCTGTTCTGGCTTCTGGGATTCAGAATATTTTTTTTCTTGTTTTCATCCTCCAAAAACTAGGTGTGTCTTACGGTCTGGTGCGTCTTATAGAGCGAAAAATACGGTACATGTATTTTCTATTCACGCAGTTCCTCAAAAAAATAGGAATAGCTTGAGATGCCTGAAATCATGCAAAATTTCATACAGCAAATTGAACATTTTTTTGAAGTTAATGTAAATGTATTTGTAAAGGAAGTAGCCCCCCTTTATTATGGAAGGACCATTGTTAAGCATTTTCTCCTGCCTATAGGCCACATCATCTATCACCTTTAGCTGACACCCTATACAAAGGGTAGCCAACATGATCACCCTCAGCTGTTGTGGATAACAATGCCCATTAGTCTCAGCCAGTGTGATCAATAGTCAAGGATGCTGAGAGTTGTAGTCAACAACATCTTGAGGACACCACATTGGCTACCCCTACCCTACTTTATTTCTCTTGGATGCAGGTGAGCAAAAAATAATAAAACAAAACCCCTTACACCCTTTGGAAGTTTTTACACATGAGGCTTGATTGTACATTTACATGTGCACTGTGCAGCATTTGTGCCATGTGTAAATGTAGTTAATGGATGGGTAGAATACAGAATGGAAAGGGAGAGAAAATTATAGACAGGGTATGTTTCACATTAGCATTAAACAGATTTAAGCCAATGCCAGCATAAGTGAAACATTCTTTGTTTAATACACACCACAGTGATCTCTGACAGCTATTAGATAAGCTAGAATGGGAATGCATGATGAGAATCAGAGACTTGAAAGAATGATGAGACACAGCTTATATAATAAGTTTCTGATCAAGGCCAAGATCAGTTAGCTCCATTCTTGCTTTACCTATATCTTATCTCAGTGTTGGCCAAACTTGGGTCTTCAGCTGTTTTTGGACTACAACTCCCATCATCCCTAGCTAACAGGACCAGTGGTTAGGGATGATGGGCATTGTAGTCCCCAAACAGCTGGAGGGTCAAGTTTGGCCATCACTGTCTTATCTAATTGGTTATAAGACCTGCCAGTGGAGGATCTCAGATGAAGTGAAAAGAGCTAAAATTCCACAAAATATAAATTGGGGTGGCGATTGGTGAGAAGCAGCAGCAGCATCCATGCAGGATAAGCATGCAGCCATTGTATTAATGGATTGTACTCACACCCCAAGTCCCAATGAAGCAGACAGCCATGGATGTAGAGCAGTGCCACACAAACATTTTTGTTTCCTGTCAACTTATCAGGGAAACTGCCGGAGCAGCAGGATTCAGGGAGAGATGTGCAAAATCATTTGTGGTTTTAGCAGCCTTGCTTTCTTTAAGCAGGACAACTGAGCAACACACGCACATGCACACACCTTTCAGAAGTGGCAATCGACTGCTTTGTTTCTCTGGTGTACAATAGGCAGCTTTTTTTCCAGAAGCCTTTTGCAGTTCTGAGGCCTGCACAGTTTCCAATGTCTCCCCTTCCAGGGAGATGCTCTCCCCTGAAAGCTTGCCTACTTCTAGTACACCTTCCAAAGTTTTGCTCTCCTTCGGGACATTAGCTTCAACCTCAACTTGGTAAATATGCTCAGAGGGGTCCAATTCTGCAACCATGGCACACCTTTCATCTTCTGATACGAATGGCCTTCTCTCATCCAGACTATCCTGCTGAGTTCTTTCATCAGTGTCTCTGTCTTCAACCTTTATCTGTCCAAATGCAACTTCTTTCAAATCACCTCTGAAGTAGAGTGAGCCATCAGCTGTTGGAAAATATGCCGTGTGAGCAATTCCCACCGGCTTGCTTATCGAAATCAGCAGGGAATCTCTCAAAAGTCCCACCCCTTCCAGCATTTTTAGGCTGGCTGGTCCCAATCCTGCACCAACTTTTTTAGGTACTGATGTTGTAGGCACACCAATAATCACTTTCTCAATAAGATCCTGCAACTGATTATGAATTCTGAAGACAGCCTTCTCCTGGCTTCTTTCAGCTGTGTGGAACTCCATGTATCCATCTGGCATCTTTAGCATAGTGGCTACATAAAAGGGTTCCACACAATCTGCTTGTTGGGCTTTATCTGTCTGTGCAGATTCAATTTCATTGCCTAGTGATGCAGAGATTCTCCCCCCCCCCCCAAAAAAAAATCTCTAGCCCATCAATGATCTCCCACAAAGGGAGTAAATTATAGGAAATGTGAGGGTAGCTATAATATGCCTTGGATGATTTCATAGGTGCTCAGATATACAAGCTATTTTGGATTTTGAGTGATTTCATTCTTAACCCATTTGCAATGTGTTCTTAAATTCTTGGGTTCCACTCTCCCCAGCAATACTGAGGTCTGCAGTTCTATTAAAGTATACAAGAAGGGCATTAAGCACAGTAAGAAGTTAGCATGCTTATATCAATACAAAGCCATTTTTGGAACACTACTAAATTAATTATAAATATTTGAGAGAATATAATTAAAAGAGCAAAACTGAATACCACATCACCATTTGCTATAGTCAACTCTACTTTGGTTAGCCTAAAAGTAGTCCTCAGAACTCCTAATCTGTTTGAGATCACAATATTGTACGTCTCAAATGTGAGTTATGATAATGAAACACAAACACAAGCATTTAACTTATAAAATCCATCAAATAATGCAAAATAATAGAAGCTGATAATGGATGTATAAAAAAATACACTTCTATTATCAAAACAGTGCTCTTCCCATTTTCAAGAGTTACTTCAACCAGTTTGTTGAAGTAATTCAAAAATTAGATCTGTAGGTTAATTACCTGAAAACTTTCATTTTCATTTTCATAACATCTATCATTATTCTGTAATCTTATTCACTCATGGTCTTTATCACTATAGTACTAAATGTATTTCTCTTATTTTGGGTTATAAAAGGCATGCTAAAAAAAAAAAAGTTCACAGCTTTAGGGCCACGATGGCAGTGTTCCAGCACACTCAATCACCACCTTCCACTCCCTTTCCTGTACTTTTTACTAGTTCTCTACTATCTTTTTTGAGGCATGTTGCTAAAATTCTAAAACAGTAGTGAAGGTGAATGGCCTCCACAATAAACAATGGTTTAACAATGATTTGTTCTATGCATTAGCCTCAAGCTAATGACTCTCCCTTCCTCTCCAGTTTGGCTGTGAGGAGGAGACAGGGAGCTTTGACTTTTGATTTCAATTAATCACAGTCGAACACTGCATCCCAAACCTTAACTGTATTTTATCTTAACTTTAATTAGTTGACAAAAGCCAGCATCACAGACTATTGTTTGAAGTATGCTGGTTTCAACTGAAAAGAATTAACAAACCACAATTTGTGTTGATTTGAACATATTGCTTAACTGCAGTCAGTTCAAATGGACAGAAAAAAAATTAAACCTCCTAACCACGCTAGAGGAGTGTGAAAACCCAAGACTTGCTGTAGCTCATTTCCCTAATGAAAAACAATGGTTTATGGTACTTCCCAAACAAGACCAATCACTGATTTAATAATGGGTATTACAGCATTGTCTGTACTGTAATAAGTTCCGTTAATTTCCTTAATAAAACAGTGCAGCACAAAAGATGCTGGAAGTATAAGGATTCCAAGATGCTTTCCTTCATGGTAACAGCAATCGCAGAACCCAGCAAAAATGAAAATACAGTGGTACCTCGGGTTAAGTACTTAATTCGTTCTGGAGGTCCGTACTTAACCTGAAACTGTTCTTAACCTGAGGTGCCACTTTAGCTAATGGGGCCTCCTGCTGCCGCCGCGCCGCCGGAGCACGATTTCTGTTCTCATCATAAAGCAAAGTTCTTAACCTGAAGCACTATTTCTGGGTTAGCGGAGTCTGTAACCTGAAGCGTATGTAACCCAAGGTACCACTGTAGGGGATTCAACCATAAAAATAAAAGCTAATATTTGTGGGCTATAAAAAAGGATGCAGCACACCAAATATTATTTCTATCTGATTGTAACTTCCATCCCGACCCAGCAGTCTGGAGCTTAGTATTTTAAGTTCTGCAGAGCAACAATACTGTACTTACCTTGAGCATCCCCCGCAGCATGGTCTTCAAGGCTAGAAGTAGAGCCTAAGTCTGCTTCCTCAGCTACATTTTTTCAAGTCGAGGATGGGAAAATGGTTTCAACATTAAAAATGGTACAAGACAAATGCCTCTAACCTTCTTACCAGTTTTAATTAATTTTTTAATATCAGAGGAACAAAACATATTGAACCTGAATGGCAGCACATTTAAATGAAAATGGGATGAAATGGATAGAAACATCCCCTCTCAAACAAATCAGCACTGATCTACTCTTGAGCCATATTCAGCAGTGAATTATGTCCAGAGCTTGGAGAAGGATGTAGTAAAATTGACAGCTTTTATAAAATAGAATCTTACTAAAAAATAAACGAATAAATAAAATAAATCTGACCACATATATTTCAATGAATTTATTTTGAAGTTTCTCAAAAGTGAGAGCATCCTTCCCTACAAATTGTTAACAGCCTGATACTATGCAGACCTAGGTATGGCTATACCCATTTAGAACAATGGGAGCAAGCATATCTAGGAGGTACAAGCAGCTTCTTGATTTTTTTCCTTCAACCTCAGATTTAGTGCATGCCTTCACAAAGTCATAGAGCAGAGTGTAGCACACCTATAGAACTGGTCAATCCCCCCACTCCCAAATTCCCTTGGGGGTGCTCTTTAAGTCCCAAGTCCCTGCTTCCTCCATAAGGTATGATTAAGATTGATCTGCCCATTTATCTTGGTTTTTAATGGAACACATTTTACAAGGCTCAGTTATTTGTTTCATAACTTGAGAACTGTCTCCAGGGGCTGTTTTTTACAATATTGTTATGAGCTTGAACTGCCTTGATTATTTTTATTGAGTCTATCATTATTGCTGCTGCCTACAGTGTCACTTGATGGGGTTAGGGATTTGTCAAATGAACATTAATCTTCCCTAGTCACTGGGGATATTTTCCTTAATGGTCTGAAAATCTCTCTCCTCCCAACCAGCCTGTGGAATATGACACAAATCAGAAGAGCAGAGAAACTGCTTATAATGGGTCTGAATTCAGAGAGAATGCTGCAAATTTAGTTAAATTGAAATCATCAAATGGGGAGAAATTAAAGGGATTTATAGGGGCATAAGTAGTTATTCTTTTTAGAAAACTGATGAAGGATCACTGCTTTTCCTGTTGTAGCAGTCAACTGCTTCCAGGCCACTTCTATATTTGTGAATGGAAAGACAAGTTGTTTGCTTGTAACTAATGTTTGAGTGGTCTTCTGTGCAATCAGAACATATGGATTCTGCATCTGCACAAAGCAACATCTCAGAAATGTCTAGCGTTTTAGAAATTCAGGAGCTCACACTGGCTTTCTCCCCTTGAGTGGGCAGACCCTGCATGATGCTTATGCCTCAAGGGACAAGCAAGTGCTATCCCACTCATGAAGTAATTTGACTTTTTATTCGTGGGCTCCACAGTCACATATATGGAGATTACCAAGATGAACTACCCGAAGGTGGATGGAGGCAGCTCAATTGAATCAGTTATGTAGGCTGACTCTCCTAAGGGTTGTATTTGCCCTGGCCCTGATATAGCTAGCATGGTCTGTGATAAAAGTTGATGAAGTAGATCAGGTAGCTGATTGGCAGAGCTCTGGCAAAGGTGTAGCCTATGAAAGTGCTGCTGAATTGTGACTTGTCCCTTCAATAGGGGAGTGCAAACGGGCCAAGGTGTCAGCATGAAAGAGAGATAAAAAACCACGTCTCCTAAACTGGCAAGTCAATTCAACAGTGTATGTCGGCCAAAAATAAAGATATTGAGAAAAAATAGGCATGCCCTTTCAAAGACTCTGTTAGCATATGAAAGTGGTACCGATCAACACTAAAGGATGTCCAAACAGAAAGCCAAAGTATTTTTTCCCAGATATAGGGAGGGTGGAACAAAAAGCAGCTTCATGATCATCTTTAGACCACTTGCTGATATCAAAGGCCTATAAAAGCACACTGTCCGATGAGGCATTTAGATGAGAGGCTCTGTTCCTGCATGCTTACCTAGTGTGCACAAAACTACTTTGCGTATCTCACCTAGTTAATGCCAGCCCTAGGGTAGGGTGAATCAGGAGAAAACCTGGAACTTAGCAGTCACTGAACAAAGGAAAGGAATGATAATGTGTACAAAGAAGTGGTTGTATCCAACTAAATTTTACTCTTAGATGGCCCACTGGGTAATACTCAATGTTAGTCCTACTCAGAGTTGATTCACTCATTTCAGTGGGTCTATTTTGAGTAGGACTTAGGTCTATTAATTTCAATGGGCTGCGTTCAACTAAGTCAGTTATGTCCAATAGTTTCTATGGGTCTACTCTGACACTGAATGTAACCACAAAACTGAACTACTGTCTGGATTAATTTTGAGAGAAAAGTAAGAAAAAAACCCGCCCAAAATCTCAAAAGGATAATATGTTCTATGATGCTGTTCAGGCAACAACCAAAAACAACAACAACTGGACAGGAACTTGCCTATCTCTTGAGAGTCATTCATAGCTTAAGATCCACTCATTTAAGAAAAGAGAAAAGTGCTTTCTGAAGCACTATTTTATTTTATTTTTTGAGATGTTGCTCCCTACAGGTACATAACCCACTTGTGTGACTGCAAAGAAGAACAAACATTACAGACACATTATAAGTATATAGTGTTCTCTCATTTCAGAAATGAAACTCTGTAGTCCAACCCTGTACTTTTTCTTACTCAGGGAAGCAGAGAATGCATAACAGTAAATGGTATGGAGACCCTGCTGTAGCAATGGTGCTCAAATTAAGCAAGTGTGCACCTGATCATTTGGAGCCTCATGTAAACTGACTCAGAGCTTTAGAAAGTAAGAGGGGGATGTAACTATGATACATGCATATACACAAACAGAATACACAAATTTTGCATCAGTTATAAATGATGCACACATGTGTAAATATTGAGATCTCCCCTTAAAACACAGCAAAAGATGTCTTCCCACATGGATCTTTAATAGTGTAATTTATAGGGGTGTGTGCTATTAATAACTAATGCAAAGCACATATATACTAAACATACCAGGAAGGAATTTGGTCATGTGTGAAGAGGCCCTATTTCAATCTTTTCTTCATACCATTTTCTTCCTAAGAGGCCTCACCTGTATTTCCTTCAGGTATCTCTGCATGCTGGCGAGTCGCATTTCGATTCTCATGCACTCTCTCCTCCACTAATGGAGCAGTGGCATCTGAAACAAAAAGGCAAAATGAAGCAACTGTCACTTTAAAAGCACTGCAAAAGAAAATTCTTCAGATATTAGCTACTTTAAGAAAATGAAATAATAGCCGGCAACTCAAAGGCAGTCATGTACCATGTTTTCTTCAGATGAGATGAGGATAGGGTTTGCATCCAGAAACAAGAGCCAATTAAACCTAAAAGGTTTGGGATATAAATCTGCATACTAATTACTGCTCAAAGCCACACAAACTGCAAGCTTGAAAAGGAATTTGAACCTGAAGCTCACATCCAAGATCCTTGTTCAATTCATTCCACCTCCTTGAAGATAAAATGTGTAGTTCTCCTCACCCCCATGTTTACTTGTCAGCTCATGGAGTCATCCAGAGGTTTGTAGGTGGCAGACTTTCATGGATTCATTTTTGCTTCTTCTAGATCAAGGGAATACCTAAGTTGAGCCCTGGCACATGTGGCATAGGTTTGTGTTTATGGGTGATCAAAATAGGAAAGTGGCCATACAAAGAACAGAGGGTTCTCCACTAAGTCTGATGGCAGAAATATGAAACATGACACCAGAAACTTCCCAAGCATGTGCAGTGTCTGTTTTCTTGGGTAGGTCAGTGGTGTTAAAGGCCTGGACTTACCACTCATGGCAAGTTACAGAGTATACAATTTATGCTCCACTACCAACTCCTTAACCCACATTTTTCACTCAAGCAAAGCAAGAGACAGAACATAGACAGGACAAACAATGAGACAGACAATGGGAGTACAATGGGAGATTTATTTATTTTTTTACTTTTACCTCCATTTTTTTCTGAGAGAAGAGATCTAGGGACAGCAAAGTTGACTTGACTGGCTTATTTATTAAATTTATATCCTGCCCTTGCTCCCAAAGAAGCCCAGAGTAACAAGTGATAAACTATTATTATGTTAGCTATTTTGGCCCTTTTCAAAGGACTGGCAGATCCATTGTCCTTCAGCTAAAGATCTTCAGAGTGAATAATTTTTATAAGATCTTCTCCCTTTTTTTTGTTGATTTCCCTAACGCTACTGATGCCAGGAGCTCAAAATGTCTGATATCCTTCAAAATATTTCTGTTTGATGATGTTCTAAGGATATGGTTACAAATAAATTTGCTTCAGTTTTGTGTATTGTTCAATCTTTTGATATTTGTTGCCAAAATTGTGTGCATTTGGTTGTCACCGAAAGAACATTTAGAAAATTGCTTACCTTATGGATTTAATGATTCTTCAAGATGCCCAATCTAAAAGATTCTACTTGCCAGGTTTCACAGATTACAGTGTTACCAAAAAATAATATCTAATGGAACAAGTAGTTATAAGTGTAGAACACTTTTGATATCTGAATCTTCAAGAGCATTTCCAGCCCAAAAGAGAAAAAATATTTAATTCTCCCTCTCTCCCACAAAAAACGCCACCAAGTTTCATTTCAATATTTTTGAAATGTAGCTTTAAATATACCAATAAGGACATGCATACACTACAGGTTACCTTAAGTCCTTCTGGCCAAGAGTTGACTCGCATTATTTTCATGGCTTTCCCCCTCTATCAACTTTTGTCATCTACATTTTGCCTACTCCCAAATCAGGTTGAGTAACTCGGCCATCCTCACCTAAGACTTTCCCATTGCACTGGATTCAGGACAATCTTATGCTACAAATGTGCTCAGTTTAGACAAGGAACAGAAGAGAGAACAATAACTTCACTCAAGGGTGCAATTTTGCATATATTTTGATAAGATAAAGGGCTTAACAGGCAAATGTGGCACAATTAGAGAGAGAGAAATTGGGATTCTGCCACATGACTAACTTTTAAATTATAGTGTGGAAATTTATCCCACTTCAAACAGTATATTCTACTCTTAACCATGCAAGTGGGTTTTAACCTACCCATCCACTCACCTGTGGTGTGCAAGAATGATTTCTAGATTATAATGTATTAATGAACAATATTTCTTTCAGCTCATAAATGACTAGCACATCATCAGTTTTTTGCAGTATGTAAGACAGTAGTCTAGTTAAGCTTGCATACAATACAAATCCCTATTATGCTTAGAAATTTACAGTGTAGATGCTGTAGGAAGACCAGAGTTCGTGAAATCAAGTTCAGTTTGGCAATGACTGTAGTATAGATAGAGCCTTAAGTAGTATAGATAGAGCCTTAAGAGAAAGTGGCTACAGTCTGAATTTTCTTCAGTGGGCTGGAAAGGGCCTTCCTGCTGACAAAGTTTTTCTGTTTAATTTCTTACTGGATAATAATTGTTAAAAGAATGTCAAAATCTAACACCCTATCAAGGACCTTGAATATATTATTTGGCTGAGTGTAGACGTGCTGGATTTGAGGAAGTAGGAATGCAGTTTATCCTGTGTATAGTGATTCTTGTGTCAGCAACTGTCAAAACTAAATACAGATAATTTAAAATTGGAAGCAACAATGAAAGAAAGTCTCTGCTTATTTGGGAGGGAAACATATTGGTGCACTTCTAAAAAATAAAGTGCTGACTGCTGTGAATTTCAAAGTAACGAGACAAAGAGTTCCCACCTTCCACAGTTGGGGTACTCTTAGCATCAGAAGCCTCAGACTCTGGTTCATCAGATCCATCATCAACTGGTATCTGGAGGGGAGAGCCTGGAAATACACACATTCAGCACTCAGCAAAAGGAGATCAGTTTTGGAGTATGGACTGTCCTTGGTGCAAAATGTGCTTGAATTCATCTTCATAATGCAAAGAGTGTGCATGCATATGTGACCGTCAGCTAGCAGAAATATCAGGCATTAGCAAGAAAAGGCAGGACTAGAAAACGCCAAATTCAAGTTTCAGTGGCAGCATCAAAGCAACTAAAGTGAAACTGTTAAAAGCAACTGATCAGTGAGGTGCATCAACTGACAACAAAAACGAAAGCAAAAAATCAAGAAGTCTAAAGATGACAGATTTTTTCCCCTTTTACTACTAGGTTCAGATCATTACTACTACCATTTTAAGAATTTTGCGGGCCATGCCTTGCTTTGCATGAAAGTGCACTTCCAAATACTAGAGCATGACAGTAATAAGGGGTTCTTTATATAAGAAAGCAAACAAAAAGTGTTCAGAGCAATTTATTCTGTAAAGGTAAATAAGTCATTCATCACCACAGTTGGTCACTGTTGTCAGGAATTTGCCAATTCCCACTTTTTAGAATCAAGAGGTAGATATCTACTTTTTGTAATAGGGCGTCCAGAAGAGCAGGAATCCACAACCTCCTACAATTTATGCATAAAGGACTTAGTGACAAAAATGAGCTTGAATTGTGGCAGCATTTGGGGACATAATTCTCTATTTTCTTCAGGATCTGAGCCTCTTTAGTCTCCCAAAAGATGTTACTGGCTGAAGAGGGAAAGAATGTGGGGTGTTCTTAGATATGTGGGCTTGGGCAACATGCAGAGTGTCTACTGAGAAGAATTTGAGAAAGTGTTACTGTGGACCTCATTTTTTTAGTCTCTCTGCTGACATAACAGACTTTTCAGAACTTTTATCAATTCCTTTATACCTGTACGATATAAAGATGACTTGATTTTCTCCCCTGAATCAGGAGGCAACCCTAATGACTAAACGTTGTAAATGGACAAGAATCATGAGCCAGGAAGTAGACAAAGGCAGGCTGCGGTTACAACGAAAAGTTACTCTAGACCCCACACCATAATTCTAAGTCCAAGAGAATCAAAACTGCACAGAGAGAAAATGGAAGTTGCTTACCTGCAGCTAAGTGCTTTCCAAGTGGCTCTGGACAATCACAATAAATTGGTGACGTGCATACAAATCACAACAGCATGGAAATATTTGTAGTGGTGCATGTGGTTTGGGAGGTAATGCCAAGAGCCTATACATGGAGGCAAAGTCAGCTGAAGAGGAAGTCAATGGGTACTTTATTTATATGTGCAAATGGTGGAAGAAGAAGGGACTGCAAGAATATCCTCACTTTCTCCTCCTATTTGCACTAACAACTAAATAGTTCCATTAAGGGAGATCATTAAGAAGTTTCTGTATGGAACAGAAGGAAAGCTCCCACATACTGCATATTTCTCCAAGTGAAAAGGTCAAGGATTTGATATTTCAAAATGAAGTGGATTGAAAACAACAAGGTAGTCCTGAAGTTAAGCCAAAATGCAGCCTGAGCTCTGATTAACTGTGAGGTTAATAGTCCTGATGCTATGGAGACATCACAGCCTGAAGGCACCTCATGGCAGCAACTGATCGACTCTATGTCTAGTCAGTGCCTGTGTGGGAGCCTCCCTGGCAACACCATCTTGAGTTCTATTGAAGAGGACAGATAAACGTACTAATTATGTCATATCTGTCATATCTATCTACTGCTCTTTGGGAGATTAAAAAGGTAACTACATAAGGGCACAGTGGATATGTGAAGGGTAACTTCCTTCTGTATGAGCCTGACTACACACAAAGGTCCTCTACAGAGACCTTTCATTGCTTTCAAACAGACATTTGGTTTGAAGGAGTCAGTAGGCTTTTTCTTGTGTCAGGCCCAGACTTTGGAACACCCCGGCTAAGAAAGTTATTTCTGTTTCCTGCTTGCTGGCCTTCCACCACGGAATTAAGAATTCATGCTTAGGAAGACTTTATGGCTTTTGAGGGGGTACTGTATAGCTTGGTCTTGCCATAATTGGTATGTAATCCTTCTGCTCATGTTATATATTTTACTGCTACTGCTGTTAAAAGTTTTATTTGCTGGCTAGGTATCTTTGCTGTTTTTATTGCATCTTATTATTTCTGTTGTAAGTAGAGACAAGGCAGGTTGTTATTCTTCCTAGGCATCAACAGGAACATCCCCCACAATTGGGATCTCAGCTGTATTTCTCTGTTGGGTGCTCTTTTTTTTTTTTTAACGAAAAAGCTTGGCACTGAGTATACAACAGTGCACACTGTTTTTGAAGAGGCTCATTTAAGCAACTCTAAAACTGGCTTGAGCTAGCTATAAACTAATTTCTGCTGCTGCTCCTCACACTAGTCAGAGATAAAGTCTTCAGCAGCAAATAATCCCACAGTACCCCACGGTAAACATTTTCTAGCAGGTGCTGTAACCAACTCTCACAGATAAGAACTTTCCTGTGGTATTATTACTGATTTCATAAGGGGTAAAGGACAGAATAGTCATCAGACTTTTGCTGCCATGTCCCATAACAAATCAGTCTGGAAAGATCCTGCCATGAGTATAAAAATCAAGGCTGAGCCAAGCCTCCCAAATATGTTTAATACTGTGTCCAACCATTTCTCTGTGTGTTTTCACCAGGAAATCCACTGCTATACTCCTTATGCCTTGTTCCTCCTCATATCCTAGATCGTGTCATTAGGTCTGCCTCATCCCGAGTGGCAAACTCACTCCTTAGTTATCACCACAATGTTTCAAGGACTTTCCATTATACAAAGAACATTGCTTTTTAAGTTTTGCACTGTTATGAGAACCATAGGTCTCTGGGCTGACTGTGTGAGCTAAGCTCCAGACACTAGAGCACTGTCTTATTACAAAGAGTTGAGGCCATCTGAGGCAAATGGGGGCTGCCCTCAGAGGTCTAGCAATCCATAGATAATTGTTACTGTCACAAACTCAGCTGAGAGGGGGAGATGCAGTTTGTTAAGTTACAGGTTTTTGTCCAAGATTAAGAGGCTGCAATTATCCCATGTTCTTCACCAGAGTTGACACTGGGAGGGATTGTGTGTGTGAGAGAGGGAGAGTATGTGTGGGTGCGAGAATTAATGAGAAAGGGGGGGTGGACGTCTCAGACTCTCTTTGCATTTAACATGGCTTGCTTGAGGAGGAAATAAGCACTATAGAAGGCAGCAGGGATCAAGCTCAAATAGGAAAAAGGAATTCTATAATCTGGTATCTGCAACTCAGAATGCCTCCATGAACACTCTTGATGTTTCAACTTGTTGCACAGATGATACTCCAAGAAATTATCTCCAAATGATCACAAGGATAGGGAATTAATAACTAATCTACTTACTTCGCCAAACCTTTATTAGGCATTACAAATATAGACCATCATAAAACATCCATATATAAAAATTTAAAATATAAACAAAAAAACAGCCATGTAAAAATATGTAATAATGAGGATTTTCATTGGAGTTTCTTCCCACTAAATAGTGCCATTCACCACTCTAAGAAATACTATTGATAATAACTAATCATCTCCTGGGGAAATGATTAAAGCCTGGCAACAGTTAAAAGCAAAGTTGAAAAATAAACCACTGAGGTGGATCCCAAGCTGGTGCACACAAATCAAGCAAGATGCACACGTAGTTCAATCCTGATTTTTGTGGCCACATCTTTGCCTGCTGCACACCTGACATCACATATGACATCAGGTGTGGGGCAGGTGGACATAGTTTGGGAAAACAGCCTGGCAGCCTAAATGGGGAAACTCAACCCTGTTCTAGAACTTCCACAGCAATTAAAAGGAATTAGCCATTCCGGACAACTTCACCCCAGCAGATCTCACTTGTATGTGTGGGTCCTGGGTTAAAGGGAGGACTCATAGTTTAGTGGGGTGCAGCATATGCTGTGTATGTAAATGGTCCCTTGGGACCACAGAGAGCTGCAGTAGACAATGCTGGGCTAGTTAGACCAGTGGTCTGTCAGTGTACGGCAGTTGCACATGTGCCATAGACAATGCTACAGTGAAATGGTACTGAAAACAGGTGGTTATGGGGAAATGATTTCCACAAGCAGATTACATTATACCTATTAAATAAATACTACCTTAAAGTTTTGCTTTTGGAATTCCTTGGAGCATCTGGCTGGCAACTGACAGAATACTGAACCTCAATTCTTATACTACTATGTTTATAGGTATCTCTGGCACTTGATGCCAATTTGCACCTTGCTTCTGGGTACACAAACTGGTTGGTTTAAGATTGTACTCTGTTATCCATCCAGTATGAAATGTACTTGGATGCTCCCACTAATCTGAGTTAAGCTTACTTCCAAGCATGCACAATACCACTTTTGATGTGCTATGGGACGGTGGCTTGATCAACTTTGTTCAGTGATGAGTACTGGCACTGATACTCCTTGAAGCTTTCAATAACCAGTATTACAGATAACACTGAAGAAAATAATGCAACACCTGAATGCACACTAAGAAGAGGTAACCCCTGATATCTAGGGAGGGGATGCTAGAACTATTCTTCAAGGTTTCAGAAAAATGACAACTACATTGGTTTTTTAAAAAGTCCACAGAGAAAATCTGGTGTTTTGTAACTGTAGAATACATCGCTTCACATAGTAAGTGAAGTCTATGAGAAATAGTTTTCCAAATTCTGAAATACACACAAATACATACATGCACAGAGATATACATTACGTTACACAGAGACATGTCACACGTAGCCCAGACCAGAGTTTAACATAATATTCAAGGGACAAGGATGCTTGGAGAAAAAGCTGTTAATTTGTAAATATCTTTCCTTTACTGTAACATTTCATAAATACTCTGTGAATCTATTTCTTAATTTAAGATTTGCCTCTTACTGTAAAGACAACACAACCACTTTGTAGAAGCTTTGAAAATGGGAACACTGCAATCAAATAACAAAAAATACGTTATTGTCCCCCTTTTCAACCAACAAATAATCTGCATTGGGTTTGTTTAAGTTCAGCTTACTCTACAGTTCCCTGTTACACCCAAAACAGACAACTGTAGTTTAACTCAGTTCACTAACCAGGTTTAGGCCCGGTTGTGGCACAGAAAATGCTTTGATCACCCTGTGCTATTATCTATGTTGGAGAGAGATGGGGAAAATGTGTCCTTGTTAATTTTTCCATGGTATCCTTCTGGAGCAGCTGTCTGAGTTAGGGATGGGTGGCACCGCTTTGGTTCTGGACCACAATACTTCAAGGACTGGCTCTCCTCATATGAACCAACCCAGACCCTGCAATCATCATCTGAGGCCCTTCTTCATGTACCTTCTCCACAAGAGGTCTTGAGGGTGGCAACATGAGAGTGGGCCTTTTCTGCGGCGACTCCCCATTTGTGGAATGCTCTCCCCAGGAAGGCTCACCTGGCATCTTCGTTACATACCTTTAGGTGCCGGACAAAAAATTCCTCTTCTCTCAGGCCTTTGACTAATTAAACATTATATGGTGTTTTAAACATTGTGGGGTGGTTATTGTTGTTGTTTTTTGTTACTATTTTATGTATTCTTGTGCTTTCGTATTATAAACCTGTAATCCTTGGATGAAGGGTGGTATGGATATTTACTAAATAAAATAAATAAAACCATCTTAAACAACAATTATTTAACTTCCTTGTTAGTAAACTGATATTTAAGCAGTAAAGCTGGCAGCAAGTGGCAATAACATGCACAATAGTAGTTTTGACTAGGATTCATGACTAACCTTTCCTTAACCCATTTATACTTCCAGGCTCCATCCCCACATACAGCCTTTCTCCAAACTGTGAACCAACATCCTGGATTCCATCCTGTGGAAGAAGCTCCTTCCTGTCTCCCACCCGATCGGGCTCACCTGTCTGGTTCCATCTAGCTTGGCTCACCAAATGGTCATCTGTCATATTGAAATCCTGGTGCTGGTCAGCCATCTTGTCACAAAGGTTATCTAGAAAATGAATAGTAGTACTGGTTATTGACTATAGCAATAAAGTTTTGGTGTGATTTGAAAAGGAAGAGTAGATTATTGCAGAATGTCAGTAAAGTTAAAAAAGCAAGCCTTCTTCTGTAGCTCCTGCCTCCTTTGCAATACATGCTCATCATCCATCTTACTCCAAAATTGTGACTACCTAAATCCATACCAAACAACCAGATCTCTGCAAATATCATTATCACCCTTCGTTGCTACTGGCACCCTTAAGATTCAGGATAGGAAACTTCTGGTCTGTGGACCAAATTTGGCCCACCAGCTCTCCCCATTTAGCCCATGAAGTAGTTTTCCCCAAACCACACTCACCTGCCTCACACCTGACATAATAGGCTGTACACACACACACACACACACACACACACGAGTATCAAAGGCCAGGTTCTTTAGTTTAGTAGATGGTGGGATCAGGCTTCCTTTAGTGTTCTAGAGCAGAAGCTCCTCCAGCCATAAGGTCTTAACATTTCCCCACCACTACCCCCAGTAGTTTTTTCTACATAGTATTCATCCTCCCATGGTGAAGAATGCAGCTGGCTCATTCAGAAATGAGAGATAATTCCATCAACAGCTGTGATGCTGCAAAAGCCTTTGGGTCTTATTCATAACACATAACACCAGTTATCCATCTACAGCATAGATTCTATAAGCTGTGCTAGAGGTGATGGGGGATTCCCTATTTCAAGTAAATCCAAAGTGAGACATTATTTAGCTTATGACTATGATAGCAAGCAATTTTGCAATTTGAAACCTCAGGTAGTGGGAAGAAGAAAAACATCATATTTTTAAAGTAGCTAATAATTGTGATCAGCAACAACATATTACTTTGCAGAAACAGAAAATTCTAACTCTAAGCTTCCCTGGTAGCTTTGGGAATGAAGCGTGCATGTTTTCACAATAAATAAAAATACCACCAATTTTACATGACATGGTATTATTTTGCATGACATGGCATTGTGTTTCACACAAGTTCTAGCTTACCCCCAACATGTTTTCTATGCATTAGTTTTTCAGATGTGTAAGCAGAGTATCAACCCACTGTTTGCAAACATAAGTGAAAGTCCAGCAACAGATACAGAATTACACCTTCTAATTAACAGCATCCTCAAGCCCTAGTTTTTTGCTACTTTGTATGCTGTCTCCTGCAGTGTTGTTTATTATGCAATTAAAAATATGTCCTAAATCAGATACAAAAATGTTTGGAAGTCAGAGGGTATACTTTCTGGACTTGTATCAGTTTGATATAGAAGAATAAAACTAAACGTGTACTTAATTTCACAAGACATTCAAGTTAGATGGGGGTGAGGGGTAGGAATTGCCTGCTTAAAATAAACCACTGTAATGATATATATCATATGATCATGTTGGCACTCTTCTTGCCGTTCTTAAATGAAATGTCATTGGACACTAATGATAGGAGAAGCAAACAAATTAAAAACAACCATGTATTTCACAGCTATGCAAGAGGGAAAGTGGTTAAATTTGAAGGCTGAAATTTGAAAAAGGTTTTAAGTTTTCATTTTAAAATCTGAGAATAAAATAAATTCTCTTTAAATTAACTGTTCCATTTAACTTTGGTCTAATGCCTTGACTGCAACACCATGCTTTCTCACTGTACTCAGTATGTTAGTTAGCTGGGTAAGTAAGAAAGTGCACAGGAGACATGAAAGTTACAGAGAATATATGAAAGGCAATTGGCCAACATATAAATTATCTGTTAACAGAATCAGATTATAAATTAAAGATGAAGGAATATAATGATATAAAATCTATGTTAACAGATTGGTTATAATATTTCTAACCAATTGACATATTTAGAAGTGATAAAGAGACGGGCTTTGGGAAGGAATTCTCAAAGTTCGAAAAGGAATTACTGGATAATAATTAGAAATTGTTATAAAAAATGTACAAGCTCCTGTTGGAATGGGAGATGAAAGACAAAGAGGTAAAGGCAGTAATAATACACTGGGCACAAGATATAGGATATAACATACCACTTGAATCATGGGGAAAGCTGTGGAAAGAAATTTACGGCATGTAGTTCACTAAAAGAAAACTATATGAAAATGATGTATAGATGGTATTTAACTCTGGTAAAGCTTACTAAGATGTACAAAAATTCATCTAATATCTGTTGGAAATTTAAAGAATAAGAAGGTACATGGTGGACATGTAAAAAAGTAAAAAGCTTCTGGGAAATGATATACAATGAAATGGAAAAAAAAATTGTAAACTTTTGTTAGAAAACCAGAGGTTTTTTTGTTAGAAAACCAGAGGAATTTTAGGAGAGGAAGTACCAAAGAAGCAAAAGTGACTGTTCATGTATGCGACCACAGCTGCCAGAATGCTGCTTGCCCAGAAGTGGAACGATGAGTGTCTACCAACGAAAGAAGAATGGAGGATAAAGATGATGTACTATGCCGAAATGGCAAAATTAACCATGAAGATCAGGCACCAAGATGAAGGAAAATTTAGTCAAGATTGGAAAAACTTTATAGTTTATTTCAAAGAACATTGCAAGAACGTTGAGACGTTAGCAGGATTGTTGTAGCATTTATGAACTAAAGTGAGAAGCATGATGAGAAATTTAAAGTAAAAATTAAGTGGATAATTAATTAGATGCAATGAAAATAAAAAGGGGAAATTTGGAAACGGGGGGGGAGTCGATCAAAGTGACTAAGGATGTTATATATGCAAAACAAATTGTCATTATTAAGTAAAATTGAAAATACAGAGTTACAGAGGATAAAGTGCTGTTTCAGTAGAGGAAGCCATGAAGAGTAAAGATGTTCACATAGTGGCAGGAAACATAACCACATTACGATAATCAAATCTGAATGTAACAAGCAGATGAATGACTGAGGGCAGATCCATTTTATCAATGTACACAAGCCAAAGCTGCTGGAAAGTGCTCCAGGCCACTACTACCATTTGAAAATTCGAGTAATGAACCAGGAACACACCCAAACTGAGTATCTGATTCTTCAAGAGAAGTAAAAAAATGCTGCCTAATACAGACCAGACAGAGATTTATGAAATTCCAGAACAGCAGTTTGAATATATGAAGAACCCTGCTAGATCAGACCGAAGGACCATGTAGTTCTACATCCTTTTTCACACTAGCCAACCAGATGGCCTATAGCAGGGGTGGCCAACTCCCAAGAGGCTGCGATCTACTCACAGAGTTAAAAACTGGCAGTGATCTACCCGCTTTTGGGGGGTTCAGGTCAAAGTTGTTGAGCTTTTTAGGGAGGAGGAGAGCACCATATGGGGGGGCGCAGGGCTAAAATGTTGAGCTTTTTTAAGGGAGCCAAAGTTGTTGAGCTTCTTTGGGGGGAGTCAGTGATCTACCACAGCCATCCAGAGTGATCTACCGGTAGATCACAATCTACCTGTTGGACGTGCCTGGCCTATGGGAAGCCCACAAGCAGGAAATAAGCACAACAGTACTCTCCTCCACTCCCAGCACCAGGCAGCCTCAGCACTGCTCCCACAAGGTGTGGGGTGCAAGTCACCCCATCCACACCTTGTGGAGAAGGGCTGCTTGATGTTGCCGCTGCCTCCTCCTTCACCCAGGTGGCCAGGCTCCCTCTTTCTTCCTTGGCCACTGCAGCAACCTGGATCAAAAGCAGCTCCCAGACTACAACCCTCTTCCAGTGGGAAAGTTACAATCCCATCAGTCATAGATAAACCTACCCCTCCAAAACTTGGGTTCAAGTTCAGTTGGCCAACCCGCACCTACCTAACCACAGCTTCAGTACACTAATTTCAGGGATAACTGTTATCCTAGTTTTCAGTGATAAAGCACTATCACTCAGTACAAGAGCCAAAGTAGCTGAGACAAAAGAATGACATTAGCAATTACCGGTACTTGAGTGGATTTTTAAAGCAAGATTGCAGATGCAAGGGGCCAATTTCAGTCCCACACCTGCTATTTCATGGTGTGAGAGAGACCCTATTCACCCTATAGGTTTTTCTAGTGCAAATAGCAGGCACTGGGGCCCCAGCAACAATCTCCTTTCCACACACATAGACACACCTGCTCCCAAAGACATTCCACTGTCATGTTCTCCTGCTGCCTGCTGCCTCTAGCCAGTCCTAGCTATATTCCTGGATGCTAGTGTTAGGGAAATCACCACAGCAGAGGTTAGAAATGCAAGGGAATGAGTGTGGAGAAAATCAGGTGGCTGTCACAGTAAGCTTGGACTTGCTGGGTTATCTTTGCAAGGGGCAATGGAAGGTGATAGGTTTGGCGAGAAGTATGGAGAAGGGTAAATGGCTTTGAGGAGGATTGGGGGTAAGGTAGAGTTGGCAAGCAAAGGCACAGCACCTAGTACTTAATACATTTCTACACATTTAGCATCACATATAGTTTAGCATCAAAAAAACTAAGATCATGACCACTGGTCCCATCTCCTCCTGGCAAACAGAAGGGGAAGAAATGGAGGCAGTGAGAGATTTTACTTTATTGGGCTCCGTGATCATTGCAGATGGTGACAGCAGTCACGAAATTAAAAGACGCCTGCTTCTTTGGAGAAATGCGATGACAAACCTAGACAGCATCTTAAAAAGCAGAGACCTCACTTTGCCAACAAAGGCCCGTATAGTTAAAGCTATGGTTTTCCCAGTAGTGATGTATGGAAGTGAGAGCTGGACCATAAAGAAGGTTGATCGCTGAAGAATGGATGCTTTTGAATTATGGTGCTGGAGGAGACTCTTGAGAGTCCCATGGACTGCAAAAAGATCAAACCTATCCATTCTTAAGGAAATCAGCCCTGAGTGCTCACTGGAAGGACAGATCCTGAAGCTGAGGCTCCAATACTTTGGCCACCTCATGAGAAGACTCCCTGGAAAAGACCCTGATGTTGGGAAAGATTGAGGGCACAAGGAGAAGGGGACGACAGAGGATGAGATGGTTGGACAGTGTTCTCAAAGCTACGAACATGAGTTTGACCAAGCTGCGGGAGGCAGCGGAAGACAGGAGTGCCTGCCGTGCTCTGGTCCATGCAGTCATGAAGAGTCAGACACAACTAAACGACTAAACAATAACAACAAATAGTTTGGCCCTCAGATAGTGAAAGTTATACTCACAGAGTGCAATTTCCATTCTGGGACCTGTGAGTGCAGTTATGCCCACATAGGCCTTTCCTGGCACCACTGGATCCTCTCCCATCACTGAAATTAGGCTTCAAATAGAACAGACTGGAGTGTGTGGTTATTTTATACACGAACAAGGGAAGCACACTGATAGTTGTACTTTAAGGCCAAATCTGAATTACAAGATAGCAGTTATATTTTGTGTGGGAATGCATACAGCTCTGAAATATGCTCCTATACATCAGCTACTGCCTCCCACCTCTGTGCGTTCTGCACATACAAATGAATAATTTAATTGTCTAGCTGATCATCTGTCAATCTTCCAGATCACCCTTTATTATAATTAATCACTCAAGACAGTTGTATTACTGGAAATTTATAGAACAAAACACAAAAACACTAAGCGAGGGGGGGAAGCCTACATAATGCAAGCAACCAGTCATGACGACCAGTCAGCAAGAATTAGATGCACACAAAACATTTTTGTTACAATGAAGTGAGGACATGCTCCCCCTCTGAGATATGAATGTTAGAAGAATTCAGTCTTTATAAATTATTATAAGAAATATACCGTAGTACCTCAGACTACTGTGTGGATCAGAATTCAGCACTCTATTGGATTTTACACTTCTCCAAACATTGCAATGCACCTCAGCAATTTAAAAATTATCTCAGAATATATATTTAAATATATACTTTGAGAACACACATAAACATAAATATGCATTTTGAGAGGATTAATGCAGAAGTAGCATGAAATTATGGGTAAAAACATGCAAAACCCCCCACAAAACCTGACAGATTAGAAACTGTCAGATTTGTCCATCTCAACTTTCAAGTGCAATGCCTCCAGAAAACAGTTGTTTTCAGACTGGGCCTATTTCACATGTTCACCATGTACTGTATATTTAAAGCACATGACCTCCTCCAAAGAATCTTGGGAACTATAGGTTAAACACATTGGGAATTGTAGCTCTGTGAGGTGAATACAGTGTATGAAGCCATTGAGAACAATCTGCAGCCTTAGTCAATCATAACCAACTTTAGCCAGATCTGAGCACCTTCTCATAGTTAACCGTCATTCCTAGCTCATGTAGCATTATAATAAACATAATATGGTAGGCTATAATTTTCATGGGACAATTCTGTGCATATGACAGGCCAAAAGTGGATGCAAAATGCTGGTACTCAATAGCATTGAGGAATAATCAGCACTGAACTAATTTAGTGCTCCCAATTCATTTTTAAAAAACCAAACTACACATGCACTTGCATGCTGTAATTTTATTACAGGCAGTTGGAAGAATTAGAGATGCTCATTACACTTTGTGTGAATTGGCATTCTAGCATGAAATGACTTCTTGAGATTCTGAGTTTTCCTTCTTGAACATAAAAAAAATCTAATTCTTAGTTTGATATATAGCTTGTGAGGCTTCTGCAAACATCATTTGAACTGCCTTACCCCTAACCTACATCTATTTTCCAGAATTGCATTTTTTTAATGGCAGAATAAGGCAATAACTGTTCATTTAAGCTATCCACTTGACACACTGATTTAAGGTGCATTGCTTCTGGTTCCCTGGGTCTTCTTTGATTAGGAGCATTGTCCATTTTATTACAAACAACTTAAAAATGAACATATGGATAGAAAGGGGGTGAAGGTATCAGCCAGACTTGTTCTCCCCACCCCCAAAGGTGTGGAGTTTTTAATGTATTACCTGCATTTTGTTACATTGTAAGCCACTTTGAGAACTCAGTTTAAAAAAGCAGGATAGAAACCCACTAAATAAATACTAGAATGCCAATCTAGACTTTAGTTGGAGCAGAGTCACAACCATGCTTCCATAATGCTTATGGCAGCGTATTACTTGAGCCATTCCAGATGATATTGCAATGTTCTGCTCCAAAAGCCTATTGCTTTTCCCCTTCGTTTGCACATTAGTTCCGGCAGGAGGAAGAAACTGCTCTTTGGAAAAGGGATAATTTTGCCTAAAGAAACAAAAAAACAATCTAAGAAACAGATTGTTCTTGCTTTGTTTGTTAGACAGAATTATTGAGAGTATCCCTTTATTACTAAAAGTAACCACATTATGTTGTCTTTACACATTTAACTTTCTACAGTTGAAGTGATCTGTGAAGACTACAATGGGGCATAGATAACTGATGAAGTGGCCTGGCATGGGAATGAACATTCTAAAAGCTGTTCTTTGTTTCCCATTAAAGATGGGTCAATACATGTCTCTTGGGATTAATCAGCACTAATTTAGTCCGGTATTAGTTCTAGTTCTGTTCTATCCTACAACTCCTTACTAGTAGTGGAAGAGGAGGGACCAGAGAGGCCTAATCTCTGCTCAGCCATAAGTTTATTGGGCCAATCTCCTGGACTGACTTCATCACACGATTGTAAGAATAAAATGAGGACGGAAATACCATGCATGCTGTCCTGAGCTCTTTGGAGGAAAGAAAAAATAAAAAGCTTCTTTTTTAAAGAATTCCTTTTTCTAGCCTATCCCTGTGACATTCCATTTCCTATTCCTGCTGTGGAACTGGATATGTACTGTACTACTAAGTGAAAGGGCTAGAGATTGCAGGATAAGGAATCACCAAATAAGACATAATTTTATCTCAAAGGCTTTGGGGCAGGGGTAGGCAACCTAAGGCCCACAAGTGGTCCACGGGAGTTGTTTAACCAGCCCACAAACCACCCCCAAACCGAGCCGCCCACTCAGCGAGTCCCCGCACGCTGCGCTAAACTGGCACAGCGCAGAGCGGGGACTCGCTTCCGCAGCGCTGATAACCATGGCTGCGCAGGCACAGGCGCCGGAAATCGCGGGGGCACGCATTCACGCACGCATACAATCCGACCCACATAAGTATCTCTGCTGGAGTGAACTGGCCCATGCAAGGTAAACCTTGCCAACCCCTGCTTTGGAGAGCCAACAAATTTGCCACGAAAGTAACATTATTGCTAACAGAATGTCTGCCCCAAAATAAAAACTTGTTCTGTACAGTAGTAGCTCAGTTACAGTCTCAGCCCCAGTTGTGATTAATTTTAGAACATCAGCAGAGCTTGTGGCAAAAATGTCACATAATGTCAATCTCCACCCACTTCTACTAGGATAGTTACTAGCAAACTACCCACCCACCCACAAAGTGTGGAAACTGTGTCATTAAAAATGGACAGAAAGGCATATTTACATAAAATTTGCAGATGCTAATCTATAGGTACAGAAACAAATTGAGACATAATTAATGCAACTGAACAAAAATAAAATACAGTAGACCCACAGCTTACGTGGGGGTTACATTCTAGAGATAGGGCATAAAGCCAAAATCATGCAGAGTCAAAATACAATTGGGTGCAATGGTGTGTGTGTGTGGGGGGGTGATTGCTAAAGCTTTTTTTCCTGGGTGTCTGCCCCCTTTTATCCCCTCCTTTCTCTCTCCTCCCCCCCCCAGCACATTACAGCTTTGAGTGTGAAACTACAGTTCCCAGAATTCTTTAGGGGAAGGTTATATGCATTGAATGTGCTTTAAATGTATGGTGTGGATCTGCTCATTGCCACCCTAATCTCTACCTACCCTGCATGAAAGGTAGTCCCTTAAATAGGCCACTGATTTGTATTTGGTTGCTGCTATTCACCAGGTCAGGCACATCACATCAGTGGTCCCATCAAGTGTGACATTCACTCAGCAGAGGGGGCTACTAGACTTTTGGTGTATAATTTAACTTCTCAAAAATGTTATGAAATAAACTTTATATTTAGAATGGAAAAACCATTTATAGATACACATGCTGTAAGCATGAACGCACAACCTACTTTAGAGCTAGCCCAAAATAATGTTTCTCTGAAATCTCATGTTACTGAAGATTCATTCATGGTTGCGCATAGGATCATATGACTCACTCAATGTCAATAAAATGGTAGCTGGAATCAACTGGTTCTTCTATGAGAATGGGGCAGAGGAAAAGGGAATTCACTTATTTGCATCAAATCACTACACTCACGAAATCAGTTTTTGTCAGGCATCTTAGAGTAGAAAAGCAAGTTTAATTATAAAAAGGACTTCTAAGTTTGTACTTTAAAACAAGGTCAAGATCTCTCTGGGAATTGGCAGCATTTTTAAAGCAGATTATGCAAGGATCAGCAAAATAAAAAATATTTATTTATTAAATTTCTATCCTGTCCTTCAGGGCAGAATTAGCCTCAAGGATTTTTAATTTCCTTCTTTTATCATTTTGGCCTATTATATTTAGCTGTGCAACTATAAAGTTTAGAAAATTGCCATTTTCCCTCTACATGACAGCTGCACCATGATTTCATGGCCTACATTCAGACTGAGTGGCTGCACATTACTTAACTCTGCCATAGGCATAGATCATTGTCAAAGGAACTATTTTTATAATATAGTTTAATATAAAAATAGAGCTGCATGACAGAGTTGGTACAAACAACTCAGATAAGCACTTTACTAAGATTATATGGCAATTTATTTTGTTATAATTAATTTTTAAACTGACACAATTTATGCAAGGTGTTTAATAGTACTCCTACTGAGAGTAGAACCACTGAAAATAAAGGACATTACTAACTTAGGTTCATTGGTTTCTATGGGTCTATTCTGAGTAGGATTTGGTTGAATACAACCCTATGTTTCCTTTGATTCCAAATGTGTGTGAAGAAAACTAAACTTCAGCCATTTTGTGTTTAGTTATAAAATGGTTGCCTTCTGTTTAGGTATTGGGTCATTTGGAATTTAGAAGCTGTTCCAGGTTGGGGGGGGGGTGTCAAAAAGATCATGGAAGGTAAACTACAAAGAAAAACCTTATACAAATTAGAAATTTAGCAATACTCTATTGCACTACTGATTGAATGGAATATTGCTTATAAGTGAAACTGACAAGCAGGTAGGAAGTCCATTCCAAAAGATTAAAACTGGAAAAAGCCAGGATGCTGAGAGTTGCATAAGACCCAGATTACAGTGATAAAAGAAGCTGATCTAAACAAGAAGTCTGGAAACTGCCCTACCACAGAATTAGGATGAGCTGAAGTAAACTTTGCTTAAGTAGGAAAACATTGTAAACAAGATTTAAATGGATGTGTTTTACCATGTTACTTTCATATCCCGGGGACGCGGGTGGCGCTGTGGGTAACACCTCAGTGCCTAGGGCTTGCCGATCGCATGGTCGGCGGTTCGAATCCCCGCAGCGGGGTGAGCTCCCGTTGTTCGGTCCCAGCTCCTGCCCACCTAGCAGTTCAAAAGCACCCCTAAGTGCAAGTAGACAAATAGGTACCGCTTTATAGCGGGAAGGTAAATGGCGTTTCCGTGTGCTGCGCTGGTGCTGGCTCGCCAGAGCAGCTTCGTCACGCTGGCCACATGACCCGGAAGTGTCTCCGGACAGCGCTGGCCCCCGGCCTCTTAAGTGAGATGGGCGCACAACCCTAGAGTCAGACACGACTGACCCGTATAGGCAGGGGTACCTTTACCTTTACCTTTACCTTCATATCCTAGTTGCTTAACTGCTAACGCAGCTTTAAAACCTTGTTTTTCCCCTAGAAGTACCATTATAATAACTACTGCTTTTCAACGCCTTTAGTAAAAACTAAATTTAATGGAGATTTAGCCTTGGCCTGATTCCTTGATTTTCAACTCACATCCAAGCTGCACTCTATCCAGTCCAGCTGGGTCAGCAAAAAGTCTACAAGAAACACCAAAGTTTGTTATCACGTGTGTTATCACGTTTGGGGGCCTGGGGGCCCTCCAGATATTGTTGGACTTCAACTCTCATATACTGTCAGGGAACTGACATCGGAGCGAGAGGCGAAGGGGAGGCTCCTAGATGATGCTGGCGAAGGACCCAGCAGCAGGGGGAGAAACAGCTCAGTAGAGGGGGAAGCAAATCAGCGCAACACCAGGGATAAAGAGGGGCAGATGGGGGAATCAGAGAGAGGGCTCCAGGACTCTTCACTGGACCTCAGTGAGGAGGGGACAGGTCCTCCGCTACCCACGCCCTCCCTGCGCAGAAGACTCCCGCGCAGTGAGAGGAGGAGGAGACTGGGTGTCAAACAACTTTTATGTTGGAAGAGGTTCAAGAAACGCCCACTGACGGATTCTGCCAGCGACTGAGGCAGCCACGATGAGAAAGGGCTGTGCAGTCAGAAAGGTTTAACAAGGCAAATTAGCCTAGAGAGGCACCAGTTTACGTACGAGTAACTCATACTCATTACATATACCTATTTCCATACAGCATCTGGGATGATGGGAGATGTAGTCTAACAACATCCATTGGGCCACAGGTTCCCTGCCCCTAATATAAAGTGCTCTTTCAATTAAGGTAGTGGGGGGGGGGGGAACGACACAACAACCATTTACGGTACTTGGTGGCAGCACAGAAGAGCACATAATGGGAAGGGCAAACAAAGGGTGACATTCATTGTTTTGGTCACCTCCCCTTCTCTCCCTTGCATCGTAAACTAACAACCTGTGCTGTGACATCCATGAAATATATACATAGAAGGTGGGGAGTCTAGGGTAGCCTTAGTTCCTTTCATTCATCCTGTTGAACCTATAGATTGAGAGTTTCAACAGTTTTGAGATCATGAAATCCTTTGCCCTTATACAGCACTTTTTATCCAATGACATCAACAAGGAGGAAATGTTCAAACTGCTCCCACCTTGCTCCTCCCTTTGTCAAGCTGGAAATAAGCAAACTACAGCAATGGCGTAACATCATGTGCAAATCAGCACATGGAGAGAAACGAACTGCAAGTGTTGATTCACATATAACGCTAAACTGTGGCTTATTTCCTCCCCACTCAGCAGAGAGGAGTAGGGTGGGCACATCTGAACTGCATTACTGGTAATCTATAACATGTTTCAAACTACATCTTACAGTTGGTTATGTGCAGTAGTGTAGTGGCAAGTTCAGAAATTCAGGGTCCCTTCATGAGTCACAACTACACCCCCCCCCCCACAGCCACACACCCTTCTAATAATACAATAATTAAAAGGTGGGAGGGGAGATTATGCACTTAGGTTTGTTCAATATCATACAAAATCAATACACAGATTTTTTAAAAAGATTATACAAGAGTCTTATAATTATACAATAATAATTAGGGACACATTACAATGATCAATACAGATCTCCACGTGTTGCCTTTCAGCTAGAGTTGCTATTTTCTGTGCAAATAATTTGGAGTGCTGAAATATCTTTTTTTGGAGTGACATCAAGTGTCTTTTCCTTCAGGTTCCAACGTATGTAACAGAACTTGCAAACCATTATTTTGAAACTGAAGCACCTTGTGTTTTCAGTGTTCCTAAATATTTAGCTTTGGAGCATACAGAACAACTCTGTATTATTCCTGTGTGCCTTCCTCAGAGTGACCCTAGCTAGGAGCCAGTCCTGTCACTGACTCACCTCCTTTTACTCTGACTGGCTCCCATCAGCAAAAAGGGTGAAAAAACATCTCTGTGGCTAAAAAGCAAGCTTTTAGTGCTGATTGGATGGCCATTGATGACAGGGACTCTGCTGCAGGCTCTGTGACCTCCCGCAACCCCAGACCACCACACCTCTAAATATGTGAACACAGCCGGAGTATTTCCACTTTTGCTTTAGGCAATCTGTCATCTTATTTCACCAGGCTCACATGCCCAAGTTAATTCTCCTTCCATTTCCCCATGACAGTTCCCTGTCCCACTTCTCACAGCAGCTAAGGTACTGGCCATACTCAAGGCAGAACACTTTCTTCCACTTGCATAGCTGCAATATATATGTGATGTCTTCAGCCTAGAACCTTTGGAATTAAACCTTGAAATCCCACCCTCACATCAGTCCCATTCCCTCCTTCTGTGTTCCCTGAAATAGAGAGAGTTTAAGCATATCACCAAATGCTTAAATCCAGTCCAAGGATAAGTACAGGATTCTGTTTTCATTATCAGTCCTCAGTTCTAGTTCACACACTTAACCAGTTGACAGTCTTCTGCAATGTACACACACAACTTCATTTGAACACATATCCAAGATGTGTGAACATAGATGCTCCATGCAGGGGCCCAGTTTATGTGTATTTCTCCCCTCAAAAAACAAACCAAAAAAAACTCTTCCTCTCTCACTTTAGGTGTATGTTTGAAGGTAAGCATGCCTACCAAGCCACCATGCAAAGGGGCTCATCAGTCAGTGAGCAGTTGAAGCTCACTTTACACCTCAGGAGATGTAAAGTGATATCTCCTACCACACCTTTCCCACAAAGACATAATTCATTGTCTTGAAGACTGGCTTACTTCAGTGAAACCTCATTGAAACAACCACAGCTTCTTTCATTTCAAAACTCATTTTGAAGCTTTGCTTCTTCTTTTTTGGCACTGACTCTCTCTTTGTTCTTTCTTTCCTCAGCACCAAAATGCTAAAATTCTACTCAACTTTATTAAGTTCTGAATCAGACATTTTTGTGTGCCATTATAGGAACTTAAATAAATGGAATGAAGATTTTTAGGACACCCAAATCTGAACAATGCCCCTGTGGTTGTGTGGTGAACCCCAAGTGCTACATAATAGTTTCATCATAAAAACAAGTAATTTTCAAACCACTGCCCATATTCTAAGTGAAGAAAGAGAAACCGCTTGCTATAAATTTTAAAATAATTCTTTATAGCAGCAGTATCGCTAAAAGTGAGTCCCAAACTTAGATGTACTTATAATATACTCCATCAGTAATACTTGCATTTTTCTGTGAAAAGTCAACGGACAGTTTGCTTCTTGGATGCTTGTTGTCAATGAATGCAGGCTTTCAGAAGAAAAAAAAACCACACACAAACAGCCTGCACTTAGCTGAATAGCCTTTGAAATGAAGGCCTCTCTGCTTTCCATCCTCTTAATGGAGTCTCTATCAAAGGCTGCAGGACATAATGCCTGAAATGCTGAAGTTATTTAAATGCTACACCTTAAGTACTTTCCTCGCTACAGAGCACAATACACATCTGCTGTTTTGGTTTGTTTGTTTTTTAAAGGATTTTATTTCCCTTAGCCACAGAATTATGTGTGGGTTGTAGCAAATTATTGCAGTCTACAGCTGGATCAGTTCCTCAGACCAAATCCATGCAACAACACTGAAATTCCTCCTCTATGTCATAGCTGCCACAAAATATACTTTATCTTCAGTATATTCTTCCTGGACAGTCACATGCCCTCCTTCCATGCTCCCTTAATTGGAGGAAAAAATGAAAGACCCAATTTCAGTATCAGGACTCCATGTCAGCCACACACTTACCCAGCTGGCAATCCTCTCTATACAGCAGGATGGTGGACACTTGAATGCAAGAAGTAAATACTTTCCAACTTGCAACAGGAAAGAAAAGCTTCTTTCGGTTACTATTATCCGAGTCTGGGCACTGGGACAAAGCAGAATTCTATCAAGATCAGGATCGGTAGTAGGCTGCTTTGTGAGGTACCTACGATAGCTCAACATCAACTGCTGACATCAGGACTCTAGCCCTGTAAACAGTGGGGAAACCACTGCTCCTGTTCAACAGGCCACCTTGAGAAGAGGTGGAACAAAGTAGTTGTAGAGAAACACACACACTTACCTGCAGCTAGCCTACCAGCTCCTCTACTCGCCTTCTGTATGTTCTCAAACACACAAAGCCAGACAGAACTGGATAGGTTGTAGAACAGCAAATGCAGCTACCATGCACTACCTCCACAGAACAGTGGTGGTTGCTCCTCCTTGCAGTCATCCAGCAGCACCTCAATCCAGCTCTCACATGAGTGCAAGCACACACAGCAGCAGCAGAATGGAAGTACCAGAAGAAAAGCTGGTGTGTTTTGAAGTTACTTTGAACACTAGTACGGGTTTTCAGAAGTGATGGAGACTGGGGCTGAAGAAGGGTTGGTACGACAGCTGCAAAACAATTAAATCTTGCCTCCTAATAGAGCCAGTAAGCCTACTGCCACTACAATCATTGGAATCGGAGACAGGCAAGCTATGAGGACAGGGGTTCACTGCAGATCTTTTGCCCAAGAGCCACAAAATCTGGCGCTAACCATGTCCAGGAAATGCCCCATGGACTAGTACCATTCATTGGGGGGGGCTAACCTAGGTCTTCAGATGTTTTGGGGCTACCAACGGCCATCAAGCCCAATGGTCAGGGATGATGAAGTTGTAGTCCAGCACAGATTCCCCATGAAATCTATAAATATTCAGAAAATTTCAATAGTGCTCAGTAAGTTGTCAAATTTGGTAAAATAGTATCTGGCTGCAGAAGTGAAGAGAGGGTTAATGTCACATGTGGGTGCTTTTCCAGAGTCTGGTACAGTTCCATTAATTGAAGGAGGGAGTTCCTCTACATTGTCCCTTGATTTTATGCTCTCCATAAACAAGCAACAGTAGCCCTCCTGTAATGCTGCGAAATAATATATCACTCTGCTTCTCAATACTCCACTGCTGTAGTCTCTGGGAATGAAGCCACAGAAAGGAATCATGTGAGCTCCCAAATGCTCAACTTCTATGCCAACACACAGATTTGTTTTTGTCCTTTGATCTCACCTCAGGCCGGAAAAGATGTTGCTCTTTCTGTGTCTTGGACCATTAAGAGCTGCATGGTCCAAGATTCATTTTCTCAGGTTAAGCAAGTAAGACTTTGTTCCAAAGCCTTTCTAAAGATATACCGGTATTTCTGGCAGTGGAGTGTAGGAAATTATTTACTGGACTTGGACAGTATTAGCAAAGAGAACACAAGAAGATTTGGAGTTAGGTACCATCAATATGCAGATCACACCCAGCATAACTGATGGTTGAGAATGGAAACTGGTAGGATGAAGACACAATGAAGAATACATAGGTGCAAATCTGCTCAGCTAAATGATGTTCATCCTGTTTTGGACAGAGTTGTACTCTCTCCAAAGGAATAGGCCTGCAGTCTCAGAGTGCTTCTTAAACCATCTCAATCACATTTCCATATTGGCAGAAAGCACCTTCTAGAAGCTTAAGCTGCTTTGTCAGCTGCATACCTATCTGAACTGAGAAAGCCAGGTCTCAGGTCTCATGCTCCGGTGATGGCTAGGTTAAACTACTGTTATCTAGTATACATTGGGTTGCCTCTGAAGACAGTTCAGAAACAGAAATTAGTTTAGACAATAGCTGATAAATAACAAAGACCAGGCATTGTAAAATTATACTAGTGCTCCATCAACTGCACAGACTATCAATTCATTTCCAGGTTCAGTTCTCAAGTGCTAGTTTTTATCCTTCATGGCTTGGCACTATGATACCCAAAGGATTGTATTAACATGGTCCTGTACGTACACTAGGCAAGGCTCTTTAAGTTCTTCCACCACTTGAGGTGCAGATGGCTACCAGAGAAAGGGCCTTCCCAGGAAGAGCATTATAAAATCAGGGCACCACCACTGCAAACTCATTTCAGCACCAAACAAGATAGATATTTATTTTCTCAGGCTTTGCAATTCAATTTGACCCATTAACTGGATTTGTTGTTTTTATGCTGCTTCTAATGATTTACTGGTTTTAATACAGCTCCATGTGCTTTTAATTTGTTTTATTGTGTTGTTACATTTTGTAAGCCAATTTTATTAAAGTGTGGGGTAGAAATACCTCAAAAATTAAATAAGATTTTTGCTTTGTGGTCTTGGTAATGGTGTGGGCTGAACATCAGATCAGCCAGCATGCAGCTGGAATACAACTGGACATATCTATAAGTCAAAAGTTGATGCACAGCATTAAAAGTGTTAAATTTTAAAAGATCAGAATTATTGCCAGGAATGTATTCACCAGAAGAACTTTTTTCCTTGAGGAAACTATATATACGGTAAACACAGTTAGACAAACATTCTCCTATAACCTTGTAGACCACAGAACACGTGTTCTCATTTGTTTTATAACATGTAGTAGCTCCAGTGTTTTATGCTATTTAGCATCCTTGTCATAGGCTGTAAGAATTTTAAAAAATGAATCAGGGTGCACAAGTAGGAATGGGCAAATACTTCCATTCTGTATCAGTTTCACATCCACTCAATACATTCAATAAGTCTTTCCTGTTCTGTTTTTTTAAAAAATGTATAAAATGTACACATGCATTTTTTATACTTCTCAATGCATTTCCCAAGAAAAGACACACCTTCTATGCATTTTTAACTAAAACTGAAAGGCAAAATTTGAAGTGTGCAGTTTAATAGCTGCATTCTGATCCATATACAAGTCTAGGACTGCCAAATTTGTTCACTTGAATCAATGACTGTGAATTTTCTAACTATCATTTTATAACCACCAGTTTTGTCTTTGGATCCATAGTGTCTTCTAAAACTATACAGTTCACCCTTAAAGTGCTGAATTAAGAGTCAAGTATTCCTACTCCTTTAGTTCAGAACCATGTTTCTTCTATAGAATGAATTAGTTTTGACAGTGATAGGAAGAAATTTATACAGTAAGTTCTTCTAAAACAAGTAATTCTAGGTCCATTTTTCCTTTTCAACCTCCTTGCATGAGTTTTAGAGTTTACTCTACAGTTTAAGACCAGTTGTGGCTTTTTGGATCTTAGGATAAAATGCAAGCTTGGAGCAAACTCCCGAAGGAGATTGCATAAAAGGTTCTTGTAATGACTTTCTTAGAAGCTTCTTTCTAAAAGATAAAAAGCTCCTCATTCAGAAGACACACTGAAGATCTACAAGTTCAAGGTCTCTGCTGTTGCTTAAAACCATTGCTCTCTTCCACAGGGAAGCTACCTGTCAACTCAGATTTGTTCATCCAGCAACTGTCCAGGTCTTAAGCAGATAGATCTTCCACATGACCTCCTACCAGATATTTTAGCTGGAGATACTAGGGACTGGACCTAGGACTTTCTACATCCCAACATGGACTCTACCACCTAAGGTTCCTTCCCATCACAATAATCTTTACAGATAACTAAAAGGTTCTCTTCTCTTTTTAAGAATAAGTAGGAGTCTCTGAAGTCATGTCTTGATAACAGAAACAATGGCTTATATCAGGTTGTATCCAACATAGAATAGAACTATTTAAATTAATGGTCATTATTAACTTTGGTCTAGTAATTTCATTGGGTCTACTCTGAGTAGAACATAGCTGGCTACAACCCACTGAGTTGGCACACCCACTACAGAATTAATGAAACTGTCAATGCTGATTTAAAGAGGCAGGTTAGGTTTTTTTAAAGACATTCCTATATTTACAAATATAGCAGAGAGAACAAAAGCAAATAAAACCTAATAATTTAAAAAAAACACTGCCAGCTGATAATAACAATAAGTATATTCCATCAATCCTGGTTTATATGTACAGTACTTATATGTACAGTATTAATAAAGACAGTCCAAATAGGTATCTAAACTAATTATTACAAGCCCATGTGTTCAAATACAGAAAGGGCAGTGAGATCTTCAATCCATTGGGTGAGAAATGGTAGTTGTTTGTCCTTCCAACCTTGCAGTATAAGTCTCTTAGACACCAAAAGGACTCATAAAACTCACTTTTGTTGTTATTCTGTTAGTTCAATATAATTTATGAGTGCAAATATTAATGATTTTCTTAAAACAAAGTTGATATGAGCAGTAACTTCTGACAAGAAAGAAACCATTACAGGACATGCCCACATCATAAAGAGGAATTTTCAGCATTACACTGCCAACATCTAACTAACAAATCTCTTTCTGTAAGAGCACTGTGATGTCCAACATACTGGAAACACCAATTTTTGCTGTATCACTCTCAATTTTAAATCTAATGAAACACTGCATATACATGCAACTTTCAATTGACTGAGCTGAATGGAATACTTTAACCGTCTGTTCCATTCAACTTTAAGATCCTGGACATAACACTTTTTTAAAGGCATTTATTCAAGGCATACATTTACATTAGCATGCAATGATCACTCTTTTACAAAAAAAGTAAATGGTATGAAGAGGCTGCTAAGTTTATGAAGTATTTTCTGAAATATGAAGTTTTGTTTTTTAATAGCTGCTTCTGATCAAGAGTATGTTCACACTCAAAAATGCATCAGGCATAATAAGAAAGTAGAGTAAGTTTGTAAATTATATAATTTTCTGCAGCAACTTTTGAGGTTTATTTCCTCGTGTGTTGCTGTTCTGCATGAAATCTGCACACACACCCCAGCACAAAGAGACAGTTTTTTTCTTGGAGAAATATTGGGCCTAAAATTTGATAGGCTGCACAAGATACGATATATGCAGATCAGCAAAATAAAAATGGCATACCACAAGGTATGCATTTTAAATATATTTTAATGATAAAATTAGTTTAAAACAAGTTGGTGTTGACATATTGAGGAGGGCTATATGTGCATGCACATACCTCTACCTTACTTCGAAAGTATGAGCTATGAGAACTCTTCTTTACAGGGAATGGACCTCTCAGTCAAGATACAATATACCTACCTTTTTGTTGTTGGCTTTGGGGGGGGCAATACAGGGAAATGGGTTTCTACTTATAATACATTGAAATCATGCAAACAACTTGGTGCAAGTGTGGAAAACCCATGTTGTCTTTGAATTTGATGTATTTAGGAATGATGCTTGAAAGCAATGTTTCATAAGTATAGTGGTAACTTCAGTTGAGTTTCTTGTGCAAATTAGGTTGGAACCCTAAACACACTTAGCAGTAATAGACCTCACTGAACACAGTGGAACTTCCTTCCAAATAAACATGATAGTATTGCTCTGTTATGCACTGGTGAGGTTGTCTCTGCCTCTTGGCACTGCAACCACAAATACATCTACTGGAATGCTCAGACACACACCAGTTAGAAGGAACTAGGGGAAAACCTGATGGCCACATCAGCTTTTTCCTTGGTTCCAAACAACCCAAGAAATAAGAGTTTCTCCAGCTAAAATATCTGTATTAGCTGGTGGCAGGAATTTCCCTAAATTTCTTCTAAATCATTAAGTGAAATGCAAGGATGATGCAAGACCAAAATCTGGCTAACTCCAGTACCAGATCCTAGAGACAGAGCTCTTTTCTTATAACCATAAAATTAAAGCTTTGCAATGCATCTAAAGGGATTACCACCAAATATGTTCAAATGCTATGCTTTCATTCATGACTGAAGTAGAATAGAAAGAAGTCTTAATAAATAATGTATTAGAGAGCTGGTGTAGTGGCCAAGAAGTTCCTTCTTCAAATCTCACCTCAGCTATGAACTCAGAGAACAGTCAGTCCCTCATCCCCAATTCCCACCTGTAGCATAGGGACAATAAACTAACCTACCATACAGGATTGTTTTAAGAATTAATGACATCATATGCAAATGATTTAAACAGTCTAAAGAACTATAAATTAGCAACCATGGATTAGGAAAGTTATAGCACATACACTGACTATTTAAAAGGCTGAATAAATATAAGGACAATCCCAGGAATCTTTTTTACCCTAGAATTCTATGATCTCACCAGTCTAACCATGCAGCCCTTGCTGACAAATCAGTGGCATTACTTACCAATATAGTAGTTTATTTGCACATTACAATGACCAATTATCCCCACTAAAAAAAATGGAAGATGCAGCATCACTTACGGGAAAAATCCATAATAAAAATGTGTTTCTATATTCATTCTAGCAAGGCATCTATTTTAATGCCAATTCTGCTGGTAGACAAAAGGGTTTTTTCCTCTCTATCCCCACCCAAAACTACAGGAGCATACCACAGTCTTTACCCAATGAGAACTGCACTTTGCATCCATGTATTCTAGCCTAGCAGGGGCGTGACCAGCTGCTGCTATTACACTCAGATCCATTTTTCTCTCAGAGAAAACCATCTGAGACAGAGAGAAAAACAATGAATGCACAGAATAATCAAGCTGGAATCTTTGGGTGACTATGATTCTCTAGAAAGCTGTGTGCGCTCCCCCCCCCCCCAGCTTTCCACCACATCTTGATCAGGAATCATCTATCTCCCTGTTATATTTCTGCTCAGAACAGTAACTATTAACATAATATGCATGGAGAAGGGGGAGAGAGTCATTTTCATTCTCTTTCAACTCACCAGTCTTGTGCTACTGTTACACCCAAGAATTAAGAATCCTAAATATAAATCCCATAATACTGACCCATATAGAGGAACAAAGCAACTCAGCTCGTAGAAAAGAGTACTGTGCAGGTCATTTACCCTATCTCCGATTTCCACAATGAAAAAAAAAAAATGCTAACACAGAATACATTTTCCTTTCTTAGGCTATTTTCCCCAACATCATAATTATCTAAGCAATGCTGGAAATATGACATGGACTGCAAAACATGGCACCACTGATATGAAGGAGAGCCCACCCTTTTTCTCTCTCCAAGATCCACACCTACTGCAGCACCAACAGCCTATCATTCGCCATCACCCTCACAATCAAAACCAGTCTCCCAAGCAGGAAACCAAACCTATCAGAGACAAGAGATGGGGGGAAAATGACAGTTAACAGGGTCAAAAAAAGGGTTCCTTAAAATTCACCTATAATTCCAAATAAAGTTAGCAGATCATTTGTTAAATGATAAAATTAAATGCTACATATGGGTGTTTTTTAAAAAGAAAAAAAGAAAGTGTGCCTCAAATTGCCAAAAACAAGCAAAAACTGCATTCCAAGCAACTTATTACTATACAATGTTATTTATTTCAAAAAAAAAAGAATAAAAGTAGATGTTGTTTGTTGCAAAATATTTATAAAGAGATACATACAATTAAGCCTACCCTTGAGATCCTAAGAGACACACCCCTACTGCCCCATTTTGCATTACGATTACAAGCCTCTCCACTGAATGATGATGGAAAGGAGCCCTAATAAAGCTACAATAGACCAGGGAGGAAAATAACGTATTTGTACTGCCACACGCGCTGGCAGGTGGCGAGTGCGTATTTCTTTGCAATAGGGCTCCTCTTTTCAGAGGCAGGGGTGTGGTTAAAGGAGAAGAGATGAATGCTGTTCAGATTGCTGAAAATTAGGAGAGTTGTATAACTGTGAAGAGAGCATTAAGAGATCTACCGACATCATATGCAAACGGAATTACGCCGCGTACTGAAGCCATCGGATCCAAAGCTATATTGCATGGCGCGGCGCCTCTCCCTCCAGCCACTGCAAGCGCATTCACTGCGTAACCGCACGCACCTGTACGCCTAACGCACCCCCGCCCGTCCATCCCCACCACCCAAAGGTTTGCAAAGTCTGAAGGCCCTCGGTGCAGCTGCTCTCCTAAGAGCAGATCGCACCGTGCTGGGAAACCCTACCTGGCGCTGCGGCTGCTAATGCTGCTGCAGGGAGAGCTCTCTGGAAAGTCTCGCTCACCAAAGCCGGGAGGAGGGGGAGTGACAGGAAAGAGGGAGAGACAGACAGAAAGAGAACGCGCCTATCTAGCGACGGGAGCGCGCACAGGCTCCGGAACCTTCCCAAGAAGAACTCGTATATGCGCGCTCGCAAGGGCCCTCCCAGCTCCTCGAGAAGTAAGGTTGCTCCCACAATGAAAGGCTGCCCGAGATGGCTCTCCCACGCACGCGCACAATGCCCGCCCGTCTCATCTTTCAGACACCTCCCTACGACCGCCAGCGCATGCGTGGAGGCTTTACACCGACTCCCAATGTGTTCTTTGTCTTCTTTGGAAAAGCCGGGTTTAAACAAAAAACACACCAAAAAACCTCCTTTTGGAGCCGCGCAGGCGTGAGCCCTATTTATCAAATAATGATAGTTACCGTTCTTTATAGCGCATGGGACACAAGGTCAGCGCAGCAGGATCCAGACAAAGCAGTGTTTGTTATAGTGCTATAATAAGAGTGTGGTGCCCCACTCTGAAGTCATACTAGAAAGCGTTTTGTAACATCCCTGCTCCCAGAACACGCATGTTTACACTTAGGTATATGCCATGGGCGTCCGCAAGGGGGCGCATTGCTCCCTCATTAGCCATAACCCCCAGATTCCCAATCATACTTTTTAAAAATGAAAGATCCCAGCACTTGTAGAATCAGGAATATGAAGCCAAAATGTGCAGGCATTTTTGTTTTGTGAGGAACTAGCCTCTCCCATCTGTCTGTATTTTTAGCCAATAAATGAAGTCATAGTAATGACTGACATTTAGGAAAGCAAATCTTGCCAGCTAAACAAAGAGGAGGCTAGAAGACCAATTGCCTAGAAGACTCTGGAGAAAGAAAATCTTCATTTGCTTTTAAGCATTTTCTACTGTTCTTCCCTGTGGAAAAGTGATTGCTGCCCCATAGAAAACAACTCATTTATCCAGGATTTTAGTATCATTGTGACTGGGAAGTAGTGTGTCAACCCAAAACAAAAGATAATAGCAAAGGCAATATATTTCTAATGTGGATCTTAATTAGATTTTCCCCCTCCCCAGTTTGTAATCATTTAAAAAACACTCTGCCAATACATACATAGAGACAATTCATCATTATTATGCCCATACTGCAGAGGGCAGGGCTGTGGCTGGGAGAGTGAGTTACGCCAGTTCTGCAAAGTAACCAACTGCAACTGTTGTTATATGCCTCTTGCTGGGAGAGGAGAAAGTTGCTGAGAGAGGAGAAATTATACAACAACCCTGAATGGTAGTCCAATGTTATTATCCTGGTGTATTGGGGTTGTTGCTTTTTTAAAGGGAAATGCATTTTGGAGCGGGGATTGGCAGCAAAATTAAGGACTAGAGGGAACAAAGCAGCGAGGGCAAGAATTCCTGGGAATGGCAATGTCACAGACATTACTTTTTATTAATCGTTCAGAATTTAGTATCTATCATACCTTTCAACATTACACAAATTAAAATAGGAACACATGTACTGTTCTTGCATCAAGGATTACTACCTGAGCACCCCTCCTCCTTTATGCTGTTACTTGTTGACGGAGGCTTGGCTTTGCTTCTTATGTTGTGGGCCAGGCCAAAGGGGATGCAAACATGGTCAGAAGCAAGGGTTCACAGAACAACTAATGTGAATTTTACCTTTGTAGGGTAGACTAGTTTCTACACAAACACCCCCCCACCACACCACCTCCTCTCTCCTTCATCCAGCCAACCAAGAGGCAACATCACAGTTCAAGGACACATTCCAGTCAGGTAACAACAAGGAAGGCCCATCCCATCTCACCACCTGAGGAGAAACATGAATGTGCCAACCCCTGCCACTGGATCACACACCCCCTTGCTGAAACCTGCAAGTGGGGGGTGTTCTGGCAGCAGAACTGGTGGGGCAGGTGGGTGGGATGTTGCCTCTTGCACTTCTACTGCCTGAAGTGGCCCTTTGCCTCATGGGTGGGCCAGCTATGAGTAATAGCACTCAAGGAGGGTGTAAAGCAGGGCCAGTGAGAGCTGTAACTTGGGGAGAGCCCAGAGAGCCACTTTTGGCCAACAGCCTGAGATTCCCTATCTTTGCCCTAAAGGATGCCTTACTTCTTCTGTTTGGCTTGTGCTGCACTAAGCGACAGTGGTGTCCAGAAAGTCAGCCTACTGTGTGGACTGGTCTGGTTTCCATTTGTTGATGGGTGGAAGTTGTTGAAGTACTGGTGCAATTTCTCAAAGAGTCTCCTTTCCTTGGATCCACATTATTAATATTTCATTAATCTATCACAAGTAGTATAGAGATACTTAAGGAGACTACTTGGTTGGATAGTTGTTTATCGGAGCTTATGGAGAAGGGAAGCAGTGCAATGGTGTTTGCTTTTTAAACAACCCAAAAAGCTTGAATCTAGCCACGTTATTTAAAAGTTTTTTTAAAGGTGTTTACAGCACCTGTAAACCTGTAGATTGACCACCCCATCTACAGCATATGAAATGACAGAATGCACACCAGATTATTGCCATGCAGCTCTATCCTGTAGTCAAAAGTAAGTGCCATGGACCTTACACACAGGTAAGCATGTACATAATAGTTGCCAGCCTCTGTTCCTGCATGTGCATTTGCAGGATAAGCACTAATGCCATAGGCATCTGCCTCAAATTCATATTTACCTTATGGATACTTGAAGTAGAATAGTGAAATCTCAGTTTGTGTCATGCTGTCTGGCATTGATCCCCTTCTCAAGTTCAGGGGAACAAAAGGGTTTGGAGGCACCTCTGTTTGAGGAGTCACCTCGTATTGCCAGACCTTCCAGGCCAGAAGTTGCTGCTTTACTGGACTTACTCAGATTTAGAAGACACACATGCAGTGTAGTCCCTTGTAAAGTGTTTCTTAGCAGCAATAGTGTGTTTTTAAACTGCCTGTTTACACAATTTCTGCTACCTGATTGTACATATTCTCATGCAAAATTAGAGACATGTAGTTAATGTTGGTACAAATTTTAAAAAAATGCATTGTTATAAAGAATATTATTTGACTTTTCTCAGTATGTCTCTGTGATTCTTGTTCTGTTCCCAAATCATTATTGATTTTTTTATTTAATGATTAATCAAAATGGGAGGAAACACAATTAAATACTTAGGGTTGTCTTACTAGGGAAACCTCCTGCAGTTTTCCCATCCCTAAATCCAATTACAGGGGATAAGTAACCATGGAATAGGATGGTAATAATTCTTTTGAAGAAGCTGCAGTAAGTAGCTAAACCTAAGGAGCATTATCTGAACGACTAAGCACTAGAAACTTAAGGAGGAATTTATTTGTTGCCTTTTTTAGATACATCATTATTATCACTAATAAAGCACAGTGTTGAGAGGTCTTGCATATGGAAATCAAACTCAGGTTGACAAACTTGTCCAGAACCTATATACCATTAACAATGGTATCAGTCTCTGAGTATTTGAACTTCAAACAGAGAATCATGTTGTAAATTACCTTGTTTCTATATGACCTCTCAGTCTGTAAAGAGGTACAGTATTGTATTGCACACCATTCCTGCCCTTAATTACTACTGCTGTGAATGGTCAATTAATTGAATTGTCACAAATTTTACTTTCTGCATTTAATCGTCTGACCGTAGTGTTTACTATTTTCTCACTCTACACCCACATGTATGTACCTACCAACTAAATATGACAATACATGTATTTGATGAAGTGGACTCTAGTCCACAGATACTTATACCATAATAAATTTCTCAGTTTTTAAGCTGCAATAAAATTCTAAAATGCTATCTTGAGCAAGCATATAAACTTTCATGCCAATATATCAGTCCTCATGGCATATACTATATTGTATTCTCTTTTGCATACTTCCTGTTCTCCTGAAACATGGGGGCAGGGGTCAAGATCGGATTCATCGTTTAAATGCAGACTGTTATCTGAGCATGTGTGCCAGTTTCCATGTTGATGTTTCAAGCCCAAATAACACTTTATACTAGTAAATATTTGTTCCCAGCATGATGTTTACTGATGTGACAAAGAATATTAGGGTAGGGGGCACTCACAGGGGAGAATCAACATGAGGGAACGAGGACTGCTTAACTCCTTCTACACCAACTGGTGCTCTTCTGCAAATGTACTCATCTAACCTACTTTCCTTTCAGCCAGCTTCAACATTAAAGATAATCAGGAACTAGAGAATCCACACATTAGAAGGTAGCAGAATCTTACACTGAATGTGAAAAGTGCCTTAGCATAACATTACAAGGGGGGAAATTACTTAGGTTAGGGGGAATCAAAGTAATTAGAAGCAAGCACAAGAGACAACAACCTACAAAACACAAACTATGTGCATTAAAAAAATAAGAATGATAAAAAAGACATGTTTTCAATGCTGGCGTAAAGAAAATTGTGGGGGTGGGGTGAGGGAAGCTGAGGGAAACACAGTGGAGAAGAAGTCCATGCTAAGGTGCTCACACTTCTGCCCTCAGTTGCTGAGGAAGCAAACCAACAGCATTCTAGAGCAGCCGTTCACCAATTTTCCCAGAGAAAGGTTATGTGCAGCCACATCTAGGGATGTCAGAGAACACTGATAGAAACAGAAATTGCAATCACTGATGTCTGCTTATTTGTCCCATGTCCAAAAAAACAAATCAACCCAGAAAAAACAATTCCTATTCATTGCTGTTCTTGTCTTCAGTCCAAACATTACGTAATTGATGTTTTCCCCTATTTGCATTACATCTCCTTTGCAGAGATACGTTGTGTAATAGGGCCGTCATACCGGCAACAGGGGTTAAATCATGTTGAAAATGCATAAAAAAACTTTAAAGTTCCAAAATATTAACTGTAGAGCTTTTCCTTAAAAAAGCTCAACAACTTCAGGCGCTCAACAATTTTGGGTACTCAACAACTTTTGAGGTGTCATGGTTTTTTAAATATGGCAACCCTAGTGTAATAGCATTACAATAATTAATTAATTGCATAAAATTCTGCTGCAGTGGACAGTGATATTAATAAAGTCGTTTTTGTTGCAAGCCAAACTGCAGCAGAACAGGAACAGCGCTGCTTGCGACAAACATCAGTTGGACTGAAAATCAGTAACTTTTTACATCCCTAGTCAAATTCTATGCACACTTGCTTGGGCATAAGTCCCACTATATACAGTCATACCATGGTTTTCAAACAGCTTAGTTCTCAAACGTTTTGGCTCCCGAATGCCGCAAACCCAGAAGTGACTGTTCCGGTTTGTGAACTATTTTTGGAAGCTGAACGTCCGACGGGGCTTCTGCAGCTTCCGATTGGCTGCAGGAGCTTTCTGCAGCCAATCAGAAGCCACATTTTAGTTTCCGAATGTATTGGAAGTTGAGTGGACTTCTGGAACAGATTCTGTTTGACTTCCAAGGTACGACTGTACAAGACTTATTTCCTTGTAAGTGTGCATAGAAGTTTGCCCTTCAAACCTGTGTGTTCCAATGAATAATAGTCCATACTAGGGGGCTTACACCATTGGATCCCCATAAAACCTTCAACCATCTCAAGATGTCCTGCCTATCCCCATCCCTCCCTGAGGCTAGACATATTTGTTTTCTGTTGGTGATAATAATAATAATAATATTTTTTATTTATACCCTGCCCTCCCCAGCCAAGGCCAGGCTCAGGGCAGCTAACAAGCAATAATAAAAACAAGTTGAATGAATACAAGCAAAAATATAGGTACTAAAGGAGAATTCTATGGTCTTAACCCTGTAGTGTATTAATTAGACTTAAGCATATTGCTTATATGAGGCTGGTTATTCCACAGTCTGAGGGTGACTGCCAAAGGCAGTTTGGCAATTATAGTTGAAGTTCTGTTTGATGAGATGGGACTAGTGAGTGAGGTATTATAATTTTTTTCAGTTAATGGAATTCAAAAAGGGTTGGGATTATAAGGAACAAAGTATCAATTTGTTGGGGCCTACCCCTCTTTTCAATGAGAGAAAGGGCATGAGTTCTTCAGTGTAAAAAGGCAAAAGAGCAGGCATCAGTGGCAATTTCTGGAAGGGCTTTGATATTGTTCTGAAACCATGACATTTAAAATACTAAGTAAAATATTAATGGAGACATCACAGTGTCTACCTCATGCAAGAATAGAGGCTTGACTGGGGGAGGAAATAAATGTCTCACTAATAGAGTTTTATGACTGTCAGCAAGTATGTGGATGCAGGGTAGGGCTATCAATGGCTGCTAGTGACGATGTAACTGAGACCAGGGAAAGGGCTCTGCCGTGGGTGAGAAAAGAAGAGCCAAGGTGGAAGACAGAATGGTGTGGCTTATTATTGTGTGTTGTATATATTTAAATTTACTTTGAAATTACTTGGAGTCTGTGAGATTTAAAGGTAAAGGTAAAGGACCCCTGACAGTTAAGTCCAGTCGCGAACGACTCTGGGGTTGCGGCGCTCATCTCGCTTTACAGGCCGAGGGAGCCGGCGTTTGTCCGCAGACAGTTTTTCCGGGTCATGTGGCCAGCATGACTAAGCCACTTCTGGCAAAACCAGAGCAGCGCATGGAAACGCTGTTTACCTTCCCACCGGAGCAGTACCTATTAATCTACTTCCACTTTGATGTGCTTTCGAACTGCTAGGTTGGCAGGAGCTAGGTACAAATCCAAATAAAAATATTGCGGAAGTCAAGCCACCCTTAGGGATATAAAATGTATCCTGTGAAATGCACTGAAGACAGGGCAAGTATACTTGTGCACTACTTCCCTAGAATATACACACTTTTCTTATAAATCCAATTAGCATTAATCACTTGAAATAGATTCAGAAAAGCACTTATTCTTTCATCTAAATATTTAATTGCCTAATCAGCAGCACTTAGGGATCCTACTTGAAGCATTAAAACATTGGATAAAATATATGCTGATACCCTGGGAACTGAATTGGGAGAAGCATTTTCCAAGTATTTTAGCCACATGGTAGAATTAACATTCATACTCATAGGTAAGTTTTGAAGCACTAACTTATAAAGTATGATACAAGATTATCAATACAGAGTTTTTAAAGACATTTCACAGGAAGGGTACTACTACTCAGAAGAGGAGATATTGCTTACAAGCAATTCTCTGCCACAGTCATAGGATTTGTCTGATTTAGGGTCCCTCCATGACTTTAAAAAGGTTAATTGGTTCAAAATATTAAGCTTATTTTCCCCTTAGACTTAACCTTTGTACTCCAAAGCTATAATATTTTGTGCCACATTTTTGTTACTGGGGGGGGGGGCTACCTATTTGGTTCCTGCAGCAGCATATGTAAATAGTTTGAATTACTCTCAGGAGATCAACTTGGTGTGCTTAGGTGTCTTAATGATATAAAGGTGTGCTTATTCATACTCATCCTGAAGTAGACAAAGATAGGGGTCCCCATGCCTGTGAAGAAGACACAACCACTGGCAATTTTTAGTCTGATATATGTTTGGGCATACAACAAGTGATTACTTCTCTTAAAAGACAGAAAACTATCTTTTGTACTTTAAGACACATATAAAACAAACTAAAAGAAAGGCTGCTATCTTTTTCTCTAAGCCCTGATTCTGTGCCTTCAACAGCCGTCTAACCCACAGAGATTTAACCAGTAAAATTTTTCTCAATGATATGATGGATTCTATGAAATGACTTCAGTGGGCACTTTTGGCTCATAACTAAATGTTGCTGACCATAGTTAAACCCAATACCACAGAACATTAAATAAAGTATTTCCAGACATGCATTTTACAAGCTCCCTCTTGCTCTTAATGTCTCTGTTAGTCAGATCTTTAAAATAATGTTTCTGGCTGCATAATTTGTTGCTTCTCTTTCTTTCTGCAATTATACTTTCTATACTGTTCTGGAAATCCTACAGATATCTGGGTTCATTTGCACCCATTGTGTGGTTAGCAACTGGTTAACACTAACCTCTAAACTTGAATGAAATCCACTACATTAATATAAAAAAGCCTACATTTGTCTTGCATGTAACCACTCTCTTAGATAAGTAGTGATTTATTCTAAGTCAGAGCTGCTAGATGTATCACATGAGTGATCTTGCAACACACATACTGTATCTCTGTGTGGATTGGTATTATTCTCCCCCTTTTTTGCAATTATCTGCAAGGCTAAACGACATAAACATGCATACCAATATTTATTCTATTTACCTTATAAAAGATTCCTTTGAATACTTTTTCCTGGGATTCACCATTTAAACTCTTCCCAGATTTTGTAGTCTTCAAAGGCAAATTCCAGTTCTGTAGATCACGTTTTTCTTGTTCGGTGTGCAGAAAACTCTCCCAAAGTGCTTCCAGGTATCTGTCAACCTGCAGACAATATGGACCCTGCTCAGTAGCTATGCAGCACTTGATTGCTATTATTTATAAAAAGCATACATCCCTATGGCACTCAGTGTAGCAGGAACACCTGCTGAATATAACACACAGCCCCCACTTGATTACCAGAAAGGAACACTTTCCCCATTGTACAGATGGACAAACAAAGGGTTAAATGACTCCCCTAAGGTTCCACAATGAGTCTGTGACAGAACTGTCTGCCTAAGGTATCCGTATGATCTCTGTCACCATAGCAGCCAGCTAGCCAGCTAACCTCACAATTGGTGTATTTACAATCCCCTTTTGGGGTATTATCCCTCATTTTTATGACAGAAAATTGTAAAGTCTGCGTAAGTCCAGAACCTGCAAAAAAATTAAAAACTTGTCCCACACAGATGATTTGAGGGAGTAAGTAGCCTATGTCTAGTCTTGTCTCAGATCCCAGCAATTTATGTATTTAGGCAGCTTGAGTCCTTCCCCTCTAATACATTTCAATTAATTTTAAATAATGGGAACTTAGAAAAAGAAGAAGTATCCTTGCCAAATATTTCCCTTATATTAGAATATATATTATTTCAAGTTACACAAGTTAGAAACCCAACATGTATTTATTAGTTCACTGACCGGGTGATGGACCAGAATGAAAAGCAGGAGGAGACAGAGAAACTGACAACACATTGTAGCAAGGATGCTAGTGAGAAAATTTGTTTCCCAAATATGAGTAGATGTGAATTAGAAGTTGAATGCTACCATTTGAAACATGAAACCTGCTACAAATTCTCAACAGTGTCAGTATGATGGACAGTGTGTTGCCCTTCCACCCCCACATGTAGGAACAGAACCAACACCAGGTTACTTTAGAACCAGCCCTGCCACTCCTGATACAAAAAGCAGCAGTGGGAATATAGTTTAATTGAATACATAGCTGCTAGGAATTCATTATTGAAGGGTTTAATATTTCAAACCTTAACAATTTTCTTTGGCTCCAAACATTCAAGTTCCATAGTGCTTCAAGAAATGATACAATAGCCCCATTGTTATTCCCTTTAGCCTCTTAACAACCTTATGAGACAGGCTATTCCAAGGCTCCTCTATGAACTTTAGGGATCAGCAGATATTGGAACATGGATCTCCTAAAACCAAATTTAATCTAGTGTAGCATACGGTTATCCAATATGCAAATTATGTCAGTGATATGCATTTTTGTTAACCACATACACTATGGTTCATTATATATTTACAGTAAGGCCTTCAGTTATTAACCAGATGGCCACCCATCACTAAAGTACTGTATTTTTTGCTCTATAAGACTCACTTTTTCCATCCTAAAAAGTAAGGGGAAATGTGTGTGCGTCTTATGGAGTGAATGCAGGCTGCGCAGCTATCCCAGAAGCCAGTACAGCAAGAGGGATGGATCGCTGCTTTCGCTGTGCAGCAATCCCTCTTGCTGTTTTGGCTTCTGAGATTCAGAATATTTTTTTTCTTGTTTTCCTCCTCCAAAAACTAGGTGCGTCTTATGGTCTGGTGCGTCTTATAGTGCGAAAAATACGGTATATTATTGTGATACTATGTTCTATCCAGGATCAGTATATAGCAATTAAACTGCCCCCCCCCCCCCGGTTATAGCTGTCTATAATAAACATAGCAGCTCCTGAAGTATAGCAGATAGAATCAAGCTACCAGTACTTTTGTTGTCAGAAGTCAGACCACCATCCGTGCTACCTCGGGTTACATATGCTTCAGGTTACATATGCTTCAGGTTACAGACTCCACCAACCCAGAAATATTACCTCGGGTTAAGAACTTTGCTTCAGGATGAGAACAGAAATTGCGCTCTGGCGGCGCGGCAGCAGCGGGAGGCCCCATTAGCTAAAGTGGTGCTTCAGGTTAAGAACAGTTTCAGGTTAAGAACAGACCTCCAGAACAAGTTAAGTACCGTATTTTTTGCACCATAACACTCACTTTTTTCCTCCTAGAAAGTAAGGGGAAATGTCTGTGCGTGTTATGGAGCGAATGCCTGCGGGTGGCGGAGGGGATCTGCTGCAGTCGCGAGCAGAGGATCCATGGTTCCCCTTCCTTCCCTCCTCCGTGGTTACAAAGCATGGATCCACATGGATCCTCAGGATTTTTGCATTGGGCTACTCCAAACTCACTGTCAGATCACATGTCTGTGGCCACAGCATGAACCACAAAAATCATATATCCACTATTTCGTTTAGAATATTTTTTTCTTGTTTTCCTCCTCTAAGAACTACGTGCGTGTTATGGTCTGGTGCGTGTTATAGAGTGAAAAATAGGTACTTAACCCAAGGTACCACTGTACTGACTTGCAAGTTGCTGGTTGCTGAGATACTTGCAAATAATGATGCACTACGTGGATTCTTATCGTCATCTGATGTTGAATTTAACAACTTATGTGGAAGTGTTCTGGGGATAACTTGAAATAGTAAGCCTTGCCTGTTAAAAGTAAATACTTAGTGGACGGATTAGTTTTTCAATGGTAATGTGGCAAAATAGTTTCATCAAACTTAGTCAGACATATAATTTATGTACCTAGATTTGATGTAATCAGTCCCGGGGAGACACCTTGGAGGGGCTGCTTAGATCAGGGCAAGGGGTAGGAGAAGCCTATTGATCTAGGACTGGGAAAGCTGCATGGAGCTGCAACAATAATCTAAGAGCTCTGGGAGCTAAAATGCAGACGAGGAATCTGATCCTGGGGTCCCAGTGGGTTGTCATCCCAATGCCCCATTTCAGTCACACACCCACTTTTGACTCCAAGGCAGCCCCTGCCTGCCATGCCTCCTGTACCACTGGAACCTTTGCCTCCCACAGCCTCTGCCTCTCTGCCCACCAAGGCAGTATTTGATTCCCATTCTGGCTCTGAGGCAGTACTGTCAGGATCCTGTCACATAGGACACAAAGATTCCAGCACCAGTGTGAATAGACAGCTCATGTTCAGCCCACCAGAAAGAGTGCCTGCCTGCTTGCTTGCTTAATCTAAAGACACATTCCACTCACTATGCAGAAGCTGTGCTTGCCCTATGCTTTTATAATAGGAGCCCAGGGGCATGTCAGCTGTTGGATCAACGTTTCAGCTTGCTAACCTTGCTGTGCACCTGCTGTGCTGGTGACCCATGCTTTGCTTATGTACCATACTGATTTGAACAATGTTTTTTTAATTAAAAAACAAAATCTGTGTCCAAGTACTTTGTCCAGTGCAAGCTATGACACTGGGTTTTAAAATACTTATTGATTTTATATTTATTTTAAAGTGATTGTTTTATGTATATTTCTTTTTAGTTGGTTTGTTGGTTTTAATTGTGCTCTATCTACAATTTTATTTGTGCAATTTTATTTTTTGAATAAGGGATTAATAAATTTTATGAATAAGATGTTGACTATGAACTCTTAATTTGTAAGTGTAACATTACAGTCTTTCAAATAAAAAGAGTAGTACATACAGGTCTGAAATCATTATCTTAACTTGTGACGCTTGCTGAATTTTCTGTACAGTAGTGAGTTTCTGTGCGCTGCTCTGGTTTGCCAGTTATGCTGGCCACATGACCCGGAAGCTGTCTGTGGACAAACACCGGCTCCCTCGGCCAATAGAACTAGATGAGCGCACAACCCCAGAGTCGTCCGTGACTGGACCTAATGGTCAGGGGTACCTTTACCTTTAGTGAGTTTGAGGTTAGACTAAATGGGGTTTTGGGATTCCCTCCAATTCTGTGGCAATATAGCTATAAGATGGGATTCTGTAGAAAAAGAGACTGCTAAAAAGGTCAAACAAGTTTCTTTATTAAGGAAATGACTTAGCTCTGTAAAGCATCTGCTTTGTTACATAACCTAGGACAATGTGTTGTGACAAACTAATAAGTGGAGATACTTCCCAACAGTTTACATAGGACTTCCGGTGAACTATGTCCTAACCTCGCTCCCAGTTTCATATATGGGCCAAAGGCACTTGGGAAAAGGTTAAAATAACTGAAACAACAGCCTTATCTGCAGAGCATTGGAATATCAGTTATCTGAAGGTTGTTGGCTCAAATGCAGGAAACTGTGAAACGTAGAAGGGTACACAAATGTTGCACATGAGAATAACTTTGACTTACCAGCCTTAGCTGAAACATCTTTTCATCACACAATTTAAGAGTGAGCTCACTTTCTGTAAAGGAAGAGTGTAAATAAATTATGAAAGCCATAGGAGTGTGAGGTGATTGGTGCGGAGACAGCAAGTATTTAACAGAAGTACAAGCCTCAGCCTCACATTTACAGTGAGTTTCTGTTCAGAGCGTGAGTGGAGACTCTGAGAAGTCCTTTGATATGGTATCCCCAACTCCTCTGGAACTTCCATCCTCAGGAGTTCTCTATGATTCCTTCACTACTTGCATTTAGGGCAGTCAAAACTTTTCTTTTCTATCAGGTTTTTGAGCCATCCTAGATATCTGGGCTGCTGTGAGTTTTGTTGTTGTGTTCATATTGTTTTTACTGATTTTAATGTGTACCACTATGATCTCTTGAGGGCAGAGAGGACATAAATTACTTTAAATAGAAAAAAATTATATAGCGACAAGCAGCAGTGTGAACACTAGCTCTGTAAGGCTGTGTCTGTAGAGTGAGAGAGATGAGGCTCTTTGTAGTGTGCCAGAGTCTAAACAGATGTTCTCCAGTGAGGGAAGTGAGGATAATCTCAGCATAGGAGCAAACATATTTCATATGAATGAGAATGATGCTCAACTGTATGAGCTGAAATTGAAGTGGCATGAATGGTGAGTCTGAGTGTCACTGCAAAGGAATATACTGGAGCGAGGTCAAAGAGTGGCAAATGGGTAAGCAGGTGTAAGGAAAAAGGGTGCCTCAACAAGTGCAATGTGAATTTGAAGCTGTGTAGAAGTGAACTTCACAGTAAGAGTTCCATGAACCTAAATGAGTGTTTTGGAGTATGAGCACCAGTATTTCATGAGGCTAGGAAGATGAGCTTTTGAGAGGTGAAAAGTGTTTTAACAGAGGCATTGGTTCCCGTGGCCAGCCCACCCATTAGGCCAGGTGAGCTGACCACCTCAGGAGGCAGTATCCAGCCTCCAAAGTATGCATTGCCTGCATCCACAGTGACAGCAGCAGATGCAGCACACTCTTTGGAGTCTGGATCGGCAACCTCCTTGGCAGCCCCCCTCCCCTTGCTGCCTCTGCAGCAGCCTCTTGAGGAATAGGAGGCACTGCTGATCTCCTCCCACCCCTAGGGAGGAAATAGTGAGGGCTGCTCTCAGCGGTCTCCTGAGCTCTGCACCCACCCACTTCAACCATCAGGTAAGGTTGATTTGACACCCCCTGCCCATTTCTGCTGTGGATCTTCACTCCTGCCTTGTTATCAATGTAGATCTGCATTCCCTCCCCCTTTGTTTCTGATGTAGGTCTTCACTCACCCCTTCCTCCCTGGCAGGTTGGGGGCACCATGTTGTTATTTGGCCTCAGGTGCCAAAAAGCCTTGGGCAGGCCCTGTTGGTTGGTTCCCTGCTTCCATACACATTTTGTGTCAACACACGCATGATGGTCCAGTGAGTTCCAAAAATCCCCACCTCAGCAAAACCTATTTAGCAGAGGAGAAAGTGGTGCGGGTATAAAAAACCAAAGTCAAAAGCGGTCTGGTGGGTGCAGTGTCCAGTTTTGGACTTTTTTTTTTTAACCTAAAGTCCAAGTCTGACTCTACCTCACAGGATTGTTTTGGGAATAAAAAGGTGAGGCTACATAGACCATCCCAAGCTCTGAAGAAGGCGAAGGCAGAATGAAAACGTAATACAGAAGCTGCCGTCAACTGAGGAGAGTGTGCTGGCGAGGAGTTATGGTCCCCCTCCAAGTGAAATGGGGGGACATAAAAGTGTTCCAGAGCCTGGATAAAAATATGGAAGAAGTGCTGAGGAGAAAGCATTTCGAGAGAGGGAGGGCTAAGTGAGAACTATGAGCCGTGCAAGACTGAGGAGAAACCACCAAGTGCTGGGCCTTAGGCCTCGATTACGCCTGGCTGCCTTTGCCTGCCTAACAGTGCGAACTACGCTGACAGCAAGAAAAGAACGAAGAGCGAGGCTCGAGCCAGATAAACCGTTGGGCGCTTTCAAAAAAACCCTCACAAAACCCCCCCTCAGAGGGTGGCGCGTTAAAGCCCCGCCCCTTTTTCGGCACGAGGCACAGCCGATTGCATCACAGACCGGTAAGACAGACCCGCGCGAGATCTCCCTCCCCACCCCCACCCCCGCCATCACAGTGTACAGGAAGTACTGCTGGAGCCACTTCCGGGGCGGCTGGAGTGACCGGACGACGTCCCGTCCTCTGAGTCCTCGGTCCTGAGAGGGTTTCCTTCTGGTGCCTCGGTTTCAAAAGCCGCCGCGATCCGTTTCTTTATTTTTAAAAAAAATAAAAAAGGCCCGAGAAGGCGGCAAATGGGCTTCTTGAAAGGCGCCGTTGTTTTGTGTTCGCGCTGGGCCTTCCCGAGGGCGCCCGTCGTTCCTGGACGGAGCTGGGAGACGAGCAGCACGTGGCTGGGATGAGTAGGTGAGTGGGGGTCCCGTGGCGGGCATGTGGGAAGGGGAGAGAGGGTGCGAGAAATGGCGGGGGGTGGCAGGTCGTCTGTGTCTGTGTGTCTGTTGGGGGTGGGGGGCTGCCTTTGTGCCCAGGTGAGAGTGGCGGTGAGGGTTGAGCAGCGGAGGAGGACGAGGAAGAAGAAGAAGGAGCCGACCTGCAGGAGGAGGAGGAGAAGAAGGAGCCCACCTGGATCAGGCGAAGGGCTCATCGAATCCAGGATCCAGCTTGTAGCAGCGGCCGTCCAGATTTCTCTTTAAAAAACGGCAGGCAAGGCGGGAAGGTGACGGACTCTCCCTCTTTCTCATGCTCCTAGTACTCCAGGTATACTGCGCCTGAACATGGAGGTTTGATTGAGCCCTTATGAATCAGGAGCCCTTGTTGGGCATGCCCAGCACGAATTTATCAGATCAATTAAAAGAGAAGAAGAACACTTGATTTGTGTGGTTTTTAAAAAAAGTAAATTTACTGTAGATGAGTGACGACTTTAAAAGGAAATTAAACAGATTTACCAACGGTGTAAACATGATTCCAGGAACATATATGTATAAATATATATAGTGAATGTATGTTAAGTATTGATAATATTTGGCTAGACTTCTATTTACTTGTTGGTATGTGGAATGTGTGTTGCAACATTTGAGATTGTTCTAGTATTTATATCATTGTAGTATTTAAGTGCAGTATTGATGTCATTGAACAATTCTTGTATATTCTGTATAATTTGCTTTAAAAAAGTGTAAGAGGGGCATTTTGCATTCCCTCCCCATGCCTTTTCCATCCATTGAAATGTATTGCTTTATACTGTATGTTATCACAATATGAAATAAAAGAAAAGTTATAAGTCATCACAGCATAAATTTTGTTCCCCTCCATACGACAAATGTAATGAAAAGTAAAACAGGATTAATCAGAACCTGTAAATAAAACCTGGTAGTCAGCCTTTCAAACAGTGGAATTATGAAGTCCAAGTAAGCCATTAATTTGCCATGGTTTACTATTTCTCATTTCCAGGCTTTTCATGAAGGAGTAGAATGCTTGACAGGGCCCAAGCCTTGACACAAAATGGGAAAGAGAGGTGCTGTGCAAATTTTGTTCTTCAAAGCATCCAATTCTTCTCTATCCGGTGTGTAGAAGGAGTGCAGAATTGAAAGCTTGCAGCCTGAGTCCAATTGCCATCTTCACTGGTGATATAACTCAGGCTAGGTCCCATAAGAGGGAGGAACAATATCTGTTCTACTTCCTATGCCTGCTTGAGGTGTGTGGCAGCTAGAAGAAGAAGCTCGATCTGTGGTTATCACAGAGGTAGTGCAGTCAGCTGCAGCTGCTCTGTACTGAGCCCCAAACAACATGGAGACCTGTGAGTGGGGACTCAGCTTGGAGTTCGTCAACCTGTTTAAACCTCTTTGGTAAGGCAAATTGTGCAGTGAAAGATGGAAACCCCTTTGGTAAAAAGATGGGTGGGAAGGAATGTGTCTTGAAAAGTGAGGATTGGTGAAGAGGTTTATGCCTGGAGTAGTGAGGCAAGGATGGTGGTATAGTAGGCACTGTTGTTTGAATCCTAAAAACTGGAATAACTACTCAGGCTTCCTTTATTTAATGACATATGGTGGGGGTAGAGAATGGGCTGTTAGATTTCTTTTGGTAGCTGGTAGAAAAGGGGTTGTGGTTGGGTGGTGCTTTTTTTAGTGCTATCAAATAACAAAGTCTTTCATTTTTACAGTACTGATACATAATTTCTTAGGCAAGCAGTGTGTCTAGACCAGGTATAGGCAAACACGGCCCTCCAGATGTTTTGGGACTAGAACTCCCATCATTCCTAGGTAACAGGACTAGTAGTCAGGGATGATGGGAGTTGTAGTTCCAAAACATCTGGAGGGCCAAGTTTGCTTATACCTGGTCTAGATAGGTGTGCTCGGAAATGCGCACCCCCACCCCAAATTTTCTTTGAATCCATGGTTTGAGAACTGTTAATCTGCCTCTGGAATGAAGGTGTTCATGTGCAGCTAGATAAGTGGTAGATGGAATGTAGTTTTGTGTGGTCTACCTTTTCATCTTCCTAGCCTCTCTGTATTCCAACAATGTGTTAAGTGCATTCTCCAGATCTTTTTAACAGTTAAGGCAGTAAGTAATTTATCTAATGTGGTGCTAACCATGCACTCTTCCTTAAAAACATAAGCAGGTTATTAGATCAGATCTAGATCTACGTAGCCCAACATCCCTTGCAAAAATCCCAGCAAACTGCAGGCTATAGGTTATCAAAAGCTGACCTGTCATCCACCAATAGATTACAGTTCTCACACCTCTCTAGATACTGAGAAATGAGGCACTGAGAGAGAGAGGAAGAAGGAAATATTAAGGTATGTGGCAACTAGAATTGGAGGGAGAAAAGCAGATATATCTGGCTGGGTGCATGCTTCTGAAATTTTTAAGTGGCCTATGGTTTAGGAGAGGCTTTATAGTTGAGATCAGTATTTGTGTGGCCTCCAAATAGTCAATGAGCTTTAAGTTATAGTACAGTTGAGACGTTTGGAGGTCAGAACTAGAGAAGCATGCTTTTGCTGGGATCTGAGCCAGTATGGGAAGGTGGGGGATGGGGAGGATCAGTCAAAGTCACTGCATAATTGTTCCTTGACCCTTGACTGTGGAGTAAATGTTTAATATGCTTGGTAGCACAACTTTGTCTTTTATCGTGTAGAAAGATGAACTTTGCAATTCAATTAATTACTGTTTTTATTGCTGTTATTAAAGATTGCAGAAGTGTCTAGAAGCTTTTGGAAGCTGTGTGGGAAAAGTTATTTATTTATAGGTAGGATAAGCTGGGGTACAATGTCTAGAAAGCCTTCATGAATTGCAAAATCTAATTGCTTTTTCAGATCTCCGTAGTGAATTTGTGCTTTTAAAAACCTCTAAGCTTGCCATCTGGTACTGATTATTGCTCTTTCGGAGCATGATCTTCTGGCAGGACAAATAATTTTGCTGACATAATAAATAAGAATCTGAATATAATTTGTGACTCAAATATGAGATGGAGAGAGAAGGCTTATTTTAAATATACAGTGGTACCTCAAGTTACAAACACCTCAGGTTACAAATGCTTCAGGTAACAAACTCCGCTAACCTGGAAGAGTTACCTTGATTTGAGAACTTTGCCCCAGGATGAGAACGGAAATCGTGTGACGGCGGCACAACGGCAGCAAGAGGCCCCATTAGCGCAAGCACGCCTCTAGTTAAGAACAGTTTCAGGTTAAGAACGGACCTCTGGAACGAATTAAGTTCGTAACTAGAGGTACCACTGTACCAGCACCTTTCCAACTTCCTCAGTTTGAACAACCAGTGGAAACCAGCTTGGGGATTTAAACACCAGATCCTAGGTATGTTAAACTAATTTTTGACTTGGAGATTATCTACAAACTTTTATTAAAGATTCCCCCAGAGAATCCAGGGAATTGTAGCATTATCAGGATGCTGAGGATTGTCTGCTAGAGATCTCTAGCACCCCTTGCACAACTACTACCCAATGACGATGGAGAAGTGAGGTCTTTCGCTTCATAGGGAACTTTTTTCAGCCCAAGCACCACATTCCTTTCTGGGCAGCCTTTGCGGGGGCGATACTCTAGTGCAGTGTTTCTCACACTTGTGCCCCCAGCTGTTGTTGGACTACAATTTCCATCATCCCTAGTTAGCAGGACCAGTGGTCAGGGGTGATGCGTGTTGTAGTCCAACAACAGCTGAGGACACAAGTTTGAGAAACACTGTCCTAGTGGTAGGTGGAGCCAGAGACAAAAGTGGCCAGAGTAATGAATCTCAACCTACTAACCTACCTTGATATGGTAGGCTAGTTTCTCTACCCATGCACATACCCCTTTCTATCCTCCATTCAGAAAATCAAAAAGCATTGTCAGAGGTTACAGACACATTCCAGCCCAGCAAACACTCAAGGAAGCAACAGCCTTGAGAGGGGGTGTGGCTAGGGAGAGTTAGAGGGTCAGGTAGGAGCCTGGACCAGTGTTAGAAACTGGCATAGGAAAACTAGGAGCCATGTGGCTCCTGGGACTTGGGTTGTGGACACCAAAGCAACATGTTTAGGTGCCATTTTGTTTCCTGCCACGCTATCCCACAGACCATCTGATTTGCCCAGCAGTGTAGCAGCAGAATTTTTTTTTAAATTGCCGGCGAATCAGGTGTTCTGCAGGGTAGCGTGGCAGCAAATGACACACATCTTTTGCTGCCATGGTACCCAGCAGACCAGCTGACTGCAGCCAGGCAGGTGGAGATGTTAGGTGTCAAAGGTGGTGCCCAGACATCTCCATCCAGTCGCAAAAGGCCTCCATCCAGTCGCAAAATGCATCTGGCTCCCGGCTCATTTCAGAAGTGTGTTGCATGTGTTTCCATATCTAGTTGGTTTTCAAGGAAAAAATGGATGAGCAGGTGTTAGGATTTTAAAAAATATAGCCTATCCCATGTCTGATTGATTGCAGTTATAGCCTACCTTTTCCTCCAAGGAGCTCAAGGTGACATATCATATGGTTCACTTCCCCCCTGTTTTGATTCACAACCCTGGGAGAGGTAAGTTAAGCTGAGAGACTGTGACTGGTCCCATGTCATCCTGTGAGCTTCATAGCCAAGCAGGGATTTTGCTGGGAATCTCAGGTGAGATACCCACACAGTGGAAGTTGCTTCCAGTACCATTCATCACACAGAAGCAGAGAAAGGTTCAGATGGTTTACTGTTGCAGAAAATAAGGCTCCGTAAAACAGTTATGGACGTAGATATAGGCAGCTTGTAGGCTTTTGCAGATACAAATACGTACGGATCCATGCAAGTACAAAGTATCTCTGTTGCTCTAAATAAGTCCAGCAATTCAGGACGTAATACTGGACAACCGACTGGCTTACCCACTTACAGCTAGACACCACTGAGCTGATATGCATTAATCACAGATATTGTTGGGGCACTGGGCCATTACCATAGCGATTAGAGCATGGTGCTGATAATTAATGCCAAGGTTGCAGGTTCGATCCCCGTATGGGGCTGCTTCATATACCAGCATTGCATGGGGTTGGACTACATGATCCTCTGAGTCCCTTCCAACTCTGTAGTTCTATGATTATATGATCCATGGGGTGATTTACGCTCCTGACGTATAGTAACCTCTTCTTATGCCCAGTTACTCCAGCAGAACTGTGGTCTTCCAGTCCTAGTCCAACCCTCTGACCACTATACCACACTGGCTGTACAGTTAGAGATGGGGATTAGGTGATTCGGTGATCCCCCCTCTGCCTTATCAAAGGAGTAGTAAACCTCAGTCTGTGTTGTACCACTGCTGCAGGAGGAGGAATTACTTGACTTACTGTTCCTCCATATGGAATTATCTTCATGTAGGAACACTGGATATCAAGGAGGCTATAACCTTTGTTTATGCAGAGAGAGGCACTCGGTTATTTCCATACCTGCACCCTGAAGTTGTGCAGCCCAGAGTACGATGCTGTTCTTAAAAATTGCAAGATGCCCAGCTCTCCATTTTGTCCACCAACTCACACAAATCCTATGCTGTACTAGCTCCCCACAAAGTGTTCAGTATTTGTGCAAATTCCTTTCGCTTCTGTGGGCATTTGGGATTCATACTGACATCCCTGGTCTGGGTGTGGCCTACATTTCCCCCCTGTCCAGCTGATCCTGCCAGGGCAGAATGTGCCTTTGAAGCTTCTTTCAGTTAATTCTGGGCTGCTGTGCTTGCATGCAAAATGCCTTGAGTCTGTGTTAAAGCATGGTAAGGTATGAAATGGAGGGTTTTCTGCGATGTACATCCCAGCTCAATAAAGAGCTTAAGGGATTTCTTTTCACTGAATTATTGGGGGCTGGCGTCACACAGAGGGTTGAGCTGGAGCAGCTTTGCCACTTGGCTGCTCACCTAGGCAAGTAGCAGTTGCACCTGGGTAATCCATCCAATTGTAGCCACCTTCATCCTCAGCAGTGCTGAAAGACAGCATTAAATTGCAATGTGCATGGGGTTAATCGGCTTTGTGATTGAAGGTCTTTGTTTTCTGCACTCTCGGAGATAAGAACGCAGAGAGGAGCTCTTGTGGCTGCCATGCTGTTTGCCCTAGGGGAGAGAGCAGAAACAGGGCTGTCTGTTCCACTTCCTCATACCGTGTTTGTGTGCATGTGTAGACACGGAGGAAGAACCCCTGCTAAAGCAGTGGGCTAGAGACAGAAGAATGGAGGCATGCAGAATGATTCCAACAGTTTGCAATAGCACAGAGATGTTGTTGGTGAGCTTCAGATTGTGAGAGGGACAGTAGGGCATGACGACCACAAAATTACTGCATACTGCATACTTTTTGCCCTGTCCAATTTGCTGAGTCATTCTGAAGATAACCTGAGATAAGAATTCTAATGCACGTTCCCCCTATGTAGAAGTGCTATGGAAGTGATGATGTTTCAAAATCTTTTTCATCAGAAACAAATAGGAGACAGGCCTAAATGCAATTTAGTAACCAAGTTTGAGGATCTCCTTTTCCAAAACCATACACTATTCCCTGCACTGTGTTGATCTGCTTCTTGGCTTGTAGAGGTTTTAACAACCATATGGATGGGTATGGGCTGTGCCTGTGCTATAGCACCAGCATTTTTAAAATTTATATTAAAAAACAATAGAAAAACAAGTATATTATTCCCATTGTTATTTGATGGACAACTCTGCTTCTGTAATCCAGTTGCTCTATCCAGAATCAAAACTCTGAGTTTTGTAAATAATCAAATACTGTACTACTTCCCCCCCCCTCAAGCCTGCACACTGAACGGCTCTGTTCAAAATGAAGCAGGGTGATGGTGGTGTTAAGAGTTTTATCCCACCCCTTTTGCAAGTAGCTCGGAGGCTCTTGCTTATCTGCTGCCAGCTAGCATCATCCTGCCCCCTTTTGAAAAGCTGATTGTATAAGCAGCATGTGCAGTCGAGAAGCCTCACCCCTTTCTGTAGCTGTGCAGATAATAGCTGTCAACTAGGACTGGATGTGAAAGCTCATGTTGGGTGGGGTTTCTTGCAAGTCTGGACAGCAATCAAGGAGATTGGGCACAAGAAATGTGCCAGTACATTAGAGCCCACTTGTGACCCATGCATAATATAGGCAGTTGCCTGTGGCATCTGAAAGCTTGAAGCCAATTTCATGTTTGTAACTAAACCCCATGCAACTCAAGGGCTGAATAATCCTATATAAGATTGTGCCGTAAGCCTTCATAAAATAATGACCGCAGACTGAACAATGGGCACTAATTCATTGTACTGCTGTAGTTGAGCACTTCAACTTGTAAGCTGCCTGTAAATATAACAGCTGTAATTTTTTGTGATTATGCCCTTTGTGGTTTCAAATTCAGATTCCTTTTGAATCAGATACTCTTTTGAAGGTAGGATGCTTAAACATTTTTCAGGCTAGAAGAAACAGCTTATTGAGCTGCCTTTCCATTAACATTATTGTTTTTTTGGGGGGGGTTGCATTTCCTCCCTGTAAATCGTTGTGATTTCTTGCATAGTGAAGCACTGTGGTAATTTGGTGAAGGGAAAAGGTTTGAGCACCATTATCCATGTTCTAAGAGGCTTTACTGGACTTCCGTAAAAATAATAATGATGATTATGATAATAATATACATACTCAGACGCTGTTTGAGTCAAGAATGGAAGATGCTTGTTTAGTTTATAAATACAGTAGTTTATTACTGATTTTAATTTTTGAATGTTTTAAATAGTTGTTTGTAACAGTTTTTGCTGATAATTTAACTGGTTTTTGTTTTTTGGTAAACTGCTTTGAGGTTTTAACAATCATATGTATATATTTTATTAGATAGATACCGTACTTTTCCGTGTATAAGAAGACCCCCCACTTTTTAGCATAGTTTTAAAAGAAAAAAACCTAGTCTTATACACGGAAAAGTATGGTAGATAGATAGAGCAGACCGGCAGCATTAAAATGGCTACCTTAGAAAGCACTGCTCCTGCAATCATGTTGCAGCTGACTTATGACAGGCCCTATCGTTGTTTTACAGGTGAGCAGCACAATGACTGAAAATTCATCTGGGAATATGCAGGGGGGCATCACCCCCATGCAGCAGATGCTGGCATCTGGAACTGGGGCCCTCTTCACCTCTCTTTTTGGTAGGTACCCTGCATTTATTCTGCATTTTTTCCTGGGCCAGTTCGAGTGACATGGATGCATACCAAAAATGTGCAGTGACTAGAAGGCGTGGTTTGCACTGGCTTCAACTAGCCTGGCTCATTTTCCTTCCTGTGTATGCCTCATGTTTTGCTGCCCCATTGCTGCTGGCCACCTTGTCTATGCTCTGGCATTGTGAAAATGTGGATGTGCATTGAAAAATAAGGAACTGGACCTGTGGAGAAGTAGTTACATAACTGGTTCGCCACTTGTGCAAACTGGGCCTGTTTACTGTCAGCCAGCACCATGGCCGTGTGGTTGGGATGGTATAAAGTAGCCTTTTGCCATTAATTGTTTGATTGGGATGCACCAAGGAGAGCACTGCTTCTCTTGTGCCCAGTCATAGTATCTTAGATTGAACAATTTGGGCCCTGTTCACATGTGATGTTCATCACTCAAATACTGCGCCAATAGCTGGTGACTGTTATGTAGTTTCACTTTGCCTCTGCCACAATACTTCCCATTAGAGGCAATGTACATGTTCATTAGCAAGTCAGATGGTGCACCTGTGAACCAGTCCTTAGTCCAGCTTTTCTCAAACTTCTGGTAGTTGAAATGCACTTTCATCTGAATAAAAAGTGAAGGCACACATCACTCTTGCATCCAAAAATCTTTACCTGGAGGTGGAAGAATCTCCTCTCAGGGAGGGGGAAATACAGTGGTACCTCGGGTTACAGACGCTTCAGGTTACAGACTCCACTAACCCAGAAATAGTATCTCGGGTTAAGAACTTTGCTTCAGGATGAGAACAGAAATTGCACGGCGGCAGCGGGAGGCCCCATTAGCTAAAGTGGTACCGCAGGTTAAGAACATTTAAGAACGGACCTCCAGAACGAATTCAGTTCTTAACCCGAGGTACCACTGTATTTCCAGCACAGCTGCCGCACCTGTGCTCTTTTGCCAGGCTCCAGGGCGGTTCCCTTGAGAGTGTGTTCCTTTGAAGTTCAAGCAGTACATTGCCATTCCTTCCTTCAGGTAAACATAATCCAAGAGTACAGCAGCATACCAGTTCGCCAGGTTCACCCAGGTGCATTGCCACATCTTCTAAAAATACTTTGCAGGTGTAGGGGCAGCATAGTGTTTGATATCTTTCTTCCCGCTTCCCTCACTCACAAAAGTAGATGCACCCATTCATAAGGTGAGTGGGGAGCAAAAGGAAGGAAATTTTAACCTCACATTGTGTTATATTCAGAAAGCATCTTTAGTGATCTTCCCAGTGGCTGCTCTGCACCTATCCAAACCTGTTTCTCTGATCCTCTGGCTCTGGGATACTGGGCATATGTCTGTTCTGTAAAATGTGTGTATTATTATTATTATTATTATTATTAAATTCCCCAGCCACTCTGCATATTAATAATAATAATAATAATAATAATAATAATAAACTTTTATTTGTATCCTGCCCTCTCCGGCCGAGACTTGGCTCAGGGCAGCTAACATCAAATATAATATATAACCTTGGTATAAAATCAAACAATAATTAAATTACCGGTACCTCCTAAAAACAAGTCAGGATCAAATCTTAAAGCATTCTAAAAACATTAAGCATTAAAAAACTCTTGATATAATCAGTCCCTTTTGTGTTGTGCTTTCAGTCACACCCTTGGATGTGGTGAAGATCAGATTGCAGGCTCAGAGGACACCTTTTTCTAAAGGTAAGCAATTCTTCCTTTTTGGACTGGAAGCCATTAGGGAGGAACCTTCCATCTCTTGGATGCCATTGGCCTTGGACAGCTGCCTTAAGTTTCAAAACTGCTTTGACATACATAAAAGCTCTGTGGGCTTGGAGCCAACCTTAAAGTTCAAGAAAAGCCCTTGGTGCAGAGCTTTCTGGAACTACTTCAGAATGCAACCGGAGAGTGGGGGCTTCCATGTTTAAATGCTGTCCCTCAACCCAGAAGAATCCCTTGTACACAAATAGCCTTTCCCCCGCTGAGCTGGTTTTCCAGAATGAGGGAGTTTTTGATTGGGGGCAGCATTCAAACCTGCAACTTTCCCCACCTATGTTCCTGGAGGACTCTGCTGTTTTTCCCGTATGATGAAAATTCACCCTTAAAGGAAGTGCACTGCTAGGGCTTAATTGTGAGTGGCTCTGGACTGGACTGTAGCATGCTTTGTAGTGTGTCATGCTGAGTGGTTTGATAACCACGGCCTCTTGAGTCATTTTGCTTAGCCCATAACTGGCTTGTGCCCGTAGGTTAGTGGGACTTGACAAAATTGTTTAACCCTCCCAATGAACATTAAGCCATCCATCTCTTTCCATCCTCGATGTCTTACCTTGGAGCAGTGCCCCATATCTGTTGGAAGCCCTCCTCAGGTTACCAGAAAACCTGTGGCTTTCTAAATATTCTTGGACTCTGACTCTCATCAGCCTCCACCAGCATCGCCAGCAATCAAGGATGATGGGAGTTGTAGTCCAACAACATCTGAAAGGCCACAGGATTTCCCAACGTTGCCCCAAGCCATTTGGGTCTAGAAAATTATGGGTTAAAAAAAAATAGCCAGGTGCATGGGGGAAATTACAATCTGTATTGCAGACTGTATTGCACAATCTTTTTGCAGCCAGAGTCCCCAGACAGCTACTTCTTACCCGCTGCCTCAACTAAGGGTCCTCATGTCCCTTCAGCTGTTCTTCCTCCCTCACCTCTCTCTAAGTATTTCCATGTTATGTCTTTTTCAGTGTTTTCAGTACAGTGTATGCCCTGGAGCATTCAGCAGCCCAAATGTGAGTATATCAGATGCTTTCCCATATAAGCTGCCATTCTCTTTGGATGCAGCTCTGACCCTTTTACTATTTCCATGAGCATCTGGTTGGCTACTGTGAGAGCCACGTGGGGCTAGATGGGCCTTTGGCCTGATCTAGCAGCGCTCCTCTTTGCATACTGTTCATGCTCCCAAAGGAGAGTGCTGGGAGCTTGTTCTTCCTTCCCCTGCCTTCCAGCTCTCGGGGGAGAATGATCCTATCCCTCCTTCACCAAAGACGCTGGTGTTCATCTATCTTTGTTGTATTCCTGGCACAGAGCATTCAGAAGAACGTGTGAGGGCTGAAATTGTGCTGGGATGCCCGTGTCGGCTTCTTCTCAAATATCCCCATGCGCACCTCACCTGGCCCTTCCTCTCTTGATGCGTTAATGTCCGCAGATCTCCTCTGCCAAGAAAAGTAGAATTAGTTGTGGTAGCCCTTCATAACATGCCATCACTGTCTTGGTTGAAACCAGGACCTCAGAATAATAAGGTATCGCAGAGACGGGATGCAGGGAGAATGACTTGAGGTGCTCACCAATTTTATTTCCCTGTCTTGTTATGTCCTACTAAGTAAGTTACTTCATCTTCCCCATGTTTCACCAATTTGTCCATCCTTGTTCAGAGGCATTGGATGGGTGAGCATGGCCTAATTTGTCCCTTTTGGTGCTGCTGATCTAAGTATTTCTGCCTTGGGCCTGCTTCATATCATTATAGTGTGTGATATTTGTATGAATACCTCATCGTAGATGCTGGTGCAAGTCTGCAGCTTCTTGAGTTCAAAGCAACGTTGTGACTTTTGTGAGCTCAGCACATATAGTGTGCATTGTGGCCCTTCAGATTGCAGGGGAAGACCTGCATATTTGAACGTTCCCTCACAAATAGAAAGTTAGTGCTTTCTCCTCACAGATAGAAAGTCAGCACATCAGGGGTAAGGGCTTTACCCTAACCACCTCCCTAAAGTACCATCTTTCAAGCTCAGCCAGTCATTAAATGTTGACATGCTCCTTTTACTGCCAGTGGCCCACCATTGCTTGGGTTTGGGACTGCCACAGCCAGAAATGCCCTCTCTGGCTCATAAAATGATACCATCGCATTCTCCTGTTTAGTACCTCTTCCATGTGGAAAGGCTGCAGCTTCCCCTCTCCTCTGAGCTCTCTCTGGAGTTGAGATGCGTGTAATTGGGCCCTTGTGTATTCTGCACATTGTTCCCCTCTGCCCAGCTACGAATTCTCTTATCAGAAATAATAATAGTGTCTTTAGATATGTTTTAATTTTACACAATTCATTCTGCTTCCACAAAATCTTCAGTTTTGAACCTCTTTTCTTGTGCTTTTTTTGTTGTTGCTAACAAACGATGTGAAAAGTCCTTTCCATTTTTCTTTGCAGCCATGCAAGCTAGAATGCCTGTTTATTTTTAGCAAAAACTGAGCATCGTTGCATGCTGAATTGAACATTGGGTAGCACAGAATATATCTGGCACTGCATGTTGCATTGGTGGGTAGAAAGCTGTTCCCACCTTCTATTTTTAACTGTTGCGAGCATTTTGTCTCCTCTGTGTGCATCTCCTTCTTTTCCTTCCCGTGTCCCATAACTTTTGTGTCTCTTTGCTTTAACCCCTTTAATTTATGTCTGGTTGAAGGGAGTAGCTGTGTGTTGGGGCTGGTGGCCCTGATGTTGCCTTCTGGGGAGCAGGTGATGGCTTCATGGGTAGACAACCCCAATGTAGCATGTCCAGAATATTTCAGCTTTATGAGGACACAGTTCTGTCTTCATGAAAACAGCCTATTTATCTTCTTCTGCAACCTGCTCTTGGGTCTATTGCATCTGCTATGACTTAAGTCTGAAAACATCTAACTTTTCAATGCCTTAGATGGACAATAGATGTTTTATACAGCACCCAATTAACTTGCACATTCATTACTACAGGGATTCCGTGATTATTGATACCAATACCTTTTTAAAAAACCACTGACCTGTCCTTCATGACCAAAAGCTGAGACTGGAACCAGAAAACTCCCTCTGATAATTAGATCTTGGGACAAACAAGGTCTAGTTGTCTTTTATCACATCCTGCTAGATTTTCACACTAGGGAAACATCTGAGACATGGATAACTTTGGTTTTGCTACAGAAATTCCCAAAGCTGGGAGGAATTTTCAGCAGGATCCAAACATGAAGAAAACTGCTCTTTACTATTATTTATTTATTATTTTATGTTCTGAATGCAAATGCATCCAGAAACGCTAAACTGCATTTAAAAATGAAACATTTGCTATTTATATAGCCACCCCGTGTGACAGTTCATAAAGCAAAAACAACATTGGAAATACAATATGAAACTCTAATAATTGTAACTATTTTTTTAAATTAAAAAATGAGCATTACTGCTGCAGGATTCAGCATGAGCCTGAGATTGACAGGCACGTGTGTTCAGGAGCAGGTGACAAATTGGAAATGAGGGAGCAGTTAAGAACACCTGTTTTCTGGTGATACAACAGCCCCCGCCCTCCTCTGAGCACTGTTCCTTCTTGTCCCCCTGTCCTCCGCAGGGAAATGCTTCCTTTACTGCAATGGCCTCATGGACCACCTATATGTGTGTCAGAATGGAAACAGCTGCACAGCCTGGTATAAGACGCCTACTCGCTTCACGGGCACTTTGGTAAGGTTCTGCGTGATGAAGGGCTGGACCATCTCCCACTGGAAGGCCTTATAGTTTGAGTTGGCTATATAACCTGGGTGGAGGTGGGTGGCTGAAAATGTGGCAAAGACATAGATTAGGTTGCTATCCCCCACCCCTGTTAAATATATATAAAAGGCCTCTAGATAAATTGCTTTAGGGACTCGTAAGTGTATGGCTGGGGTTGACCTGAGGCGTGGCTGTCTACACCCTCCTAAGGTGATGTGAAGTAGGGAACTGGAGGGACGTAGGTGTGCTGCTCCCTCCCATCAGCCAGGATAGCTCAGTTAGGTAGAGCATGGTGCTGATAACACCAAGGTTGCAGGTTCAATCCCCATATGTGACAGCCACATATTCCTGCATTGCAGGGGGTCGGACAAGATGGTCCACAGGGCCCCTTCCAACTGTGATTCTGTGATCTGTAGCCAAGGTTTGTTCTTTGTTCTGGGGTAAAACCAAATCCCATGTAGTTCCAGGAGCATATGCATGTGCAGGTGGGAGATGAGGAAGGAGAAGCTTTTTCTATGCAGGGCAGTTTGGAGCAATGAAGGGGTGGGTTGGGAAAGGGTTAAGCACCCCTTTGTGCTGCCCCCTCACCCGCCCCAACAGCTGCTTCCCTGCCAAAGCTGGGGTTTTTCCTTGTAAGAACCAGGCCTCTTGGGAGCTCATTACAGGGGTTTTTGTATGACTTCTAGTTCAGCGGTGTGGCTCAGCTCCAGGGTTTTATTCCAACCAACTGCTCTCTCCTTCACTGCCCGCCTTTGCCTCTTGTTTTTTCCAGGACGCTTTTGTGAAGATAATACGCTATGAGGGCATCCGATCCTTATGGAGTGGCCTTCCACCCACCCTGTGAGTGTGGACATAAGTTACATGCAATTAAATTTAAATCCCAAGGTGCACAATTTCGGGAAGTAACACACATACTGTCGTTTTAAAACAGCGGGTGAGGAACCTTTTCGGCCTGGCAGGCCAGATCTTCATCTGTCCCCACCCCCATAGGCTGACTGTGACAGCTTAGTGGGACCACCCACTTGTCACTCACATGATGTCAGATGATTGACACATGGGCTGACCTTCCCCACCTGTCCAAGTCCCTTGTGCAGCACTTCCCAAGTGTCCACAGTCTGCCCAGTGCTTGGGAACAGCAGCACAGTTTACTAACCCTTCCTTTAAAAGCACTATTAACATTTTATCATTTTTATTGCAATGTATGATTCCCATCAGTTTGCTGCCCTAGCAGATCCTGTTCTGCCTTTGGAGCGTTCCACATCCCCAAAAACATTGAATTAGGGAATAACTTCAAGAAGGAAGCCTGGTGATCACACTTGGTTGTCTGGTCTGCTAGTGTGTGTCTGCACACGTCTGCTTGAACATGCGGCATGGGCATGTACTCCCAAGAAAACCATCTTTGGGCAATTACATGATTTAGAAGCAACAAACACAGTTTTACAGCATATAAAGTAACCCAGTGAAAGGTGTGGAAGCTTCCTGCCAAGGTAAAGAAGTGAGAAGGGAGATCTCCAGTCTCTCGTTTCTTTGCTGCTTTCTTTCAGCACTGCTCAGTGAATTGTGAATTCTTATCTACGTGATCAGAATTATTGATGGGCTTATGGGCAATGTCAGATTTGCAGCGCATTGGCATTGGAAGTAGTTGGGTTCTACACGGGCATGCACACTGTACTTTATGGGACCATGGCACTTAATACCCACAACTTTTTAACAGGGTGATGGCTGTCCCTGCCACTGTGATCTACTTCACTAGCTACGATCAACTACGCGATTTATTGCGTGCCAAGTTGGACAGCCAAGCACGGTACATCCCACTAGTGGCTGGAGCTGTTGCCAGATGTGAGTATCACCTCTCCTGTGTTTGTATATTTGCAGGAGCAGCCTGCCTTTCTGCTTTTAATTAAATGCACATATTGTAAACCACTAGCTTTTCAGAATGCAGACGTCGTCCGCCCCCCGTATAGGCACACTGCTAGGAAACAAACAAATAATTCAATTCGAACCTGGAAATTGTGAGAGAGAGTTGGAGAGTCCTCGTTGCTTGCAAGGAAACCATCTCCAAAGCCAGAAGACGACATCAGTGAGGGCAGAGGAAGCCCCAAAGAGACTGGAAGCACAGCCAGGCTTTGTTTAAGCTGCTCAGCCTCCCTGCCTAACAGCAGATAGCGTGTGGTGGTGCTGCGTTGGCGTCTTCTCCTCCCAGCCTCCAGCCATGTCCAGAGCTTCAGTTCTAATTGTGGATATTTTTGGATAAATTATTTTCGGATTGGAGAGAGAGGGTGTTTAAATTGTGTTTAGAGAGTGTTCCCCACTTACACGATTCTCACGCGAATGTGTGTGGCGCCCCAGAACATAACCTACACATAAGGGGTGGGGGACACCTGTACTTATTATTTCCCTAGTGTTTGTAGATGCCAATCTCCATTTTTGGAAGACTTTATGTTTAGAAAAGGGGTCTTCTGGAGAATATGGATGTTTGGAAGCATTTTAGAGGTTTGGATTACATGTGCCATATAAATGCTCAAGACAGGAAGTGGACGTGGTGCCTTCCATATGTTTTGGACTACTTCTCCCAGCATTCCTGACCATTGGCCATTCTGGCTGAGGCTGTTAGGAATTGTAGTTCAATAAGATCTGGAGTGAACAACATTGGCTGTCCCAAAATACATAAAGATCCTAGCTGCTGTGCATCTAAAGTACACAGGTCTGGAAGGGTAGACATATGTCTTGTTTTGAGTCAAGAGAGGAAAAAGGGCTGCCTTACCACTGGATGGATGGAAATATATCAGGAGGGAAACCATTACTGTTAGCTTGTATGAAGGATATTTTGCTGAATGAGCTTCAGAAGTAGGAGCGTGGGAGGGAGGGAGCGAGATGGAGAGAGAGAGACTGACAGTTCCTGCAGGATACTGGGACAGGGGAACTGAAGTTCAGGTGAGCACCATCCTTCCACCACCACCCCTTCTCAAAAAATAGACAACGTTGAGAGATGGCAATATGACGGCAGGTTACAGGAGTGGGTGTGTAGGATGTAAAACAAGGATAGATGCCACAGTTATGCCTTCCTTAGAAACCTCCCTGAGCCATTCTTTGCCTTTTTTGTTCACCACCAGCACCACAAATGAACAATTATTCAGGGCAGATCTCTGCCAACTCTTCTTTCTCTTCCCACCCCCTCAAAAAGCTATTTTTGACAGCCAGAATTGCAGACTCTGTGTTCAGATATAAGCTAGCTTTTGGATCCTAGATCTGAATGACTAGGAACAGGGTTGAAAAATCAGATTCCTACCCTACTTATTGCTACCTTGTCAGATCTTACTGACCAGGGGGAAGCTGGAATACTGAGCTAGATGGCATTTCTGTGAAACCTACTACTTCAGTTCGCACATTTTCCGACGCCCAGGCACCTAAAGGTTTCCTCAGTTTACATGCCACTGGCATTGTAATCGATGACTGCCAGTCAGCTCTTCTGCATGCACGTGTCTTCCATTTGGTCTTTGCAGTGGAGGAACCGGGAACTGCCTTGATTAAACTGGGGCTTGATTTCATGTGCCACTCTGATCTCTCTTCCCTAGTGGGTGCAGTGACAGTGATCAGCCCCTTGGAACTCATCCGAACAAAGATGCAATCCCGACAGCTGAGCTACCGGGAACTGCGTGTCTGCATCCAGTCTGCTGTGGCCCAGGACGGATGGTTCTCTCTCTGGAGGGGCTGGGGGCCCACAGTTCTGCGGGACGTTCCCTTCTCAGGTATGGAAGTGACACAGGGAAGGGAGCAGAGAGCAGTAACAAGAGGGTTTGGAAGACGTTGCATACAGAAATTTGGGAGGAGCTAGGCATGTTTTGTTTTCTGAGCAAAGGTTATGCAAGGCGGCTGCTTTCAAGATACCAAAAAAATGAGACTGTTCTCACCTCTCAAAAGGGTTCATCTTCAACTTATTGTTGAGTACAATGTCTTAAGGACAGCAGTGCATCGTTACTTTATATTACCCATGAAAGTTGTAGAATCTCCACCAATGTGGTTTTTTTTTAAAAAAGGGATTGGACAAACACCTGTCCTTTGCTCAGGATATCCTGTTATTGTAGGGGGTGGAGAAATACAGTCCATTCCCACTTGGAGATAGACACACTAGATGGTGTGTGGGTCTCTTTTGCCTTTGGCATGTCTGAGTGAATCCAGAATCCTGATAAGAGTTTTAACACCCCTGTTTTGTGGAACTGCCCTGCTATTATGAAGGTTGGCATATGAATAAATAAACTGAACAAATAAATATTACCGTTAGATCTGGGCAAAGGGTCAAACACAGGGATTCTGGACAGAGCGGGGGAGGGCTGCAGCTCTAACAAGCAAGCACACCTTCCCCCCACTACCAAAAAGGAAGCATATTCAGCTTTCTGCGGCCTGCAGTTCCCCTCCCTCCTTTGACAATCTGTCTCTTCCTCTTTCCCCCCCACAGCTCTGTACTGGTATAACTATGAACTGGTGAAGGACTGGTTGTGCACCCGATTCTGTCTTACCGAGGCCACCTTCATGGTCAGCTTTGCAGCTGGTGCCATTTCTGGCACGGTGAGTGCCGGCGCTTGACCGTTCTTTCCAGTGGCCTTGAGAGAGATGTGAGGCAGAGCAGCCTGCTGAGCAATCTTCTCTTTAACTGTGACTTTGGGAGCCTCTTAACCAGTCCCCTTTCTGCAGCCAGGAAGGCTGTAAAGATGGTGGCCTTCTTTCTTTATTTCTTCCGTGTTGGTCAGCAGAAGTGAATGTTAGCATGCTGCTTATTGTTAAGCATATGCTTTCTTAGCTCAGTGATGGGAGCGAATGGTGTATTTGCAGCATTTGTAAAATGTAGCTAATGTGACAGATTTTAATGATGCACCTCTGGAGTAGGGAACATTCCTCAATCTGGTCATGAATAATGTTCTGAAGGCTGTATTCCAGTGGTGGGTGGAGCCAGGAGGAAAACTGGGTGGAGCCATGGGTGTGAACTTTCTGGTTAGCTCCGTTGGTTGGAGGATGGTGCTGATAACACCAAGGTCACAGGTTTGATCCCCATATGGGTACATATTCCTGCATTGCAGAGGGTTGGACTAGATGATCCATGGGGTCCCTTCCAGCTCTACAATTCTATAATTCTATTCCTGATGCACACATAGGACCTTTACCATTATTTATCGCAAACCATTTTTCCTTCTCCGTGTGCATTCTGAACAGTAGATTCTTCATCAGTGAAGGAGGGTACCTAAAATGGATTTTATCTTCTCCCATTCACTCCAAGGGGGCCGTGCATTTATGCAGATTCAGAAAACTTTGTCCCCTTTGGGTGTTGGAGGCACTGCCAATTCCATTCCTACCTGCTCCAAGACGGGGTGCTTTTCTTCAGAGCTCCTCCCTGTTTCAGTACAACAGCTCTTTCCCTCCCCTGTTTCCCACCTCTTTTCTTTGCAAACATTTAGGCAACTAAAGTGGTAAAGGAGGCCCTAACTTTCCCACCCCAGTAGACAAAAGAAAGCGCTTTGCCTCAAGCCAAGGGAAGAATCTTGCTAGTAGTGATGGCTAATAGATGGCCCTTCCTATTCCCCAGGTGGCTGCTATCCTCACGCTGCCCTTTGACGTGGTGAAGACCCAGCGACAAATTCAGCTGGGAGACATGGAGACACTCCAAGGTGAGGCGCAGGAAGCTACCTGGGGCTGCTATCATTAAGCCTGGCTAACTTTTTGTTATGGCTGCTGCAAGTGAAAAGAGAAGGAATAAAAATGTGAACTACATAATGTCATATACTTTGTCTCCCTGCTCAGTTGCTACTCCCAGATCCTCCTCCACCTGGCTGCTTATGCAGAAGATTCGAGCAGAATCTGGCACCCGAGGACTCTTTGCAGGTGACTTACATTGCCGTTTACTGCTTGCCATTCTCTGTGCTGTGCGACAGCACCTCTATAGAATAGTATTATTATTATTATTATTATTATTATTATTATTATTATTACTTGCCCTTCACCAAGTCCCAATAATAAGTAGAGGATGAGATTTGTAGCTATAAGACTATGGTTGAAATCTCTCAACTAAAACCCCCCCTAGAAAGTTGGGCATTCTGTTCCATCTCAGCCTCATTTTCCAGTAGCTCCACTGCACTTTAAAAGATTACCCCTACTTTGAACACACAGCGATGTGTTGCATGTGAGTCTCATGCAGTCAAGACAGTGGTATGTGTGCCAAATTCAGAAGCTGGCCAAGCACTTGCACACTCTTTCCTCACCTTATTAGAGCAGGCAGCAAACCGTGCACCATGGAGATGGGATGAATTATTGAACGTAGGCAGTTCTGCTCCCTTTCCTTCTTCCCAGCCTGTCTGACAGGTTTGTTTTATTCTTCTCTCCTTCCCCCTGCCAAAATGGCCCACAGGTTTCCTGCCTCGGGTGATCAAGGTGGCCCCCGCCTGCGCCATCATGATCAGCACATACGAATTTGGCAAGGCCTTCTTCCAGAAAATGAACCAGGAACGGCAGCTTAACAATGTATGAAGGCCATGGAAAGATCCTCCATTTTTCAGACGGACCAAAGCCACATTGGTGGCAGGGAGAAGGGACATATTTCAGAAGAGTGAAAGAGGAAAAACAAAGTTTGTGAACTCGTGGTCTGAGTAAGGTGGATCCAGTCGTGGTCACTGTCAGTTAAGGGTTGAGAAGACCATACCTAGGAAACATTTTGTTCCCTTTTCTTGTAGGACGTGTCTCCTGTCAGACAAATCCCAGGTGCCTTCCAGCTCGCTTCCACCCTCCTCCTCCTTTCCCTTTTGCTGGGGAGCAGTTCAGTGATTTGAATCTCTTAGCTGCTGCACTCCTTGCCCCCTGCCTCCCAACCCTAGAGCCATTGTTACATTTTGCTGTTGGGATGCTGTCATGTTTGGACCTTTTTACGCCTTTCATTTGAAGAGCAGAATGTTCTCTTTAGCCTTGCCCAGAATCGAGAGAATCTCTAGCTACAACTGGCTGCCTGTTAGGTCCCAAACAGAACGTGACTTTACTTTAAACCAGAAAGGGACGAAAGGAAAAAGAGGAAGAAGCAGGCTAGCCATGGCATTCCAAAAGGAGGTGGTTGTTTTTTTAAAAAAAATGTTTTTTGCTGCATGCAATCTGTGTGCGTGTGGCCCTCCAAAAGGCTTCAAGCTGCTGTAGACGGAAACAGACAGGCAACTCCATCCCTGCCTTAATTCTTAAGTGTCTGTAGGCCTGCATGCCTTCCACTCCACCACACGATCCTTTCTGCGCATGACGGATATGCTGGCTCACGCTGCAGCCAAACACTGGACATTGGGGGGCCCAGAAAACAAAACACTGGCTTGGACACTCAGGATTCTCCCACCTCTTCCCTTGACACTTCTATGGGCAGCACGCCCTAGATAATGAGTAGCGTGGGCACAAAGGAATTAAACGCTGTGTTCTCCCCTTGCAGTCTTCCATAGCATCTGCTCTGTTAAAAGGGGGGCTGAAATCTCAGCCAGGCCAAAAGTTTGTTTTGATGCCAGAGACTTGTAAGTGGCACCCTTTAGCAGCTGCTAGGCTTCCCCCTTTCTGTGCTGTTAACTTATGTGCCTGTTGCTTACATTCTTGTGGAAAGGTTCAGGAGGCTTTTTTCTTAAATAAAGTCACATTTTAAACAAAGAAACAAAAAATTATAGCAGAGGGCACCAGGAGAGGATTGCTTGTTCATCCATGTTTTGTGTATTAGGAATTTCTGGTCTAGCTCTTCTCTTGTCTTCTTCGGGAACAGGAGTGGGGAACGTTTTGGCCCAGTCAGCTATTTGTCCCAACCCCTCCCTGTCAATTTCAGATTATTGGCAGGTATGTTGTCCTGCACACCTATCGGAAGGCCTTGCATAGGGAAACAGTGTGCAGATCTCTCTGAAAAAACTGTGCTCAACGCTTCTGAAGCACTGAGCAAAGGGGCTGGCCAAGCTGCTTTCTCTAGGGATTGGGTGAGCCCTTGGGTTCCCCCTGCAGAGCTCAGTTGCACAGCCTATTCGGCAGATCAGCTGATGGGTGGCAACATCAACCTTACTTTGCAGGGATTGGTTGTCCCCCATGGGGTACTCTATGCACCATTCCTACTTGAGGATTTTCTTCCCTCCCCGGGAGTCTTCTCATGTGGTATGTTCTAAGATGCTTATATAATTGGAGTGGGGGGGGCGAAATCTTTTGTCTCCTATGTAAGTTATTGGTTTGTCCCTGTCTCCTCATCTTCATTCTGCAAGGCTTATTCACTGGATTCCTCCATGAACCTAAATCCTCCCTCCTTTTGACCAGGTGACTAGGTCTTTCTAAAAGCAGAAACAGGCCACTTATTAATCAGCCAAGATACACAATACAAAGAGAAACCCACAGGTGTTTTTGAATCCTCTGTCACAATTGTTCAGTACATGGAAACAAGAACTTCCTAACCACTTTTATCTTGGCTGTTAAAAAGTGTTGCAGATTCCACCCCCCCCCCCTGAATTTCCTGAGTGTTGGAATGCTTAAAAGCATTGGAATGCTTAAAAAAACAAACCGCCTTTGCACCAGTCCAGTAGGTCAGTTTTCCCACATGTTGTAAAATTCCAGCTCCCGTCAGCCCCCTTAGCCTAATAGTCAGGGATGAAGGGCGTGGTAGTTGGCAACACCTGGGGAGCCAAGGTTGCAAGTGATCGAACCACTGTAAGAAAGGGATGCTGGGAAGAGAACAAGCATCATCACCATGGTGTGAGCAGGAATCGGGACCCAGGGGTCCTCCAGGTGATGCTGTTCTCCAGCTCCTATCATCCCTAATCATTGCCCATGCTGCATCTGGAGGCCCACAGGTTGCCCACCCCTGTTGTAAAAGGTGTTTGAGGAATGGGATACGTGAATGAGGATGTAAAAATGTGAATGCAGTTGCATTTGAGATTAGAGTTATGGGTAGAGAAGGAGGTACTCTAAACACCTCTGTAACTTACTGTGGCTCTTTTAATATATTTCACATTCCTAGGTGCCACAATCAAGATTTTAGGTAAACTAAAATCGGGGATGAGATCAAGAGCTCCTTTAGGTGCACCTTATGACTTATTCATTGGCATAATGAGTGTCTCCTCACTCCCAAGCGGCAGAGCACCATCCATCCCATGCCATAATAAAAGCAGGCTCGGACATTTTTCTTCAGCACCTGTTGTAGTTTGCTACAGGCCTGCTGTATTAGATGCGCAAAAATGGTTGGTTGGTTCTTCAGATCCTGACTTAGAATTTAGCCCTGTCGTCGCATGGACTCAGGCTGCAACCCAGTGCACCCTCAGGAACAAAGCTTAATTGAATTTGGTGTGGCTTATTTCTCATTTCAGTATGCTTCCATTTGCACATACGCATTGTAACTCAGAAAGTCCCCAATTTAAATCTCATCTTAACCGTTATTCAGTGGCCCCAGACAAGCCATTGTTCTCTAATCCCATCTGCAATGCAGAGATAATACTGCCTTATAGTATAGTGCCATTGTAGGAATAAGGGTATAATACAGGTGAAGAGCTTTGCAGCTGAACCATACGGCATGAATGTAAAAATTAATTTCCCCAAGCCACTTTTTAAAAAAAGACTTAAGGATGTTTGCAGAAGAAAGATGTGTATCGGAAAAGAGACTTCAACAGACTTTGTCCCATTTTACTGCCAGCTCCTCAAATCTGTTTTAATTCTTGCCCATTAATTCTACAGCTTCCCCAGCTGCTGGTCTATAACAGTTTTTCAGCCGTGGCGAATGAAGTCATCACATACCAGAGCGTTCCTAAGTCTGCTTTGTCAAAACTCTGGTAGGGGAAGAGGCCGATTGTGCCTTGAGTACCACACACCAAAAGACCTGATGTGTAAATCGGCCCTCTTCCGCCTTCCAAGACCGTCCCTGAAGTAAAAAAAAAGAAAACATCCATTGGGATAGCAACATGCAGGAGAAACACAGGAAGTAGATTCTGCAGCAGTCTGGTAGGGTTGAAGATGAAAGAGGCTTCCTGAATCGCAAAAGAAACCCAGAAATCTGGAGGCAACTTGAAATCCACCACCACCCATTGCAGGAAGGTAGCATGTTTGTTGCTGCAATTCCATGTTGAATCGCAGGGAAGATGGGAAGCTCAACATCCTCCTGCCCTACAGCTTGCTTCTCTGACACACTTCCACAGAGCCTCCTACTGTCGAACAGGGAGGGGACAGACAGGGTCCTCGACAACATCACCTCGATGCTGTGCAAGTTTTCACTACCCAGAATGCGCCATGAATTTCAACCTGTGTAGCTGTCTTCTGTCTCTTGCCCACCCCTCACCCCTTCAGCAGCAATAATTCAGAGGACTTTTAAGCATTCTCCTCCGGAGACAGCTACCTTCCAGCAATCTCAATCATATATAATATATATATATATTACACATAATATATACAGCATCATTTTACAAAAGTGACTTGGGCAGGCAATCCTTCCTGCTTCCAACAAGCGTGCAGCCTTTTCTTCTTCCCCATTTTAAATCCCGGGCAGGGGAAAAGATTCTAAACGCTTCCCTGCTTCCAGTTTAAGGGGGAAAGTCTTGTGTTTAAAGAAGTGTCCAGTTGAGGATGTGGGCTTGTTAACCCTACTGTAACATCAGGCTCAGTAAAGGTACAGCCAAGTCAAAGGGACTCAATTCTCGTTCCCCGCCACAGGCATCTATTGTGGTTTGTAGGGATAGCCATCTTGATGTCTCAGCTGGGGCTGTGGGCAGGGCTGGGTTCAATGCTGTCGCTCACCAGGCACTCATTGGATTTTAGGCTGGCTAAAGACTTGGAACTAGGCAGGGAGGCCAGAGAGCCACAGAGGCCCAGCATTGATGGGGTCGGGTCCTTTCCTGCAGAGAAAAATAAGGAAACAAGGCTTCAGAGAGATGTTCCTACAGCAGGATCTTAAATTACCATGATTTATTTTTTTAAGGCAACGGAATTGGAATGGGGCTTCATCTGAAAAATGAAGACCATTCTAAATCAAATTTAAAAATGGCTGTCATCATCCGTACCTGCTTCAATTTTTCTTGGGAAAATTTGTGTGTTTTTTTAATTGATACTTATTCAATGATCTACAGAAATAAATACCCCTTTATATTTTTATAGTATACTGAGATAAACAGCTACTTAGTCTAAAAGATAGCAAAGTCAGAAGGAAGAAAATACAAGAAAATGAGAAATCTAAAGAGGGAGAAAGCAAGAGAAAAGAAAAAGAAAAAAACTAAAGAAAGATAAAAGGACTTTCTTCTGTCTGCAGCTGCATATGATATTTAATTCTTTAAGATCCAACCATTCTATCTTCCATAAACCAGTATTTTGTCAGTCTTCAAATCCAGATATTACAAGCTCATTTTCTCTTTCATGCAAAAACTCCATAAGAAGTTTCCGATCCCTTAACAAATGTTAGTAATGATTTTTCTCTAATTAAACATGCTAGCTTAGCCGTCTCAGCAAAGCTCAATAATTTTATCAGCCATTTTTCTGTAGTGTCTTTAGGAAAGACAATTTCAACCCCAACCTTCTGCATGGTGGGATAGGGGGTTCACACAAACCCCTCTAAACGCTGGAAGAACATGCAAAGGGATCACAGGGGCTAGCCCTATGCATTGTTAGGTTTCCCTGACATCTGTGCCTTCAACAGGCATAGTTCTATGCCTATGCAGATAGAGCTTCATGTATGGAGGAATCCATGGGGGTGGGACCCGTTCCAGCCTCTCGCTTAACACGTGAATATTAGTGTGGATGGTGGCAGCATGAGAGACTAGACCCATAATGCGCTGCACACATTGTTTCTGCTGCTATAAGCTCAGCTCTCAAATGGCAATTCAACAGCCCATGGTTTCCAATCTTAGGGTAGGGGAGATGTGCAACTTGAGAAATAGGAGGTACACATCATTATCTTCCCACCCAAAAGAATTTAGTGTGTGTGTGTAAGAAGCTGGTGTAGCACAGTGGTGAGGATCCCCCATGATGCTCACCTGGGTCACTATTGCAACCTCACATAGTTCTTTCAGAGGGAGGGAACTGTGTACACTGACTTCCTCTCTTTGGAGGTTAGTTGGTTCTGTCCTGGGAGATATGAAACAGCAGCACAAAGAGAGTGCCTCCGAGCCTGTGCAAACAAGCCCCTTCCTTTGCCAGAACCCGCATGATGAATTTGGAAGGAAAAGAACCAACAGGGAAGCTTCCAGGCCAGCTTCCTGGTACTTGTTTCCAGATCAAGCAGTGATTTTTTTCAAATCTGTGTGAAAAAACTTACCCAGTGGCCCCCAAGGTTCTCCTTCATGCTTCCCTTCGCCCATCCTTTGGGAATCCGAGCTCAGGCTGATCTCTGCTGACAGCTGGTCTGTGCTCATGAAGCTGTGCCTGATGGGAAGAGAGAACGAGAAAGCAGGGTGGGGTCACCTACATCAAGAGACCTAGGAACTTTCAGCCCCTTTCACCTCCGATCTCTTCCTACACACGCTCTTACCTTCTGTACATTTTGGCTTCGGAGCGACTCTCGTTGCCATTCAGAGTCCCCAAAGAGGGCCACTGGTTCACCAAGGGTGCAGCCATTTCCTTGGATAGTTGGGTGAACTGGCTGTTATCCGATGGGATCAGGCCCGTCCTGAGGGCAGAGCGGGAGGAGGGAAGTCTGGTCAAGGAGGAGGGAATGCAGCCTGTCAGCTCGAGGCAAAAGAACTAGGGCGCATTGCCGTGTTTGTCCTCCTGCCTAATTCAGTGCAGGCCAAGGGCGATCTGACTTGTTCCCTTCTATAATTCCCTTGGTCCGCTGGTGTATATTAAATGTACATACAAAGCAATTATGTATACCCAGGATTCCTTAACGGCTAAGGCTTCGCTGCGTTATGCAATCCTGAGTAGGCGCTTGCAAGCATAAAGAGGGGTCTTGCGGGATCAGATCTAGTCCACTAATTTTTGTAAGAATCCCAGCACCAGAAATAAGGCAGATGTGTCCATGGGCAGTACCACTGTCTGCCTCCCCCTGCAGTAAAACGTCCTAGCTCATAATCTTCAGTGGAAATGAAATTCTAGTTCTGATTTCTTGATGTGAATCTAGTCATTTCAGATGTTCTTTAATTCTATCCACAAAGGGGACATAGGGACACCTGTACAGCTCTCATCCCACGTTGAAAGGGAAGACCTAAAAGGATATTGTAAGCATTTTTCACTGAATGTACTTGCTGACATCGCCCTTCAGAGCCTTCTGCTCAGCTAAAGCGGGATGCAGTAAATGTGGATGTCCACATATAAAAGTTCAAGAATAATTGAAGAGGGCTAATGTGTCTTTAGATAGCATTATTGTTCGGGATTAGGATATTCAGCATCACAAACCCAGAATATTTTTAGTTACTCAGATACGGACTTAAGAAGTAAGGAGGTCTAGCCACTGTTTTCTGCAAGAGAAATATTTCCCCATCTAAAACGTTTCCCCAAGCCACCCTACCATTTTTAAAATTGAACCGGAAAATGAAATTGAAATGTCTGATCTCAAAGGGACAAAATGTTTTCCCATCATGTTGATTTATTTCCAGTTAGGGGAAAAGGGAAATCTCTACCCCAACTCAACCCCAGCTCAACATTTCAGGAGCCGACATTCCAAATTATGCAAGATTCTGAAGATTAATTCCAGATCCAGTTGCAAAATAGATGCTCTGAACGCAGATAAGTTCAAACAGTGGGATATTTGCTAAAAAGTAATGTGAGAAATCATGATTTCTTATTTGTTGTTTGGAATCCTTTTAAAATGACAGATATCCACTGACCCTACGATGAGTTCCAACAGGCCTTCCTCCAACATGGGGCAAAATGGTAGGTTCTGTGGGCACAAGCCGCCCATCTATGGTGGGAAATTGAAGGGGAGGGGATGAAGAGTGGGGCAGGAAGCTGCAGAGATGCATTCCCTTTCAGTGTGGGCCTGGCTGGGGGCACCGGAACCCAGTGCGGGGGCAGGACAGTGCAAAAGTTGGATCTACTTACAGCTGTTCCTGCAGCTCCAAGATGACACCCTCCAGCTCCCGTTTCTCTAACTGGTTCTGCACCTTTACCTCCTCCAGCCTCAATTGCAGGCGTTTGTTCTCGGCCTCTAGGTCCTTCAGCTGTGACTCTCTCAGCCGAACCAGCTCCTCCAGATAACCCTTAGACACAAAGTGTGTGGAGCAGAAGATAAGTGGATGACTTACGAAAGAGAAAGGTTAGCCTGGTGAAGAAAACTGCCCTGTAAAAGTTCACTGTATAAGCAAGAGCAAAGGTGTGGTTATGTACTAGACCAGGGTTTCCCAAACTTGGGTCTCCAGCTGTTTTTGGACTACAACTCCCATCATCCCTAGCTAGCGGGACCAGTGGTCAGGGATGATGGGAATTGTAGTCCAAAAACACCTGGAGGCCCAAGTTGGGCTCCATCTAGCTGGTACTGCTAGATGGAGATAGCCTGGTCACAATTATTCAGGATCGGATATCATGTTTAGATGACTATAATGGGAATTTAATAGCCCATTCTTCCGACCAAAGGTTCCCAGAATGGATTACAACAAATTGAAACAACAGTAAAAGCAGCATAAAGCCCCATTGTCCTCAGCCTGAACTGTCAAGTATCTAGGATGGCAGAAATGGTTGTGCAACAATATCTGAATGCCACAGGTTCCCCACCCCTGGGTTAAGAGCATCAAACTGGAAGTGGGAAGACCCGGGTTCAAATTTGTGCCAATGAGCCATCCCTGACTGCCCCCCAACCCCAATGCAAATACTATATGCAGAGGAAGGATTTGCCTCAGGACCAATGGATGGGATGAGATGATTTGATTTCCTTTCCATATCTGCTCTATTCCTGCTCATTTTCACCCCCCTGAGCTGATACAATTTGCATTTTAAAAATCTGCCAGCAAAGATGCATTTAATGCCATTGCAGTTTGGTTCTCCGAATCATGCGCAGCACTTGAGGTCCAAGTACCTTTTGTGCATAGACAATGCGGAACTTCTGCTCCATCTTCCGCCATTTGTTGTACCAGCTGTCTTCGGCCGTCACTAGCGGTAAGTAGGGGTGGTCAGGGGAACTGTCTTCACTTGTACTGCTCTCCAAGCTGCGTCGGTCCTCCTCGTCACTTAGGTAATCATAGCTGCTTACAAAGATTAAGATGCCAGTTGCATTGAAAGGAACTGAAGTAGGACGCATATTTGCTTGTTTAATGGTCAGACAGAGCTGTTCTATTTGAATGGTTTGGGGAATCCCCCTGCCCAAAAAATCCTGTCATATATGATGCCAGGTGTGGGGTAGGTGGCCAAAGCAGTGTTGCAAGCCTAATAGGGAGGCCTGGCAGCCCGAATTGGGGCTGCAGGCTGGAGGTTTTCCACCGCTGCTAGTAAAAGACACCTTTCCAGACTGCCCAGGGCTGGCCCAAAACATTTTGCTGCCTGAGGTAAAGGATATGATGGCACCTCCCTCTCCCACCCCATTCCATGTATGAAAGCTGACAAGACTGGAAGTTGAATGTTACTTTAACGCTAGCAATGGGTTAGTGTCCTTTACCACACCTAGCTGGCTTAGGGGTACAGGGCAGGTTGTGGGACAAACACAGCTCTGTCTACTCCCTGCTCCTCAGCACCTGCTGCCTGAGGTGGTTGCCACACTCTGCCCAATGTTAGGGCTAGTCCTGCAGCCGTAGCAGCATGAAATAGTAAACTCTTGAAGTAGGATAAAGTGGGTTGTATCACTCTGCAGGTACGCAATACCATTTTAGAATGCAAACATTAAAAACAAACCAAAAATGTCCGGGGGGGGGGGGACTAGCACAGTTCCCTCTCTTATTCTGCTAGTTTTCTATTTGTGAAGAGGGTTTTTTTGTTTTATGTTGGGGAAACATTCAAAAGTGGCGTTCCCCAACCTGCAGTCCAGAGCGATTTAATTAATTCTGCCACCTCCGAATTCTACCACAACATTCTCACTACACTGTCCTGTAACGTGTAAACCCAGGATCATTCTGAATCACCCTCACTTTTGACACATGTCTGTTTTTATGGCCCACCTTATTTTTCTGTTTGTAAGATGCTTTAAACATATTGGTCGCATTGCGTTTTATTGGCAACAAGCTGAAAACTACCCAAATGCTGAATCCTTTGTTCAGAACAACATGTTCAAGGAACCCTCTAACGTCATCTTTCTTGGCCCTGAACTTCACACTCAAAGGCTGTCTGCAGACGCAGTAGCCCTTACCTCTGGGTAAACTTCAGGTATGGAGTGTAGTCAATAACCACAGGCGTTTTGCCATCCATAATTTCCCCTTTCAAGCAGAAACTGCAAAACATGATCACAACAGGAAGGAATGCAAAGGAAAGCAAGTTATCAAAAGCTATCTCAACACACCTGTCCTTTAGAAGACTCAGATGGTTTAGGATTGAATAACAATTTTCATATCGTGTACGTACAACTAAGTGGAGCCTTGAAAACTAACAACCTTGCGGCACCTTAAGGACTAAAAAGTGCTGCATTTCTTTCATGACTACTGTTATGTACTGAAGTTCTCACCCTGGGCCAGCAGGGGGATACTGTAGATAGATATGCAAATAAGGGATCGAAAGTGAGGTTCAGTGATTGGATAGTTTTAGAAAGTTGCTACAGTTACGTTGTACTGGAGCTCTATATAAGCAGGCTGACTGAACCCTTCAGTTCAGTTCTGTCCTGGCCTGTGAATAAACAAGAGCTGTTTGGAGAATCACTGTGTCGTCTGATATGTTCACCCACAACTTAACTTAACACAAATCTTCATGAGAAGGCTGTGGCTCAAGATGGCTGCATAACTTTAAGCTGCTCTTTAAGGCCTTTTTTCTCTCTCTCTCTTTTTTTACTAAACAACAGCAACCTTTGAACACATTGAGACTTCAAATGCATTGTGCTCCCAAAGGGATGCAACCTCATACCAACAGAAGACTGTGGGAAGCTTCTAAACATAGTTATTAGCCCAATCTAGGTCTGAAATCTGAACTGTCAATTGAAATTGACATGACAGGAAGCAGGAACGAGGGAAGTAAGACTCCGAAATTTATGAGCAGGCGGTCAGAAGGCAGAAGCGTTCTCACCAATTCAGATGAATGAGGAATACTTTTGCGGATGATTTGAAAGAAGCCTTGTCCCTGATTAATCAAACTCTAAATGATATTCATGCCCAAATGCAAGAGGTTGCCAAAACAGCCGATAAGCATGGACATGGAGGAAACTGGGCATGGAGGAAAAGGAAAATGGGGGGCACTGGGCTAATATTTGGTGCAAGGAACCCACAAATGGGTGGAAGATCCCGGAACGTTTATATTACAGTGGTTCGAAGATCTCAGGACAGATTAGGAGCTCTCCTCAGGTGACTTTGAGCACATCTACAGAACCACCAAAATGGCAGGAATGCCAGAGGCCTCATAGTGAGAAATGCTATTGCTGTTGTGTAAAAGAAAAAGTGCACCTAGCTTTGCACAACCTGTGTATGATCAAGTATCAAGGCATGCCAGTTTGGTGTAAACCAGGGGGGAAAGCACAGCAAGGAGGCTGAGTAACAAGATTGTTCAACATAGCATGACTTCTGCCAATGTTGGGTAATAAATTAAAATGCTGTTTCTAAATGTTGAGAGATTGGATGTGGCAACCAATAGAGCAAGAGCTGCTGCTCTTCGGAAAGCTTACAAACCGGATGTCGAATTTCTGCAGGAAACGCACCAGAGAAAGCAGAACACAGAAATGTTATAAAGCAGAAACTGCTGGGCAAAAACTGTAATCCAATGCCTACATTTCTTCTAAAACTAGAAGACTGGCAATAATATTAGCTAAGAGTCACCGGCTGGTAGAGACTGATATATGCAGTGATCTGAGAGGCTGTTACATGTCTGTTAAAGAGGCACTAGAGGGCAAAGCAGATTTATGATGCAATCGCTTTTCCAGCTTGGTTTGGGCAAATGATTCATAAATGTAACTTAGCGCACTTATTAAAAGGCAAGAGCAAAAGTGAGAGCAAATGGCTTGGGCTCAGTTCTTTGGTTTTTGTTTAATCTGAGCAGAGGTATGAGGCGGGAGTGCCTTCTATCTCATTTGCTTCATTTTTGAAGTAGAAACCATGGCCAAAGTTATATGAAGTAATCTTAAAGCAGAGGGCTTTATAGAGAGCAAGAAGAATAGATATGTTATTAACGTGTTCACGGATGGTGTTTTACTGATGCTTAACAACCCAAAGGAAGCCTTTCCTGAAATTCAGGGAACGTTGCTTATCTTCATGGAGGCAGCTGGCTTGGAAGTAGACTACTCTGAGTCCTCAGTGCCATGCGGGGAGACACCCCTCTAGAGGAACAATTACTGCTGCAGGTGCAATTTGGATTGCGATTGCAACCTCGTAGCATCACACATTTGGGAATAACAATCCCCCAAAGGTTTACGTCGGCTGAAGAAGCAGAATGCTGAGATGCTTCTCAAGGACTGTAGGAAAGACATGGATTGTTGGCGAAAACTTAATCTCGCTCAACTAGGAAAGGACAGCCACAATTATTATGACTCTCCTCCCCAAGGCTTATTTTCCTCTTCCAATTTGCCTAGAAAAAGGAATGACTGGAAAATGGCAAACATACATTTATTAACACTGGTAAGCGATCTAGACTTACTTATTCCAGATCTTGAGAAGATGAAGGGTTGGGAGTACGGAGCCTTCACCTTTATTATGAAACCTGACCAATCAGGCAGTTAATACCTCAAATAAAAGTTGACCCTGAACTGGATTGGGTCTCAATAGAGCTTGGGAATAATTATAAATATTATTGAGCCCTACAGTTCAGAAGATTGCTTCTGAACATAAAGGTAAAGGTAAAGGGACCCCTGACCATTAGGTCCAGTCGTGACCGACTCTGGGGTTGCGGCGCTCATCTCGCTTTATTGGCTGAGGGAGATGGCGTACAGCTTCTGGGTCATGTGGCCAGCATGACTAAGCTGCTTCTGGCGATCCAGAGCAGCGCACGGAAACGCCGTTTACCTTCCCGCCGGAGCGGTACCTATTTATCTACTTGCACTTTGACGTGCTTTTGAACTGCTAGGTTGGCAGGAGCAGGGACCGAGCAACTGGAGCTCACCCCGTCACGGGGATTCGAACCGCTGACCTTCTGATCGGCAGGTCCTAGGCTCTGTGGTTTAACCCACAGCGCCACCTGCATCCCTTTTTTCTGAACATGTACAGAGTACCAATTCTCCCTCCACAAGAGACAAAGCCCTAGCTGGGGGGGAGTGACACAAGAAACCGTGGGAACTATGTGCCAGAAACATAGCAGAAGATAAGTCAGCATTCCTTAGTGCATATGCCCCCCCCCCATAGATATAACAATGTAAGAAATATCTCTTAAAGCAATAGCACTTTAGGGCGAATGATCTGGAGAAGAAGAGGGTGTGCACATACCTGAAGTCTATGGCACTGAGCCCTATCAGCATCCCTGTGAGAACGGTTGATTCCTCTCTCAGCATGATTGCCCCGTCATCATAAAATCTCCTGTAGGGAGTACAATTGCTGTGAGGAAATGGGCAAATTCTCCAATACAGATCATTTATCTAATTCATAACATTTATATACTGCTTGATTGAAAAAAGAAAACACACCAAAGCAGTTTACAGAAAAGAGGCCTTAATCTATAAGTGAGGTCTTATTTTATGAATTAAATTAATGAGCCTTGCATCTCTCTTCTTTATTTGAAAAGGGACTATCAATTTGTGTGTGTGTTTTAGGAGGTTGGAGAAGGGTGTATAGATACAGATAACATTATAATCGCCTCTCCCAGGAGGCTGAGTATATTGGACTTTGTTTTAAGGTCTTGAAAGTGCAATTGTAGGGCTTCAAAAATCTACAAAGCAGAGTTGGCAGGGCAGCAAAGGGAAATAATGTGAGCACGTGAGAAGGAATGCCTTATACCCCAAATGCACTTTGATACAAGCCCCAGAGATGCCCACCTGGTGGTTCTGGTGTCCCGAAGGGCTGTGGTGATGTACTCGGACATGCGCTTCTCCATCAGTGCCACTCGGATCCATGCCCGGCCCTAAAATAGAAAGTTTGTTAAAACTGGCGGAACTGCAGCTGATTTGCACGGCTGTTTTTAATATATTAGGTTGTATTCAGGTAAGTCCTACTCAGACCCATCGAAATTCATGAACCTGAGTTAGTCGTGTCCATTAACTCTGCCCAAGAGGTAGTACTGAATGCCACACATTGTGACCAACTCAAGTAAACTTAACAAAAATTACCTGAATGGGGCCTATAGTTGGTTCAACATGGATCCACATTGTGACATCAAGACGGCTTTGGGGGGAAATCTTAGAAAGTCAGGTTACCATTAACCAAATTCAAACAATGCTGCTTCATAATAAATGGGTTGTGAGGAGTCTTTGTGTGCTTCCATTACTGGTTTGGGGAGGGCTGGATCCTTAAGTTAATCACAATCCATATCTACATACAGTGGTACCTCGGGTTAAGAACTTAATTCAAGAACTTCCCCCTTGGAAGCAGGAGAAGAGGGGGGAGGCTTTGGATTGTATATCCCTGCAGGAGTGAGTGAGGAAGTTAAAATACCACCGTTCCGAACCTGGAAACGGGCTGCCAGTAAAATCGATGTGCTTTGGAAGGTTCATTGACAGCGAATAGAACGTTCGGTGACAGCTAGCATAAGAGAGATACATTGTTTCCATTGTCTTCGTCTGCACTTAAAAAGGAGTAAAGTAACGGAAAATTGAAACAATCTTACTGAACTTTATTAAAAAAGGAGGAAAGTAACTGAAAATTGAAACTAATTTTGGATTATTGAAACTGTGTTTAAAAGGGAACATACTGACCGATACAAATACAACTCGCTTTCCACTAGTGGAAGCTTTTGAAATTGGTTACTTGATAGGAGCTGGGCTAGGGGGTTTTCCAGCTGCAAGATAAGAAAGTGTGAGACTTTGGATTTGACCTTGAATCTTTTAAGTGTTATGGCAAACGGAAAGGAAAAAACAGGCGGGATGTCGACAGAGGAGGCCTTAGTGGCTGCATTATTGAAAATAAACGATTTGCTGGAACAACTCCACAAGAAAATAGATGCGAGAAATGTGAAATTGGATGTTGCAAATATTGAAATTGACTCAACAGTAGAAAGCTTAAATAACTTGGGACAAAAGGTGAATACTAATTCAGAAACCATTCAGAAACTGACACAGGAATCTACTTCGATATGGCAAACTGCAGATGAAGTCAGGGGAAAAACCCTTGCTGCTGAATCTAAAATAATACAACTGGAGAGGAGAGTCCCATCCATACAAAGACAACCTGACGAACATAAGTTGACATTCGTTATGACTGAACTTAAAGAAGAACGGATGAATTTGAGGACCAGAGCCCTATCTGAATTGGAAAAGGAAAGCTTGACAGAGTTTCAGGAGGCGATACTAACATTGGTTAAGAAAGAGAGGTATTTGGGGTTAAATGTGAATCTGCTTAAGGATAACCGTGAGGGATGCTGGATTGAAGAGAAGGGGGATTTGGAAATATGGACAAATCAGAAGTTGTCACTGTTGGGTCGAGTTATTGTGGTAGGGATGAGGGCTGCTGTGTTGTTGGGGATGTTGCTTTTGTTTCAAACACTGCAAGCTTTGTATGGGATGGAGGGTTTCAGGAGGTGGCAGAGGGATGCTCCTAGAGTTGTCTGGCAGGGCAGGAAGCCTCGAGTAAAACTTAAGATATTGATGGATGCCAAAGAAGGAGGAGGACCTGGTTGAGAGAATGGTTGAGAAATGGTTTTGCTGGTTGAGAGAATGGTTGTTTTTTGAAAACAATGAAACGTTGGATAATGGCAGATGAAATTGATGGACTATATGGAATTGGCGGAAATGACTGGCAAGATCCGAGACCAGGGTGAAGAGTCGGTGGAAGAAGAATGGAAAAAGTTTAAAGACCATTTAGAGAGATATTGTAAAATTAAGGAATGTTAGAAAAATGTTGGAATGAAATTATATGGCTTTAGCAGAAATGTCATAAGGAATTAGGTATAAATAGATTAATAGAATAGTTAAGGAAAAGTATGGCAAGAATGTGTAAAGATAATTATAGAACAGAAAACAGAGTAAGATGGAAAGGAATTGCTGAAACAAATAATAGAAGTGGAATGCAAAAAGGGAGGTGGAAGGAGGTCACTGGAAATAAGTGAATGAAATATAAGATATTGAAAATGTTTGAGGTGATTTTAAACTGTTTTTGCTTGTTTTTATTTGTTTTTTTAGTTTATGTAGAGTTTTTGTATTGTATTTGCATTGTTTTTTCTTTTTTTCTTTTTTTCTTCTTTTGTTTGTGTTGGAAATGTTAAAAAAGTAATAAATATCATTTAAAAAAAAAAGAACTTAATTCATTCTGGAGGTTTATTCTTAACCTGAAACTGTTCTTAACCTGAAGCACCACTTTAGGTAATGGGGCCTCCTGTTACCGCTGCGCTGCTGCTGCAGGATTTCTGTTCTCATCTTGAAGCAAAGTTCTTAACCCAAGGTAATATTTCTGGGTTAGTGGAGTCTGTAAACTGAAGCGTATGTGACCTGAAGCGTATGTAACCCGAGGTACCACTGTATATATCCTAACAATATCCTGTCATTTATTCATTTTTACAAAAAAAACAAAACACCCCAAACCCTATGCTTTGAGGAGTTTCTCCCTAAAACAGTTTTGATCCAAATTGGGGAGGAAAAGCACACACCATCTAGCAGCATTTTAATGTGTGAACACAGCCTTTGTCTCTTCCCTCTCTAAGACTGCCATCTTAAGCTTCCTTGCACAGGAGTCAATCCTACTGAAATCAATGGGGCTCACTTCTAGGTAAACATGGACTGAATGGAGAGGATTGGACTGCGTTCCAAAATGTTTCACTTTGACTTTCCATCATTAGCACCATAGTGGTCAAGGATGCTAGGTTCAGACCAAAAGTCGTAAGCATGAGAACACACACCATTCTGTAATAACATCCATCATCACCAAATATTTCATTGCCAGCCTTAATGGTTGCTCTTTCATATTCTCTAGGTCAGTAAATCATAAACTCTATGCTATGTGTGCAATAAATAAAATAAATAAAGGCTGCTGTGGGCTGCAAGGACCCACCCACAGTCAAGGCTTATGGATCATTGCATCACTTGCATTATTTATCGACTGCTCTGGCCTTGTTTCCTTCCAATCAGCCTTGACTGCACTCAGATCGCTTTGCTAACTCTGCATCACTGTGAAGGGATAATTCAATCGCTGCCATCATAGAGACTCCGGAATTGTCCATTCTCAGAGGAGGCTGCCCATTAGGCACCTCTGGTTGAATCACTGCTCTGGGTGCATCGCTTTCCAGTCATATCAAGATCAGTGATTCATAAAAAAGATGGTTGAGTCCCACTCCGGTTTGGCAATTCTTGCCTCACTGCTTGTAAGAAAAGTGTGCCACCAATTTTAATTTAGAAAAGAAAAGTGCTTCAGCTGTCAGAAGTTTGTGACCCACTGTTCTACACATTCTACATGAAATAGATGAATTAAATTTGATAGGGTTGAGCTCTGTATATATGGAGGCAATATTGTTCTAATAAATTCTGATCCAGATAAGTCGATACTGGATGTGATAAAAAATGATGAATGATTTTTAAGGTAGCATATTACAAGATTAATGTTAATAAAACAAAATTGTTATCCTTTCTTTTCTCCTGAAGTAAGCTGCTTAATATCAAATCTCAAACTAATCTGGTATTCATGAAAAACAACAGCAGCTTAAATATGAGGGAATTGTATTTACTAAGCATAGAATTTGCGTCTCACAAATCACTTAGCCCAACATCCCCTCTCTGTTAATGTAGTAGATCCTAATAAATTTACTTTTGAGAAGCTGGGGGAAAAACTGCTTAGGGGGAATTGGTAAAATTGCTTTAATGGTAAGGTGTGGATGTGACACAATGATCAAAAGGAATATACGTTGACAGTTTACAAAATATTAATGATTCAAAACAGAATATGAAGAAATGACAGCTTCTAATCAACACATGTATATCTGTGTTGAACCAAAAGTCCTGGAAGCTCTTTCTGTCAAGGAAGTTGCAGAGTAAACAAGTCTGAAGAGTCTGAAACATTTTGAAGAGTTTTGGATCTTGAAAGGGAATGGTGTAACTGGTTGTAAACTGCTGTTGCAAATCAAATAACTATCAATTTATACACCTCTGTAAACTGATTAAGTACGTTTCCGAGCACAATTCAAAGTGTTGGTGCTGACCTTTAAAGCCCTAAATGGCCTCAGCCCAGTATACCTGAAGGAGCGCTCCACCCCCATTGTTCTGAGGTCCAGCTTTGAGGGCCTTCTCGCGGTTCCTTCACTGCGAGATGGGAGGTTACAAGGAACCGGGCAGAGAGCCTTCTTGGTGGTGGTGCCCTCCCTGTGGAACGCCCTCCCGTCAGATGTCAAGGAAATAAACAACTATCAGACTTTTAGAAGACATCTAAAGGCAGCCCTGTTTAGGGAACTTTTTAATGTCTGATGTTTTATTGTGCTTTTAATTCTGTTGGGAGCCGCCAACAGAAAAATTATTATTATTGGCTGGGGAAAATTATTATTATTATTATTATTATTATTATTATTATTATTATTATTATTTATGAAGCCATTTTCCCTTCCTTCTTAGTGGTGTATCTCTGTCCTGAGGTAGTCATCCTAGAATTGTGAAATGGAAATAAGTTGCTAATGTGTTTTTTTGTTTGTTTGTTTTTTGTAGGAGCATGGCAATAACCATTTTGGAAAAGGGATTCCCTTTCTGCATTATTTCAGTGGTTCCCCGTGAGCATTCAGCAGCACAGCTGCAAGGGAAGGGTGAGCAACAGGGCTTGCCTCAGTCAATGAGGGCTTCTGACCTTGGCTCTAGAGGTGCTGATGTTCTCCATGTTCTCAATGCTACTGACGCAGTTATTTGGGACTTTGCTACAGGCCAGTCGGATGTAATCCCAGAAGCCACGTTGCCCATCAGAGCTGAACCAGCTGACAGGACCTGAGGAAGAGGCAGGGAAGACAGGATGTAAACAATAGAACTACTGCCTATCTATCACCCACCTGCTCTGGAAAATACTCTGGTAGCACTAGCCAAACAACCAAATAATATAATCCAAGGGCATAAAAACCTTGCTCAATCTTCTTTCTCAAGCCTTTCTTTTGCATCAGCTCAGGGATAAGGAATATATGGGCATTCAGATGTTGCTGGACTACAGTTCCCATCATCCCCTATGCTGGGTGGGGCAGACAGGAATTGGAGTCCACCACCATCTGGAGGGGGACACGGGTGGTGCTGTGGGTTAAACCACAGAGCCTAGGACTTGCTGATCAGAAGGTCGGCAGTTCGAATCCCCACGACGGGGTGAGCTCCTGTTGTTCAGTCCCAGCTCCTGCCAACCTAGCAGTTCGAAAGCACATCAAAGTGCAAGTAGATAAATAGGTACCGCTCTGGTGGGAAGGTAAACAGTGTTTCCATGCACTGCTCTGGTTCACCAGAAGTGGCTTAGTCCTGCTGGCCACATGACCCGGAAGCTGTACGCCGGCTCCCTAGGCCAGTAAAGCGAGATGAGCGCCCAGAGTCGGTCACGACTGGACCTAATGCTCAGGGGTCCCTTTACCTTTACCATCTGGAGGAGCACAGGTCTTCCACCCCTTCTCTGAATGATAGACCTAGAGGCAGGCATGCTTGGTGAGGCTCTGCCATACACTTTGGAACCCCAGACTGCTAACTTTTACAGTATCAGGTGTCTGCCTGGGGGAATGGTTCCGGTAAACACAATGGTTAAGAACACAAGCGATGAACTGGGAGGAGGAAATCTAACTAAACTTTCAGCTTAGCCATTGAAGTCACTGCTTGGCCTTTGACAAGCCACTATCTCTGGCTCTCAGGCTCAGGCCTTCCGTGTGGAACAGGGGGATAATAATACAGGCACACATCACAGGGTTGCGGTAAGAACTGCAAAAGCTAGGCCAGAAGCAAGTGCACTTGGTCAGCCAGCCAGGGTTTGGAGAAAATACTAGGATTAATTAAAAGGATTTCCCCACACTTGTTGCACGATAGCCAGGAAATGCACTTATCCGGGCCAGACTAGATGAAGTGCTGCTCATGCAGTTGACAATCCCATGAATGGCTCCTAAAAAGTGAATTGGGGGTGGGGATCCTGATCCGGTCTCCTGCACCATGTTTTGCACCGGGGAAGGAGATCCGGTTGGAGTGAATGGGAGCTGCCTCCCCTCCCGAGGCAAAGAACAGGCATAGAGTGTCCAGATTAGGGCTGCAGTGGAGGGCAGGGGATGGGTGAAAGTCTCTCAGCCTTCATACCAGGGTCCCCATAAGGAGTGGCCCACTGCATCTGCAGTTTACTTTGTGAAAGCCATTTATGCAATTTGCTAATTGTGTGCACGGTATCACTTCCAGCTTAGCCCTCAGTCAAACCTGCAATGCTGTCGTCTCCCTGCACCGTGACACACGATGCAATATTTGCTCAACCCCCATATACATTGCATAGCAGGTGTTGGGGGGGGAAGGACCTCTGGCCTCCAGAAGCTGCTGAACTACAACTCCCATCAGCCTCAGCAAATATGGCCAATGGCTGGGGATGGTGGGAGCTGGAGTTCTGCAACAACTCTCTCGGAGGGCCAAAGGTCCCCCACACCTGTGTAGCAATAGTGCTGAAAATGAGGACAATAAAACTAAGAATGACAGAGAGGGAGGGAGGGAGGGAGAGAAATCACCCATCAGTGCAAACCGTACCATGATCCCCCTTGAAGCGATGGCTGAGGATGTGTTCTAGAATAGCAGCGAAGTTCACAAACTCCTCTGATGAGTCATCAATGGGTTCGATGGTATATTTCTCCAGCAATGTTTTCACGGAGAATCTACAGTGGGAGTCCAAGAAAGCAAAACAAAACACCATAACCAGGTTTGAGCATGAAGTGTATGGGGAGAAAGAGGAACCCAGCTTTTAAGGAGGGCTTTTCCTCTCCCCAGTTTATTCTTGACCAGACCCCGACAAATGGTTCCTCTCATTCTTTCCAAAGCATGAGTACGAAGTGGTCTCCTCTTCCTTCCTCTTCCCCAGAATAGAAAGAGCCTTTGACAGATTTCATTCAAACCAGAAATTGCTATCAGAACGCTGGGTCTCGGCTCTGGGAAATGTGAAGTGGCTTCCAGACATAAGCAGAGTGCCTTCATTTCCTTATTGAACATACACAGTCTGCCCCTCCCAAACATCTGGGATAGCAGCCAGCTCTCTCTGATCACAAGGTATGGCTTTCAGGAAAGTCAAAGCCCCAGCTCTCTTTTGTTTCTCTCTTCAATTCACCACTGATCATATCAGTGACAATAGAGTCTCTTCTCTATTTGCACAGCACCAAGGCCATTGTTCTTAAACACTCTCCCTTCAGGGAGCCCTGCTAAAGGATCTCAAGAGCATCGGCCACAGAATCCCTCCTCCTTGCTGCCACAGAGGAAAGTGGGACATGCTGGGTTGCATTCATTGTGGCCCCCATTTATCCATTTTCATCACCCTGATATGAACATTATGTCAGCACAAGGTCCTTGTGCAGCAGAATGTTCTTCCCCTCTGCTCCTTCATTGAACAGTCCTGTTTTGCTTTAAATCCAGCAACACTGAATGAGATCTCCTTATCCACGACCAAATGGTAGCTGCATATGCCTAGGTCTACCTAGGTGGCTGTGTGTCCTACCTTACAGAGAAGAGTCCTCTGTTTTGAAGATCCTCTTATGTAAATGGCTGCCCAGCCTAAGTCCAGTTTAAAGGAGGAGGAGGTGGCGGCAGAACGAGGGCTTTGAAGCTGCCTATCAGCAAAGACCCCCACCTAGACAGCAGACCTATCAGAAACTTAGATCACCTGGACAGTCTTCCCCACTATGGTGAGAGGCATTGCATTTCTATTTAAAGTGCAGGAATGATTTATAAATTTGCACATATACATATAAATTAACCTATGCAAATCTTATGCAAATCAGCACCATCTCCCATCCTCTGCTGCCTCTTTACCCCCTGCTCCCCCACAACCACACCGGCCCTCTCTGCAAAAAAATAGAGGCGATTTTGGAAAGCAATGAATCCAAAGCCCTGTGCAACTGTTTTGTTTTCCTTCCTGCTCTATCTCTTTCTAACTCAGTGCTGATTTCCCCCCCCCTGCAGGCAGGTTCGCATGGATCGTCCTCCTGACGCCCACACTGCCAGCTGGCCCTGGGGCTGTTTGAAGCTAAGGTTTGACAGCAAAAGGCAAATGGATGGAAGGAGAAAGGGTTTTAGATGCAGTCGCTGATATCCAACTCTGAGATGGATCCTATGCTGTTCAAGGATTGTCAGTTAAAACCTCAACGATGTAGATGCCATGCTGACTTGTTGTGTGCTCTTGATCGCAGGCCAATAGGACTATGGGGTGAATCAGCACAAGGCTCAGAGGGCTGGCTAGCAAGCGGCAGACTTTGGGGTCTCAAATTTCAGCAGCACCCTTTGTGACACCAAAGTTTGGGGCCTCCTGCCTCTCGTCTTCCATTCTACATCATAATTTGGCGCCCCCAAGGTTCCATACCCAATGCAACCAGTTGCACTCCCCTCTGTAGAGGAGTATCCTTCAGTGTATTCTTATCCCTACCATCTACTCTCCTGGGTTTCTGGGTTCTTTTTCATGCAAGATTTATGGCAGTACACACAGTGAATAGCATACCCTCCAATATTTCTCTGAAGAAAATAGGGATGTCCTATTCAACAACACAATTTTATTAGTTATACCCTGCCCATCTGCCCCAGCCATCCTGAGTGGTTTCCAACATATATAAAAACATAATAAAGCATTAAACATTTTAAAAAACTTTCCTATACAGATGTCTTCTAAAGGTTGTAATAGTTACTTATCTCCTTGGCTCAGGGGTCACATAACTCTATACCCTCCAACATTTCTCCACTGAAAATCCGGCAACAGTTATTCATTCTTACTGAAAACAATGGCATGTGACTTAGGCCCCATCCGCACTATACATTTAATGCAGTAATATACCACTTTAAACAGTCAAGGCTTCCCCCCAACGAATCCTGGGAACTGTAGTTTGTTAAAGGTGCTGAGACTTGTTACGAGATCCCTTTTCCCCTCACAGAGCTACAGTTCCCAAGAGTAGCCCAACAGGCAATTCCTCTCCCTGAGAACTTGGGGAACTGTAGCTCTGTGAGGGGAAAAGGGGTCTCCTAAAAATTCTCACCTTCCTTTAAAAGGCCACAGTTCCCATGATTCTTTGGGGGTGAAGACATGCTTAAAGTGGTCTGATACTGTTTTAAATATATAGTGCAGACAGGAACTGAGTAAAAATTAATTTTTGTTGGATTGTGCCCAGAGACTACATTTCTGGCAGTTGCTGGTGATGAATCCATCATGCACGGAGTGAACAAGTCCCTTTAAAACAAATTGCTGCAATTTTTTCAGGGAAAAGGCAAACCAGAAGCTGGTCCACTAGGATATGGGAGGCAATATTGATGGAGAAACCTAAATAAATTCAAGGTTCTCCAGGTGCCTTTCCTCTGAAGTGCACTTTCGACCCTGGTTTTCCTGCACAGCATTCTTAAAATGGAATATAGGTCTCACACAAAACAAAAACAATCAGTTAAGGGTGCAATCCTATGCACACTTACCTGGGAGTAAGCCCCACCAAACAAAATGGGATCTACTTCAAGGAAACTTGCATAGGATTGCATTGTAGATGTCATTTTCACTGGAAGATAGGAAGCTGCCTTATGACAAATCAGACAACTGGGTTATCTAACTCAGTACTGTCAGCACTGACTGACAGCTGCTCTTCAGGGTTTCAGGTGGGCCTTTATCCCACCACCATCTGGAGATGCTGGGGACTGAGTTTAGGGATCTTCTGCACACAGGGCAGATGCTCTGCCACTGAGCTCTAGCTCTTCCTGTTTACTTCTGTTGTACTGTGTAACACCCACCTATGCTGGTAAAGTTTGCATCACACAGGAAAATGCAGACCCACAAATGCTCTTGGGGACATGGCAAAGGCATGTAAAAAACTGGACCCACCATCAAACAAATATGTAAAAAAGTGTTTAGTATATCTATTTAAGGGACGCGGGTGGCGCTGTGGGTAAAACCTCAGCGCCTAGGGCTTGCCGATCGCATGGTCGGCGGTTCAAATCCCCGCGGCGGGGTGAGCTCCCATCGTTCGGTCCCAGCTCCTGCCCACCTAGCAGTTCAAAAGCACCCCTAAGTGCAAGTAGGTAAATAGGTACTGCTTTATAGCGGGAAGGTAAACGGCGTTTCCGTGTGCTGTGCTGGTGCCGGCTCGCCAGAGCAGCTTCGTCACGCTGGCCACGTGACCCGGAAGTGTCTCCGGACAGCGCTGGCCCCCGGCCTCTTAAGTGAGATGGGCGCACAACCCTAGAGTCGGACACGACTGGCCCGTATGGGCAGGGGTACCTTTATATCTATTTAAATATCTTAATCTCCTTTTTCTTTCCAATTTTTGCATCTTTTTGCAGCTTTGTTATGTTTTGGAATAATAGTACTGTAATTAAAAATTCAGAATTTTTGAATCTTCTTCATCAATATCATCTCCTCTCTGTTCTTTCTCTGCTTCATTCGTTAGGCACTTTATAAATTAACCATACAAGCCATGGCTATTGTAAATAAATAAATAAAAACTTCCTTTTGCTTGCTTTGTGTGCCAAGTTCAGCCAAAGTCCATAAGATTACTTGCATTTTTAGAAAGTGTGTGAATATTTTTTTCTTTCATGATACTGTAAGTATTAAGCACCCATAGTTTTATTCTCTCTCACTGCAACCCCATGAGCCATCTTCTTCCTTGATCAATTCAGCTTCCCTTTCCCATACGTTTTCCAGTTCTGCTGTATGTTTCTTCTGGAAAGGGCAATTAGACTAGGGGACCAATTTTAATTAAAATTTCCAACCAGTCCTTGAAAAGATGTTGGGCAAGACGGAGAAGCAGAACTTCCTTCATTGAGGGATACAAATAGCACAGTAACCCATTGTTCCCGTCCCTATCGTTGGATATACAATACATGATGCTAGTGCCAATAAACCAAATTCTGACCAATTTTCAAGCAGTAATACTCCGCATTTACTCTTACTTCTCTGCCAAAAGCTCTCCCCAAGTTCATGGTGAGGCCCAGCCTTCACTTCAGTTACATATCTCAGCCTACTACAATAGGCCTATTAACTCTTCCCCTTCCTTTTCTTTCCCCCACATTTTTTTTTAATTCTTGGCAAAACTAGATTGACAAAAAGCCTGCCCTTCTACCTAAAATGGGGCCACCTTCTCCTAGCTTCATCAGTGCTTGTCTGAGTGTGAGACACAGGGTGGGAAACCGGCAGTCCTGGTACAACAACAGGCTGATGTCTCTGCACCAACCTGGTGCTCGCCAGATGTTTTAGACCACAGCTCCCATCAACTCCCGGCCAGCACAGCTGTAGTACAAAAACCTCCTGGGAGGCACCAGGTTGGCAAAAGCTTCCCTGCACCTGGCTCAATGCCTTTTGTTGGGAAAAGGCCGTTGCTAAGGCAGCCACCTCCTGTATTCCACCCTCCCTCCCCCCACTTCTGCTGCTCATAAGATGCTCCACAGTGACGTCACTTCCCACTTCTCATATCTCCCCAACCAGGGTGCCTGCATTCATCTTTGCACACCACAGAGCTCTTTCTTTTCCTTCAGGAAGAGAGGAAGTTAAGTAGGAAGAGTGCCCTGCCCCAACGCCTTCTCTGCCCTACTTCTTTTCTCTTTGTGGCATTCCCATCACCATCACCTCCCCTCACCCTGAAGGACAACAACGTGCAGAGGGGCTGCAGGCGGCAACCTCTCACTCTTTTCCCTCCTGCCTCCCAGAATTTTCCATCTTCATTTGGTTCTCTGAGCAGCACTTCCAAGCACCAGCCAGCGAGTTGCCTACTGGGTGTAGGTCCCATAGAGATACATAGCTAGCGACTGAGGAAGATTCTTCCCCTAGTGTGGGAGAACCTCCTACATGGCCAGATTCCCCCATCATCCCTATGAAGGACACATTTCTGAAACCAGGCCTACCCTACCAAACGGAACAAACACCCCAACGTTCACTCCTCATCTTTCCTTGTTGACAAATTGATTCTGGAAACACAACAGACCCTCTTCTGCCGATTCCTCCATTGCCTTTGGCCTGTGTGCCTGTCCATTTCTTCCTATTAGCTTCCCTCGTTCCCCTCATTCCTCACCCACCCTTGAATTTCACAACCCCTGGTTTCTTTTTCTTCCTTGCATTATCTTTCCCCTTTATTTTTTTTTTTAAATAAGCTCCCCCCACCTCCCCAAGGATATTGCTGTCCTCTGTTGCCACACTGCCTGCCTGAAGCTGTACTGATCATCTTAAGCACCATTTCCAGACGGGCTAACCATTCTATTAGACATAAGATGCCAATAATAGGAGGTTTCCTTTCTGTTGTTGTTGGGAAGCCATCCACCTTCACGGAACAGTTCCACCTCATCCCCTCGCCTAGCCTCCTTGCCATCCTCTCTCCATCTTAGGGGATGCAGGATGATCTTTCCACCTCCACCCTCGGGCGGGGGGGTTTCCTCGCCAGCCTTCCCTGGCAACCCAAGGCTCTCTTTACCTGCAGACGGTGATCAGGTTTTTCCTCTCCACGGCGATGTTCCTGGAAGAGGCTTTCTTCGAAGACAGCCCTAGCGCCATGGTCGACTGGAGGCAGTTCGGTTCCATCCAGGGGAGAGACGCTCTGGGTCCTCCGGGTGGCGCCCCCTCCTCTTCCTCCTCCTCCCCCTCCTCCCCACCCCCTCCCCTCCCCCTGCCTCTCCTCCCTGCCCTCCCCCAGAAGACGAGGCGTTGGGTCAGCCTTCTCCAGGATCGGATAGCTCGGAAGTATCGGCCGCCTCTCTCTCGTCCTAAAATTAGCTCCAGCCCCCTGCTTGGAGGGCGAGAGCGAACAGCGAAAGATGGGAGGATGGCCGGGAGGAGCTCTCCTTGGTCCTGATGGAAAACAGGCGCCTCCTCCTCCCGATGGGAAGCCAGCCCCTCTCGCCAATGACGTGATGGGCGGATGAGAGGGAAAGGGGAGCAGCCGGGAAGGAAGGAAGGAAGGAAGACAGCGTCGGAGGAGAGGAGGACCTCATGTCGCCTGGAACAGGGAAGGGAAAATCTGCCTTAGATGCAGCTCACTCTCTCCCCTGCTCACTGTTTCCAGCACGGTGCGTTATGCAGACGCAGCTCATCCATTCCCTACAACAGCCCTGCGAGGTTGGCTTTTAAAAAGAGAAAAAAGGCCCTGTCAGAACGGAACACTAGGACCCTGATCCCCACCCCACGGTGTTTTGATGCCTGAGGCAAATGTGTGTGTACACACATACATTCACACACACATATAGAATCATATACAGTGGTACCTCGGGTTAAGTACTTAATTCGTTCCGGAAGTCCGTTCTTAACCTGAAACTGTTCTTAACCTGAAGCACCACTTTAGCTAATAGGGCCTCCTGCTGCTGCCATGCTGCCAGAGCACGATTTCTGTTCTAATCCTGAAGCAAAGTTCTTAACCTGAGGTACTATTTCTGGGTTAGCGGAGTCTGTAACCTGAAGCGTATGTAACCCGAGGTACCACTGTAAATCTTCTTGCCCAACGTGGGGCACAAGCCTGAGATTAAGAGTCTCCTGCTCTACCAACTGAGCAGCTCAGTCTGAGCTATCTATCCATATATATATATATATATATACACACACACACACACACACACACAATACATACAAATTGCTTTCCTCACCGTGATTAACGTAAGGGCATGCACCTTAAAACCTGTCAGAAAGCTGTCCCGTAAAAGTCCAACTGGAAATGGGAAAGGTACAAGAACATGGTATTTATTATTAGTTCAAAATGAGGAACTTCCCAGGAGTTACATCTGCCTGTCTCCCATTCTGCTCTTTTTACTGGCACCCAAGCCCGCTGTCTGAGGTAACCACTTTGCCTCACCTCAGTGTCTCTGACTAAAGTGAAAAATGGCCTCTTGCCCAGGGGCTATTAATGAAATGGAGGAAGGGCATGGAGTTTGTTTATTTAATACATTTATATCCAAGGAGCTGGAAGCAGCATACTTGGCTCTCACCTGCCCATTTTATCCTCACAACAACTCTGTGGGGTAGATTATTAGGCAGAGAGATCATGACTGGCCCAAGACTACCCTGGTTGTGTTGGGATTTAAATCCTGGCCTCCTAGGTTGTAGTCTGACACTCTAACCATTTCGCCACAATAGCTCTCTAAGTTGAACTTCGGTCTCTGGATTACTTGCTTTTGCCAAATTCATATTAGTTTAAATTGTCTAGACAATGACATCCGATAAATAGCGGTCCTATCAGGTTACAGATTCAATAGTCTTTAGCACAATCTCGAACACTGTTTGTTTGTTTGGCAGAGAGATGCTGGTGCGCTCTCTCTCTCTCTCTCTCTCTCTCTCTCTCTCAAACACACACAACATGTGCTCGTTCACATGCAGGCTGACTGGAGAAGAGGACCTCTGAACACAAGCAGAGTGCTTCCTGTGGCTGAGTCACCAATGGCAGATCATTAAAATGGGCTCTTGCAGAACAGCACACTCAGAGGAAATAAACAGTGTGCATCCATTTCAAGTCATGGTTACAATTTATAAAGAAAGCTTTGTGTTCTGTTTTGCTTTGTTAATCTACTACCTTTGGAAGGAAAGAGCTTGTTTTTCTCCTTCCACCAGGGACTGTTGTCAAGCACACACAAAAAGTGTCTTTTAAATTGGGTGGTTTCCCCCCTCCTTTGGGAATTCCCCCCACCCCCTGCCTTTATTGTCTGACTGCTATGCTTGTGGTCAGCAAAATACCGCCCCGCAGGTCTGTTCAACTGACCCTGAGGATTTTTGTTTGACCTTGCTTATTTATTTATTTCCCCGGTAATTGTAGGCTGAGCTGTTTGCTGTGCACCCACTTGAGAGCTTGTATATCTTGTTCACTCCTGCTCTCTGCTGGTGGACTTCAGTATAATCTGAATTTCTTCCAAGGAAGTGGGGGGGCGGGGGGAACGACTGTCTCTCCAGAAGGAAGATTCTGCCTCTGAATGGAGAAAAGGGTGAATTCTTCTGCTTCCTCCCAACTGGATAGGCACAGCCACCAGGACTGCCAGTTGAGCAGGGGGCAAATGGAAGGGAAATGGCCTGCTTTGCTGCTTTGCTTGCAACAGCAGGCTTGGTCGACAGCTGAAGCTTTTCATGGCATGAAGATGATAAACTTTACTGTCTGCGCATCAAGCTGATTTTAAAGGCACAGGCACCAGGGAAGGCTCAAAAATTGGGAACCCATACATTCCCAGGATGGAAGGTGCAGAGTTTAGAGTGAGGATGGGCTCACTGGAGCTTTGCCCCAGACTGTGGCTTTTATCTTCTTATGTAGGAAGCTGCCTTATACAATTGCTCCATCTAGCTCAGTATCAGAGACATCACCTTGCCAACAAAGGTCCGTATAGTTAAAGCCATGGTTTTCCCAGTAGTGATGTATGGAAGTGAGAGCTGGACCATAAAGAAGGCTGATCGCCAAAGAATTGATGCTTTTGAATTATGGTGCTGGAGGAGACGCTTGAGAGTCTCATGGACTGCAAGGAGATCAAACGCATCAATTTTTAAGGAAATTAGCCCTGAGTGCTCACTGGAAGGACAGATTGTGATGCTGAGGCTCCAATACTTTGGCCACCTCATGAGAAGAGAAAACTCCCTGGAAAAGACCCTGATGTTGGGAAAGATGGAGAGCACAAGGAGAAGGGGACGACAGAGGACGAGATGGTTGAACAGTGTTCTCAAAGCTACAAACATGAGTCTGACCAAACTGCGGGAGGCAGTGGAAGACAGGAGTGCCTGGCGTGCTCTGGTCCATGAGGTCACGAAGAGTCGGACACGACTAAACGACTAAACAACAACAACAACAACAGCTCAGTATGGTTTACACTGACTGTACCAAATGGTGTGAAGCCATATCATTGCTCTATCAGTTTTATCTGCAATAGCTCTCCAGGGAATCAGGTGGGTCTTTCATCACAACCCTACCAGGGGTTGAACCTGGTTCCTTCTGCATGCAACACCTGTGTCCTGTCTCTGAGCTATATAGCTCTTCTTCTCTTTTTGCAACCTGGAACATGCCATAATAGAAATGCCTGGATGTTATTTCTCTGCAGCCACTGAGCAATGACCATAACTGACCAACACTCAAGGAAACAGAGAGTCGGATCAGTTTCCCATTCAAGCTGTGCTCCAACGCCCCCTTCTTCTGAGTGCAAAATGAGCCCTGGCATCATCGCACAGCATGAGCTAATGGTGCCTCATCATTTCCACATAATTTTTTGGACTGCAGAGAAGGGAGGGAGGGAAGCAGGGAGGTGCCTGGCTCCTGCTGGCCTGGCTGGCTACTGGAAGATAAAGCAGCCACTGGAAGAGGCTATTCCTCAGAGATAGGCCTAATCATAAAGCACCTAGCTGCAGGGGGAGGAGATGGGCACCGCCCAAGCCCATCCATTTCCATGCTCACGCAAGGCTTGGCGCGTCTCCCGGTCGCTTCTTTTCAAATATGTTGCTTATTTTTAAATACCCCAGGCAAAATCTAATTGGCTGCATTTGCTCGCTGCATAGTTCAAACCCGTCCAATGACAAGAGCCTCTTCTTTACTATCTCAAAGGAAAAAAGGGACCTGGAAAGTGCATTTCTGTTGACTAGAAGTATGCTGGTGTCCCTCCCTCCTTAAAAAAGCAAAACAAAACCCTGCCTGATTAGTTCCAGTCTGTGTGACATTCACACTGACCACCCCCTGCCACTTCTGCAGCCTCCTTGCCCACCCATCAACCCTTAAGCTTTGCCAGATCACCTAATTGCAGTGCAAAGTTTTAGTAGGTGCTGTCACTGCCGCTGTCGTTTGTGGTGCCTTTTATATTATTATGGTGGATTGGTTATCATAAAGTTGTTTTTATATAGCATTTTGTGAAGCTGTGGTTCTTTTAATCATTAAGAGTAGTCTAAAAGTTTCAGCAAAATGAATGAATGAATGAATGCAAACCATAACATGCAGAACACCATTACAGTGGTACCTTGGGTTACAGACGCTTCAGGTTACAGACTCCGCTAACCCAGAAATAGTACCTCGGGTTAAGAACTTTGCTTCAGGATGAGAACAGAAATCGCGCTGTGGCAGCGGGAGGCCCCATTAGCTAAAGTGGTACCTCAGGTTAAGAACAGTTTCAGGTTAAGAACGGACCTCCAGAACGAATTAAGTTCTTAACCAGAGGTACCACTGTATTAAGATTCATGGGGCTTTAAACCTAGGAACACCACATCTGACACCTTCCTCCTTCCCCAAAGAGCTGGTGTGCTGTGATGGTTAAGAGTATTGACAAGGGTTCAAATCTCCACTCCTTCGGCCAGTTGCTGTCTCTCAATCTAACCTCCTCTACAGGGTTGTTGTGAGGAGAAAATGAGGAAGGAAGAGCCCTGTACAATGCCTTGAGCACCTTAGAGGAGAAATTTGGTATAGACATGTAATCAATAAAATAAATAAGTAAAAGCACACAGCCTTTCCTGTCCATAAGCTTTATGTATAATTTAACCCCTGTCATATCCCCCCCCTTTTTTTCCTTTTTCCAAATGTGCATCATTTCTTCAGGTCCCTGATTTTCACGCCGCAGCCAGTTTTGTCTTGTGTTTTTTTTTAGCAGCTTTGACTAATCTACCTACCCCTTCTTTCTTCCTCCTTCCTATCATACAGACCTCATCACCTTGTCTTCAGAGTCCTCAGTCCTATTCACTCCTCGTGCTTCACTTCTCTGCCTGCTCTGCTCTTGACCTCAAGCCTCATTCTAACTTTCCTTCCTGTACTCTCTTTCATTCCCTGTTGGTACACGAATATGTCACTTCCCTACCTCCCAATCCTCATTCAGCCTCTGTATGAAGTTGTAGTTCCTGTCAAATCGACAACTTTCTATGCCACCCTTCACCCAAGGATCACAGGGCAGTTTACAATATAAAAACACAAATGCATAACATAGTAACAACAAACGAACAAAAGTACCCCAACGCACGGTTTAAGAGGCCATAGTTTAATTAGCCAAAGGCTAATTGCATAATCAGTATTAGTAAAGGTAAAGGTACCCTTGCCCGTACGGGCCAGTCGTGACCGACTCTGGGGTTGCGTGCTCATCTCGCTTAAGAGGCCGGGAGCCAGCGCTGTCCGAAGACACTTCCGGGTCACGTGGCCAGCGTGACGAAGCTGCTCTGGCGAGCCAGCACCAGAGCAGCGCACGGAAACGCCGTTTACCTTCCTGCTATAAAGCGGTACCTATTTATCTACTTGCACTTTGACGTGCTTTCGAACTGCTAGGTGGGCAGGAGCTGGGACCAAACGACAGGAGCTCACCCTGCCGCGGGGATTCGAACCGCCGACCATACGATCGGCAAGTCCTAGGCACTGAGGTTTTACCCACAGCGCCACCCGTGTCCCACAATCAGTATTAGAATTCAACTAACGTTCACCTTGGTTTCTATTTGAGTGAGCTTTCTTCTCTCATTATTGCCACCAAATATGGTTGCCAACTGACCAGTACAAAGGCTCAGTCTCTTCTCAGTGCTGGATTACCCAACAGGCAGACTAAGCATGTGCTTAGGGCACCAGCAAAGCAGGGGCACACAAACACACAAAATTGTTTGGGACAGATTTAGCGCTCAATCAGGGCAAATGGCAATGGATGAGTTCTTTGATTAGCTAGTCACTGTAAGGGTTATTTTGTGCTGGTTTCAATTGTGTTTTATGTTTTATTGTTGTAGGTGCCCTGATATTTTATGATACAGTGGAACTCTGGCTAGTGGTTGAGATGCCCTTTCTGGTAAAAAGGTAAAGGTACCCCTGACCGTTAGGTCCAGCTGTGGACGACTCTGGGGTTGCGCGCTCATCTCGCTCTATAGGCCGAGGGAGCTGGCGTTTGTCCGCAGACAGCTTCCGGGTCATGTGGCCATCATGACTAAGCCACTTCTGGTGAACCAGAGCAGTGCACGGAAACGCCGTTTACCTTCCTGCCAGAGCTGTACCCATTTATCACTTGCACTTTTAGGTGCTTTTGAACTGCTAGGTGGGCAGGAGCTGGGACCTAACAACAGGAGCTCACCCTGTTGCGGGGATTTGAACTGCCGACCTTCCGATCGGCAAGCCCTAGGCTCTGTGGTTTAGACCACAACACCACCCGTGTCCCGCCCTTGCTGGTACTTGGCTCCAATTAAACAATGAGTAAGCCACCAGAAAGAATGCATATCACTGTGCTGTGTTGCATTAGAAGTTGATGTACTCACTTATCCAAGGGGATTCAGTGGGTATAATTGTTGTTTGATTAGTGTTTCCTGTAACTGTAAGATGCATTTGAGTCTTGAATAGATATATAGATGATAGATGATAGATGATAGATGATAGATGATAGATGATAGATGATAGATAGATAGATAGATAGATGATAGATAGATAGATAGACACTACCCTTCATTCTAGTTAGAAATGAAAGGTGGCATACAGCAAATAGTGTCAGCATGAAACTCCAGTAGTTGATATGTGGAGCATGCACATGCTCATTCATTTCATTTTGCAAGGGATCAGAAGTTTTGTTCACTTGAGATAAGAATATACCCTTTCACCGGGCCTCCTCTCAGACTTCAGCTCCACTTAGATTAGTGAATATCCCTGATGGCCATTTTGGATCCCCAATTCACAAATGCCAGCTTGGCAATATTAAGTGATTACATGGCATTAAACCAGGAGCGGTAACTCCATGGCAGAGAGTGTGCTTTGAATTTAGCTGGAGCTCAGTAACGGAGCAAATGTTCTGCATGCAAAAATAAATAAATCCCAGGTTCAATCCATGGTATCTCCAGTTAGGATCTGCACGATATCCTACAGAACCGCTAGCAGTGGCTCCTCTTGGACAAATGGCCTTACCTAGTATAAAGCAGCATACTAAGAGCCTAATTTCATCCACTTGCCTCTCCAGTTAGGCAGTGCCAGAGAACAAGGACTGTCAAATAGACCTGCTTTCAGGCGGTGCTTATTGTATGCCATTTCTCATCCGCATACAATGAATATTGATCAAATATGACAGAGACAAGCCAAATGGATGTTGTATTTTATTTGGTCATTAAGGGTGTTCAAGATGTTTCCTAGTTCAGAGACATGTCTGAAGCATTATAGTATGTTCTATTTTGACAAAAATCTAAGAGTTGTCTGATTACTTACACTGAATTATTCCTCAGTAATTGTGGCAATGGATTGATGCAGTGACGTCAATAGTAGGAAACAGTACTATATAGCATTAGCACACAGAAAGAAAGAAAGAAAGAAAGAAAGAAAGAAAGAAAGGTCTTTGCATCAAAGAGCTTACAATTCTAAATTTGACAGCATAAAACCTACAAGGGGGTGGGGTGAGAGACAGGAGAAGGATAACCAGGAACAAATCTGCGTGCATGCAGTTATAAAGCAGGCTATCCATATAATTTAATTCAGTGGTTCACAGAGCTCTGGGATTCCTCACTGGAACTGAGTTCCTCCACCGGTAGCTGTATAGCAGCATGACACCCAGAGCTGCGTGCCAGAGGCTTCAGGCTGTGGAGCAGCGTGTCAGAGGTGACTTTGCAAATGCAGCCGCCCTAGAAAAAGATCAACAACTTTGGCTCCTCCCCCCACCCCCACCCCGGTTGTCCGTCAAAAAAAAAAGTGGGAGTTCCTGCACCTCTTTTTCTAGAAAAAAAAGCACTGCCTCCAAGTGAAGATCAATAAAGGCCAAACAACCTGTGATATGACAAATCAATGAATAGGATCTTCTGGAGAGTGTGTGTGTGTGTGTGTGGATTTTAAAGATCACAGTAGTTGCAGCCCTGCCTCCATTTGACAGTGGCTTCAGTACTGAGGAAGAGACAGGGCAGGACTCCGGCAAAGGACAAAATGGCACCTCCTTCCCCCACCACACACAATCCCACACAGAGAAACCAAGTGTTTTGGCAGCTGAATCTTACCTTAGCACTGCATATGGGGAAGCATCCTGCACCACACCTAAAGACAGCAAGCTAGATCAGAGCCCAAAAGGCAGGCCATGTAGCCTATAGACCTATGTTTTCCAACACCTCAGCAGCAGCAGAACCCGTCCCCAGCATCTGCCGCCTGAGGTGGCCGCCTTAATCCAGCTAATGATAGGACTGGCTATGGAGAGGGAGGCTATTCCTTACTTACTTTCTTGCTGTCTTCCTTATTGAAACCTCCCCACCACCGCCACGAAACTGTTGTATGTCTGAGGTAAAACATGCCAGTATTGTATGGGTACCTATATAATTATTCACTGCCAGGCGAATAGCAGCATAGGAAAGGCAGTCCAGATTGAGAAAACAACACATGACAAATTATTGGCCCCCTCACCTGGCTGTATGGCCTGACAGGATCCAGAGGTGAAGGGGTGATGAAACAGCACTGGTGCCTTTTCTTTTTTCAGGGAATGGGGGGATGCCGAAGATTATCCCATGTCTCATCTAGTGTGGCCCTAAGATTTCTTAAAAGGCAGCTTGCTTACACCTGCCACTCATCTTCTAATAAATATCTGAAAGGTTGCTTCCTTCCCTACAGAACCCCTCCAGACATTAAGATCAGCAGACGGGGCCTCTTGGTAGTTCCAGAAGTTCCCTCAGAAGTTCAGAGGGTTGTAGAGAGGGCGTTGTTTGCAGCAGCCCCTAAGTTGAAGAACTCCCTCCCCACAGAGGCACTTCTGGCTTCTTCACAACTCAGCAGATGCTGAAGACACACCTCTTAACTCTGGCCTTTGATGTGTATTTTCAGGGCTCACCTAAGTGGCTTCAGCCTTGTATACCTGAAGGAGTGTCTCCATCCCCGTCATTCAGTCCAGACACTGAGGTCCAGCTCTAAGGGCCTTCTGATGTTTCTCTCATTGCAGAGTTACAGGGAGCCAGGCAGAGGCCCGTCTTGGTAGTGGCACCCACCTTGTGGAACACTCTTCCATCAGATGTCAGGGAGATAAAGAGCTATGCAACTTTAGAAGACATCTCAAGGAATTCCTGTACAGGGAAGTTTTAAATGTTTGATGTTTTATTAAGTTTTTATATCTGTTAGAAGCCACCCAGAGTTACTGGGGCAACCCAGTCAGATGGGCAGCATAAATAAAATAAAATAAAATAAAATAAAATAAAATAAAATAAAATAAAATAAAATAAAATAAAATAAAATAAAATAAAATAAAATAAAATAAAATAAAATAAAATAAAATAAAATAAAATAAAATAAAATAAGATAAAATAAAATAAGATAAGATAAAATAAAATAAAATAAAATAAAATAAAATAAAATAAAATAAAATAAAATAAAATAAAATAAAATAAAATAAAATAAAATAAAATAAAATAAAATAAAGATAATGATTCCTGTTACTTTAATCTGCTTTAACTGTTTATAGTTCTGGATTTTAAACTGTAACCTGTTAAGGGACCTGCTGGTGAAGGATGGATAACAGATTTGACAACAACAACAACAACAACAACAACATGTGCAGGCACAGGGGTGCGATGAGTGTGAGACTCTACAGGACAGCACAGACCACTCCCTTCTTGAATGAACCATGCTTCCAAGAACATTTACCAGAATCATTTGCAAGGCACAGGAGGCTCGTGACAGCTGAGGTGCTGCCAGGTGCGAGTGGACTCTGGGTGAGGTGCTCCCTTCCCTAATCTGGTCACCCCACTTTTTTCCCTCTTTGTTGCTGCTCTCACATGGTTTTTAACATAGTCATCTCAGCAATGGGGCTTTACAGACTTTACAATTCTATGATTTCATACATAAATCCCTTTCATCTCATTTTCACATTGGTCTGCAAACTTTTTTTGTGTAAAAAACCCCCTGCATAATATTTTGCACAAAATATTATTCAAATAGTATATATATTCCATCACAAAATACATTTAATTATGGGATCTGTGGGGAAAGCCTTGCTGATTGTGTCATGGCCACCAGAAGTCCATCTTGCTAGCTACATGGCGACGGGCCTTCTTTGTGGTGGCACCTACCCTATGGAGGAACCTCACTTCAGAGATTAGGCCAGCACCAACAGCTGAGTGCTTTTACCACCCATCAGAGGATCCCCTTTTCACCCAAGCATTCTCTAGCCACCAATCGCAGTACTTCAGCACCTTCAACAGCTGAAAACTTATGGTTTTCAAACACTTCCTGCTGGTGTTTCGTTGTAATGTTTTATTACAGCATTACTGCTGTCTGATGGTTGTGAATGCTTTGGTAGCCACTGAATGAAAATGACTGAAAAAACAAACAAACTTTTTTCTGTTCCTTTTAAGTTCAAACCCGAGACTGTGATGTCTGAAGGATAATTGCATTGGTCTGGGAGGCGCAGATCAAGTTTGCACCGTTAACTCGAATTCGTCAAGCATCCCTAAGTGCACTAAAATATTCAGAACTGTAGCCATTTACATAGAACTTGATTAAACCATTCTAATATATGGAGCTTTACTTTTTCCCCAGGCCCTGTGCTTTGGTTACAGTTATGTGCTTCTACATTTAACTGAAGTTTTGCCAGACAGCTGAGGCCTTGCATACATCAGACATACATGCAACCTCTATGTGCTTCTAAGTAGAGCACTGCTTCTGATTATTTCAAGTACAGGTAGGTAAAATGCACCCGTGAGAACTCATTCAAAGTTAATAAGGTCCAGACAGATACAGTTCCTGCGTTGCTTTCATCTTTACTTTCCTCTTCTAGCAGCCATTTCAGCTGAAAGCTGTGAACGGTGCTCATCAGCCTCCAGCCAAAAGAGGGAACCCTCACGAGAAACTTTTTTTAAATGAAAGAAACCACATCAATCCAAAAGGAAAACACCAGTGACTCTATTTGTGAGGGTTCCCCCTTCTTCCCCCACCCCTCCACCCCCAGCAGAGGAATTCCCCTTGAGATCTGTAAACATGTTTATCTCGAGGATGCGAAGCTGAGAAGGCAACGTGACCCAGGAGGACCAAACGCTCATTGAGGAAGAAGAGGTGGCCTTGCTAGGAATCGCTCAAAACTTACGGGACCTTTCTAATGTTGGTGAGACCAGTCCTGGTGAGATGGGAGGGGCGAGCCAGCAAAGTTCAAGAGCACGGATGGGTAGCAGGGAGGTTGCACCTCATGGTAACTCCAGATAATGTTGTTTACTGGTCCTTCGGAAAAAAAGTTGCATCTAGACCCACCAGGAACACCCCTGATGCCAGGTGGTCCGGCAAGATTAAAGCAGCAGCCATGAGTCAGGACTTTGAAGCTCCTCTGGAGAGCTCTCTCGTCTCATTACCGCCTGTTGCAGGCTGTAGGGAACCGCTAAGGAGACAGGGGTTCCACAGAGCGGCAGAAAGACCCCTGGCTTGAACCTTCTCTGCCTTCCCATCGAGGTCTCTCTGCAAGCATACAGGTAGGGGAGCTTATATAATAAGTTGGTTCTTCAAGGGAGCCTATGGAGGGGGCTGAGGGTGGAGATTGCTGGACATGGAAGGGAGGGCAATGTGAGAGGAGGGAGAAGAGGCTGCTCTTGGAAGGGGCCAAGGAACCCTTTGAGAAGCTTGGTGCCTACAAAAAATCCCAGTTGGCCATTCTTGCTGTGACTGATGGAAGTTGTAGTTCCCCATACCTTCTTCAGAGCATTTATTCTAAATTGTTGTTGTTTAGTCGTTTAGTCGTGTCCGACTCTTCGTGACCCCATGGACCAGAGCACGCCAGGCACTCCTGTCTTCCACTGCTTCCCGCAGTTTGGTCAAACTCATGCTGGTAGCTTCGAGAACACTGTCCAACCATCTCGTCCTCTGTCGTCTCCTTCTCCTTGTGCCCTCCATCTTTCCCAACATCAGGGTCTTTTCCAGGGAGTCTTCTCTTCTCATGAGGTGGCCAAAGTATTGGAGCCTCAGCTTCACAGTCTGTCCTTCCAGTGAGCACTCAGGGCTGATTTCCTTAAGAATGGATACGTTTGATCTTCTTGCAGTCCATGGGACTCTCAAGAGTCTCCTCCAGCACCATAATTCAAAAGCATCAATTCTTCGGCGATTATTCTAAATACTCCCCCCCAAAAAAAAATCTCAAGGAGGTTTGAGGAGCCTCCAACAATTTTTCTCCACCAGCTGTTTGGTCTTTGCTTGGACTTCTGAGGCATGTCCCATCTTTGCTTCTCTCTCTTTCTTAGGAAAGTAGTTGCAGGTTACTGCTTTTTTTTCCCCTGCAAAGAAAGGAACCTGCTTTGTGTGCTTGCAAAAGTTGGTTGGTTTCCTCTTTGCGATGTGCAGCTCCTTGTTTCTGGTGTGGGTCTGCAAGCTGTCGACAGCATCCTTTTCAACGCTCTAGTCTTCAAAAGGAGGGGGTGGAGGTCACAGTGTACAAACCCTTCTGTAATGAAATGTTGGGATACTTTATGGAAGGTTGTAAATGTTGAAGAGCTATGAATGTCACTTTTGGACAAACAAGGAGTTTGTAAGAAGTTAGCATCTCTCTTCCATTGATGCTTTCCTATGAGAATAATGAAATTGCCTTGCTGGATCCGACCAAAGGTCTGTTTAAGATTCATGCCTACCTCAGAGTAAGTCCCACTGTACTCAGTGGGGCTTATTTCTGAGGAGACACATATAGGATCAGACTGTTAGTCCAACCCCCTCTCTCTGAACAGTGACCGGCTAGATTAAGAACATAAAAACAGCCCTGCTGAATTAGGCCAATGACCCATCCAGTCCAACATCCTGTTCTCACAATGACCAATCAGATATTTATGGGAAGCCCAAAAGCAAGACCTTAGTGCAACAGCACCTTCCCTGGCTCCAGCTTCCAACAAGGGAGGCAGAATATATCCATTGTGGCCAAAGTACTCTGGGAAGTTTGTAATCAAACCAACTCTCATAATTGATATACTTATCCCTTGTGAATTCATATTCCCTTTTGCAAAACCTGTCTAAGCAAATGGTCGTCGTCTCCAAATGTTTTTGAAATTCATTCCAGAAGTTAAAGACATTGGTGTTGTGGGAAGAAATACTTCCTTTAGCTTGTCCTGAACCTAATGCTTATCAAATCCATTGGATTACTCTGTGATCTATTTTTTGGGGGGGGGGGTTGGGGGTGCTGGGTGGTTTTTGTCTCTTCACTTTCTCTGCAACACCATGTATTTCTCTCCATCCCTGGCTGACTTTAAAATCATGGATAGAGAACATGTGGTAATAGATACTGGACTCCAACTCCCATGAGCCTCAGTCAATGGTCTGCGATGATGGGAGTTGTAGTCCCTCCAGCACCCCAGCTTTAGCCCATACATTTAGCCCTACATTTGCATGGAACATGCTCCAATGCCTGCTCTTTTTAAGCTGTGCTTCTCTTTTAGCTTCACCAGCTTTACAGTGCCTTTTTATCAGATGATGAAAATGGAACTGCCTGGTGCTCTTGTTGCATAGAATAGTCATTCCATAGAGACATAGTTGTCTAGTGACTAGGCTTTGCAATAGGCGTATTCTGACTAAAGTCATGGATTCTCTTAAAAAAAAACAACAACGGTAGGCGAGAGATGTTTTGGAGATATCTGCCATAGATTACAGCTGGTTTCCAGCATAGGAAGCTGCCTGATGATGAATTGGACCATTGGTTCATGTAGTTCAGTATTGCCTACACCAGCAGTGGGGAACCATTTTCGGCCTGAGGGCCACCTTCCTCTCTGTGCAACTATCTAAGGGCCACATGCCAAAGGTGGGTGGAGCCAGAGGCAAACATGGGCGGAGCAACAAATGTAAGTTTCTCTGCATACCCCTCTCTGTCCTCCATGCAGGCAACCAAGATGCATTATCTGAGTTCAAAGACACACCCCAGTCATGTGACTGAAGAGTGGGTGTGGCCTGGGGAGAGTCTAGAGCAGCTTTTCTCAACCTTGGGTCACCAGATATTCTTGAGCTACAACTCCCTTCATCTCTGACCTTTGGCCATGTTGGATAGGAATGGTGTGAGTTGTAGTCCAGCACCGTCTAAGGACCCAAGGCTGAGAAAGGCTGGTTGACTCTAGAGGGCCAAATAGAGAAGGCTGCATCTGCCCCCCTCCACCAAGCCTAACATTCTCCCAACAGATCTACACTGGCTGGCATTGGTGCTCCAGGATTTCAGATGGGAATGTTCCCAGCCCTACCTAGAGACATTTGGAAATGATCCCAGGCCCTTCTGCATGCTCTAACACTGAGCTATTCCTGCTTTCGATATCTCTTAGCATCTATTAGTCCAGATTGCAGAAGGAAATGGAGGCATGATGACTGAGGGCAGTGATGGACAAACTTGGCTCTCCATCTGTTTTGAGACTACAACTCCCACCATCCCTAGCTAACAGGACCAGTGGTCAGGGTGATGGGAATTGTAGTCCATAAACAGCTGGAGGGCCAAGTTTGGCCATCACTGACCGAGGGTAACAAGGTGAAAAACTTTCATATGGGCATGCTTGAGAACTGTTGAAGGAAGGAACTGTTGCTTGCTCATGCTGGCTTTAGCTGAAGGTAGAAGAAGCAAAGCCTGCCAATGGAGTGAGGTGTGGGGTGGTCTTCTGTATGAGGATTTGGCAGTGGAAGGAGGGGTGGAAGGGAGTCTGAGCATTAACCCATCTAGAAATTAGAAAGCGGAGGGCAAACAGGAGAATTGCTTGACTCACAGAGCTGGGCAATACTCTGTGGGCCATCACATTCAATGCTTTGTATTTAAATGGGACCGTGTGCCTATAAAGCATCTCAACATGCACCTGTTCAGTCTTCCCTTTGTACACTTGCCAATGAAGGGGTCTCTGCAGCAGCAGCATCCCTCGGGGGCTTAGTCCATTGCAGCATTGCTTTTGCAGCTCCATCAGCTGGTGCATAAGGAGCTCAGCCCAGCTTGCGCAGGAGGGAAAAGATAAAGTTTATCTAAGGTGTGGTACCATAGAACTCCATTAACTTAACATGCAGTCCCTCAAAGCTCTTTTTTTTTAAAGAGCCAAATTAGGTATTACATAAAAGCTCAAATTGTGGACTGGAGCACTTTGTACATATTGATTAGCAACTATCTGGGGTTTTTTGGGGGGGGAGGAAGTTGATAATTTGCATCACCAGGGCAACATTCCTTATAGAGCTTCTTTTCTTAAAATGAGAGCTGTGGTTGCTCAAGTTGATGTGGAAGCCACAGGGACCCTCTAAACTGGAAGCCAATTTTGCAGGGGTGGGGCCAAAGCTTAGATATGATTGCAGTTTCTCAATGGGACCAAGGATTTTGCACATGCCCAGAGACACTCAGTAAATTGCTTCGTGTGATTCCAGGGCTGGACTCCTGGCAAGAGACACCAGGTTGTGGGTCTAAGCCCTCCTGAGCCCTGCTTTGAATTATATCTTGCCTTCCTCATAGACTGGCTGGTACAGCAGGGCAAATAGGGCTTGAGTGTGCATAAGAAGTCCCTGAGGTTTGAATAGCGATCAGGAGAAATACATCAGTGTCCGCGTTTTTATGCAAACCTACCCAACTTGCACTTTCCAAACCAATAGTGAATGAAAATGCAGCTTTGAAACTTGCATTTTGAAATTTGCACCCTGTGGTGTAGTTCTCCAAACAAAGAATGTACATTAGAGAAAGGTGCAGAATTTCACTAATATAGTTAAAATAATGTGCAAAATGCATCATATTATGGTTAAATTGCTTGTAAAAATATATATTTTTGTGACCTCAGCTGTTCTGCTGTGCCCTCATAAATGTTGGTGCTAGCAGCACAGGAGAGAGCAATCTCTGTGGTAGTTCAGAAGTTGTGGAATTCCCCCTCCCCCCTGCCGCCACCAAAAATAGTGATTCTGGCACTGCCATTATGCAGACACATCTCTTTACCTCGGTTGAGGTATAGACATCTAATTTGTTTTAATCAGTTTTTAATATTGCATTCTTAAACTGCTTGAAGCTGATGGGGTGGTGAAGGGTTGGCAGGAAATCATTTTTTTAAAGATTAATTTATAATAATATCTTAGTCAAAAATTGCATACATGAAATTGTATATTAGATAAAAGTCTCAAGGAAATGCCCTTGAATTTTCATGTAGAGAACGGAACTGAAAGTTGGAAAAATATTGGTTTCCCAATTTTCGAACCAAAGACTTCTTAGTTCGTAGCTCAGCCTGCTAGCTTCTATGCTCTCCTAGACAGTGACTTTGCTGAGATGCTGAAGATAAGTTTGGCACGGAACAGCCCCTGCTTTTACCCCATTGGAAATTGGACCACAAAGGGGGTGCAGAATCAAGAAAAGTCTGGCTTCTTGCAATGGCTTTTTGCACTCTCTGGCTAGGTGACTAAGCAGAGACAATTCCTTTAGTATGCTAGGCTCCGGCAGCCCCCCTGACTCAGCAACTTTTGCTGAACAGCGCCTCCTAGTGCTTCAGAAAATGTATTTCAACTCAGTGTACGGTGATGGGGGTGTGTGCGGCAAATCCCATGCTAGAGATTATTAGGAAAGGGACTGAAAATTAACCTGCTAGCATTGTTGAGATTAATATGCCCTGGAGCCAAGTGAGGATTCCCAGGTAAAATCCTCCCTCTATTGTGTGGGCAGGTAATCCCTCCCCCTACCTGGCCTGGTCTCCTTGGCAACGCTTCCCCCAGGTGGGATTGGACAACTGACTGAGGTAGGCGGGGACCTCCAGGTATCCCACCTGAGGGAAGGCAAAGCCAAGCCTATGCTGATGGGGCCGCTCCAGATCTAGGGCTGCGCGCGTCCACGCAAAGGGCGCCCCCCGTTTTAAGCGGGGAGCGGTCATTGTTGAGATTAATATGTCTTCATATAAATCTGTAATGCAGCTGCACAGTTCTGAACAAATCATCTAAAAAAAAGATATCACAGAACTGGAAAAAGGTGCAGAAAAGTGTAACAAATATGATCAGGGCCTGCTGGACACCTGTTCTATGGGGAAAGGTTGACGCATTTGGGTCTTTTTAGATGACTGAATGGGACACCATGGAAGATTATAAAATAATTCTTGATAAGAAGAATATGAATATTTTTTTCTCTTCCTCCGATCATGCAAGGTTTTTATATATATATTGTTTGGTTTCAAAACAAGCTGCACAAATATTAAAATAAATTCCCATAATAAAAAATATACAGTAAAACAATGTTAAAATATTAAAATAGAAATATATTTTAATATAAGCAGCTTGAGGTTATTTGGTTAAACTAATTGGTGGTAGATTCAGGAGAGAGAAAATCCATACACTGGCATAACTTGCCCCTCCATCTCAGGTCTCCATAAGGGACAGCTACATATTCCCGCATTGCAGGGGGTTGGACTAGATGATCCTCAGAGTTCCTTCCAACTCTATGTTTCTATGATTCTGGCTCAGCCCAGCTAAACTGAAGCAACCTGATCCAGGTGTAAGTCCCCACAAAACAGCATTCTGTGGGCGTGATGGGAGCAAGAGCAGAGAGGCTGGATTCTAAATAGAATAAACCTGCAAACAGGAAGTGTTTAATTAAAGGCAACAGAGCCTCTGCGCTTTGCCTTTCTGCAATAGGCAAGTTATGGGGCTATTACATTTTATTATCCCCAAATCAGGTCTAGGTAAACACCAGGAGCCAACAGTGGGATGCAATGGGCAGAGACCTATATTTTCTGGAAGATCCATAAAAAGTGAGAAAACAAAGGATGGTAATTCCAAAGGAAATGGCTAAATCTGAAGCAACCAAAGAGAGGATTCAAATGGTTTGCTGTTGGTTATATTCAGCTGGTTATATTCACTGTAGGGCAGAGGGGCTGTAAGGACTTGTAGTGATTGCCATGGGAGTCTCTAGGTACCATATAGACAAAGTTGGCTTCTGTTTTCTTCCAAGAAAAAAGCAGGGCAGTCAATATGCTCTTAAGTTATCTCTTCTAGGACAAAGACCCACAACTATCAGTTCATGATCCTAAACTACCTAACTTGTTCATCTTCCTTTCGGATTTCCAACAGATCCAGCCAACCAGGGGATGTTACCTCCAGGCTAAGCGTTAGGAAGAGAACAAGAAGTACACGGAAAGAGTGGACGGAAGCCCAAAGGGAATGACAGCTCAGACGCAGGTGGGGAAAAACAAAAACAAAGACTACACTTCCATAAGAATGTTGTGGGTGAAGCTTAAAAATGAGGACTAGCGCCTTGAACTTTGTGCAAAGAATGTCAGGTTACCCCTGTTAGGCTAACACAGAGGTTTGTGATCAAGAACATTTAATAGCTGCTTTATAGAGTATTTAAATGATAATTCCTTTGTCTTCCCCCTCCTCCCGTGCCAGGACTATGAAGCTGACATTCAGAGGGAAATAGATATTGAAGGATACGACGACCCTGCAGTGAAACACTCCAACATGTCGCTTGCAACCGAAAGCGGTGAGTAATCCAAATCCCTTGAAGAAGAAGAGAAACAAGATCTTCACTGGCCAAGCAAAGAAGTGAGAAATCACACTGCAGGAGCCTTGCAAACAGCAACCTAGAATTTAGTGTTTCAGGATGTACCTGAGTAAGCCTGACTAAGATGGAATCTGGAAACAGGAACACAAACATCTTTGACAGGCATTCCAGCTTGGAAGGAACACATGGGCTGAATTACAGCGTCCTCACATCTAAATTAATTCAAGGAAATTCAGATTGTATTGAGGTTTCCAAACTATGTTTGGAGTTTTGTCGTAAGCTTATTGAAGTTCCTCAATAAGGAGATCAGTAATGAAAGACAAGACAAATTTCCCAGGAAAGGAGCTTGCTTCCACCACCTCTCTTTCCTTACAGTTTGTTACCTAGGGAGTGTCTTGGGTAAATTCTAGCTAGGAAATGTGGAAAGAAATTTGCTTCGGTTCATCTTTTCATGTGAACCTACCTAATGCATTGTTCATGAAACAATGTGCAAATAGAAAAAAACCACCATCATCATTTGAAATTCACACTTCTCTGAATTTTGCGATGCAGTTCTCCAATGTGCAAAAATGCACATATTGGGAGGGGGAAATATACATCAAATTACATATATTAATGAAAAAAACCTAATGCATTTGTGCACCTTAAAGAAAATTGCTTGCAGAAATGTGTACATTATGCCAAAGTGCATAGGAAAAGGTGTGTATTAGGTGAATATTCATGAGGAATTGCAAACTGATGCAGAAATGTGGCAAATTGAATTTAATATTGGAAAAAGGAGAAAGTTAGAGAAAGAGAAATGCTCAAATTCAGCCCTCCCTAACTGAGCATGGCTAATTTACCCAGGACAATGGCAGAGCCAGAGTACAGTTGCCTGGCCGGTTCCTTGCTCCTTAAACATCAATGGAGTGTGGAATGTGCACTGGATTTCAGTGTCCTCTGCAGCGACACACCAGGTCTCCACGGCAGAAGCTCAGGGAGGTTTCTCAGCAGGCAAATCATTATGGGAAGGATTCCCTGGAAAACTGCAGCAGGGACAAAGAGTTAAGTCCCCTCTGTGCTCCATGTCAGGGTCTCAGTCCAGAGCAGCTCCCCTCCCTCCCCCAAGACACAGCCCCCAACTATGAGAGGAGCAATTCTTAAAGGCGGAATCATGTGAGCAACCTAATGTATAATGTTAGATTGAAAGAAAGATAGGTGTCGAGGGGAGATTGTGTTGCACTGGGAAGGGGCGGGGGGGGTGAGAAGGGATGAAGGAGGCATGCTACTTCAGGTGAACCAACTGCTAATTACTGTTTGACCTCTGAACTTGCTGTAAGAAGAATGACCCAAGGTGGAAGCAGTGGATAAGCAAAGGATCTACTGGCTCGTCTCGCCTCTGTTTCTTGTTACTAACTGCCTAAATGGTCTTGTACCCAAACTCTGAAAGATCTGCTGCAGCGCATCTCTATTTCACTTGCTCTAACCAGTGCAGATTCACCCCAAATGCGCCTTCTTGACTCGTTCTCGGCAGCTTCCTTCCCAGTGCAAATAGAACCTGGGTCAGATGAGCAGAGGTGGCCCTAGAATTGGGCGGAGAGAGGCAGCTGTCTCCGGTGGCAGACACAGGGGGGCGGGGAGGTGAGGAAGGTCTGTTGCAGTGAATGTACGTTGCATGCAGAAGGTCCCAGGTTCGATTCCTGACACCTCCAGATAGGGTTGGGAATCTCCAGTTCTTGAAACCTTGGAGAGCCACTTCCAATCAATGTGGGTGGACCAATGGTTTGATGTTGGCAGTCAGCTAGATGGACCAAAGATCTGACTTGGATATATATAGAGGGCCTTTCTATGCGCTATTCCCAATTCCACATGTTGTCTTCTATGTTGGATTTATGCTCCATGGGGATAGGAGCGTTCCTGAACTTGATACGTCTTAGCATTGCATTCAATGGTGGCATTTGGGTTGTGGCAGTGGCAATGGCATTCGCTGGAAACACGTACCCTTGTCATAAAATGATTCTGAACAACCATACATGAAAATACATAAAACCCAGCACATTTTGCATACCATGTTAGGCTTGCTATTTGTGTTTGGGTTCTTACACACTTTCTTAATTCCTAGTTCTTATTCACATCCCTCTTCCCTTGCAGTGGGAGAGGGCAGAATGGGGACCATGTGTGCATGTAGAAGAGAGAAACTCTTCTATCACAGAGTTTATACCAAGGTTTCAAACCATGGTCAGGACCTTGTTTTCATTCAGATCCCTCTGTTCCCATCCACACAATAAATTCAAAGCATTCTTATAGCTTTGGACAGTCATGGCCTCCCCCCAAAGAATCCTGGGAACTAACAAAAATACAGCCCGTAACAAAATACAGTTCGCGGGCTTTTAATATTAATGACCAGTATCAAAAGCTTCTCTCTCTTAAAGTTGTTGTGAAAGAAAGTGCAATAAATGATGGGAAGCACTATGCAAAACAAGTCACAAAAAACGCAGTGCTAATCTTAGTAGTAAGTGGCAGTGCTGCCTGGGTTGAACAGATAGTTGTTGTGCCTGTGAGCTGGACCATGTCTCTTGCTTACAATTTTCTGGTTGCTGTTTGTGTGTTCCAAGCAATGGCCTTGAGTTCTGGCATCCTCTGCTTTCCCATTCCCCAACCTGTTGTCTTGGGACAGGAATGGTGTGTGATACAAAGAATGAAGGCTAGCACTTTTCTCCTCCTCCCAGAGTCACATCCTCATCATACGTTTCAAGCACATCGTCAGCCTGGATAGCTCAGTTGGTTAGAGCATGCTGCGGATAACACCAAGGTTGCAGGTTCGATCCCCCTATGGGACAGCTGCCTATTCCTGCATTGGTGGGAGTTGAACTAAATAATCCTCAGGGAGCCTTCCAACTCTACAACTGTATGATTCTATGAAGCAACTGGCTTCCCTCAAAGAATCGGGGGCCTGTAGTTTAACCCTCACAGGGCTACAATTCCCAGCACCCTTAACCAACTGCAGTTCCCAGGATTCCTTAAGGGTGCTGAATGTATGGTATGGATGTGGCCTGTGTTCTCTAGGGGACTGAGCTGAGCAACTTGTGTACTGGCTCCTTTCAGACATTTCTGAATTTAGAGTAAGAGTTCATTTCCCCTGCACAGCTCTTTACCCCTTCCTCAAGAAGGCAGGCAGGTCAGCTCCAAAGGCAGACATTCTTCAACCTAGGCATGATGCTAAAAGAAGTTTTGCAGGAAAGCAACCAGATTATGAACCCCGTAATCACCTTCAGCATGACTTAATGACACTTTGCCCATACCCTGCTGGGTCTGCATCCCCTTAGTTCATGCCAAAGCATTTCAGAGTGTTACCTGGCTGTGACAGTGGAGTAATTTTTGCAAAACAAACCCTAGTCAAGGAACCAGGGGCCCATGTTGTCCTCCCACCTCCACCCCCCATTTCTGTACTTTCAGATCACCAAGTCAGCGCTTGCCAGCGTCTCTTTATGGTGTGTGTCTCTTTCTGTCGTTCCTCCTGGCCTGGTCACCGCCGGAGAGCGTATCACCTGAGTAGGAGAAGGAGGATGGAAAGGGTATCCCCCTCAGGGAAGGCAGGACACTTTCAGAGCTGTGAGGACAATGGACCAAGTGAGTGCCATGCGGTGGCATTTTCAGTGCAGTGATGATGTTGTGTAGTAGCTAAAAGATTGAGCTGCAAAACCAGGTTTTCCCTTTTTAAACAAAAACAAAAACATTCTGCCTCTGCCATGAACTAACTCATACTAAGTGACCTTAGGCAAGCTAACATTGTGTAACACCCGTACCATATATTGAAAGCACCTGGCTTCCCCCCAAAACCCTGTGAACTGTAGATCACCCCTCACAGAACTATTGCAAGGAAGGTTATGAAGAGAGTTATTAGTTAAGATAATTAAAAGTAACAGTGAAATTAAGAAATGCAAATTAAGTGAAAAAGACTGGAAAATTTTCAGATGTGATTGATGGAAGTCTAAAAATTGTATAAGATATGAAATTATGTTAAATGACTGTTGAAAATGATATGTTAAAAACTAATAAAAAGGAAAAAAGAAAGCACGTGGCTTCTCCCAAAGAACCCTGGGAACTGTAGATCACCCCTCACAGAACTACAATTCCCAGTACCCTTAACAAACTACAGTTCCCAGGATTCTTTGGGGGAAGATGTATGACCTTGGTCTCAGTTTCCTATCTGCACTATGGGGGGGAATAATACTAATTTACTTCATAGTAACACTTCTGAATACCAGTTACTGGGAACCACAGGAGGGGAGAGGGCTCTTGCGCTCGAATCCTGCTTGCTGGTTTCCCACAGGCATCTGGTTGGCCACTGTGAGAACAGGATGCTGAACGAAATGGCTCTCTGGCCTGATCCAGCAGGTTCTTCTTATCTTCTTCATACATACTGTGCAGTTGAATACTGTAGCTTCAATCTAAGCAGTGAGCAATATGGATAGAACATACAGCATAAAATCAATTAAAATTAAGCATACGGATTGTATGGGAAGTGCTTTGAAGACTCTAAAGGTTTGGTATAACTGTTCAAAACAATTAAGGTGGCACCTTCAGAAATGAATTGTGAGGGGGAAGAGTGCAAAATTCCTGGGTAATTAGCAGAGAAATCATCTCAGCCTCACAGATAATTGTAAAGAACGCTTTTTTAAAAACAGTCAAAAACCCACACCAAAGTTTTAAAAGAATTCTGCAGTCTGAGTGCACCATGCAAATAATTTATGGAAATGAGTGCAGACCTATGCACGTTACAGAATTACTTTTAAGTTCCCTTCTGGCTTCTGTTATTTCTGCAGGCATTGCCAATATGATTTGAAACCTATCTTTGCAGCTGTGACAGCTAGAAACTTGCATATACATATATATATACAGAGAGAGAGAAAGAGAGAGAAATTAAACATTACATGCGAAGATGTGAAAGAAAGCCGTCATGGGTGCTTTTTGTTTTTTTACAAAAACAGTGGCATTGGGAGAATGAAGGAACATTAGTGAAAGATATTTAACATTTTCACCACCGCTAATGTTCCAATCCAAATGGTGACACCCCACCTCCTGACTTCCTTTCCCCACAGTTACAGAAGTATGTATGTATATGGGGGAAATAACGGAAAAACATCAGGAATCCCACGAGGGGTAGAGCAGGGCAATATGGTGTAGGTATGCCCACTGGATAAAGATCTACAGACCTATGCAGCTAAATACTACTCCCTGTTCTCTTGCGTCTCTGCTCAGAATCATGCCCTCTCAAGGTCACTGGCAAAATGTTTAAGACTGAGGCTTTTTGAACCTTGGAGAGGTAAATAGGCCCAGCTGATTGGCACTGGGAACAGCTGAGGAGCAAGCCAATCACTGCAGTCCTTGGCTGTGTCCAGCACCAATCACCTGAGGAAAGGTGAACAGGTGAACAGTGGTGTTGCAGTAATCCCCCCCCTGCCTCCCCCCCACTGGCTATCTCATTGGTGCAAGGAATAGCTGAGGAGTGTACACACCAATTTTTGATCAAGTGTTGATCAGTGATCAGTGCCAAAGACCTGGGGAGGGGAACTGTGGGCCACATAGAAGTCAGCCAAGGGCCACATTATGGTATGCAGGTTGCCCTTATGTGATATAGGACCACACCCCAGCCAATCAGAAGGCTGGGCTGGGAGCCAATCTGGGCTAAAGGTTACCTGAGATGCTTTATGACCGGGACTATGACCTCTGCTTCTCGTCCTGTGGAAGCTGGTCCATACCGGACAGCAGCCACCTTACATTTTGCTCTGTGAGTTTTTTCTCCTTATCAGGCAATCAGTAACCCACAAGGATGTTTGCTTTCAGCTTCTCCTTGAATGCTTCTGCTATTGATGATAAATAAAGATTTTGTTTGAAATGAAGACAGAAGCCATTGGGTGCGAGCTGTTTCTGTTTACAGTTGGTTAAAAGCAGCTCTTTGGGTTATTGGTGTGTATGTGTGTGTGAGAGAACGGATGAATGTGAGCAATATGAAGAACCATTTAACACTGTTTCAGTGTAGGCAGTTGCCTGACTCCATCACTCTCAACATCATAATTTTTTTAGCACCATCAGTGTGCAAATGGTGGTTTGCAGAGTGAACATGACCCAAAGTGCAGCTGGCTGCCACAACAAACTGAGAAATTCTTTTTGAACAATGGAAATAAGGATGGTGGAGGGATGGTGGACGTAATAGATATGTCCAAACACAGTTACACAAAGTGAAGATTCAGTTCAGGATGAAGACTAAGGGGGATAAATCAAAGATCTAAGGAGTTTTGAGGCAGGATTTGAAGTGGGAGGGAGGTAGTGGTTTGGAAAGGAGCTCCAGACCAGACACAGGGGGCAGCAAAAGATGATGGTTGGATGTGTTTAAGGCAGTAGGTGGTATCCATCCACTAATGCAAGGATTTCAGCTTGCTCAACGCAAGTTCCCCTACTTCTCCTCCAAAGGCACTCAGTGACTGGTAAATGCCAGGCACGTGTTTCTAACTTTTGTAAGATTAAATATTATTGAATTTTAATTAATTTGATGTTGTCTATAATTTGATTCTAGCTGCTATGCAATTATTTACACACACACAGGCAGCCTTAGGTTCCCTTGCCACAACATTTCTTGCTACACACCTGAGTGAAGCCTGCCCCCCTAGAGCTCCTGCTCAGTTCCCTCCCCACAACTGAGCTTTCCGAGAAGTTGCCAGACATCATCCAGGCACTTTCAAGCCATACTTTGTCATTTTAAGGACCAGAGACTTGCAGAAGGAAGGCAAGAAAACAAGCAAGCAAACTGAGGTTCTCAGGGTTCTCAATTCTGTATCCCGTGTGCAAGTTTCTATGCTCGTGCAGTGCAATTTCCAAAGTTTGGAACAGACGCAGTTTCAGCACAGTAACAGTTAAAGAAGATGGGAACCCAATAAGGGAAGGGGGTTAAATTCAGTTCACACTGAAAGGCTAACATAGCTAACAGGCATTTACCAAAGCAATGTGTGAACAGAAACCCAGCCACCCTTGAAAACTTGCCTTTCTCTGAATTTTGCCATGCAGTTCTCCAGCCCAGCAATGTGTACATGTAGATGAATATATCAGTGAAAACAACAATAAAAAATGATTTATACTAGCGAAGATTGCATGCAAAAATGTGTATATTAGGAGAAATGCATACTAAAATACTGGTGAATTTTCATGAATACTTTTTTTAAAGAAATCACAAAGTGATGTGGGAATGTGAAGAACTGAATTTAAGATGGGAAAAATAGATTCACCTGTCCCTAGATGTTGTGCTGAATTCTACTGCACCCATTTGCCTGCTTTTATTCTTTCTATTTTATCCTGCATCTTACTACAGTGGTACCTCAGGTTAAGTACTTACTTCGTTCTGGAGGTCCGTACTTAACCTGAAACTGTTCCGTACTTAACCTGAAAAAAGTGAGTGTTATGGTGCAAAAAATACGGTACTTAATTCGTTCTGGAGGTCTGTTCTTAACCTGAAACTGTTCTTAACCTGAAGCACCACTTTAGCTAATGGGGCCTCCCGCTGCCGCCGCGCCGCCAGAGCACGATTTCTGTTCTCATCCTGAAGCAAAGTTCTTAACCCGAGGTACTATTTCTGGGTTAGTGGAGTCTGTAACCTGAAGCGTCTGTAACCTGAAGCGTATGTAACCCGAGGTACCACTGTATTACTTGCTTTATCTTATTGCTCAGTGCTGTCTGTTGCAGCTCTGCTCCTCTTATATACCAAGACCTTACCCAGCCGGGAACTTCACCTGGTGATTAATAAAGTGTCCTGGCTTAACAGTGAACTTGAAGGGCTTGTCATGGCGTGGTAATGAAGCACTTCTTACAACTCAACCTCTTGGAAGCCTCCAGGCTGGTCCCCTCACCTAGATAGGAGCCCAAGGCCCCCTTTATTTACTGTCAGCAAAGTTAGAGTGGCTTTCAATTTACTATGAACACAAAAACCACTTGTGACAGGAATTTGAGGGTGGGGCCCAGGTGTCCTGCTCTCTTGCCAAAAGGGGGGTTTATAGAGCCAAAACTCCAGGAGCTCTTTTCTTTTGGATGCCGGACGGTGGACTGTGCCTGCTTTTTTCGGGTATGTGGGATAAAGCTGGTGGGGGCAGTGTGCGATTATGCACGGCGGTAGGATCAGTACCATGGCCAGAGATTACCTTTTAAATGCATTTTTGTGTGGAAGAAGTTGAACGTGTGTGCAAGAAACTTTGGATGTGGGTTGTGAGGGCTTTCTGAAAAGAATCAGAATTGTTTGAAGAGACTAGCACTGGGGACTTAGCACCATCACTCTTGGTCTTGAATGTGGAGGTGGTTGTTCCCATGTTGGAAGTGCCAACCTTTCATCTGGAAGCTGTTTCCCCTGATCCATAGAGACTTTCCACAGGAGGATATGCTGAAATAAATGCACTCTGCACCAACGCAGGGACAATGTAATCTATTCTTATACCCTACGTTTAATCTATTCTTCTATCCTACGCTTAATGGGCTGTGGCATTGAAAGGAGAGCTGGAGCAAAACCTTGCCATCAGCTAAGACCAGGGTTGCACATACAGAGTTATCAGTCTCCCCTGTTTGAATCTTCATTGTGGTGGGCAAAACGGGGGAAATTTGTCGTAGAGATACCATCACAATTTGCGATTCGCAAAGAGGGCAACATTCTTTCTTGAACAGCGAGGGATATATTTGGTACTGACAATTTGTAGTGTAATCCTGAAGAGTGTGGGGTTTTTTGTAGGGAATTCACAGCATATTTGTACATTGCAGTTGACATACAACAATGAAAATCCGGTTCCAGACTCTGGTCTGGGGAGGGGAGGCTGCACTTACATTGCAATATACTTTCCCTTCGGAGAAGTTGATTTTGCTTAAACCTCAGAGCCTGAATGGTAACTGTATTAGGCATCAGGTTGGTATTTGAGAGATTAGAGTGGCTGGTGGTGACGCTCACTGGGGTTTTCTTGTTTGATTGTTTTCCATTGCAAGTGGCTTGGCTTGCTTGTTTGAGGCTCCTGTTGTTGCCTCACGGGAACCATCCACTGATGCAAATTCCTCTGTGATTGTGGCACACACCATAGTCTGGATCTATGGGGAAGCTTGGAACTGGCTGGTCCCAACTTTGTGTGGAACTAAATGTGATGGTGGCAGGTCTGTGTCTTGAAACACAAGTCACTACCAAAGAGTAATGTGGAAGCCATTGAAAGTGAAGAAATTGTGCATGGAGGTGTTGAACTCTTCATGGGTTTGCCATTTCTCTGTTTTGCTCTCTTACACACAGACACACAAACACACACACACACACACACAGAGAGAGAGAGAGAGAGAGAGAGCACACTTTTTTGCTTGAAATCATCCCCACATTTGAAGATATAGCTCTGTGACATCTGATTCTGCCTTTTGTTCAATGAACAGGGGTAGACTTTGGAATGCAATACAGTCGTACCTCGGAAGTCCGCTGCTACTTCCGTGGCTTCTGATTGGCTGCAGGAGCTTCGTGCACCGTGGTTGCCAAAAGTTTTGGAAGTCGAACGGACTTCCAGAACGGATTCCGTTCAACTTCTGAGGTACGACTGTAATTGCTTTGTTGCTTCAGACCATGGGTAGGCAAACTATGGCCCAGGGGCTGCAGCCGGCCCAATTGCCTTCTCAATCTGGCCCGCGGACGGTCCGGTAATCAGCGTGTTTTTACATGAGTAGAATGTGTCCTTTTATTTAAAATGCATCTCTGGGTTATTTGTGGGGCATAGGAATTTGTTCATTCCCCCCCCCCAAAAAATATAGTCCGACCCCCCACAAGGTCTGAGGGACAGTGGACCAGCCCCCTGCTGCAAAAGTTTGCTGACCCCTGCTTCAGACCAAGGGTCCACTGAACCCAGGAGTCTATTCTAACAGGCCTGGAGCAGACTTCCCCAACCCGGTGCCCTCCAAATGTTTTAGACTACAACTCCCTTAATCTCTTGCCATTAGCTCTGCCAGTGAGGGCTGATGGGAGTTGGAAGTCCAACAGCTGGAGGGCACCAGGTGGAGGAAGGCTGCTTTGGAATCTCACTAACAAGATATGGCCTTTCCTGTCATTTTCTTCCAATGTCTAGTAGCTGATAGCTGACGCAACATATAATTTTTGGCTCATGCAACGTACTATTCTATGTTTTAATAATCGGAATGTCAATTCATTGAGCAAATGGCAAAATACGTGGAGTTAATATGCCAATTTTCAAAATATTAATTATATATATGCTATTTCTTTATGCTAAATGGGATGACCATGGCAGGAAATGCTGGCTGCTCCTACTTATCATAAGGGATCAATTTAAGCTAAGGTCTTCACTGCCTTTTGGTGGTGAGTCATTTAGCATGCCATCCAGAATTCTGCTACTTGCCCAAGCTGTGAATAAATAAAGAGGTGATGTCGTTTAATGGCTAAGAGAGTAAGCCATGAATCAGGATCTCCGCAGCTCAAAAGCGATCTATGCATGCCAAATATTTTATTATTATTAAATTGCTGACACTCTTCCATGCTTTTATACACATCAAATCACCAAAGTTTGATTTGGAGCCCTTTTTTGAGTTCTGCATAATTTAGATGTACATTGTGTTCTTGGTGTAGTATCATTTTAAGGTGCTAAATGTTAAAATACGTAAGTCAGAGCTGCCATGGGGTTAAGAACACCCTTTTCCTTGCCTCCCACACTCTACTCTGCATGAAAGCCCCAGCAATGGCTCCTTTTGCCCACTCAAGGTATGGCAGAGATTGTCAGAAACAAGGGCTGCTGTTTGGTCTCCAATCCTGAAATGCAGGGTTGCCTGGATAGCACCTGGAAGATCAGGAGGTGGAACCTTATGAGATAGAAGCAGAACCTAGTGGCGCCTATTTGGGGCCAGACAGGAGAGCCTGTCTGTGCCTGATATCTCACAGCCTGGTGGACATAGGGCTAAAACAGAAACACTGCAGCTTTTATGCAATTACCTGCTGCCTTTATTTTGGCTTCTCACCCTGTGGTTTTACATTTTTTTTGAGACTCGGAAAATGATGCTAAAATCCTGAAGTTTCAGGTCAAACCCAGCATCCTGGCAACCCCCTCTAGAACCTTTCTCAAAGATCAGTTGCAGCAGCCAATATAGATAGAGCACCAACTTCCAGAAATTGACAGCAAGAGGACAATACCTCTCTTATCTTTTAAGCTCAGTAGAAATGAAGGTCCTGACTTCTGATAGTGGGACGAAGAAAAGAAAACAGTGGGATTTCAAACACCTATTCTGTTGGCTTTACAACAGCTAGACAAATCTTTGAATTAGGGGAACTGGAAATAAAAAGAAGGAACTGTGAAAAATTGCAAGAGAACCCCGAGAAACTGGGTTTGCACCAATTATCCTGATTTTCTGGTACCTGTCAGGGGCACAAAAACTGTTCCCTACTTTGTCCCTGTCTTTGCCTTTTTGAAGAGATTGAAAATTTGGAAGCTGCCATTTAGCTCAGTACTGTCTGTTTCGTGGAATCGTGGAACTGTAGAGTTGGAAGGGACCAAAAGGGTCATCTAGTCCCACCCCCTGCACTGCAGGAATCTTTTACCCAATGTGGGACTCGAACCCATGACCCTGTCAGCAGCTCTCCAGGTTTTCAGGCCTACCTGGAGATGCTGAGGCTCAAGCTTAGAACTTCCTGCATGCAAAGGAGATGCTCTGCCACAGAGCTGTATCTTTCCCACTGGGGCTACATTTTACCTTTTGGTACTTGTGAACTAGAATGGCTATTTTCTTGATGTATCAGCCCTTCCACCTGGCCTCTAGAAACTCTTGTCTCTAGTGCGCACCATCAATTCACACATTTTATTCCATTCTGAAGGAGCGTCTCCACCCCCATTGCTCTACCTGGACACTGAGGTCCAGTGCCGAGGGCCTTCTGGCGGTTCCCTCACTGCGAAAAGCCAAGTTACAGGGAACTAGGCAGAGGGCCTTCTCGGTGGTGGCACCCACCCCGTGGAACGCCCTCCCACCAGATGTCAAAGAGAACAACAACTACCAGACTTTTAGAAGACATCTGAAGGCAGCCCTGTTTAGGGAAGCTTTTAATGTTTGATGCATTACTGTATTTTAATATTTTGTTGGAAGCCACCCAGAGTGGCTGGGGAAGCCCAGCCAGATGGGTGGGGTAATAAATAATAATAATAATAATAATAATAATAATTATTATTATTATTATTATGCCTCCAGGGAGCTCTGGATGGTTAGGCTGAGGGAGAAGAATGACCACCTCAAAGTTACTCAGGGAACTACATGGCTGAGTGGAGATTTGAACCTAGGCCTTTCCAGTTGTAGTCTTAACAATCTAGCCAGTATGCCACCCTGATTCTAAGGACAAAGTTGATTCCGGATGAGGGATATACACACAAAAAAAAACCCTTCTGTCACACACCTGAAGTTCACTTGGGCCACACAAGAAAGGGAACAAAGTGCAGTGAGACTTGATTAACTATTGAGACCCTGCAGGACAATAGGTACATTGCTGTGGACCTGGACAAGGAAGATCTAGAAAATGAAGCTTACTGGGTGTCCTTTGACAAGGCCATATCTGCCAGCTTAACTTTATTTCATATGGTTGTTGGGGGCATATAGTTGGGAAATTTCATGCATGCTGCATGGAGCTTCTTGGAGGAATTTGGGGAAGGGGTGGAATTCAAAAGTAATAAATACACATATTTTTCTGTTGGCAGGTGGCTCCTCACCTGAGGAAGCATTAGGAATTGGGGAGGCTGCCCCACCACCCTCCTATCGCAGAAACACACATGAGGTAAGTTCCTAGGGACTGGAGAGCTTTGAATTTTACTTTGTCTCACTAACAAGGAAGCTTTTCTTTCTGGCAGTGCTCCTTGTGTCTTTAATGTGCTCATTGCAGGGATAAATTCAACAGGTGAAACTATTGGCCTCCCACTAAGCTATCTCTGTACTTGGGTGTTCAGACCCAGAAACCTCCCCCCTAAAATAAATTCACGCTTGACTCAAATTTTGGTTTGGTTTTTGGCAGAATTTAGGCCACAACTTTATTGATTACAGAAAGTGACTGCTCGCATAGGCTCTGGTTCAACTAGCTCCCTGCCATGCAGGTAGCACTGACCCAGGGCACCAGCATAGGTCAGCCAAGGGTGAACACCTGGATAAGAGAAAAGCTGGGAACGGCCAACTCCTCCACCCAAATGTCCCCCTGGACTCAGGCACGGGCACAACTCCCTCACAGGGGTTGACAAAACCATCGAGTCCCCGAATTCCTTTAACGGAATATCCTTCACATAGGGATGGCGAGAGCGTTCTCTCATCCCTGTCACCTGAACCAGAGCCTATCCTCAACCTTACAAGTTGTGATGATTTGCTACGTGGCAGGTGAAACCCAAATGGCAACAGCCAATCAGCCAAGTGGGGGAAATTCCTGCCGTGCCCCTGTCCCAACGACAGACGTCACATGACGGCATAGCAAGGTCAAGTGCAAAGCCCTAAAAGTAGGGAGAGGTGGGTGGGTGTTCCGAATGCACGCGCCAAAAGAGGAAGCTCTGGGTCACATGCATGGGCATAAATAGGTCCCTTGAACCGTCTGGACTGCGTCCCATTGGCCAGATTGTACCCAGCTTGAAGGGACCTACCAATCAGGTGTTGTGGCTAACCAATTATACCCACCCGCAACACAGGGTGTCGGTTGTCCAGGTCTCACCACAATACGTGCCCTCTTTAAGGGAGGCCCCGATTTGTTGAATTTCTTTCTCTTTTGCTACTGCTAAAGAGACCTGGGCTGGATCTACACTGACCTTTTTAACGTTATTAGAACAATATTAGATATATCGTTCTAAAATGTCACAGGACATACTAGTAAGTTGAAAACGTTCCTTACCTTTTTGTGTGTGTGTTGTCAAAAAACAGTTTCCCTACCGCCGGTTGCTCTGCAGCGCCCTCTGGTGTCACGTTTTAATAACGTATCATTCACATTACAAGCGAAAAACATAATATGTCCATCTATGTTATAAAAACCATTCCTTATAAACCATGAGTGTAGATCTGCCCTAAAGAGCTCTGAAAGGGGAAGGGGAAAGGTGGCCACCATAATCGCAGGGCCCTTTGCTATACTCCCCAGGCATTTGTAGAACTTCATGAACTGGTCATGGACAGGAACAACGAGCTTCGCTGGATGGAGGCTTCTCACTGGATCAACCTGGAAGAGGATTTTGAGGAGATGGGGCACTGGGGACGACCACACCTCTCCTATTTGAATTTCCAGAGCCTTCTGGAGGTGCGCAGGGCTTTCAGCAAAGGTGAGGGAAATTGCTGTAAGGTTTGTGACTGTTGTCACTCTGTAGCATTGCGGAAATGCAGCATTTATGTATGAATTGGCCCTCAGGTTGAGCACAGGCAATCATTTTTAGGAGCTGCTCTGCTTGCCTACAACACATAGGCAAACACACCTACCACTTCCAATTCCCTCTCGCCTAAATCCTGATTCTATGTTATTTGTCCTTGCAAAGGGGAAGATATAAAAATTCCAAATGGCCATGTTGTTTTGCCCCAGAAGAGATGTCCCTAGGATAATTTTGAAGACCCTGTCCAGGGCCCCACAAAACAGGGGTTATCTCTTTCAGTAAAGTTTAATATTAATATATATATATTTAAGATAGCTTAGGGGAAAAATATGTTCCAACCCATTCAACAGCATGAGCATAACCTTGCTGAAAAATCTGGATTTTCTGAAATAAGAGTGACAATTTGTTGGAGGAACTAAATAGTCATCTGGAAAGATTCCCAAATCCTCTTCCTTTGTACCTTTGAAATTTTAGCAGGCATATCTTCTGAATTGTCAGGTTTCAGCCAGTGTGTTCCTTCTTTCTACTCTTCTAGGAACTGTTCTTCTAGACCTGCAAGAGAAGAGCCTAGCTGGGATTGCCAATCAGATGCTTGATGAAATGATCCATGAAGGGAAGATCAAGCCGGATGACCGAGAGTTAGTCTTAAGGACTCTCCTCCTTCAGCACAGGTACACTTCCAAAGCACAGCACCAAGTCAGGGGGTGATCCCGTTCCCTCCCTGCTGCCTCCAAATTCAGCCAGAGTGCAGGAGTGTGTCCATGTCATATGTGGTTTTTGTGCCACTTAGAGAGTCTCTAGAGTGCAGTGTGTTGCGGATAACCCCAGGTGCACTGGCGGAGGAAGAGGAGTGCGGGGGGAGCGCACCGCCCCCAGCAGCGTGATCACGGCAGGGTGCCATCGTGGCTGCTCCCCCCCACGCTGGGCACCACGCCCCCACAGGCGGAGAGTCACACCCCCGCCTTCTCTCCACCCCCTGATGCCGGAGCATGAAGCTCCGCCACTGCCCAGACATCCTCCTGAGCTTGAAGCAGGGGCAGGGAAATAGCCTCACAATCATTTATGAGGGTTTGGAAGCTCAACACTACAGAGACAATACCTTTCCCAGCTAGGGCTGGGCCTCATCTGCTCCATCTTGTGTGGGGTGCTGAGCCTACTGAATATTGGCTCCCAACTCCTCTGACAGTTTCACATGTATCAGTTGCCTGTGAATGAAACCAGTAATAAAGTATTTATTAATTTTAATTATTTACTGGATGCCTGCTTGTCCGAGGTCCTAGAAATTAAACTTTTCTCCTTCCCTCCCTGCCCCTTCTTTCTTGGTTCCTTCCCCTCCCCTCATTTATTCCCCCCTTTGTCCAGTCACCCTGATGAGTCTGCTTCAGTGGGGACTCTTCTGCCTGGGCGGCTGGACAGAACTGATGGCCAGGACTCAGGACAGCCACTTCTGCAAGAATATCACCAGATTGAGATGAAGACCTTCCCTGCTGACTCAGAGCAGGTAAGACAACTTTCAGTCAGTGGGTTTAGGAGATGGAGAAGACCAATCTTGTGAACTCAACTCCAGGAACTCTGGGACTTGAACCAGAATGGAGTCACACTGGGTTAAGGCTGGAACCAATTTGTGATCAGTCCTTGGAGCCCTCTTCAGGTACAGAAGAGCACTTACAACCCACTGTTCATTTGTAAATCAAAAGCCTTTCGTTTTGTATGCCTGTTTGGCATCATAAGATACTGATGCTCTGTCCTCCGAAGAATGCATGCAGATTAATAAGAGCACCTTTACTCAGAAGTAAGCCCCACTGAGTTCAATGGGATTTTCTCCCTGCTAAGTATACTTAGAGTTGCAGCCTGAATCTGCAAAAGTTGTCATTAAAAAAAATAAAATTAAAATTTGGAAACAGGAATACAAAAATTGATATCAAATACCTTTTTTATCAAAGCTAAAAAGCTAATCTAAATAAAAAGACAGACCAGAAAGGGAAAGAGAGAAAGAGATAGAAAGACAGAGAAAGAAAAGAGGAAAAGGAAAAGAAAGAATATATATCTGTCAGCTATATAAAAAAATTATTCAACACATCCACTTCAACAACATCCCAACAAATCTACTTTTTATAAACCAACATTATCTTCCATCTTCAAACCCAAATGTCATGAGTGCATTTTCTTTTCCACACAAAAAGGCTATAAGAAGTTTCCAGTCTTTAGTAATTGTTGGCAACGACTTTTCTCTGATTAAACATGGTAACTTTGCCATCTCAGCTAAATCCAGTAATTTTGACAACAGTTTCTACATTGTAGGTAATTATGAGTTTTCCCATCTTTGTGCATATAAACGTCTCGCTGCTGTAATCATATATTGAAAATGAAGTTCCATAGCCTTTTTCTAATTATAAATTCGCAAGTCCTAAAAAGGAAAAGTTGTTTTCAGGGAAGGGTGAGTGCAAATATATATGCATTCTGAAAGCAGATTTCTGTTCCAATGGTCAATACTTGCATCATTTATTTTAAAGAAAAACTAGTACATTATTTAAAAACAACAATAAGCCAAGACCCCCTCCAAACACAGCAGATCTTCATATAAACACGATAGATTTGGAGTTGACATTCACGTGCTGAGACCAGAGGAATAAACGACTGAAAATTCTAATTCATTCATAGAAATGAAAACATCGTATTCTCAGAATCCCCCATTTTGAGGGCAGCAACGGAGCACATACTGTGAGATGAGCTTGGGCCATGTCAACCTGCCTCATGACCTTGGGGGTTAACTGCTTGCTTCTCTTGTTGCAGGAAGGCTCAAGTGGTGGTATTAAGAAGCCACTGGCAGATAAGATCCCATCTGATGCAGAAGCGACACTGGTCCTGGTTGGTAAGTACTTTTAACATGTGCAATGGCACTGTTGGGACTGGACGTTGGGACCCTCATAGCCCTGGGACCTTCAAATTGTGCCCGAGAGCTAGAAGCAGCAACACATATACAAGGAAGGGTAGAGCTTTGGCAGGGTGAGAGTGGCAGTGAGGTGAGCCAATCAGACACCACCTATGGGGTTGTGGAGGGGCCAATGAGAGTCTTCGAGCAATGAGGGGAGGCTAGGCGAGAGATCATGGTGGCCATTTTGGGTGCCATGCTCTCACTCTGTGCTCTCATTCCCCAAAAGTGCTTTGGGGGGGCTGCAATTTGCGCAACCACCAGCAATGCACATTTTGGGGCATCACATGAGATTGCACCCAAAAAAAGCACTGGGGAGGGCAAGATCATAATGCAGGCCATGTAACTAACCCAGGAGCACATCTTGAAAGACGCATGTCCTGGTTTTTGACCTGAAAAAGTTGGGCAGTATGGATTGTGTGACTGCCCCAATACCATCATGAACACAAATAATAAAGAATACCTAATAAACAGAATGTCTGGAGGGCTCCTTTCTCAGAAGTCCCCAGATATTGAAGGAACATTGAATGGGACCCAGGGCCTCAGTAGTCTGTGTTAGAGCTACCCTATTTAACCACAAAAGACTAGCAAAAGCATTTCTCTGCTCCCAGCTCCACCTTCCTTGTTCCTTTCTTTCCTCTTTCTTTCTTTTTTTAATAAAAAAAATTAACCAAATTTAAAATCACAAAAAAATTTAACCAGATTCAAAATGTCTGTCCAGCATAGCCTTAGACGTTTTGGGGTTTGAGATGGAAAATCCAAAAAAGATGCTCCCTATGGTTGCTACAAATATATTCATTTTTAAAACAACAACAACAACAACTGACAACTTGCTGGAGTTTAAAATTGCCACAAATTTGCCCCTCCACCCTACATAATGGTAGAGCCAGTCCTGATTCAAGCCAACATGGGATAGAATATAACTTCTTCCTTCTACAAGATGTATGCTAATCTAGCAAGTTTGGGAGGAAGGAAGTATGTTCTGGTTCTTGCTTGCCTTGTGCGTTTTGTCAGGGGGAGCCATGTTTTTCCCTGGCAAAAACGCTGCTTCGCTTCTCTATCTGGCTTAGCCAAACTCATTTGCAGACTTTGCTCACTTTGCTGTCTCTTGTTTTCTTCCCCTGTCCCTATTCTCTTCCACTCCATCTCCCTTTGCCTCTGCCTGGATCCCTTCCTTTCCTGCACATGGTTTGTGTTTCTTTTTCTTTCTGTTTCTGTGCCAAGCCCCCTAAATGATGCCCCATACCCATCCATCCTCCCTTCAGGCCGTGCCAGCATCGTGGACCATCCCACTCTAGCCTTTGTGCGCTTGAAGGATGCTGTACAACTGGACTACGTTCTGGAGGTTCCTGTGCCTGTCCGATTCCTCTTTGTGGTTCTGGGCCCAGATTCCCCTCACGCCAACTACTACCATGAGATTGGGAGAGCCATCTCAACAATGATGTCCGAAAGGGTAAGTTGGAACCCTCCTTAGCTTCAACTTGCCCAAGAAAGTACAGTGGTACCTCGGGTTACAGACGCTTCAGGTTACAGACTCTGCTAATCCAGAAATAGTACCTCGGGTTAAGAACTTTGCTTCAAGATGAGAACAGAAATGGTGCGGCAGTGGCACGGCGGCAGCGGGAGGTCCCATTAGCTAAAGTGGTATCTCAGGTTAAGAACAGTTTCAGGTTAAGTACGGAGCTCCAGAACAAATTAAGTTCTTAACCTGAGGCACCACTGTAGTTGGAATTTCCTTTCATGGAAGGAAGGATTGTCTAGGTTAGGCATGGGGAACTTGTTGCTTTCCATGTGTTGTTTTCCATCACCTCTGACCATTTTGCCATGCTAGCTGAGGCTGGGAGTCCAGCAACATCATTCTGCAGGGCCACAGGCTTTTCCCATCCCTGTTTTCAGATCTAGAATTTCCCTGCATCTGCTCATTCAACTGAGTATGGTAGACAGAAGCACTCATACTTGCGTTGTAAGCTTAACTTAACTCTTATGGAAAAACAGGAGCTAAAAGTGTTAAAAGTAGCATGTTAAATTAAACAATGTGGACCTGGCCATGTGCCACAAGCCATGTCATCATTCAGGACACAGGAAGATCCTGTGGAAATTCACCCCAGGAACTGCCCCTTTTATGTACCCTCCCAAGCACAACATTTGCCTCCCTGAGTCTCCATGTTTTTCCTTCTTCCCTGACTAGGTGTTCCGCCTTGACTCCTACATGGCAGGAAGTAGGCAAGACTTGGTGAAGAGCCTGGATGCATACCTGGACTGTTGCATCGTTGTCCCGCCCTCTCATATCCAAAGTGAAACGCTCCTTAAGTCCTTGTTCCCAGTGCAGAAGGAGCTCCTGCGAAAAAGGTACCGGCCAGAGGAGAGGACGGAGCTCACCAAACAGCTTGGTATGTATGAATCACTGTGGGGTGATCTGCAGGGAACTTTGCCTGATCGCTACCAAGCATACCTAGGGAACCTAGGAAGCTGCCTTAGGCTGAATCAGATGATTCTCTCATCTAGCTCAATATTGCTTCCACTAAGGGCCCATCCATACTTACATTTTGCCCCACACTTTCTAAGCACAGGTTTGTGCTTTCCTGGTCCATGGCCAGGCACTCCCCCGCCTCCACTGCTTTCCCCAGGAAAACCTGCTCTTTGACGCGGAATTGGAACAAACAGCACCTCAGGTTTTCAGTGGAATTGTTGTCTGCAGTAAAGAGAGGGTTTTCATAGGCAAAGCACCGGGGCAAAACAAAGCACTTGGACACAGAGATTCAAAGTGCAGACCTGCAAATAATAATAATAATAATTTTACCCTGCCCATCTGACTGGGTTACCCCATTCACTCTCGTCAGCTTCCAACATATATAAAAACATAATAAAGCATCAAATATTAAAAGCCTAGAAATGCGACACAAAAGGGGGTCTGGATGAGCCCTAAGTGGAAGTAGCCCTCCAGGATTTCAGACAGGTCTCCTAACCTTACCTGGAGATGCTGAAGATTGAGCCTAGACCCTTCTGCATGCTAAGCAGATGGGCTCTCCCTGAACTATGGTACTTCTCAGATGTTGTATATTTGAATATCATGTAGAGAGTTTTAAATATTAAGTAGATTAGTGCTGATGAAAAACACTATGAACATGCTCAGTGACAAATGCCTCTTCGGGCTGTAGCCAATATTAGTCTCACTCACAGTAGACCTGTTAATGCAAAGTTACTAAGTTAGGTTCGCTAATTTCACGGGGCCTACTCTGAGCAGGAATTAGTTCGCTACAACTCTATATTCTTACCTCCCAAGTTTGATAGGTGAGCAGGGCCACCCAGCTTTCAATCACCTGATGTTACAGTGACATCAGGCGACCTGTTATCACCCAAACAGTTTGGTGTGTTTGTTCCCACATGGCTTAATTTCATTTGAAGCAATTTGAAACATACATATTTTTATACATGTATTTTTATTGATTTTCAGAAGTGTCTAATAAACTCATTTTGTATGCAGGTTTGACTAATGTACACATTAAAACAACTTCTAATAGAGTGCATTTTTAACACTGTTTTTACTAATATATTCATTTTTATGCATACTTTCCCTTGATGTATGTATTTTTGTAAACATTGCTTGGTTGTAGAACTGCATCGCAAAATTCAGGTAAGTGAGAATTTCAGAGGTTGGCTATGCTTTGGTTCTCACATTGCTTTGGAACCTGAATTTGATGGATTCAGCTTTAAACAAGAACCAAATAGAATTCTTCATCCCTGCAGCTGCCCCACACCTATTGTCATAGATAATGTCAGATGTACGGCAGGTGTGTGTGGCTTTGCCAAACCTCCTCACAGGCCAAATGTGGAGACCTGTTGTGGGGTTCCTCACTGCTGCCTGAAGTGCTTCCCACAAGATTTGGGATGAAACTCATGAACTCCACATAACGCAAAACCTATGTTCCCAAAAAACGAGGCTTACAGCCCTTTTGAGGCCCCCAGTAAAACATCAGTCCTCTTTTCCCTTCATTCATTCAGCCTTGTCATTCCCTGTGTTCTTCTGTCTCATCTAGAGCAAGAATTGCAGGGCCAAGGCTTCAAGACTCCAGAAAAGGATGATGATGACCCTTTGAGCAGGACTGGCCGACCTTTCGGAGGGCTGGTGAGGGACATAAAACGCCGGTACCCCAAGTACCTCAGTGACATCACGGACGCTCTCAATGCTCAGTCTCTGGCTGCCGTCATCTTTATCTACTTTGCTGCCCTTTCTCCTGCCATTACCTTTGGAGGCCTTCTGGGTAAGGGAGCTGGGGCTGCTCGCTGCACCCTGACAAGTAATCACAAACTGGTTATCAGTGGGGAAGTATTGTTATGAAAATGAGGGAAATATTGCATCAAACTGGAGTTCCCAGCAGCTCAGCACCACATCCCCTCTTGAGTTTCTGCTGGACAAAACAGGACAGGAAGTAGAATGACATAAAGTTTCCCAGCAGGTTGGGCTATGCTGGTTTGTTTGTTTTCTTCACATCCTTCTCATATGTAGGTGGAGCATGGCAGGGGCGAACAAAGGCTAACCGACACCCATGGTGGGGCAAACCACCGGCTGCGCATGCATTGTGCCACTACGTACAACGCATGTGTGGTGTCACTACATAGGGCGCATGTGCTGCATTGCTACGTACAGTGCATGCGTGCGACACTGGGTATGTGTTGTGCGTAGTGGTTTGCTGCTAAGCGCCATACGGACAGTAGTGGGATCCTCTGCTCGCGGCTGCAGCAGCGGCAGAGGGATCCTCTGGCTGTAGCGGCGAGGGAGGGATCCCACCGCCATCTGTACAGCGCTCAGGCGGTGCCGACAGCAAACCGCTATGTACAGCACATGTGCGGTGTCACTACGTACAGCGCATGCATGCAACACCATGCATGCGTTGTACATAGCGGTTTGCCACTGGTGCTGCTCAAAAGCCGTATGGACGGTGGCGGGATCCTCTGCTCACGACTGCAGCCACGAATGGAGGATCCTCCACATGCAGCTGCGGTGGCGCGATGGCTGCTCATGCTGCTGTGCCCAGGGGTGGCGGGGTGAGCACCCTGTCGGGTGCCTTCTTGTCACCCCTCCAGACATGGCACCGGGGGGTGCCATCCACCCCCCTTGCAACACCACTGGGACTTGGCCACATGAACAACAGCTAGAAAATTATGCCAGAAAAACCCTATTAGAGGCTACTTCCATGTCTTGCTTGCTGACTGATTTGCTTATAGAACAGTTTTATGCCACTATTCCCATAAGCAATGCTCCAATGTAGCTTACATGTAAAGTAAATAGTTATAAAAGCAATTTAAAGCACAAAAACATCTGTATCACCTTTCCGCCGCAGGCACTCCTATGCTACTGATCTTCAACTGTGTGAAATTTATTTTTTGACATTTATTTTATTCTTTTAATGGCTGGATGCTGGCAAACTAAGAGACCTTGGTGACATCTCCTCCAGCCAGGGGATCAGGGAAGAACAAGAAAGATATACTCTAGCACACCTTCCGGAAAGATCTCTAGCTTACATTACAAAGCAGATACTTAATAGACCTGGTTATTTACTTAGAAAGGAAAATAGTTTGACCATTTTAGCAGTCGCCCCCTTCCTGGTTGTTGTTTCTTTTGCAGAATCCTGTCTTACAGCTATAAAATCACAGGGCTGGAGGGGACCCTGAAAACCAAGGCCACCCACAACCCCAGACGCATTACAATAATTAAGGCTGGTGATATATGGCATTTGTTAAATAGGACTTAAAGGGATTTTTGCTCATGGTGTGTGTCCACTCATGTCACTTTCAGCTTCGACAAGCAGGCTTTTGTTTTGTTATCAACAGCGAGACAAAAGAAATAAGGATGTGCCTTGAGAGGTTAAACTTCTCTTAAGAAGAAGCATTGTCTATCTCCAGTTCAAAAAATTTCAGCCCTCTTACTGATGTGCCAGTTAGATCTCTTAAGTTTCTTAAAGCAGGAAACACCCCAGGTTTGTTCTTTCTTGCCGATAATCTGCTGTTGCTTCCAGGTGAGAAGACTGACAAGCAGATGGGAGTATCTGAGCTTCTGATCTCCACGGCAGTCCAGGGCGTCATCTTCTGCTTGCTTGGAGCTCAACCTTTGCTTGTGATTGGCTTTTCTGGCCCCCTCCTGGTCTTTGAAGAAGCCTTTTATGGGGTAGGTATCCTGCTATAAATAACATCCCTGTTGAATGATTACTTGTTTCAACACACTGAAAAGCTTCTTTAAACTTATGCAGTCCCCAGATCCACCCTGCCAATCAATGGAGATCACCTGTCCATTCAATGGTTACCATAAGATGTAGTGAGGACCATTACAGTAGTTTACATTGCTTTTAAAACAGGCGAATTCGAAATGGAGGACAGTTCTATTATTCATGGTCATTAGCTGTTACATGAAATGGAACTTCCATGTTTGCAGGCAGTATATCTCTCATTACCAAGAACAGCATAGAACCCTAACCACTTTCCAGGTGGTTCTAGCTGATCACAGATGGAGACAGAATGCTAGATTAGGCAGCTTTTGATCCAGTAAAACCATTCTGCCTGAGCGTTTGCAGGTATATTTCCATAACCCTAAGACGGGGTGGGGAGCATCTTGCCCTCCAGATGTTGTTGGACTTCTTAGCCAACATGACCAATGATCAGGGATGGATGGGAGCTGGGAGTCTAAAAACATTCACATTCCTATCATAAATGGTAGAAACTTGCTTCCTTTTAAAAGAACAAAGCTCAGATTCTTAAGATGTTGAACCTCACATGTACCAAACTCTGCTTGCTTGTTGTGACCAGAAGCACCTGTGCACTATACAGTGGTACCTCGGGTTACATATGCTTCAGGTTACATACACTTCAGGTTACAGAGTCTGCTAACCCAGAAATAGTGCTTCAGGTTAAGCACTTTGCTTCAGGATGAGAACAGAAATCGTGCTCCAGCGGCACGGCAGCAGCAAGAGGCCCCATTAGCTAAAGTGGTGCTTCAGGTTAAGAACAGTTTCAGGTTAAGAACGGACCTCCAGAACAAATTAAGTACTTAACCCAAGGTACCACTGTACACAGACCTGGCTATAAATGTCTATGCAGGTTTCACAGGAGGAACGGGCTACAAGATTTCAGCATGGCCCGTGTAGTGTATCACAAGAAGGGCCAATGCTCTACATTCTGGATAGCTGTTTAATTCCAGAGCAAGTTCAGCTGAGGGGGAAAGAACCATCAACATCTCACTAGCTTCTCCTTTGCTTTCCTCTCTGCACCCTACCCGTTTCTCTCTACACAGTTTTGTCAGAGTTTAAAGATTGAGTACCATCCGGGGAGAGTCTGGATCGGCCTTTGGCTTATAATATTGGTATTGGTGGTGGTGGCTTTTGAGGGCAGCTTCCTGGTCCGTTACATCTCCCGCTACACCCAGGAGATCTTCTCCTTCCTCATCTCCCTCATCTTCATCTACGAGACTTTCTTCAAACTCTACAAGGTAACATGGCTTATATTTCATTCTCCCTCCCTTCCTTTGCTTTTGTGAGGGAGCAGCTTTGCTGGCACAAGGAACAGGCTGCTTCATGGCCACAGGGTTCCTCAAGACCCGTGAGGCAGGGCTGAAAGTTGGTCCGTCATGGCCGTGTTTGAGCACTGAGCTGTACATAGTACCTATTTTCCATTGTCCCATGTGTGGCTTGGCTTCCTTTGTGCTTGAATGCTGGATCCTGAGAGATTTGGGGCCCATCCACATTATCATTTGTCCAAGAGGCATTATTATTATTATTATTATTATTATTATTATTATTATTATTACATGGACAGGTGGAGTCCCCCTAACCCCAGGCAACCCCCGAGCAGAATAATGACTCAAGAAAATGCGCTATGGGATTAAAATTGCCGCAACTTTATTAGGTTTCAGATGTAGGGAGACCTTGGCTCAGGCATTGGGCATTTATCCTTCCCAGTCCCCAGCCGGGGATCTGGGAGACATCAGGGTTATCCAGCATGTGTGGGGATTGGGCTGGCTCTGGAGAATATATGTTCAGGCAGAAAGCCCGCCCCCCGTTTCGCCGCCATTGCAGGGGAGAGCAATGACAACCTCTTGGCATATGGCCAATGCCTCCCCTCAAAACGACCCCTTTAACGGGGAACTCTGGGATCACCACCACATGGGGGGGTGAGTCACTGCTTCACGCCCCCCCCCCCATTTAGGAAGCTAGACTAAAGGATTCTGCCCAAGGCCTGAAACCGCCACCCGAGGCCACAAGATCGCAGTCTTGACACCAAAACTACCTACACCTGAAAAGGCCCTTTGCCATCCGACATCCATTCCAAAAGCCCATGCCTAATGTCGCTCAGTCAATTTCAGCTCTGTGACCAGAAATCACAGGGTAAATGGAAGTGTGGCTGGGCTCTTGGTCTTGAGTTCTGAGAATGAAAAATGACCCGTCTTCAGACTTTTCATGTTGTCTTCAGGCAGACCGCACCATACAGTTAAAGCACATGACTACCCTCAAAAAAAATCCTGGAAACTGTAAATTGTATGGTCCAGAGCTTGGAGTTTCAGCTCTGTGACTGAGGAAACTACTTCCTCCCAAAGGAGCATGGGGAAGCTCAGGCCCAAACTGTATGTTACAAGGAACACACAGCATCTTCCTTACAATGTTTTGTTAAAGACACATGGTATGCGTGTAAGAATGTAAGACATGTTTATGAAGCTGCCATCTAGTGGCCAAAAGTGTTTCTTGAGGAAAAAATTGGAACTGAGCATGCCTATGCCTTTGGGAGTGGTTCCAAGATGGATGTCAAACTAAAAACTATATAACAGAAACCAAGATATTAAACCACTTATTGTTCATTATAACTCTCACAGCTTGCTCGGTTTCTGCCTGCCTCACTCCATTTCAGAGCTTGATGGTGTCATGCTGCTTCTTTAATTAACCATTGTCTCGGAGGCAATATGTGAAGAACGGCAGCTGTGTTTCATGTTAGTCATTTGCACCTCAAGCATCTTTCTCAGTGTTCTCCATCCCATTGTTTTGGGTCATCAGGTGAGCAAGAGACAGGACTTCGAGGTTCTCAGATCTTATCCCCACAAGCTTTTTTTGAACCAAAGTTGCAAGGGTTTTTTTATCGCAAATATACAGTCATTTGCGTGTTTGTTCCCTGTGGCAACCAGCCCTGCCACATTTATTCCCATTTTACAGATGGAAAAACCAAGACAGGGAGGCACAAGACTTTATCCAAAGCCACCCACTAAGTCCATAAGCGAACAGTGTATCTCCCACATGCATTAATATGTGCTCTGTTAATCTCAATTGATGTTCCCTGTGTATTATTGCATTTCTACTACTGAGATGTGTCCTTTTGTCTCAGCTTGTTACACCGTTTCCCCCCCTCTCCACTGCCCCCAAATCTTTGACCATGCATAACTACATATTATGACGACAGTGACACCTTCTACAGTCTCCACCTTCTGAAATCCTCTAGAATTGCTATAGGTAGCCCCTCCTCTCCCTCTGCCCCTCCCTGGTAACAATTTGGCCACAGGAAGCGAGGCTGTCATGACATGGTTTCCATAGAAACTGAAGAGCAGAAGCAAAAAAGGAGAGATTGAAAACATGTAGGAAGAAGGGAGAATGAAATGGAGCTCTTGCAAATGTTTAGAAATTAGACTGGGTGGACTAAGTGCATAGGAGACGAGCCTTTCGGAGACAGATGTTTGAAGGATAAGCAGCAGAAATGTGAGGCAAGGACCTAAGAACAGGGGCAGAGGTTTCAACCTTGAGTCCCTGTTAGCATTGTGGCCTGCACAATATATTTTTGTTACTTATTTTATTGACTAAATTTGTATGCCTCCCTTCATCCAAAGATCGCAGGGCGGTTCACAACATAAACTAGGCCTGATCTATGTTTGCAGCGGAGTGAAGGGCTAGAGATCTGAGGTAGCAGAATTTGCGGTATGATTTCAGACTGAAGGTGGAGGGACACTTCTTTCTTTCTTTTACACGATGGGGATTCAAAATGGTACCCCACTGCCTGTATTCTAAAATGGTGCAGTCGACTCTTTCACCTCCCTCTGCTTCATATGTAGACCAGGTCTAGGACTTACTTGTGTGCTGCGGGAGAAAGGGTAGGAATTATTTTGTTGCATGTAACAACATGATTTGGGTGGTGGTGTGGGCACGTGTGCTAATTTTAGTTGGCTGTGTTGTATGGCATCTCAAGTCCTTCCCACTGTCCATTCCACATTCTAACACATCTTCCCTCTTACAGATTTTTGAGAAATTCCCTCTGCAGAAAAACTATAACAACACCGTTCTAAATGGGGATCCAGACTATCCTGTACCCAACACAGCCCTGCTTGCCCTTATCCTCATGGCAGGAACGTTTTTCATCGCCTTTTTCTTGCGCCAATTCAAGAACAGCAGTTTCTTTCCTGGCAAGGTAAATCCTACATTACACAAGTGAAGTAGGACTTTGGCATGTTTGGGGATTTTGGAAGGGGACGGCTTAAGTCTGTGCCTGCACTAACAAGTTCGTTCTGTCTCTGTATAATGGCCAACCTACAACTGGATTTAAATAGCAAAGGGTGGACTTCAAACTGAAGCAACAAGACACTGGGAGAAGTATTTTGGTCAGCAATTTGGTTTAGAATAAATGGGGCTTCCTTAGTATTCTTACCACATTGTACCTGAAGTATTAAAAAGTAATAAACAGAGCTGCAATGTTTCATCAGTTAGATTAATCAATTTATAACGTGCCAACTGATTGGAAAGCAGATTTTACATTTTTTGTTGTTATTTTTATCACAAGTACTTATAAAAAGCGGATATGGCAGGTGCTATCTTTTAAGAAGCATCGCTTCTGATATTAGAGATAAGAAGGAAAGCCTCTTCTAATATACTTGCTGCAATAGATGTGTGCATCATCTAAAACCAAAATATACTTTTTTTTCATAAGGAAGTTGATGCATGTTTAATCCATTAATCACCTCATCAACTAAGTTTTCTTTAATCATCATCATCATTTTATTATTTGTACCCACCCATCTGACTGGGTTGCCCCCAGCCACTCTGGGCAGCTTCCAGCATATATAAAAACATAATAAAACATTAAAAACTTCTCTAACCAGGGTTGCCTTCAGATGCCTTCTAACGGTTGTATAGTTACTTATCTCCTTGACATCTGATGGAGGGCATTCGACAGGGTGGACATCACTACCAAGAAGGCCCTCTACCTGGTTCCTTGTTAACCTCACTTCTTGCCTCACCGCCAGAAGGCCCTTAGAGTTACATTAGGCATAGAATTCAACATATTAAAAACCTGTTTTGGTAAAAACCAAGCTAGCTACTAGCTCTTGATGCTGCAGAGGCACATGTAAAAGTGTATGGGCAACAACTGTGAAATCTCAGAAGCCAAAAAGGAGAAAAAACAGGATTTCAAGGAAACAGACAGGGTTGCCTCCACAGCCCTTTCATTCCAGTGACTAAGGCTACAATACTATGCACACTTACATGGGGATAATTCCCCCTCGGAACCCAGTGGATTTAACTTCCAGTTAAAAATGCGTAACATTGTGCTGTAGCCTACCATAGAAGTAGCATAAATTTTACCAGTGTAAGCAAATGTGCTTAAAATGCAAAATGGTGATGATTATGATGAATTCAATTTATATACTGTCCTTTATCAAATGATCCCAGGGCCGTATATAACATCAAAACACATTACAGAACATAAAAAGCACCAAAATAAAAAGCATGCTGACAGAACAGCTGAATATGACTTGCAGAATTTGGTGCAGCTGTGGTATGAAATTGTTTTGACTGCAGAATATGCACAGCCCAGTGTATCAGTCATAATATATTACTAAAAGGGTTGCTGGTGCAGTTTCTAAGTTTGTCCCCCCTTTTAGCTGAGTCTAAACGTTCCCTTATCAACATTGAGGTCTGTAAATCACCCATCAAAAACAGTCTCTGGCAGTATTACCCTTTTTTTTTAAGTTCCACACTGTTTGCATGTTTGAAGTGGAAGGTCATATTTCTCATAATCAGATCAAAACTTTTAAAACTGAATTAGTTATATTTCCTTTGTCTCCAGGGTCAGTGTGGATGCCTGCCCTGGTAGCTGAGAACCTCTGTTCTATCTCATTTCCAAAGATTCAGCTGGTCTTATTCACCTCTCACCTCCAGCCCTATATTGCTGAATTAATGTGGTTCTTTCTTACTTCTTGTTTTTTTTACAGATCCGCCGTGTGATTGGTGACTTTGGTGTCCCTATAGCCATCTTCCTCATGGCATTGGTAGACTACTTTATTGAAACCACCTATAGTCAGGTGAGTAGCTGGTCACTATCAGTAGCACCCTCTCCTTCCTTCTGTTTAAGTCCAGTGGATTCCAGTTTTTGATATCCTTTCCAAGCAGAAAAAATGAGCACTGGCTCACTTTCCTGTCTGGGGTTGTCAACCTAAAATAATGTGGCGCTTCCTGCACTGGGGGCCAACAGAACTAGAGTTCATCCGTATTCATTTTGCTTGTTTCCTCACAGAAACTGAAAGTCCCCAAAGGCCTTGATACCACCCATTCAACAAGGAGCTGGTTTGTTCATCCACTTGGAGAATTTGGGATGTTTCCCTGGTGGATGGCGCTCGCTTCCGTTGTGCCAGCCCTCTTGGTCTTCATCCTCATCTTCTTGGAGTCACAGATCACCACGTAAGGAATTTGGAGAGTGTATAGGAAAGAAAAGCAGCCACAAGGGTCAAGTTTTGTATCTACTGCAGTGAGGGTGTTGCTAGGTACTTGGGACTTGGGTGGCGCTGTGGTCTAAACCACTGAGCCTCTTGGGCTTGCCGATCAGAAGGTCAGCGGTTTGAATCCCCACGACGGGGTGAGCTCCTGTTGCTCTGTCCCAGCTCCTGCCAACCTAGCAGTTCGAAAGCACGCCAGTGCAAGTAGATAAATAGGTACCACTGCAGTGGGAAGATAAACAGCGTTTCTGTGCACTCTGGCTTCCATCACGGTGTTCCGTTGTGCCAGAAGCAGTTTAGTCATGCTGGCCAAATGACCCAGAAAGCTGTCTCTTTAATAAAAACTAATTCATAAACAACAAAAAAGGTTTATTGATAAATATTTTATGAGGTTTTTTGAAAGAGCAGACACCAATACAGATTTGAATAATATTTACATATGCTAATTTATAAGCATAGCTGCAAACTTAAGTCAGAGAAGAAAAACAAGCTTTGTCTCCTGCTGTGAGGGTTACTCTGAGCTATGGCATGCCAATGTGATTTTCTACACCTAGTATACTTATATGTGAATTGGACACCTCCATCCCACCTGAATTGCTTTGGCAATAAATGCTTCTTATGGGCATGTTAAAAAGAAAACAGGATCACTCTCTCACACACACATGCACTACCTTCCCCTCTCCATCCAGCTGTTGTATGTGCCTCTAGGCAAATACAAGTCTCACTGGCATAAAAGACCCAGTGAAGCCCCTATCAATGTCCCTGTACGCAGATGCCACTTTGAGTTGTCACCTGGTAGCAATGCTTAGTTATATCACGGTTGTTGGGATGTCCAATTTGTCATAGAATCATGTCAAATAAATATTGGGTTGTATCCAATGTTAGTCATACCCAGAGTTGACCCATTAGAAATAATGGGCATGGGTAAACTATTAATTTCCATGGTTCTACTCTCTGTGTAGGATTTAGCTGCACGCAACCCACTTTCTTCTTCATTTCCTCCCTGCCCTCTTCTTATTATTCTTCTTCAGGCTGATTGTGAGCAAACCTGAAAGGAAGCTGGTGAAGGGTTCAGGTTTCCATCTAGACCTGCTTCTAATTGTTGGCTTGGGGGGTATTGCACCCCTTTTCGGCGCACCTTGGCTCAGTGCCACCACGGTGAGGACTGTCACACATGCTAATGCCCTGACGGTGATGTCCAAGACTACAGTCCCAGGGGAGAAGGCCCATGTCCAGGAAGTCAAGGAGCAAAGGATCACTGGCTTGCTGGTGGCCATTCTTGTAGGTGAGTTCTTCTGTCGCAGATTCCAATTTTGGGGGTGTCTAGGGATCAAAGTAGATATTATTTACCTACAAAATAAGTATTTTTATACTGCCATCTCATGAAATATCAGGGAGGTGTACAGTGTTGAAATGTAGAATACGATCTAAAAAAAATAAAAAATACAGATCATTATTACGGCGAGTGGCTAACACAAGAATATCTTTAATAAAAACTAATTCATAAATGACAAAAAAAGGTTTATTGATATATATTTTATGAGGTTTGTTGAAAGAGCAGACACCAACTAGGCAATACTGAAGGCACCTGTCTGATACACGATTCTATATTGCTGCTGTTAGTGTTGTAATACTATTGGGTTTTTAGTATTGTGCTCTTCGGATGAAGGGTGGCATATCAATTTAATAAATAATAATTTTAATGTAAAAAAAAAAAGGTGAGTGGCTAACAAACATTTAAACAGCTGCAAAGGCCTATCTGCATAAAAATATATTCACAAGATGCCTGAGAGTAAAAAAATGAGGATGCTTCCCAAATCTCTGCTGGAAGAGTGTTCCATTAGCATGGGACTGGTGACACTAAAAGCCTGATTTCTTGACCACCTGTCAAGTCTCTGAAACGCAAGTGATAAGTAACAGTGCTCCTCTGGTTGATCTCAGTGATGTAAAGAGCTCAGGGGTTCCTTAGGTTTTCCTGGAGCCAAGTTGTTCAGGGCTTTGTATTTCAGTGCCTTGAATCCGGCCCAGTAGCATATGGGCAGCAGAAGTTCCTCTCAGGTGCCTGTTCCCATCAACAGTGTCACTGCTACATTCTGCCTGGAGCTTCTGGACCAGGCCCAACGGCAGCTCCACACTGAGTGTGTTGCAGTTATCCAGTCTCGAGGTTACCAACACAGTTGCCAAGTGATCCTGATAAGGCCCTAAGCTGCTGTATAGCTTTGGGCAGGCATGTTTGCTCCCATTTCTTCCCTGTTCTCTCATAAAGCAGGGTGCGGCAAGGTGTCTAATTTTCCCATCGAAAGGAGCGCAGAGAGATGAGAAGAGCTGAACATCCCTCACCTTACTGCCCTGCACTCCTTTGCTTCCACTTAGGCACTTTTCTCTCAACCCAGCTCTCGCTTTTCACCAAAAACTTTATCACTCACTTTATACATCAGGCGTGGGAACCCTGTGACCCTGCATGTGTTGTTGTTGGACTGCATCTCCCATGTTTCCCGACTACTGGACATATCGGCTTGAGCTGATAGGCCTTGGAGTCCAAGAACATTTGGAGGGCCACAGGTTTACCCCGTGGTTATATATGAATGGGGCAGACACTGGAAAACCATCCCACCCCCCAATTTCTGCCCTGCCTCTTGTAGCTTGGCACTGTCCAGCTTTGTATGAAAGAGGCATGGAAGGGCTGGATGAAAGAGGGGAAATTATGGGTTCAGTTTCAAACTAGTATGAATAATCTGCTGGACTTGATAGGTAGCAGATTTATGAATGCCCTTGAGGAAATACCTGTTCTCACAAATCCTTAATTCCCCCGTGGATCTCATTGCCGTGTTCTGATAGTCTCTAGAATAAGTTTATTTTGAGAAGAACTGGATAAAGCCATTGAGGTGGCTACTAGGTCTACTAGCCATGATAAGAAGTGGTGCAACCCCCATGCTTGGTGACATCTTGAAAACCAGATGCTGGGGAAATAATGAACAGGGGATTAATTATCGCCATCAAGTTCTGCTGTGGTATCTTAACTTGTAACTCTTGGTAGACAGAACAGAGAGCCAGATGGACAGTTGGCTTGCTGGGTGGTGATTGTTGTTTGTGTGTCTTCCAATTGGGGAGGAGAGCTCCATTGGTGTCACCTTCCAGCTGAAGGCGTGCCATCCTAAGTAACATGTGCCATTGCTTTTTACCCTCCTGCAGGCCTTTCCATCTTCATGGAGCCCATCCTGAAGCTCATTCCACTTTCCGTGCTCTTCGGCATCTTCCTGTACATGGGGGTGACATCCCTAAATGGGATCCAGCTTTACGACCGAATCCTTCTCATGCTGAAGCCACCCAAATACTTCCCGGATGTGCCTTACGTTAGAAAAGTAAGCCCAGGGGATCAGAGAAAGTAGTGCTTGGAGGTTCAGGGAGAGCTGTGGTGGACAAAACAGATAAATCCCCGCAGGGTAGGAACCCTACTGTTTGAAACAATCATATGGGGTCCCTGATAGTCATGGATATACCTAAAGGCTTCAGTAGACCTGGTGATCAGTTGTAGAACCTGGCCCTGTGTGTTAATGTCAGGGCTCTAGCTGAAACTTGAAAAGTATTCAGGATGCCTCTGAGCATGTAGAAAGTATATTTGCTTTGTCAAATGAGTCACTCGTGGGATAAGAGAGGGAATGAAGTACTTTTGTGGCAGAAAATATAGTTTCCTGAAAAGCTGGAGCCTCTTTAGTTCTCCCCCCCCCCCAATTGACCATTCTTTTCTCTGATCATGAACCTAAAATTTTAAGAATCGTAGAGTTGGAAGGGGCCTGATTTCAGCTTAACTCCAGCTGGAGGCTTGGATCGATATGGGATTCACCATGGCTTAGTTCTGGAGTCTGTTTTCTGTGCCTTCAAACAGAACCAGAGGACATGGGAGTCATAACGAAGCACAAGAGTGCATCTGATAACATGGCTGCCCAGTGATACAGAGGAAGGGGGAAGGAAGGTTTGCTGGCGAGAAGAGGCAGATGATGGCCTCCAAGTAACATTAAGGCCCGCCATTCCAGTTTAGAACTTCGTTGCAAAGAAAAATGCACTGAAATAGCCCCAGGTGTGGCTGTAGCTCAGGGGTACAGCATGTGCATCACATACAGAAACTTCCAGGTTCAGTCTCTTCAGCTAAAGAGGCCTTAGGTAGCAGTGCTGAGGCCTTGGAGATCCATGGCCAATCAGAGTGAACCAGCACAGGCTAGGCGGTTTCAATGGCCTCAATCGGTGCTTGGCAGCTTCATAGGAAGATGCACACACAGAGAAAAGTTGAGGCATACTGAATGGTATGACTTGGCCATTTTATTTTGACAGGAGGATTGCTTCTGAACTTTCAGTGGTTTAACTGGGCTTCATGAATCGTAGAATCATGGAGTTGGAAGGGACCATGAGGATCATTTAGTTCAACCTCCTGCAGTGGAGAAATGTGAGGCTCAGACCCACGAGGGTCTCATGCTCTACCAACAGAGCTGTCGGCTGAGAACCATGCTTTCTATCTGTCTACAGACCTTGGTTGTCAGGCGGAAGACAGGTAGACTGCTGACACCTCTGACTGTTTCTTGGGTCTTCTTCCTTTAAAGGTAAAGCCTTTGCGGATGCACCTCTTCACCTTCACGCAGATTTTGTGCCTAGTCTTGCTGTGGGTAGTGAAATCCACCCCAGCCTCCCTCGCCTTGCCTTTCCTCCTCATCCTGACAGTGCCTGTGAGACGCTACCTGCTGCCATGTTTCTTCAGCAATGTTGAACTCAAGTATGTAAGTATCGTTTGGCTGAGCAACAGTAGGTTTAGATTCAGGTCTCTGCGTGGCCTAAATAGGAAGAAGCAGGGGAACAGCTTGGGATTTTTAGAGTGGTCCCTGTGGTAAATGTTTGTTTATAGAACCTGGATTTCCCCCTATTAGGTCACATCCGCACCATATATTTAAAGCACGCTGTTTCCCCCAAAGGATCCTGGGAACTGTAGTTTACACCTTGCAAAGCTACCACTGCCAGCACTGTTAACAAACTACAGTTCATCCTTTAGGAGAAGCCATTTGCTTTACATATATGCTATGGGTGTTGTCCATGCCAGGGAGGGGGAACCTATGGCTTTCAAGATGTGCTGAGACTCCAACTCCCATCATTTCTGGTCACTAGCCATGCTGGCTGAAGGTCTTGGAAGCCTGGAAGTTCTCCATTTCTGCTTTATGAGGTGGTTTTCAAACCATGTCCCAAGGAACTGTGGAGTGCTTTAGACGTGCTACAGGCATTCCTCAAATTGAATATTTGCGGGTGGCGCTGTGGTCTAAACCACTGAGCCTAGAGCTTGCCAATCGCAACGGGGAGGGAAGGGGGGGGGGGATAAATAGGTACCACTCCGGCAGGAAGGTACACGCCGTTTCCGTGCACTACTCTGGTTTCGCCAGAAGTGGCTTAGTCATGCTGGCCACAGGACCCGGAAAAACTGTCTGTGGACAAATGTCGGCTCCCTCGGCCAGTAAAGCGAGATGAGCGCCGCAACCCCAAAGTCATTCACGACTGGACTTAACTGTCAGGGGTCCTTTACCTTTACCTTTTAATGGCAGGCCACCTCTCCCTGATCGCTTGCCCATTACTACTGATCTTCCTCTGCATGGCACAGCTAGGAGATGGAAGGGTTTGAGATACAGGAGATCCAAAAGGAAGTACTTCTCTACACAGCACATAGTTAAACCTTGGAATCCTCTACCACAAGATGTGGAAGAGCACATGTCTTGTGTCTTGATAGCACAGCAGGGAAAGGGAGCCATTGTCTGGGGCCTTGGAGAGTCTCTGCCAGTCAGAGCAGACAGTATTAGGCTAGTTGGACCAATGGCCTGTTTTGATATATAACACAGCTTCATGTGTAATGACTGTCAAAGGCCACCTAGCCATCCTTGACAGGCGAAAGACATATGTTTCTCAGATCCAAGTATAGTGCTCTGTTTGTTGGACCACCTCTAACGGTATATCTCTCCTCAAATTTCCTTCTAGTTGGATGCTGATGATGCTGAAGTGGATTTTGATGAGACAGAAGGCCGGGATGTTTATGATGAAGTCCAGATGCCTCTTTGAGCACACAGTGTGCTGCATCCTTATGACAGATAAGGAATGGAGAGCCCTCCCCCAAAACACCAGGCAAAAAACCCCAAACAAAACCAGAATCTGGAGAACGTTTCCCCCTTATGTATGTTTATCAGTATACAAAAGTGGCATACTGGTAAATACCCCATAGATGTAAATGACAAAACATGGATTTTGTAGGATTTAAATAGCTTGCATATGCTTTAGATATTTTTCAACCAGCCACTGTAGTTCTGTAGTGAAATGTTAACAAAGATTTAGAAAATAGATTCCCCAACGAAGGTATTGGGGGGGGGGGGGAATCAAAGCTATGCAAGAATTGTGAGATGGGAAGGGCATCCATGGACTCCACTTTTTATACTACCTGTCACCCCACTGCTCTGTGTGTGTGTGTGTGTGTGTGTGTGTGTGTGTTTCCACACAAGTGTGTATGCATGTGTGTAAGGCATTATCCGTTGTGTGCAGAAAGCCCCACCCACGGCCTTCCCAAGGCAGGAAGTACTTCTGCCACTGACATCGATATGAAGTTTTGGAAAGAAATGCTGAAAATCCAACTTATATCCTCAAGACGGGTCAAACAGCTAATGTCAGAATGGACCAAGATGCACAAATGAAGCTGGGAAGAAGTGACATGTTCTTTCTCGGACCTGGGAGATGCTAGGTCAGAAAAATGAGCATACAAATGAGGCACAGAACAAAAACAGCAAAGAAAGTCAACATCCTGGCAAAGGAAAGAAGCAACAACCATCACCTCAGATTAGAAACGTGATATGGAGGAATGGCAAAACCACCCAGTTGCGGAGAAGGATCAAGACTGCTCCTTGAGCAAGAAGGCTGTTGGGTTAACAAAATCAGTTATTATATGTCCTGGCACAGTGGGGAAGTCCATGCCCCCCCCAAAAAAACAGGTTCAAGGGAAAGCTGCCCCCCAGATTTAACTCTTTTTTGCAATTCCCCCCTAGCCTGCCCCACTTGGACTAAAACTATGGTGCTAAAAAGTCTGGAAGGCATCATCTAGAAGAAATGTCTCATCATCTAGAAGAAATCTGCCTTGTTTGCATCCATTGCAGTTAAGTAACAGCATGTTACTTCTTCATGGAAGAAAAATCTATCAAGGGCTCATGGTGGCAACCAGGAGTAGAGGCTGGTGCCTCTGAATATTAGTCACCATAGCAGGAGAGTCTAGCTGTGGGCTTCCTACAGGCATCTTGGCTGGCCACTGTGAGAACAGGATGCTGGACCACATAGGCTTTTGGCTGGATCTGGCAGCAGAGCTCTTTTTATGTTCTTATTAAAGCCACTTTAAGAGAAATGCTCTCTTTAGTATGAATTATCTACAAAAAATAAGCTTGTCTTAATGGAGAACAATAACCAGGGATGGGTGTGTGTTTAAAGTGCAGAATCTGTTGTCCTCTGCAGGCTGGAGTCCCGGGACTCTTTAACTTTTTTAATTTTTAAAGGAATTATAGTCCTCGTGATACAGGGAATGCTTGCAAATCTCTTCCAGCGGGTCCTGTCTTTCTCTTTTACCTCCCCTGCCTTGCATGGTAACACGTACCAAAAAATATGAAAACCTGTATCAGGGAAGCACAGCTGAGCAGATGCCTGCAAACAAGACTTAAAATTTGCAGAATATATTCTTATTGCAGGGTACATATTTTATTTTTTCACAGCATACACATATAGCTACAATAACTCTCATATGCACCTGTCTGAGTGGTGCATGAATGTGCCAACAGCAGCTCTGCTTAATGATTTATGGCTAATCTCATGCATTGCTTTATGGGGTTCCCTGTCCTCCACCATCCTCCTAAAAGCTGTGTGCTAGGTGCTGTTTCTCTTCAAACAGCCAGCAGCCTTAAATCAAGGTATATGTCCTCACTGACCTTCATCTGGCTCCTACATGCTGCCACCGCCACCAAGTCAAATAGCTAATGATAAGCTCTCAGGCAAGTAGCTTCCTCCTCTGGATTCTACCTCACGCGGCTAACAAGTGCTACACCTGTCTGTTGAAATGCTCCAGACCCTTTTGCACTGGTCTGATGCACAACCCCATCATTTCCCCTCGAATATACAAATCACGTCATGCTATCCTTCAATATATTTAAGATAATTAAAAAACTTCACTTGTTGTGACAAACAGGAATCCAGAGCTGGCAGTAGCTGTTCAAGCGTAAATAGTGTTTTTAGTGGTTACTTCCTCAAAAGAAAGTGACCAGACAAATCTGGTACCACATTTTAATTTTTTTTAAAAATGGGCAGCCTGACTTTTCTAAATCCCAGGCATGCGTGGGCTACTGTGGTGATTCACTGCAAGCAAAAAGCTGTCGCAATATGCCCAGCAGTGCTCTGCCCGTCGTTGCTATTTTGCATAAACCAGGACTGAACCCTGGCTCAAATTAAGGGTTGGTTAGCATGAATTCAATTAGCAAAAGGATTAGGAGAAACAAACGGTAGCATTTCTTCTTCCTATTGCATAACCAATTTATGGAACTAATTGCCACAAGCTGTAGTGATGGACACTAGCTCTGGTGATGTTGTTTTTATTTATTATTATTATTAAAAGGATTTGATGATTCAAGGACAATCAGTGGATGTTCGACACGACAACTCAGGAGAACCTCCATCTTCGGAGGCAATATACCAATAGCATACCACTAGATTATGAAGGCAAGCTACAAGGGAAGGCAATTTGTAGCATGCCTTGTGAGTTTCCCAGAAGCAGCCAACTGGCTACTGTTAAGAAGGCAAAAAATTAGATGAACCATTGGTTTGAGTTTCCGTCTTTATATATATGCAGCCTCAGGGGGAACAAATCAAGAAACACATTCCAGCATTTAATCTGAGCAAAATGGTGAATTGAACAGACCGATTAATTAGTTAATGTTGTGTGTCTGTGTGTGCGAACGTGTATGTGGAGAAGGGGGATCTTGAGACTAGACCCCTCTTTCTTGACAGAATTAACCACACTAGCTTGTATCGGCTGAAGTTCGACATTTCCACGTTACATTAATTAAAGACATAAACTCTAAAGGCTATGTAATTGTATCCTGAAGCCACACTGCTATAATTAGGGTTGCCATTTGGAGGGGGGGTAGTCTAGCAGGTTTCCTTTGCCTTTAACAGCTGCATGACAGGCAGAAACTCAACAGATGGATCATTTTTTCCAGCATGGCATTGCAGTGATATGGCAAGCTTTACTAGCTGATTTTTTAAAAAATAAAATTAAAATTTGTCACTTAATCTAGGTGTTAAAGGCACAGGAGTCCTCTCAGGAAGAAAGTTGGCATCTCTAGTTGTACACATTTTAAGTTGGTGATAATGAGCTTTTGTAATTTATTAAAATTCATTTTTAATAGTTTTTGCTTTGCTAGGTTAAAAAAAATACAATGCAGGATTTCACCTGCGCTTTGCATGCAATTGTGTGCTGCATTTCCTTTATGTTATTTTTCTCCGATTGACTTTAGATATGATTGATTCAGCCAATTGTATTACAATTGTTTTCTTGATTTTAACGACAATTAACAAAAGCAATAAACCTTTTTCTTTCTTTTTTTAAGAAAAACAGCAACTTGTTCATTGTATTTTCAACCCCAAACCAGTCTTCGGGTAATCACTGAGTCAGGGGGCAGAATACGGTCAATTATGATTGTTATTAAAGTCCATGTGAGCACTCTTCAAGGTGAAGGGTTTACGTCTTTGTAGGGACAGGCCTTTTCTAATGTGATCGGTAGTGGCTCTGTTATGGCCAAACAAGGCGTAGGGGACTAAGGGGTGGTGTGCTGGAAGCTAAGTGCTAAGCCAGCAGCCAAGGCTGCAGCCAATTCCCCAAAGCAATTAGCCTGGTCATGAGTTCAGCAAATCAGATGGACTGGCATCCAAGGGGAGAGGCAACTAAGGTTGTTGGGGATCCCCCATGCTGTGGGGTGAGTGGCAGGGGGCTTAATCCTGGAGGCAACTATGGAGTTAGTCAGATTAATGTCTCTGACTGAAGGGATGAGATTAAGGCCTAGTTTTCACTTTGTGGTGACAAAAAACTGTGTTAGGGCTGCCGGATTCCAGGTGAGGGGGTCCCGAAGTTGAACAAATATATACTCTACAACCTCATGGTGGTGAACAGCTTTTATGCAGAAATTTATTATGGACGGCCTGTTTATTCAGCATCCATCCTGATTTGCTTGCTCAAAGCTTATGTGGCAATTGGACTATGTCCGGTCTTCATTATTTGTTGATTGGTTTATGGCTGATTAGATGTAAATGAGCATTCATCCCGATTTGCTTGCAGGGTGATTTAACAGGTCGTCCCCCTAATCATTCTTTCATCCCACACTTTCCAATGCATTTTCCTGTCCCTTTCCAAACCACAAAGATGTTTGTTTACAGTGTATTTTGTTGCGCTGGGGCAACAAAGTGCTTTAATCCACTTTAAAGGCACAAACAGAGTTCCTTTATGCTTTTATATCCATCTAGAAAAATATAGATAATCTGGAGGCATCCTAGGACACAAAGAGGAGGGCTTAAAAAAAATTAACATACGGTTTTGCTTTATTCACCGTGCAAAACAAAATAAGCATACCTAGAATGCACAGCCATCCGTGGAGAGATTTGGGTTGAGGACCGCAGCTCTTGTGTGAACAGAGGTTCTGTGGTTGACTCACTAAAGAAGTGTGTCTTGGAGACTGATGATACTGACAAAAGCATTTCCTCCACCCAGAAAATTAAAAGAGAGGAAGAGTTATCACCTGTCCTTATTCCTGAATTGCTAGTTTTCTAGGTGCAAGGATTTATGTATTTTTAAACAGAGGAGATTTGATCATATGAATCTTCATCTTCCGCCTGAAGGGATACAGTCTAGGCACAGCTTGGCCACCTGTGTGAAAACTAGGCCAAAATCATTGAGGTTGAAGAGGCAAGCTGAAGTCAGTCAAAGCAGTCCAGTTCAATGCGGCAGGTACATTGAAGGAAACAGGTTGTGGTACAGGTGGGCTGAAGGAAGAAAAAGCACAAAGGAAGAGAAGGTGAAAGGAGTGTGGTGCCCTGGCTAGAATGGCAGCCTTAGACTTGGGAATGATGGAAGTTGTGATCTAACAACCTTTGGAGGCTCACAGCTTCTCCAACTTCTGCCCCACAGAAGTTACCACCCTCTTTGAGGTGGCAAGCCTGGGTCTAGGCCGCCAGACCATGTAACACTGCAAGGTATGTGTGGCTCAAAGAACTGAATGCTCCATCGTATAAAAGAAATTTTGCAGGGCAGTTTCTGACTTTGCTTTTCCACCAACGTTTAAGTCCATCACATGCAAGTTAACGTTTATGTACGGGCGAACATTCAGTCATGTGAGTCCCCAGTAGGAAGCAAACTATCAAAAGGGCTGCATACAAACCGGCTTGCTAAATGTGCACGAGTTGCACAGACCAGACTTTTCTGCGTCCACACCTGAGCACTCTCAATTGCCATCTACACTAGTGGGTGAAGCTTGATGGGGCGCATTTGCAGTGTGTGTTACTGTCGGCTCTTCTCAATCAGTACTTCCCCACCTTCCCTAAATTCAGGAAACCTGAGGTCCATTATGAGTATCCACACAGGTATTTGTTTACCTGTATGTGGACATTTTTTTTAAAAAAAAAGTTTTCTTATACAGTGGTACCTTGGGTTACATATGCTTCAGCTTACATACGCTTCAGGTTACAGACTCCGCTAACCCAGAAATAGTACCTCGGGTTAAGAACTTTACTTCAGAATGAGAACAGAAATCGTGCTCCGGCGGTGCGGCAGCAGCGGGAGGCCCCATTAGCTAAAGTGGTGCTTCAGGTTAAGAACAGTTTCAGGTTAAGAATGGACCTCCGGAACGAATTAAGTACGTAACCAGAGGTACCACTGTAGATGTAAAAACAGGTTAATAAAATTAATAAATACATGTTGCCCTGGCCCTGAGCAGTGCCTCATCAACGGAAGTAGGGGTGGTGGTGATAGATAGCACTCAGCAAACCTCACCACACATAAGTGCAGCATAAAGTTTCTTGCTATGTACACAAAGTGTTGAAAAATCCATCACTGTCTATTTTACAGTTGGGGTGCAGAGCTTTTTTCAAACTCGGGGACCTGCTCCTGTCTGAGAAAATGGCCCAGAGCCATGTGGCAGCTGTAGGTGGGGCCAGAGGCCAAAGTGTGAGGAGCCAGAGATGTGAAATTTACCTTTGTACACCAGGATAGTTTCTAGGAACATGCAGCATGCACCACTCTCAATCCCCCACCCAATCCGCCAAGATGCATTATCAGAGCTTACGGACACATTTCAGTCAGGCAAGAACATTCAAGGAAGGTAGGAAGTAGGATGGTATGGGGTGTGGCCTATAGAAGAGGCCTGAGGGCTAGATATGGTCCTTGGCCTACCATTTCCTCACCCATGTTGTATTATATAGTATACTATAGGGATGCCCACGTGGCAGCCTGTGTGTTCTCATCTGCAACGTGGCAAAGTGACAAGGGTAGAAGAAGCAAGCCCACCCCCAACAGAATTTACATTTAGCAGCAAATTAAGCGAGAAGCAAAAACTGGCAGCTCTACGTAAAATGGCAAAAATGCAGCATAATGGAATATTCTCAAAGCAACGATAACCAAACGATTTGCCGCAGAGGAGGGAGATGGGGGCAATATCTTATGCCGCTGGGATAGCTCAGTTCCCAGTGGGCAGAGCATGAGACATAATCTCAAATTCATGGGTTCCAGCCCCACATTGGAGATTCCCATATCGCAGGGGGTTGGAATAGATGATGCTCAGGGTCCCTTTCAACTCTACAATTCTACTTTTCTATTATCTTCACTGTCACACTCATGACAATCAATACATATGTATTCCCATGACATTGGGCTTTTCAAAATATATATTAGAAAACATAAAAACATTAAAAGCATGAATACAAATTTATCATAAATATGATCAGTGTCCTCTATAAAACTTGATCCATGCACTAAAGTTGCTATCTAAAAAAAATACTTTGTTACAACTGTTTGCAACATATATATTACATTATTTACCACACTTACCTGGGAGTAAGCCCCATTGAACTCAGTGGAGCATGTATCTTGAGTAGACATATGCAAACTGCATTGTCAGCCTTTTACAGTAGGTACAGAGGGGTTAGGGTCGGCCAAATCTACAGTTCTGTGTCCCCTTACTTGGCAGAAAGTTTACCTTGAACTGACTGGGATTTAGTTTGCAGTAAATGTGCAGGTACATATTTAAAAGCTACTGCAGAGATGCTCAAATCTTCACACACTTGCTCATTCCCAACAGCTAGGGAAAACGGAGGAAGTAAAAGCAGAAGGGTCCAAATGGATGGGTCTCGTGATTCAAAATGGGTTTTGGGGTTTTGCCTTGCCTTTTAAATTCCAAAACTTATCCTTATAATATAAATTACCTGTTAATGTGTTCCCCTCATTAGAACATACTTCCATCTTCTGTATGAGAGACAGGCAGACGTGACGCGCACGCCTCCCTATCCCAGAGATCCCGGGAAGCGGAGAAATTATTCCCGGTTCCAACGGGAAAAACATCACGGAGAACAGACGAGCGCCGCTCATCCGCGGTGGCCCGTTTTTAACGCGGGTTGCGCGGGGTGGGGGGAGGGGAAAGGCGAGGGCGGGCGCGTTGATTAGCTCCCTCTGCCCCCTTCCCCGCCTCTCCAACCCATAACTCCTAATTGCATTCGGGTCTGTCTGTAAAAGTCGCTTTTGCGTATTGGAATCGGCGTTAATTTGACAGGCAACTCTGAAAGCAGGTGATTGGCTGCAGCCGGAGATGACGCCCTTAACAACAAAGGTGGAGCTGGAAAAAATTAGATTATTGAGAAAGAGAGAGAGGGAGGGAGGGAGGGAGAACAAAAAATATGAAGCCTGGCATTTGACTGTAAAAATCTATAGACGAGTGTCATTTCCACGCAACGGCTAGAAAACAACACCGAGATTAGTGTCAATAATACCCAACAGGGAGTCACAAACTCCTCCCCTCCCTTCCCCGTTGTTTACAAGGCAGGGAAACTGGCACCTTTTCGGGAGGAGGGGAGCCGCTTGTTGCCAAAAATATGTCCGCTCTCAGAAATAATCTAGTGCCTTGCTGCAGCTATTTCCTGCTCCTTCCGAGTTTTTATTTTTTAATTTATTTCGGATCGCTTCCCTGTCCCCCCCTCCCCGCCCTCTTGATGCAATCGTTTGAAGGTGGGGGAGGAAAGAAAGGGGAGGTCGCAGGAGGAATTAAAATCGAGTGCGTGTGATTTGTGATCGTTTTACAAGCGCCAAGCGAAGAGGATTTGTGGCAAATGCAAGGTTTTCCCCTCCTCTCTTTTCTTTTTTCCCTTTCCCCTCCTCCCTCTTCTCGTTTGACTACAGTGTTGCAAAAGCAGAGAGCAATAAAAACATACGCACATACACACACATTGAACTCTCCACACAGCCCGAGACACTTAGATCCACAACCTGGTGAGATCCGAGAGAGATCGGACCACCACCCCCGGAAAAAAAATATGCTTCCATTTTTGCAATCCCGTTTAGGGAGCAGATGGAAAAGTGGGGACTTGTGAAGAAAGGCTGTGAGGTTGCCTAAGGATCCGGGAGCCGAAGAGACCGGCTGATTGGAAGAAAAAAGCAGAGCGATGGAGGCGGGGGAAGTGCGAGCTCTCTGCGGGGACTGGAGCGAGTCCACGCCCGGGGCCAGCGCTGCAGAGCTGGCGTGCATTCAACCAACGCTTCCCAGCTAAAGCGAGCCCGGGAAAGAAGAGGGGGGGAGGAAAAAAAGGGGGAGCTTTCCTCCAAAAGCCTTCCGATCTGCAGGTAGGTTGCAGACGTAGAAGGGGGCTCCGAATCTCCCCTCGAATCAGCTCCGGCATGGAGCCCCCCGTTGCAAAGGAGGGTGGGTGGTGGGTAAAGGACGGATCAGGGGGAGGGGGGGAAAGCAGGCACGATCCGAGGCGACGCTGCCTCCAGCCGGGGCTGCCTTTGCGGCAGTGCGAGCGCATGTGGAGCTCGCCATTAACCCGACGCTGCGCTCCGCCATCTGGGGCTGGAGGGAGGCGCTTTTGTTCCCTCCTCGAGCTCCGGCAGCGGAGGAAGACAAGCAGGCGGCGGCCGCTGCTCGGAGGAAGCAGCCACCGTCACTGCTCTCCTCTGCCTGCGTCTCCTGGGTCCTCGGTAAGGCTGAAAAAATGGGGGCTTCCGCTCATTTTTCGGGGTGCATCTTTTTTAAAAAAGAAATTATTTCGGGGAATCCCCCCTCCCGCTTCAACACATTTTTTGGGAAGGGAGGAGATTGGTGTTACGTTTAAATATATTCAATATTTGAGAACCGAACAGGTTTTGTTTTTTGAAAAACGTGTTTTGGGGCGCGCCCCCTTTCCATCGAGCGGGGCATCGGTGGGGGGAAGCGGATCGGAACCCCTTTCCGCCTTCCACGCGGTCGCTTAGGCGAAAGAGGCCGCCGCGTTCGGCCATGGAAGGGCGAGAGAGCAGGCAGGCGGTGGCGAATTCTCGCACGCCGATCCTCGCTCTGCAGGGGCAGAAATAACCAGGCGGTACAATCCGGGGGTTCAGAGACTCGATCCCCCTATTTTCTTTCTCCCCCGCCCATGGTTTAGGCTTATTTTGGAACCGAGGGGGCCCTGCTCGGGTTAGAAAGGAAGGCGAGGCGGTGGAAACAACCAAGCCGCCGCCGCCGCCTTTCTCTGGCTGCCTGCAGAGGGAGAGAAGCCAATGGACGGCGGGGGAAACGCACTCATTTTCCCTTTTCTTTCCACCGTCCTCGCACGCTAGTTTTGCTCCCATGCTTTTTCCATTGTACGAAATCGAGAGCCCAAAGCCGCCGCTCGATTTTATTTCGGAAAGGATATTGTTCCCCGCTTTTCCCCCGCGCGCTGGGGACCTTTGGCGAGCTCGGTCGGCGCAGCCTTTCCGACCGGCTGCAGCCAGCGCGCTCCTCCGCCATCCGGAGGGTGGGTCCATGCAGGCGAGGTCTTCGGCGTCCCTCCCTCCTCTTTTCCTCTCGCTCTCTCCCCCGACGAGACGCTTTTTTCGGGGGGCCCCCCGCTGCGGAGCGACTGTGGAGAATCGGGTGAGCGGGCTTTGGCTCCGCCGAGTTCCCGTGCGCCCTAGGCGCGCAGGGGGAGGCGCTCCCCGGGGGTCTGGGCGCTGCTGCTGGTGGAGGAGGCGGCAGAAGCAGCGGCAGCAACAGCCACGACGTGCTGCCCTCCCTCGGCTCTGCCTGGACGCCCCCAGCCGGGCATTCATTTCTCCCTCCCGCCAGCCTGCCTTCCCCGCCCCCCTTCCACCAGCGGCTCCGATGGGGCTGCTGCAGCAGCGGCTCTCCGGCTCCTGCTCCTCCCCACTCGCGCCTGCCGCCGCCACAACGAGGCGGGCTTGTCTCAGCCTTCTTAACCGCCTCGACGAGGTGAGACCGACGGAGAGAAAAAGAGACGCGCAACTCGCCTGGCGGCCCCCTTCTCCACGCGCGCACCGGGCTTGGGGTCGCTGCCTGTTCCGAGGCTGACGGCGCGGGATCCGTTGCTTCGCGCTGCGGGTACAGGATTTGGGGGGAAACCACAACCTCGCCCTTCAGATTGGGGACGGCTGCTCTCGGTTTCCTCGGGATCGAAGGCGAGTTAATCGGGGGAAACGCGAGAGCCAGCCTCGCCTGCTCGACCACGTTGCCCGACGGCGGGGAAGAGCGACCCTTCTCAAGTGGCTGGTCTCTCTGGGGATCTGGGGCGGCGGGAAAGCGGTTTGGGAATACAAAGGGGGGAGAGTTAGAAATTTGAGTAAAGGCATTTGGTTAGAGGGAAGGACTGGGTCGCACTTCGAGGATTTACGAAACCAAGATCCAGCGGGGAAAGAGGGTGATCTCTGTTAACAAAGCGGAGAAATCGTATGGGGTTATGTGTCGAAAGAGAGCTGGATCTTGAATCAATCCCGTAGAAATCCAACAAAGCGAAGAACGGGGAGGGGAAAAGAAATCTCGGGAGCGGGTGATCCGGTGATCCAAAGTTCCCTCCTCCCGGGAAGGTCGACCTAACTCGGTGGAGCGCTGGATCTGCCGAAGAACCGAGGCTTCGGTGGAGCCCTCCTTCCTCCTTGCCCTCGGGAGGAAGGGAGGTTCAAGGCCAGAGGGCTGGAGCCCGTCCCGGGGTTTAAAAAAAAATACGTGTGCGAGGGTGGGCGGGAGAGAGGAATCGGGCAGACGAGGCGGCGGCGGCGGCGGCTAGATTTTTCCTTCGGTGGCGCCCGCAGGGCGTGTGGAGAGGACGGAGGCGGGGGGAGGAGGCGAGGCAGCTGCAGCAGCCGCTCCGACGGCTCGGCTCGGCTCTCCCGCCTGCCTGGAGACAGGCAGAGAGCGAGAGGAGGGGGGCAGCAACCAGCAGCAGCTGCGGCTCTTCTGCTGCAGGGAGGCGGCGGCGGCGGAGATTGGCTGCTGCTAGCGCGGCCTCGGAAGAGCAGATGGAAGGGGAGGGAGGGAGCGCAGAAGAGGCACCCGCAGATCCCACCCCCTCGCCCGGCCTGCCTCTCCTCCACCCCGCCCCGCAGGCCCGCCTCTCTTCCCCACCCACGCTGGGCCAGGGATCCTTGGGCTTGATTCGAAGCCGATCCCGCCCGCCCGCTTCCTTCTCGGCCAAACGAATCGTTTCTTTTGCCTTCCCTGCAACCAGAATCCCGGGGATCTCTTCCTCCTCCCAATCAGGTCTCTCGGCTTTCGTTTCTATCCCCTCCCACTGTCGCTTCCCTTATATAACACTTCCTGCCCTCGCTCTTGAGGACTAGCGTGCCAGTTGCCCTTAAAAAACAAAACAAAATACGGATTCTCTACTCACTTAATGCCCATATCCCTAATTCTCTTCTCCTGTACACTCAACAAAGTAACCCCCTTCTCTTCATTCTCCTGTTCCCCCCCCCCAAAAAAAAATCAAGGTGAGAAAGTGGAACTCCTGGAAGGATCAACTGGGCTGCACTAGAAAATTTTGCAGAACAGGATTCCAACCCCAGCTTGTCCTGTTTTACATATTTTTAAAAGAAATTGCTAACTGGCCCAAGATCACTTGACTTTTATGGCAGAGTAGATAATCAAACTTAAGCATCCTCGGTCCAAGTCAACACTCCAAACTCAAGACTACCCTGGCTGTAATCCCACCCCGCCCCCCCCCCAAAAATCCCGCTCCTGTGATTTATTCCACTATCAAACATTTTGCATTCCCCTTTTATGTGACATAGATCCCACTTTGGGGCCTCCCATGCCTAGTGCTGTTGGAGGCCTTTTCTGTTTAGAGGATCCCGCTGAGACCTACTTCAGCTGTGCAGATTCCCCAACCCCAACTTTTAGCACACTTAGCCCCATTTGTGAAATGGATTCCTTTCTAAATCCAGATTTATACGCCAATTAGAGCCGGATTTAGGTTTGGTGAGGCCCTAAGCTACTAAGGTAATGGGGCCCTTTATATGTCCAGCTGCCCTTTGTCAACAAATGGTTGCTGTTTTTTGTGTTGAATAAATGCTATTTGGTAATTTATGGACCTAATTGGTATCTAAAGCCCTTTGCACATAACAAAATATGTATTTATCAAGGTAATTGTTGAACTGAAATACAATTAATAGGTTTTTTCTTTAATTTTTTTGGGGGGGGCAAGAGAGTGGGGCCCTAAGCTATATCTTATACATAAATCCAGCACTGACGCCAATGAATAGATGTGCTGTTACAATCCTGTAGGCCAAGGGGTAGACAGATGTTGCTGGAGGACCGTTCTTATCTCTTGCCGTTGGCCATGATAAGATTCAGGGCCCAACTTTTCTCTAGGGAAAGAGAATTCCAGAATGTTCCTGTGGCCGTCTTTGGACATCCGCTGTTTCCTCTGCCTACAGGAAACCTTGCCCTCCATCCACCAGAGAAGATAATCCTGTTACTGTTCACATAATCACTTACCCAAGGGTGAAAGGAAAATGTGTTGAGACCTTGATTTTATCAAAACTCCTTTCTTTTTTTAAAAAAACTCACTTGAACTTGCAGGTTCAAGTTCATGAGTTGTTATTCTGTGTGCAAACAAGCCCCCAGTTTTTGGAGGGGACGTGCTGGTGCTGTTAAGAAGGGCAGTAGCGGGAAAGCAGAGGCTGTAACTCCCGTTCGTTCCTGCTTTCAGTGTGAAAAGTGATTGACGCCATCGTGAAGGGGGGCGAGAGGGAGCTGGAAGGGGCAGACCCAGGAGGTGTCACCCTAGGGTCCGAGAGGTGGAGGATGAACGGAGAAGCGGATAGCCCAACTCACTTAGAAATGACGGCCCCCAAAAACCAAGGTGAGAAGGTGGGAACTCCTGGGAGGGTCAAGTGGGCTGCGCCAGAAAAATTTGCAGAACAGGATTCCAGCCACAGCTTGATCTAGTCTGCATATTTCTTAAAAAAGAAATGGATTGCCAGACAAAGTAAATCCTTTATAGAAGTCTGATGAATTAGCTTACTGAATTTCTAGCCAGATGGGAATGCAGGAAGGAGTTTTCCTTTTTCAGCCAACTTGGTGCAAAGCTGTCCATCTCTCTGCCACCCTAGTGCCCTGATGGCAGTTTCTGGTTGTCTGTGGCTACCAAGCTAAGTGCTTAAATAAAAGAATACTTTATTACTTCGTTCATGCATTCCTAGTCTCTTCTTGAGAATATGCAGGGCCTCCTCCCCACCCCCCACTCTAATCGTATGATTTAGAATATATTGAGGATTTTTCTTGGTTGTGGATAAAAGGTTGATTAAACATGAAATTTCCAGACCCTTGGGGTTCATGTTTGCAAGTGTTGCTGTTGAACTCTTTATGGGCAAAGCTAAGACTTGCATGCTGGGATTTGTACTGTTTTGCTATGAACATGAAACCCTGTTGGCTACTGCTTTGCTGTTATTTTATATATGCTTCTAAATCCTCAGCAAGATACTAAGAAGAGTCTGTCTAAGGCTTGGTGAGGCGGAGGTAGCCTCTCTGTGCATCATTATATAAGCATCCTTATACTCCTGCGAATTTTGATACAACCCAGATTTGAAAAAGAGCAATTAGATTCTTGCGTACAAAATGGTAAATAGTCTAATTAGGGAGATAAAATGTTGCTTTCTTTAGGATCCTTGAAAAGAGCTGTACATTGCAATAAGCACGTTTTTAAATTAAATTTTATATTTAAACAGTATGTTGACTTAGTAATAAGGCGCATTGAATTCAACAGGACTTACTCCCAGGTAAGTGTATATATTATTGCAGGCTGAGCAGATGATTTCATTGGCTAAAAGCAACTTGGTGATGAACCTTAGTATCCCTAGTGTATGCCAAATGTAATGTATGATATACAGAGTATATGTTTCCCCTCCCCTCCCGCAGACCGTTGGACCCAGGAAGATATGCTCACCCTCTTGGAGTGCATGAAGAACAATCTGCCCTCCAATGACGGCAGCAAGTTCAAAACCACCGAATCCCACCTGGACTGGGACAAAGTTGCCTTCAAGGACTTTTCCAGTGAGATGTGCAAGATGAAGTGGAATGAGATCTCCAATGAGGTAGTCTTTTTTATACTTGATATGGGTCTGTGACATGAAATGTCGTCTAGCATGAGGATGGGGCGCTTCTGTTTGGGCTGGACTCTCTGGTCTGCTGCAGGGCTGCCTTGATCTCAATGCTGGGTCCTAAGACTTTGCCAGTGTGATAGCAAGGCAGGTGTGCTGCTTCCTTCCCTGGTTCTTCTGTGTCTTCTGCCTTGCCCGTAATGCTCTCCCTTCTTTATCAGATGCCCACATCTTTTTCGAGTCCCTCTCCATCCACATACCACCAAAACTACCTGCCTCTTGCTGCCAGTTCCCATCTGCCCGATCACTCCTTAATCACATCCTCTCTATCTCCTTCATCTATGCCTGGGCAGGCAAAGGGCTGGCCGGCTGCCTTCTTATTAACTCTCCACATCCATGTCACATTTTGGCCGCAGTCCTAGATCCACTTACCCAAGAGCAAGCCCCATTGATCTCAGGATTGCACTGTCGAATGTCTTGATGGTATGAATGAAACCACTATCGCTACTACAAAGGCAGGCCTCAAGGAGATTCTGTTTTTGACCATTAAGTCATTGTGCTTCAGTAAGAAAAGAATTTTGAAGGGAGGCTGCAGCAGGAAGCTGAAGAACCGTGGCTGGCAGAAGACAGATTGGGATATACTGGTAGAGAGAGATCTGGGCAGGATCTCTAGCAGCAGACCAGCAAGAGTTTCCAGCTCCCAGTAATTAAAACAACAGCAACGAAAAGCGCAAATTAGACTGCTGAAATAAATAAAAGCTTTTTGGGAAAACCAACCCCCTGTAACACTCAGTTCACATTCCAAAAACAAATTCCTGGGCTAAGCATGTGTTCAAGGTACTCTCTTCCTTTATTCTAATGGCTATTTTACACCGGGTTTAACTTGGTGGACTTTAGGGTGCCAGTAAAATAACACAAAGTAGATCCCACAAGGCTGAAGGTTGCTTACCCCAGCATTAGAAAATTTGTTAGGGTTGAAGTCGAGACAGATGGCATTTAGCAACGTCTTTCTTGCTGCAGAAATTTATTGTTCCACTTTAAGGTGTTAAATATATTATCTTTCTTGTCTTGCTAACTTAAAACCAATAATTACTAGTTAATGTTACTGATGAGCAACTGATTTGATCTTGTATTTATTTGAGTTGTGCATAGAAATGTTTCCTGCTCACTGCTATTCTGTGTTTTTGGGTTCACTGTAAAATCCTTTCACCCTATGTACTAATGCAAATATAAACTTAGGCATTGACATACTGCTTAATCCCTTAAAGTTTATTACATTTCTAAGCATAAAAATGCAAAATCTCTAAGGTGCTGTAGGATTTTGTTATTTTTGCTGGAACAGCTGTTCTCAGGAATTTGCTGTTAATGGCCTTATTGAAACATAAAACCAGGCCCTAGTTTGTTCAAATGTGTGAGCTGAGCCCAGAAGACTAACCACAGTCAGTTAGCTGGCAACAAACCACAAAGTGAAGCATGGTTTGCTGTTGGCTTCTGCGAGCCATGACTTGTTTTAATTATGGCTTTGGTGTTATGACCAAAACAAATGGCCATGCCTAACTATGGTTTGTTTGCCCTAGTTACGCACCGAGCTGCGGGAGATTAGGCTAGAACAGCTGGAGAACAATCTTAAGTTTTGACATGGTTTGCTTGATCGTCTGTGAGATAACTCATGGTTGGTTAAGCAAGCCACGATTAAAACAAACCATGGATTACCATAATGTGCAAACACAGCTATTGTATGTTTCCTGGCAGCTGTATGCTAGATGTTGCACAGAACATAAAGGTGACATGGTACCTTCCCCAGAGAGAATACACTCCACAATCAACGCCCCAGACACATAGCTAATTTTAGGTAGTTACTAGCATAATGCGCGAATACAGCCAATGTATGTTTAGTGGCAGCTGTGTGCTAGGTGCTGTATGAAATGTAGAAGCAACAAATTGCCTTCCCATTTGACACTCCATGATGGATGCCCCAGGCACATAGGGGATTGTTAGAACTATTGATGAATCACCTGCTTGCTAATGCAACAAAGCCAATTTGCTTTTTGCCACAGACTCCATTAAGATGCCTGCTTTGAGAATTAAAGGATATGTAAGAACTTAGGTAGTTCCCCCATCCAAATACTGATCAAATTGAGACATGCTTAGCTGTAGCAAGGTGGTGGCTTCATAATTGGGGATTTGTATAAAAGTGCCCTTAGCTCTCAGTTCCGCTCACAAGTTCACTCATTCAGTTGTGGTTGCTATGGTGTGCTAGTAAAGACTTGCAGCCCTGGAAATGGTTGACAATGCTGTTCTCTCCCCCGCCTCTGGTTGCATTTGCTGGTTGCTCCTGCAGGTGAGGAAGTTCCGAACCCTGACAGAACTGATAATGGACGCTGAGGAGCACGTGAAAAACCCATACAAGGGCAAAAAGCTGAAGGTAAGCGTTGACTCAGTGAAGGGAAGGACTCATGAGAGAACGTCTCCTTCTGAATCCGGCTGGCTGCTCTGTTAACTTTCCCGCTTTGTTCCTGCGCTGCAGTGCTTAGCGGCCAATGTTTCTTAACATTGCTGACCCCCATGCAAGTTCCCACAGGGCAGGGGTGGGTACTGAGATGCCCTCCAGATAAATGGGACTACAGCTCCCATCATTCCTGATAATTGGTCATGCTGGGTGGGGTGGTTGGAAATTGTAGTCCAAAAACATCTGATGGCACCATGGCAGCTGGTTCTGCCATAGGGGAGAAATGGTGGAATAGTGCAGCTTCCAGGGTCACACACCTGTGCTATAAACAATCCTCATTACACACACACACGTATACACATACACGTATACACACATGCATTTCAATTTGCAGTTGTTGATATGTGTATCCCTTTAACAATCAGCAAAGCGGTTTTTAAGAGTGCAGAAGGGTAGCACAATTGTATTGTCTCTCGCCCCTCCCCTCTGAATTAAAGCACTTAAAACCAGATTACTTCAAAGAATGTGAAAAATTGAGAATGAGTCACTCCCAAAGCATGTGCCAGGAAGGAGCTCTCTGGGGGCAGGCAGGTAGAAATACATGAATGAGTCAAAGTTGCTAGAAGTTTCAAAGCAGCCATCTTTAACAGGAACCTGCCCACTGCAGCCTATTCTTTTTATTTTATTTTATTTTATTAGTTATACCTCGCCCATCTGGCTGGGTTTCCCCAGCCACTCTGGGTGGCTTACAACATATCTAAAAACATAATAAAAACATCCTTTAAAACTTGGATGTCTTCTAAAAGTCAGATAGTTGTTTGTTTCCTTGACATCTGAAGGGAGGGAGCCACTACCGAGAAGGCCCTCTGCCTGGTTCCCTGTAACTTCGCTTTGCACAGTGGGGGAACCAGCAGAAGACCCTCGGAGGAGGACCTCAAGTGTCCTGGCTGAGCGATGGGGGTGGAGAGTCTCCTTCAGGTATACTGGGCTGAGGTTGTTTAGGGCTATAAAGGTCAACACCAACACTTTGAATTAATTTGGGCATGCAAATCACACAAACAGCAATCATGTAGGGAGGGAGAGCAGGGATGGCCACATGTGGCGGGGGCACATCTGTTGAGGGGAGCTCTGCTGCAGACATACCCCTTTAGTATGTGGGCGATAGAGGTGAGACCAGGGGGGATGGCCCTGCTTTGGCTCCATTCTGTAGCTTTCTGTGCAGTTTGCATGCTGGAATAGGGCTTTTGTCTCTGCATGATCTACTGCTTTGGTCTTCCCTTCAGCCAGTCAGCATCTGATGAGGGGTAGACATGTTTGCCACACCTGTGCCTTGGATGCCACCGGATCATTCAGTACTCTCCCAGATGAAGAGATTCAGCAGAATTCACCCCTGCACACTTGCATTTCTGCAGGGTTACGACTCTGGGCTTGCCTCCTTCCATTCAGGAGTCCTGCTTGAGACACAGTCCCTCACAAAAGTACAGAAAGAGGGCAGGTGACTGTGAGCAAAATCTGAGCATTGTGTTTGGTGACCCGCTTCTCTTTCCCCATGCTGCCACAAGTCATATTCTCTCTTTCAAAGAGGATGAAGTGAGGTTCATTCTATGAAAAGGCCAGAATCCAAACTAGATAGAAAACAGGAGGAGGAGAAGAAGAATACCCCACCTTTTTCCCTGAGGGGGCTCAAGGCAGCTTATATATAAAAACAAGAGCAGCTGAAAACATAGAGGAAACAATAATTAAAAAGCAATTACATGTTGATGGAATTAAATCTATATTATTATTATTACTATTGCAGTGCTCTGGTTAACAGGCTACTTTTGGTGGAAGTAGAGTATTGAAAGGGTTGCCTGTTGACCAGGAAAAGAATGGGTTGGGTCTGCTTTTGTTTCTTTCTAACAGCAGCTTTAAGTGGCAGAGATTAGCAAGAAACTTTCATAGAAAAAAGCATTACCGCCAATACGTGTCTACTCACAACGGTTTAGAAGCTAGAAGAGGTTAGAAAGCTGACAGGCCTACATATCATTCCACGGTGTAGAGTAAAACAAAATTGGAACTCCCTTTCAGCTTCGTTAGGCCAGCCTAAATGTCACAAAATTAGTCTGCAAGCTTTTGAGTTCCTCAGAACACTTCATCAGGATAGTGAATTATGTGTGTGTAGGGAGAGTTGATGTAGAATCCGTGGAGTCAGCCTTTAAGATGAAATGTGGAAGTCAGGCATCCAAATGAGGCTTTCTCTTGGAGCTCTGCAGATTTCAGGTTGCACCAAATGCCGCCAAGGGCTTCTGGGAAGAAAACACTTTCCCCCTCTCCCCTCCCCTTCTTTTGTTTGCAGTCTATCCTAATGAAGGGTTCTGGAGAAAAATTTCATGCTCTTTTGTGACATTTAGTTGGTCTTTAATAAAGGTATGGGCCTAACATCAATTTTAGATTTACCCTTTTGTGTTGCCCGTATCTGTTGTTCTTCCCTGAGTGCTCATGCACTCTGAAGACTGCCTGAGGTGCCGTTTGGAAGATTTACACCCCCACCCAAAACCTTGGCACCCATTTTCTGAGTCATTCTTATTTGGAGCACTGCCAGTTGCTCGAACTGCTGGTTTTCAGTCAGAGCTGTTTTTTCAACACCTGTACTTTTCTCTTCTTCTTTGGGCGTTTCCTGTTTTAGGAGGTCGCAAAATGAAAATCGAATTTCTCAGATCTGCTTTTCGAACAAATGGGACGGAAGCACAAATCGGGGGGGGGGGGCTTGAACCCCAGGCATGGTGCCCTGCGCATGCATTTTAGCCACGGCAACCGTATTTCTTGCAGTTCCCAGGCGTGGCCCTGTCAACCAGGCATTAAAGAAACTATTAAGAAAAATCTGTAACTGAGAGATACCAACTTTTTATTTTTTATTTCTTAGATTTATACACCACCCTTCATCGTAAGATCTCGGGCCGTTCACATAATAAAATACAGAAACAAGTAAATGAGTAAAACAAAACAGCTAAACAATAACCTCCCACTGACACCTTTAAAAGACTGTAGAATATTAATCAACCTGAGGACTGATTAAAGAGGAACATTTTTGCCTGGTGCCTAAACTACTATAATGCATCCTCTCTTTAAAATGTTTATACCCTGCTTTTCCTTAGAAAGGTTTAAGGCAGCTCACAAACAGGAGCCATAAAATTGAATGAAATCAGAAGACACATTTGAGAGGAGTTGAAGTAGAGTTGCTCCAAGCTGTTGCTCTTGAGCCCCTCTGCATGAGAAGTAGGACGTTCACATAGAATCTTAGAGTTGGAAGGGACCCAAGGGGCATCTAGTCCAACCCCCTGCAATGCAAGAATCTCAGCTAAAGCCAAGTGTTTACCAGCCATGTGTTACAACAGTGAGTGGCTGGGTGGCTTGTGGGACCCAGGTCCTCACTGCACATTGCAGCCATGCCTTCTGTCATTGGTGCTCAGGGTGGAAATGCTTCCACACCAGATGGCTCTCCTCATGTGTGCTGGTGGACTTCCTCCCTTCCAGTGTATAGATGCTCTGCCTGCGCATTGCAGTGAGGTCAGGTGACATGGCCACTGCATGGCTCTATGTGGTGCTTTGAAGTCCTGACAACCAGCCGATTGTCGGGACATCAAAGCACCACCCAGAGTTCTTCGCAAGCCCCTGCATTTTGGCCAAGCCCAGATGCCTGTTTACCTGCCTATCTGTGACATTGGGTAATTGGCAGGTGGGCTCCAAAGGCCTAACAGGCCTTGATGGGTCATCGGGTTTCGTTCAGATGCAGCTTACCCTGCTGCTACCGGACACTTTAAGCTGGAGGTGCCAGGGATTGAATCTGGGGCCTTCTGCATCTTCAACTGAGATACAGCCTCTACCTTTGGAACACTATGGGAGCAGGGGCAGTATCTTGGACTTAATATTTGGCCTCTTAATGGCATTTTAACACAGAAGGAATCTTAACTTGCCTTTTCCTCAAAGCCTTTGCATTGTTTTCTCCCCCAGTCCCTTTATTGCAAATAAGCCAAAGTATGTGTTGTTGAAATAGTCGTGAATTCTTCCACTGCCTTGCATCGGCTGTTTCCATATTTATTTTGTTAGACAGCCCCCACTTGAGGTAGGGGGCCTGTTCTTTGTAAACTGTATACATAGATGACGCTGTGTAAATAACACTGATACAGTTTATGTGTGCTGACCTATCTTGTGAATCAATTTAATCTGGCTCAAGCAGGGACTGAGTCGTTTACAATATTAAAAGAATTAAGAAAAATAGTGGTGAAAGAAATGGGCCACTAAAAGCCATCTCTAAAATCCTTTTGCTTTTTAAAAAAATTAAAAAAACAACAACACCTGATTCACTTGCTTTCTGCAGCTTGTTTTAGTCTCTTGCCCTCTGGAGAATCCCTGTCTCCATTCACAACCATTCACAACTGTTGCCCCTTTAAGCTCATGTCCGTGACTAGCCAATTATGGTGGATCTAATTCATTAACCTTTTCTCATCTTTTAGTTCTGATTTAATTCTTTCTATTCACTTTCTGATTGGGGTGGAGTTTGTGGGCGGGAGAAAAACCCCCAAACATATTTTTTTTCTCATTTGCTATGAGGGAAGGTCTAGTTGCTGCAGTGTGAATAGGGTTACATGGGAATGATTTGCTTCTGAAAAGTACTAACAAGATTTGGGGTGAGAAACCTGCATCTCACTGCCCTTTGGTGTAGTTCCATGGGGCTGCCTGCAAGTGATCAATTCAGCCCTATGTTAGTAGGGAGCAAAAATGATAGGAGAATCCATTTCCCCCGCAAAAAAATACATTGGGGAGCATGCGCACACACAGAACAAAATGGAGATGGCGTGGAATAGAAAGAGTCACGCGATGCTAATTTAAAAGCAGCAACACGTTTTGCGAACTTCTGACCAGGCAGGCTCAAAACAATAAACCTTCATTGTTGTTTCCTTTCCTGTCCCTATTCAGAAGCACCCCGACTTCCCCAAGAAACCTTTGACTCCATATTTCCGTTTCTTCATGGAGAAGCGAGCAAAGTATGCTAAGCTGCACCCGGAAATGAGCAATCTGGATCTCACCAAGATACTATCCAAAAAGTATAAGGAGCTCCCTGAAAAGAAGAAGGTGAGCAAATGAACATGGAGGCTGTGGAAAGTGCCGCATATGAGCATCTGCTGGGATGCAGTTCTCTGTGCTATGGGGAGCATCCTAGTGCTTGCAGCAGCAGCAGCAACAGCAACAGGGTGTGCATATGAGAGAGAGATAGAAACCACCTCCCCTGTTCTCCTTGGAGAATTTGGTACAGCTTGTTCCCCTTTCCAGGCCAGCTTTTCCCAGCTTGGGACTGGTGGGAATTGTAGTCCAAAGCATCTGGAATGTGCTGGGTTGGAGAAGGTTACTTTGCAGAAGGCAGCGTCAGCAATGTGCTCTTGGGAGTCTTCTGCAAAAGGGCCTTCTGCAAGGAAAAGTCCCTTCCCTCAGTTACCCTGCATTGTTCAGAAACCAAGCCAAAATGTATGACAACCCCCCCCCCCCACCCAATCATTTGGCTGCTTCCCTTCAGTTGCAGTTTGGCAATGGCTGGAAATGTTTAGGGCCTTGAAAGTGGAATTTGCTTTACTGCGAAAGCCCATTTTATAGTATACCATCGTTCTGGGATGACTACTCCCAGAACTCACTTCGACCACTTATGGGTTGTAGTCAGCTAAGCCCTATTCAGAGTTGGTCCCATGAAATAAATGATCCCAAAGTTAGTCATGTCCATTAGGAGGTCAGCTCTGAATGGGGCTATTGAAGAATGCCACCTTGCACTTTTACATATTCAAGGTGGGTTAATTGGGAGGTTGAAGTGTCTGTTTTTAGCTTAGGGAACACATGTACTGCTTGATGTTTCTTTTAGCAAAAATGGGTTCCTAGGTGCCATCTTACCTTTTTGCCACCTTCCAGTTTCCCAGCCTTGAATGATGTATGGCAGGGGTGCAGGAACATCTGGCCCTGAGGCGGGCTTTGTGCCTCCTCTTTATTGAGCCCTCGGGCCACTCTGTAGGCAGCCCCTTTTCCCCCAGGCCACATCCTTCCCTGGCCCTGCTCCTATTTCACCCTCGCACACATGCTTTTGCCTGGCTGACTTACGGCCTTGAGCTGCAATAGTGCCTCTTTGCTTGCCTGGATGGAGAGAGGGGTGTGTGCATTGTATATAGAAACCTGCATGACTGCAAGGCAAGAGTCACAACTGTAGACCCGCCCGCTTTTGCTTTTGGCCCTGCCAACCACCTGCATGTGGCCTCTGGAAGGTTGCCCATGAGGGAATGTGGCCACTGGACTGTAAAAGGCACCCCATCCCTGATGTGAGGTGTCTTCTCCACTATGGAGGCCAGAGAGAGCAAGAGGCGTCTGTCTCTGAATGGTTGTGTTCGCTTTTTCCACCCCTCCTAGTCTCCCTCCCAAGGGGTTGAGAACATTCAATGGTTTCCCCAAAGATGGCAGTTCATCTGTCTGTTTAACCCTCATGCCACTACTTGCCTGCTCATGCCGCTCCCAGAGACTAGCAGATGGCACAGGGCTTTGTTGTGTTTCCTTGGCTTGCTGAGGGTCTAGGCTTTAAAAGTAGCAGGAAGGAGGTGGTCTCAAGGAATGGAGGAGGGCCCAAAGAGCTGCACAGTTCTGCCCCCTCCTGCTTCATGTGTTAGACATGTTTTAGTGTTGTGGCTGTTCCTGGAAACTTGTCAGCTTTTCCTGTCTCACCTGTAGTCAACACCTCCCCCCCCTTTTTTTGTTTGTCTTCTAGATGAAGTACATCCAAGACTTCCAGCGAGAGAAACAAGACTTTCAGCGAAATTTGGCAAGATTTAGGTAAGAGTTATCTAAGCAATAGCTTCACCTTTTGCATGTCAGGCGTGGCTGTGGATTTCAGTTGTAGACATGTACCAAAATTTACTTACGTTAACTTTGCTGCAAAAAGCTGCTTTGTTTTGGTGATAAGGGACTAAAAAGGTGCATAATCTGCAATGTAGGAACCTCTTTTCTTTCCTGTCTGGAAACCTGGGTCAACAAATAGCAAAATTCACAAATGAATATATTCTTCAGGCAGGTAGAATAATTTCCATCTGAAAGGGTACCTTCTTATGAGAAGAGCCTGAATCAAATTAGCGGTTCCTTTCAGTGTTTGAGAGGTGGGGATGATGCATGGGGCTTTAAAGGAAGTGGATAATGTGCTTCTGTGTTTCGTATGTTTCTGGTACTGCCACTGCCTTACCATTTCGCCCCCATCCCGTTACTTTTGCTCTGTGAAGGGAAGACCACCCAGACCTCATTCAAAATGCCAAGAAGTCTGATATCCCAGAGAAACCCAAGACTCCTCAACAGCTCTGGTACACTCATGAGAAGAAGATCTACCTGAAAGTGCGCCCTGATGTAAGTAGGTGGTGTAAGAGACTTGAATAAGGAGAGCCCACGAGAAGGAGGAAAAGTGGGTGGGGATTTTTTTTGGGGGGGGGAGAACGACGACACACAGCTGTGTTCTTGAAAAGGAGGACAATGAAGGAATGTAAGGATTCTGTTCCCAGTAAATCCAGATTTTGCTCTTAGACTGATACACTGACTTAATTTTATTTCTGGGTACTCCACTGTGTTAGTACCACTTTACAGCTGGAGCAGAAACAAGTGGCAAAAGACTCGTCCGATTGGGCCGCCGATGGGATATCATATTTTGAATTTTATTTTTTAAACCTTCATTTCACACAACCCACATGTTAGAAGGAAATGTTCCTTGTAAGCAATGCTATTTTCCTATGTAAAGGGGAATAATAATAATAATAATAATAATAATAGAGGAAGTTTTCAAATATGCAATTCTTCCCCCCATTGAAAATCTAGAAAAAGCTTTGCCTCTTGATTCTGCTGAGTATATAATGCAGTTCCCCAAGGTGCTTTGGACTACAGCTCCCATCAGCCCCTACCAGCTTGGCTGTGGTGGCTTGGGCTGATGGGAGCTGTAGTCCAAAGCATCCAGGTTTGAGGAAAGCTGGTGTTACCTGTTCCTGAGAGAGCTAGAGAAGTGATGGGGGGAAATAGCAAGTGAAATGATCAGGAAAATGGAGGAGCCCCTTTTTAATGAAACAAAGGCTTAGGAAACTGATCCGGTAAGAATTTAGGGTGATCCAGTTTTACATCGCGGGAAAATAAACTGTGAAACTCACTGCCACAGAGTGTTGGTGATGATTGATAGACATAAATGGCTTTGAAAGAATTGTAGGCGGTTCTGTAGATACTATTATTAACAGTAGAGTGGGTTGCCAGAGACAAAGCACCACCAATGCCAGTGGCTTGAGGACAAACAGGAAATCTCATTCTCCAGCTTGCCTGCAGGCATCTAGAGGGGCTGATATTGGAGACAGCTAGGCTAAATAAATCTGATCCAGTCCTTAGTGTTTGTGTGTAATGTTTGCATGTGGTTTGTTTAGCTTTGTATTCACTGCTGCTGTAATTCATATCTGGATATTTGGTCCTCTGGGTCAGAAACTGGAATAGAGTGAGGAAAAGGACATGAGACTATGGCCCATGAGGGCTAGAAATAGTATTTAAAAATAAACATTTTAGGTTCTCGGGTTGCCTTGTTTGATGCTAGATATCAGATTCTTATGTAGCAAGTAAGCAAGCCCATAGATTGCAAATTTATATATTTCCTGTGTATTGGGCTTTTTCGCTCCCTTTAAAGGAGCCTGAGGAAAACTTTTTTTTCTAACTTGCCTTTCCAAAAGTGTAGCTTAGCTCACTGCCGTACCATTAGGGTGGGCAGTCCATCCCCTTTTGCTTCCTCCCCTATTTTTTCATTTTTACCTATTTTTTTATTACTATTATTATTTCCCCTTCCTCACCTGGGTTTTTCAGGCCACCACGAAGGAGCTGAAGGATTCGTTGGGCAAGCAATGGTCTCAGCTCTCGGACAAAAAAAGGCTGAAATGGATTCATAAGGCTCTGGAGCAGCGGAAGGAGTATGAGGTAGGGAACACTCAACAGTTCCCCTCCATCTTCTCCCCCCTGTGCTCAGCCCGGCCTTGTCGCAGCTGTAGAAACCCAGCCGCGCTCCGAGAGCCGACTTCTGGGCATCGCTCCCTCAGAAGGGAGTTGCAAAGCAACTCCTCCTCTGCTTCTTCTGCCAAGTGTTTAAAACTGGTCAGGGTAGCACAGGCGGGCCCCCCCTCCTACCCTGTCCACAACCCCAGAGCCTAGGGAGGGTATTCTACCAGCCTGCCTCTGCCACGCTAAACGCCCCGTGTGTTTTCTGTCCACAGGAAGTGATGCGGGATTATATCCAGAAGCACCCAGAGATGAACTTTGAGGAAGGTGCACCCCCTCGCTCCACCCTGACTAAAGCGGAGAGGCAGCTGAAGGACAAGTTTGATGGGCGACCCACCAAGCCACCTCCGTAAGTTGCCGTGCCCTTGAGAATTTGGTTTGGTAGTTGGGGAGGAGTTGCTAGGGCACTCGGGCATTTCCACATTGGTAAATGTAATTCATATCGGGCTGGAACTGTATGCCAATAAAAATATACCCAGTTTGGAGGACGACATCTGCCATCCACCCAATGTCTGCTTGTTGTGGGAAGATGCCCATACATTAGACTTAAGACTGGGATGGACGCAGGTTCAAAGCCCTGCTCAGACATGAAGCTCACAGCGCATGGGCCAGTCACTGCAAAGTTAAAATCTTCTTCGCAGGACTCCTGTGAGGCTAAAATGGGGGTGGGACACATGCTATCTTGGCTGCTTAAATGAAGACGAGATACAAATTTATTGAGTTACCCAAGACTGGACACTCACTTCTCCTTGTGTCCATGCTCTCCTCACTTGATGAAAGGAGTCTTTCTATTGGAAGCTTCCTTGAGTCCCTGCCTGACATTCAACACTGAGATCGGAGAGGTTCATCTCACATGTGCACATAAACACACCCTGGTAGGACTCTCCTTTCAGCCTGCCTCAGCTGGTTGCTCAGGGTATTGGAAGGAGATTGACAAGTTCCCACACTTCTCCATGACCACCATCACTTGCAGGCTTCCTGTGAGATTAGCTGAGGAGTTCCTCTTCAGGATCTCCCTTCATACAGCTCTCTTGAGTTGTGTGTTTTTTCCTGATCTGCTACCCATCTTCATACCTAGGAGTAGGCCTTTCCTCGTGGGGAAGCCTTTGCTTTCAGTAAGTGTTAGGTGATGCTGCTGGCACGTGGGTTGTTCTGGGGTTGTCCCCTCCTCCTGAGTCATGTGCTAGGAAAACACAGTTGCCCACCATTTTTGTACTTGGGCTGCTGTTCACCTCTTGAATCCACCCCACTGCTTCACTCTCCTCTGGAAGTATTTTCCTGCATTCCACAGCCTCAGTGCAGAGGAGGCTCCCTGAAACCCTGATGCAAAAGCCAATTCAGATATCCTTGCATTGCTGGTTTTCTCTTGATTTCCTGCCAATGTGTCAAGTATTAAATGGATGTCATTTATGTTGTAGTTCCACACAATATCTATTGTATTTTCTAGTCATTTTTTATACAGTGGTACCTTGGGTTACATACGCTTCAGTTTACATACGCTTCAGGTTACAGACTCCGCTAACGCAGAAATAGTACCTCAGGTTAAGAACTTTGCTTCAGGATGAGAACAGAAATCGTGCTCTGGCGGCACAGCAGCAGCAGGAGGCCCCATTAGCTAAAGTGGTGCTTCAGGTTAAGAACAGTTTCAGGTTAAGAACGGACCTCTGGAACAAATTAAGTACTTAACCAGAGGTATTACTGTAGTTGGAAGCCATGCCAAGCAGTGTGTAAGGGTTGAGGTATGAATCCTGATATCAAATAAATAAATCCATTGACTTAACTTTTTCTCTAGAAACTTGGGGTTCTTGATCAAGGCCACAGAGTTGTCTCATGTTCAGGGTTGTACTAAAAAGATACTAAAATTCTGTGCCAAGAGAAATCTAGCAGCTTGAACTGTATAAGCTGATTTGCTCATTTCTCTTAAGCTGCAGGCTGCTCCTTACTTGACTGAACGCTCTTCCATTTTTATTTTTAAAAAACCATACACATTTTTTTTCTTGGTACGTTTATATCTAACTTTCTTTCCATCATGGAACTCAAAGGAGGGTACAAGGAGTTCCCAGTTCAGTCTCTCATCCAGGCAATGACCTGCCCCACACCTCCTTCAGCAAGGTGTCCGCATCATCTACCTTCAGACCATGCCTTGGAAGAAAATTATCATCTCTAGAAAATGCTAATGAGAAGGCAAGGCTAGAATCCTGCTCTGAAGTCTTCGGTTTTTTACATGGAGTGATTTTTATTTAGGGTTAATTCTTCAAACATTTTTGGATGACTGTGAAAAATACCCTGATTTTACTTGGGTAGCAGATTAAGCTTCTTTTTAAAAAATAAGTGATTATTTTAATGCAGGTACATAGAAAAGCAGTAAGTGGCAGGTGCCATCTCAGGGGAGACTTCTCTCAAACAGGAGGGGTGCCTTTTATATGATGGTGCCTGCTATGACACATATCAATTAATTTTAAAAAAGAAAACAGTAGGGTTTTCCCCCTTGTTTTCCTGTTTATGGACATTTATGCAGATTTAATCTGTTGATTTGGCGTGCATTCCTACTCCCACTTAATGTGGGAGTAAGCCCCATTGAATTCTATAGGACCTACTTCCAAGTAGACATGGTTAGTTTTTTCCAACTGCACCCCTGCAGCAGAAAGCCAAGTTATGGGGAGAGAATTAAAAGAGCATTCTGAAAGAGCTGAAAAGGCCTATTTGTCCGGCAAAACCAGGAAACTTCATAAACTGGAAGCAGTTTGTGTTCCTCACCCAACCACTTCCTTTCACAACACCCATGTTTAAGAGGGCTGTGACATTTTATTTGGCTAGTAACTTTTGTGTACTTACGACCAAGACTGCCTTCGGAATTGGCTGGGGGAGAAGGTCCAGAGTAACAAAAAGGGGGGAAACCTGGGCTTGGGCCTGAGGGAAGTTTAAGAGGGTATTTTCTCTCTGTTGATTATGTCCTTCAACATCTTAATCCCAAGCCAATAATAAAGGCTTTAGAGCTCAAAATCCAACATCATGAATAAGACCCAGAAATCAAAATTGGGAATTTGGAACCAGTGAGGCAAAAGTGGGTAAGTGGGTAGCATAGTAGATGTGACTCTTAAACTTTGTACAGTAGACAGCACTGAACCCATGCGAAAGCCAATGACATATACCCCTATTTATTCATATAATCCACATTATTGCATTCATAGTAAGGGTTGGTGGTGGAAATTAAGACCCCCCCCAAAAAAATAAATAAATGTGTGGTGGTGGTGGGTTATGAGACTGTGGGAGAAGCACTTCAGGCAGCAGTTTTGTGTGGCTTATTCTTATGTTTACATAAATTTCCCCAAGTGCTAACTTAATGGGTTGGTGCTATATAAAAGGAAATTGCTGTTTTAGGAATAGTTACTCGCTTTACTGTGCTGAACTGATGGCAAACATGAAAGATGTCCCAAGCACAGAACGGATGGTGCTCTGCAGTCAGCAGTGGAAGCTCCTTTCCCAGAAGGAAAAAGACGCCTACCACAAAAAGTGTGATCAGGTGAGCCTGGCCCTTATAAGGGTGTGTCGAAAAAGGAAAAGGATTAAAAATAATGCCTAGAGACAAATTATGGGTAGACTTTAGTGGTTCTATATATCAGGCAGGTTCCAGCTGTTACTACAAACCCTGCTGCTGATAATGGATTTCATTTACCTCAGTTTGGGGGTGCAGTTTTGTTTTTTAAGCCACCCACAGATTTGGTTTCTCTGATTTGCTGGGTGCGAGCAAAATGCTATCTTCCCCAGTGTTTGAACAGAGTATGAAAATCAAGTTTGTTATCCTTTGAAGTAACCAAGAAAACAAGCACAAGGACAGGCAAGTGACGGGTTGGGGTTTTTTGTTCTTGTTTTTAAAAAAGCAAATCAGTTGGTCACTGCCACTCCTCTTGCCTCAGATAACTTGGCTGAAATTGCAGTCTTATTCAGACTGCTTTTCTTCCCTGTTTTTGTTTGTTTTAAATGGTGGTGCTTTTAGTAACTTGCAGGGGGATGCAGTCTGCCACCCATCCTCAAGCCCAGGCCCTGTGTGAAGTTCATCCTGGATGTGGAGAAGCAAAACTCGCATGAATTCTGCAAACAAGCAGAAGACCCCTGAAATTTGGAGATTAAAAATGCCCTTCAATGGTGGAGGAGACTTTTCTTTATATGGGTTGCTCCTCCTGCCTGTTTGGTCAGGCATGGCCATGTCTGCCCTTGCAGTTTTTCCTTCTTCCTGTGGGAGGAAGCCCCACCCAGTTGCAGTCCTGCCTGCTCCACAGCAGCAGATGGTTTTTTTCTAGAGCTCTGGCTCCTCTCAGAGGCTGAAATATTTGGAAAGGAAGAGGAGTCCAGTTTCTTAATTCAGTGCTGGTCAGAAGGTAGATCAAGATCTACTGAACGATCTTTGGGTTGCTTGAAGTAGATCTGCAGGAATTTCTAGCTTAACACATGGCAGGAAGAAAATCAATTTATCCGTGCCCTAAATTGTAGTCCTGAAATGGGTGTGTGGGGGAGAGGCAACCAGGAGTTGGTTTTTCTGTGGCAAGACTGAGCTCACTTCAGTTTTTGTACTTAAATCTCTGGGTTCAGAATACTTTTAATTTCTACGCCTTTCGCACATGGCTTCAGTTGTTACAAAAGAAGCAACAAACAAACAAACAAACAAACAAACAAACCCAAAGCTGATTGTGCAGACCTGAAGTCTGGCTCAACTCAGGGCAGTTTACATAAGTTTCCCATTTATCGGGGATTAATTGATTGTCTCTGTTAATTGTTTTCTGGCGTTGATTGATCTAATGCATTTATCAACTGCGAATTGCCTCAGAATCAATTTCCCCTCAGCCTTGATGAGTTGCTGTTTAAATCATCGGTAGCTGCGCTTGTTTAAAATTCCCTCCAACCTGAGATGCATCCGTGGCAAGCAAACAAGCTTTTCTAGGTGGCAGAAAAGATTGCCTGCTCTTGAGTCTGGAGAGGGGGAAAGCTAAGACATGTGATGGAGGGTGTCGATGCAAGGACAAGGACGAGAGGGTTTTTTCCAGCGCTTCAAGTGGCCAAATGTTGAGGAGAATTCCCTGTGCTTTATCCAGCTGTACCAGCGCTAAACCTCCAGACTTGGAGACTTATTCCTCTTCTCCTGACACACAAAAATCCCCTCAAATTTTTAATATGACAGTTACAGTGGTTCTATCGATAGTCCAGGCTTTGGGCCTGCTGCTGCCTGTTCCTTACTACTTGAAGCTGTGGCGGCCATTTTAAGCAGCTCAGCTCTCCTCAGCAGTGACAGTGTGAGATAATGGTGGATTCTCCTGTCTCTTTGGCTGCTTTAACTAGGGCCTTTTCTGAGGTGGTTATATCCCACAGGTGGCAGGACCCCATTTCCCTCTTGAGTCCCAGTCCCCCAGTCCTTGTTCAAAATGGCAGAGTTGCTTCGTCTTGATTTTTGGAAAAGGGTTAAGAAGCCTGTTGTGCATCTGTGAAGCTGAGCCCTGGGGGAGAGGGTGCCATTTGAAAAAATTGTCTCTCTTCCTCCGCTCCTTGTCCAGGGGTTGCAATCCTCTACCATCATCAAAGGAATCTGGGGGATTCCTCAGACCCTTTTAGCATTTGTATGAATAAGACTACTCAAGCGCGTGACCCATAGATGACAACAGAAATCCCCTTAAGGTGGTTTCTGTGCCTGGAAAGGATTTCCTCTAGTTGGGCTACTGATAATCAGTACTTTCCTATCAATGTGAAACTGTCTTGTATCTTTTGAACTCAGAAATGATACATGAAGAAGGTGTGGTTTGACCTTCCCTAGTTTGTAGAGAAAGCAGTTATTTACACGTATGCATGTGGGTATGCTGACTGAATAATTTACTTTCTGACCCTCCAACTAATACTCCTTCATTAGGTGAGGGGAACAAATCTAGGATTTCTTCCCTTGAGTTCTTGCCTGTGTCGTCCTCTTCCCTCCCCCCTCCCCATTCACATTGCTTTCCAGGGACAATTTTAACCTACATTTGAATCTGAACGATCCCTTTGTTTGACATTCAGTGGACAATATTCCAGAGCAGCTTTACATTGAAATAAACATATTGTAAAACAAGAATATAGTAGTGCTCGCTTCGGCAGCACATATACTAAACAAGAGTATAGTATAGTATAGTATAGTATAGTATAGTATAGTATAGTATAGTAAAAATATAAATCAGATAAAGCAGTAAAAATACACAACAGTATTAAAAATCAGCAAAAGCACTGTAAAAACTGAAGAATGAAGCTTCATTCCTTCCTTCCAGAAGCACCGACCAAAAGGGAAGGAGTTCGTACAACTTCTTTGGGGAGAGAATTCTACAACTGTGCCATTGAGAAGCCCCTGCTCCTGCTACTTGTCAATCTGATATTTGCTCATGATGGGCTGGAGAGCAGGACTACTGTTGCTGATCTTACAGCCTGGGCAGGTTCATGTGGGTGAAGGCAGTCCTCAGAATAACATGGGTTCCAGGCAGTTTAGGGCTTTGAAGGTTATTACCAGTATTTAAACTTGAATCTGGGAATGAATTGATAACCAGTGCAGTTGTTGTAGGATAGGTGTGATATGGTCCGATTGTAGTTTCTGAATTTGCTTTTGAGGTTAGCCCCATGTAGAGAGCATGGCAATAATCCAGGCTGAATGTGACTAAAGCATTGATAATTGAAGCCAGACCCACTTTCCCCAGGTAGGTCTGTAGCTGGTGAAAAGCTCTACCACCTACCAACATCAGCCAACGCAAGGATAATGCTGGACTCAGAAGCACTTGCAGGTTGTGTACTTGGTCCTTAAGGGTATCTAAAGTTGTGGGAGTGCAACCCAATCCAAAAGATGACATAGCCTCTGCCCAGATCAACAAACTTCCTGACCAGTACTACTGTCTTGTTTGGATTAAGGTTCAGCTTTTCCAACCCTCATCTAAATTGGGGCTGCCTTCAAACTCTGGTACAGAAATTCTGCATCTCCTTAGGATCAGGGGATGGCAACAAAAGGACTGGGTGATCTGCATAATGTGAACACTTCAACCCAAGCCAATGGATGACCTCACTCAGTGGTTTAATGTTGATAACTTGTGAGATCTCTGTGGCACCTCATAAGCCAAAGGCCCAGAGGGACCAGTAGTTTCCCAACACTACCTTTTGACAAGCCTTTCTCCAGGCAAGACTAGAACTGCAGTAAAGCAGTGCCTCCTGGTCCTATAAAGGGGGCCCATAAAAATTTAATTGTTGATAGCATCAAAGGTGATCAACAATTTATGGAGAATCAACAAGGTTGCACTCATACCCATGAGGCCATCCACCTGGGTGACCAAGGTGGTTTTCAGTCTCAAAACCAGGCCTAGAACTCAGACTGAAATGGATCCAACCACTTTCATCCAAAACCATATGAAGTTTATAGGTCACCTCATGCTTTTAACACCTCTCCTAAAAATGGCACATTTAATGCCTAAGCATCTGGGTACCAATTATTTAAATTGCCAGGATCATTCTCAGGTTTGGTTAAGAATGGATGAACCACTGTTTGCTTTAGGGCCGTATGGGCACCTCACACTCTTCAGAGAAGCAGTAGCCACCTCTGACACCCAAATGTTTTTATGACTTTTAAACTCTTTGTGTTCATTGCATGTAGATTTTCCAGGGAACTGAATGAGTTATGTGGTTTGAGCGGGGGCATCTAGAATCAGTTACCTGGGTCATCTCCACTTAATTGGAGAAAGACCAGAGCATTGACCAGACCACCAGCAACATCAGTAGGAAAATTTCCCAGAGACATTGAGAAAACATCAGGATCCAGAAGCTCCAAAGGGGGGTAGTTTTTCCATTAACTGAACTAGCATTTTAAAAGGAGCACCCTGATGGACCGCTGAAATTATTACAAGTGACACTAAGGCAAAAGAAAACTTGTTCTCTTATTACCCCTTTCCCTTCCCCATAAATTGTCCGATCCATTAATTGTCATACCACCCCCTGCCCCATATCACCCCTGATTTCAAGAGCTGCTCAAAAGCATCCTTTAGATGCAGCTATGAACCAGATAAAAAGACAAAAGCAGGTACAATAAAAACAGAAGCAGGTGATAATCGATACAATTTTATGTCAATAAATACCAAACTGAATAGCCTAAAAGATGCTTTAAACTAGACACAATACAGAGGCCAGAATAGTTTGCTTTCAAAAGGCAAGGCCGTTGATGTTAAATGTCATCTTCCAACTCCCTTACCAGGTCCTATTTACAATGTCCCCAATTAGCTTCCTCTCATCAGAGTATTGGTTCGTTCTCCCATTTTGCAATAGCATTGCTGTTGCAGGTTGAAAATGTCCCTGCTCTTGTAATGAACCTGAAATGGCTTTGGAAGCACCTCCTACCCCCCAGGAAGTAGCTGCAAATGGTGGAGCCACACTTTCAGAATAAAAAATTGCTCATGCCACACCAATTTTTTAATTGATAGGAAATACACTGGGAAACAAAAAGAAACAACTAGCAGATTTATAACGTAGAACACAACTACTTTATAATATGATCATGGGACATCCAGAAAATATAAAAAAAATGCAGCTAACATGAATCATTCCCACACACTTGATGCTCTTGCTCTCATTTTGAAAAGATAGCTATCCATATTTTGCAAATAAACATTCTTATACTATGCTATACTACTGTACACTGAAATGTTTAAATATTTTTTTTAGCGTCCTTGAATCTTCCTGCCATTGTCCTCTCCTGCCACACCAGTGTAGAGCTCCACACCCTTTGAGAATCACGGTGTTTAAAGTGTCCAGAATGCTTTGCTTTCCTCCCATTTCCAGCAGCTGCTCAAATTACATCTGCTGTTGAATCCCTTTCCCTTGGGCCCATATTCCCATTTAAGGAATTCACATTCAACCCTGAAACACTGTCCTTTGTCTCTCACTTAACATGCGCACGCACACCTATATCTATCAGTAATAAAGCATCATTGCCCCTGGATAGCAATTTGCTTTGCCAGAAAGCCAGTTTTTAAGGTTCATCTCTACCGCTTACTCCCTTCTGCCAAGTCCTGTTGTCCCAGACACTACAGTCATCTTTAGCCTCTAAGGTTGGCACCTAGGGACCACTCAGTGGGCTGAGTTTGGCTCTGGGTTGCCAGTTGTTGGCCCCAATGGTACAGCAGTGTTTCTCAAAGTTATTCATTAAGTCATCTTGACTTACACTGGCTATTAGGGTTCTGATTCCAAATATCTATATTGATGTTTAGAAACCTGCATTGGCAGGAGTCAGATGTTTGGAGGAGGGTGCAGCTCTGGATGGGAAGCAGAAGAAGGCAAAATTCATGGCATGTACCAGGAACTGACTCTTTTTTGCTACTTTGCCCCTATAGAGAAAGAAAGATTATGAAATTGAGCTCTTGCGTTTCCTGGAGGTGAGTTTGCCACAGCATTCTGCCAAACTGTGTTACTAAGTTTTTTAGCAGCTCTTTTCTGTTACCCTTCCCATTCACACATACAGCTTGGGCCAGCTAAGAAAATGGACTTTGGTATGAGTGATTGGGACTGGGAGCATTAAGAAGGGTCATATTCTGGGTGAACATATAGCAGTGCCTTTCTGTGTACTCTGCAGTTCTTGATAACTGTTTTAAAAGCCTTGTCTAAAAAGACAGTGGGGTGCAATCCAGTTGGTTAAGCACTTTTAAATCTCATTGATTTCAGTGTCCACTAAACTCTCTCCTATTCAACCTTGAAATATTTGAATTGGACTGGTCTTAGGTTCCTCTGTGTAAACTTTTTTTGTCTAAATCTGAAAGATCAGGGTCACGCAGTCCGTAGTGATGAGGTCTCAACCCAGAAGGCCATGCTCCATTCCAAATCATATATTGCCTCTTGCATTGAAAGGACTGGATGCCCCGTTGCTGGTCAATTGGTGGAAACGGGATTGGTTCATAAAAGGAGAAGCGGTCTCCATTCAACATTTCCCCAAACCACGGTTTGCATTAACAACAATTTAAAATCTAAACAGTGGTTTAGAGTTGCTTCTCTGCTTACGGTGTGTTAATCCAGGCATCAACCCAAAACTGTTAACTTAATTTAACAGTACTTCTTTATAAATTAAGCCACTGACTTCAAATGCATGTGATCCCAGGTCACTTAGACTTTCAAAATGATAGCCAGCACAGTTGTTTTAGAATAGTCGGTAAGTGTCTCTCTTTCTGCACTAGAATGAATAATGCATTCTGTGAGAACTAAGCTGCCAGTTGGTTTTCAGAGGCAGCTTCCTAGTACCTTTTTTTTGTGGGGAGGAGAATGAAGCAGCCAATGCCCATGCTAGGCTGCTGACTTAATTTCCTGGAAATCTTAAGCTGCTTGGGTGAAAGTGGGCAGCCACGTTCTGCACTACCTGAAGATGCTTCCAAACTATGTATACATTAATCTACTAGATATATGGGGAAAGGCAGAGAGAGAATGAAAAATAGTCAAAACTCCTTATTTTGTTACTTTGCCATTTCCTCCAAAATTCAGAGCTTACCTGAAGAAGAACAGCAGAGGGTTCTGGGAGAGGAGAAGATGCTGGGAGTAAACAAGAAAGGTGCCACCAGCCCTGCCTCTAAAAAGACTTCACCAGATGCCAGCAAGGTGAGTGACGCATACAGGCTAGGGCAACAAGCAGGATGCGTTGTGGGTATGGATACATTTTTTACATTTAGAGCAGTGGAGCAAATCTACTTTTAAACCAGCCTCAAGACTTCATGTAAAATGGCTGCTGGGATTCCTTTGGAAATTTGATAGTAAAAATGAGAACAAAAACTAATCCCTCTTGAAGGTTTCCTTATGTGCGTGTGGTATCCAACATTAGTCATACTTGGGATGGGCCCACTGAAATCAAATTGACTGAAATGACTTTTAAGTATATTGATTTTAATGGGTCTACTCCAGAGTACAATTAATGTTAGCTATCTCCCTATATGTATATAATAAGTAGAACTGTCAGCAGGTTTAAAGAATATTTCATTGATTTAATCATCTGCCTTATGTTCAAGTAACTGATTGATCTGATTAAAATAAATTTGCTTATGACCAACAAAAGTCCAATATTTGTCAGATACTGAAGGAAGTGTTAGATAATTGACAGTAAAATAATAAGTTACCATTCTCATTGTTGTATATAAATACCCATCTTCGCTTTTTTTATTTCTTTCCAATTCCCTATGTTCATTACAATAATGCACCTGAACCAAAACAGCCTCAAAAGATAAACATGCTTTTAACTTGCAGTTCCACCAATTAAAAATTGATCTTGCTGGTAAAAATTGCCTCCCGCCATTGATTAATCAGTGTTAGCTGGCTGATCTACTAGGAATATTTTGCAGCCCATAAAATAAGGCCACCTTCCCCAGTTTTTGCTCTTTTTATTATTATTTTCTTTTTTCCATAACGCTTTTTAAAAAGAACAAAAGATACAAACTCAAAATTCCACAACCACGAGTCCCTTTGTGCTCTTTAACAGGGAGGTTCTGAGAAACCCAAACGGCCCGTTTCTGCTATGTTTATCTTCTCGGAGGAGAAACGCAAGCAGCTGCAGGAGGAGCGACCCGAACTGTCGGAGAGCGAACTGACCCGGCTGCTGGCGCGGATGTGGAATGATCTTTCAGAGAAAAAAAAGGTTGTTGAATCAATAATGCACATTCTCCTTAACCATCTTTTTGGGGGGAAGGTGTGGGGGAACATGTACTCCTGGGTATCTCAAAAAGTCAGCTGGGTGGTTTTCCCCCCCTGTTGACTTAGATCAGAGGTAGCCATCATGACGCCTTTCATATGTTCCTGGACTCCCAGTTCCCATCAGCCCCAGCCAGCATGGCCAAGGGTTAGGGATGATGGGAGTGGTAGTCTGACAACATCTGGAGGGCACCACATTGACTACCCCTGACTTGGATGAAACCAGGATCTTGACCCACTCCCTCACCCTTAAAAAAAAGAAAAGAAGAGGAAACAAAATCTGCTAGAAACCCCACAGAAGGTTCTGAACATTCCCAAGCCTTCGCTTCCCTCTAGAAGCCACCAAGCAGCTCTGTTAACAGTCTGGATGCTCCTACCATTCCATCTTGCGTTACCTCTGCTCATTTTTTTCCACCAGCTTGGGAAGGGGGAAGGAGCCAGACTCTGTCAGTGCGTTCCCTTAGTGTGAGAGTGGATGCAATAAAAAAACCCCATTTTGCGTTCTTTTGTACCATTTGCCTCCCAGTACAGCTGTGAATACACATGGAGTCAAATGGGAGAGGTCTTGAGGCTTGGTTTAGATGCCTGAGAAAGAGGGTCTTGGGATCCATGTGGGAGTTAGCTGGACACCTTAATATGGGTCATTGGTGGACAGGGAAAGTAGTTGCACTTGGGAGATGGGGTTTGTTGTTGCTGTGTATACGCCTTAAAAGGCTAACTTTGGGTGATGACAGATGACTAGATATCAAGCAGTACTTTCCTACGGTGGGCATAACATGTGGGACGCCGGAGCAGCATCCACCCACATGCCAATGAATGTCACCACAGATTTGCAGTCGATCAAAAATCCAATAAAAAGCAGGGGTGGGGTTCTCCTTCCTTCATGAATAGCATTACATCATGTATTTGGGTTTATTTGCTTTGTTTTATTCCTTTATTGCATTTATAGTCTACCTTTCTTCCAAGGGCCTCAAGGTGGCATACATGGCTCTTCACCTTTCCATATTTTTCTCATAACAACCTTGTGAGATAGGTTAGGCTGAGAGTTGGTGTAACCTTGAGGCCTAGAAACATGCATAAAACCTGGGTGAACATTTGTATTATTGGGTACCTCAGTTGTGATTGCTCCAGCCATATGTTCCTAGTTGGCACTGTCCACCGAAATTTGTCATTGAAACTACAGGGTATACCTTATTTTCATATTGTTAATCTGCATAAAGATACATAAAGTTTGTCTGTATTGCTTTGTTTTTCATTATCCTGCATCTGTACCAGGCCCATACTTGACATGTTCAAACCTCACTGCAGCTGTTTTCTAGTACTGGAAAGGCACATTCAGGAGTGAGAGATCTGAAGCTCTAAAGCCAGAGTCATTAATCTTTGGCCTTCCAGCTATTTCTGGACTAGACCTTCCATTGACCATGCTAGCTGGGGCCAATGGAAGTTCCGTTCCAGCAACATCTGGAGTGCCACAGCTTAGTCAAACCTGCTCTAGGGAGAGTAGCTTCAAATCTTCAGCTCTAATAATGTCTGTCTTTAAGGTTACATCTGTGCACAGAAAGAGGTATACATCCACAAGACTCCTTGAATTTAGCACTTTAAAAATATTAGTTTCTGTGCTGATTTTACTGCATCTCCCACATTATAAAAAAGAGATAATTTTAAAGGCAGAAATATGTTTTTTGGGTGAAAGCTGTGAAGAATAACTGATTTTAATGGGGGAAAGAAAAAATGATAAATGACCTTATGGTACAACAAAAGTGCAATGTTTGTTTTTATCTTGCAAATAATTAAATAGCAGAAATTTGGTTGCTGTTCATAAAAGCAGTTAGATAGCTTGCTAGCCATGTTTTTAATGTACTAACAGAGAAACTTCCTTACAAGAAAACCTGCAACTCATGCAGAACAAAAAAATAAAATACAGGGTCTTTCAAGAGGACACACATACAATGTTTTGTTCAATATGTTTTTCGAAAGTGCTGGGTCAGGCTTATAGTGGGACTCACATAAATTGAGCTCCTGCTGTCCTCATGCAAGTGCAGGTCACAAGGCTGTTCAGAGTTTTTTAAGCACCTTGATTTGTGTCCAGAAGCTAATAGATTGGCCCATAACTGATTATTATGCTTTGGTTTAAAACCTGCTGTTCCTCCGGTTTAACAGCTTTCTTCCTCAAAATCTGTGTCACAGACGTGGGGGAGAACCACTGCATCATTAAGCCACACACTCTCCAAAACACAGTTTCAGTGCTTAACTTTTTTTCCCCAGCCAGCCTGGTTTTCTGTGTTTCTTACCAATCAGTAATGGGTTTTGCAAAGATTTTAACCATGCGTGTTGTTTTCTAGGCCAAGTACAAAGCTCGCGAGGCTGCCATGAAAGCTCAGACAGAAAAGAAGCATGGTTCCGACAAGGAGGATCGCGGCAAACTTCCCGAGTCACCGAAAACAGCTGAGGAGATCTGGCAGCAGAGTGTCATTGGAGATTATCTTGCTCGCTTTAAGGTAAAGTGGGACAGCAGAGGCCTAGTTTCATAATGGAATGACCTGCAGTGTGTCAGTAGTAAGATATGTGAGTGACAAAGCAGAGAGTCTTATAGCTTTGACTTGCTCCAAAATAGAGGCAGGAGTCTGCAGCGGGGGGTGGGGTGGGGGGCTGACTGACAACATGTCTTGGAGAGGAGTGCCATCTGAGGAGGTGGTGTCCAGCTTGGAATTTACTTCAGAGACTCAAGAAAGAGATGAACAAGGGGCAGCTCCCATCTGGTGGGTGTCAGGAGGAAGAATGTCAAATCAGATGAGCTGTGCTAATGGGAACTGTGGCTGTAAATAGGGCTGATGTTATTATTGCCATTGAATTGATCAACTGTAATTTGAGGGTTGGTAGCATGAGCCAAAGGCGTGCAAGTCTTCCCTTGTGGGGAAAGGGCATGAGATCTGACCCCTGGTTTGCACGCTGCACATCTCATGCGATGACCAGCGTAGAACGTGGGTTACCAGGTAAGCAACCTGCCTTTTTCAGGTGGTAGCTGGCATGAAGTTAGGATAGAAGTGGCGGGCTCAAAGTGGGGAGTTGTCTGAGCTCTGCACTTATATGGAGTCCATGACAGTATATAGTAGCAGCTGTCCTTCTGCTTCAGAATGACCGAGGGAAAGCACTAAAAGCCATGGAAGCCACCTGGAACAGCATGGAGAAGAAGGAGAAGCTGATGTGGATCAAGAAGGCAGCAGAAGATCAGAAACGATACGAGGTTGGTCAGGCTTTTAAAAAAAAACAACCCACCCCACCTAGTATTTTTCGCTTCAGTGTGATTGCACTGCATCGAGTGTGTGCGTGTGCACAGTTTCCACAGGAATGCAGAAAAACAGTCCTGTGTGTGGTACTGGGCACAGAATATCAACTTCCAAAAAACCAGCCAGTTTCTGGCTGTATGGAGATATCCTTAAATGTAAGTGGCTTGTGCTTCCTGCCAGTGAAATGGTGGAATACGATTATGCATAATTACACAGATTACATACATTCTCTTGTCTTTTCTTGGCTCAGAATCTGGATTGCCAGAGTTCTAAATTTTAATTAATTTTCTCTAGCAACTTGTATGCACAGCTCCTCTGTTTTACAGCTCAGGAGTGAGAGCCATTGGTTTCTGCTCCAGATTTCTGCACTCTTGTAAATGAGACAAGAAAGTTACTAGCCTGCCAGGAGCTAGCAGAAGAGAGACAGACAACTCCATTCTTCTTGTAGCAGCCTGCTTGGTTCTGTACTGGGCTCAGAGAAGGAGCAGGGCACTCAATTTCTTCTTGGTTTGCCTACCCTGCATGTAATTCCTTGCCAGCTCTGGCTAGGAAGTTAATACTTAAAATACAAGGTTGAAGCTCTGTATACATTTATTGGTAGGTAGTTTTCTGGGTTGTTGAAGAAAGCTAGCAAATGTCCAATGTTTGCCTCATTGAAGGCTTAGGCATCTGCATGAAATAGGAAGGCGGGGCAGCCTTTTTAATTTTTCTGACATTTTTCATTGAGCTGGACCAGGCTTCTCAGCTTTGTAATTCTGTTTCTTCTTTATTTTGTTCTGCAGCGAGAACTGAGTGAGATGAGGGCGCCACCATGCACAACAAATTCCTCCAAGAAGATGAAATTCCAGGGTGAGCCGAAGAAACCCCCCATGTGAGTATTGCCATTGTTTTAAAAAGAAAAAAGCAGGGTTGTATGTGTGTGCTTATATGTTTTGTGTTCTGAGTTGTGGTTATGGCTTACAAACGCACAGTGGTGAGGAATCAGTGGCCTTCCTGAAGTTAAGTCAACTTCAGTAGGTGGATAATTGATTGGTTTAAAGGCAATCTATAAATACTGTAAATAAAATAAAATAAAAGTTCACCATACGTAACTGAAGCACAATTAACATTTCTGGAAGCCCAAGATCATATTAAAACTGATGAACCAAAACCAAACAGCAGCAACAGAATAACTTCTAAAAAGGCTTAATTCTCCAAAAGATAAGTGAAGTTTCTGAATGGAGCCAAGAGCCAAGAGAAAAAAACAGTTCAGCTTCCTAGGAGATGCCATTTGAGTTCTGTGGCTACCACTGAAAAGATCTGTTCCTTGTGGAGAGCAGGGTGGCATCCAGAGAGTGCCTGTGCTTGCATATCGTACTCAACCATGGTTATGTGCATGAGCAAGAAGGAACCACCACAAGCCTTTTCTCAGTATACCTTTTCCCTCCTTCCATGTGACTGGGAGGAGGATTTTGCAGAGCTGCATTCCACTTTCCACAAAATCTGACTTACCATTTCTTATGAAATGGCGATAAGAGTGTAAAACAAATTGGTAAGTTTCCAAACAAACCAAAGTTTGTTTGGAAGCTCTTAAGGGCAGTGGGCAGGTTCCGGCTGCTCCTTTCTGCCTCTGAAACCATGGTTTAGCAATGCATGTGAACCCATACCACTGAGTTTTCCAGTATATTAAATAGATCCTGCCAACAGTCCTGCTGTCTTTCTTCCTCCTGCCCATTTACCTGTAACTTCTCTCTTTTGTGTCCTCACCAGGAACGGGTATCAGAAGTTTTCTCAGGAGCTGCTTTCAAATGGTGAACTTAACCATCTTCCTCTGAAGGAGCGGATGGTGGAGATCGGAAGCCGCTGGCAGCGCATCTCTCAGAGCCAAAAGGAACAGTACAAGAAGTTGGCCGAAGAGCAGCAGAAACAGTACAAAGTACACCTGGATATGTGGCTCAAGGTGAGCTGTCAGTTGGGGGAAGGCACAAGAACAGGTAGCAGCTCCTTGAGAAGATCAGAGTGTTAGCAGTGAAGCGTCCGTGTGAAAGCCTTCCAAGTCAAGCCATATTGACATTTGACTCTTGTTCTGCAACCAAAGACTTTCAATCTGTATGAAATTCTGCTCATCCCCAGTTCCTATCAGCAACATAAGCGTCCTAGACACTGTGTGAGCTTTCCCCACCTCTCATCTGTCCTCTGGCCTCATGGATCATCCTGCCACACAGCGCTCTCGCATGTTCGTATACCTTGTCTGAGGTTTTGTTCTGTGTTTTCTCTGCAACCCAAATCAAACTTCCTCTACCCTGACAGCATCTGCTTAGGCTTTTAGCATTTTCAGCCCTCCATTCCCTGCCTGTAAAATGGGAATAATTGTTCATAGGGCAGAACTCATTGAAGGACAGCCAGGGGCTTGCAAGAAGTGTCATATTAAAGTGCTGGCAAGGAATGATTCATCTGTGGTAATTATAATCTGGTTGCTTTATGTAGGGACTATAATCAATCCATCTTCTCCCACTCCCCATGTTTTGAATCACCTCCATAACATGCTTAATCTTGGCTTCTCACTCCTCCCCCTTCTGTCTTCTCTGCAGAGTTTGTCGCCACAGGAGAGAGCTGTGTACAAGGAACATACTTCCAACGTAGGTATCTTGCAAGTGTTTGGAGGGGACTGGCAGGGGTATTTTTTCAACCTGACCTCTGAAATACAGTATAGCTTGGAAGTGAAAGGAAGGGAATCTCTTCATGCCTGAAGTCTAGGGGTTCCATATTCTGTAACTCTGGTTAGGTCAGAAATGAGGAACCTTTGGTCGTCCCCGCCCCCAAGAAAAAGCTTCATTTTTGTCTGTATGGAAGATGGAGATGGGTATGCGAGTGTAGAAACCAGCCTGTTGTACAAATGTAAACATTACATTCATTGTTCTGTCCACTTGCCTCTGGCTCCTCCTGCCAGTGGCATTCCCAGAAGGAAATGTGGCCCTCTGACTGAAAAGGGATACCTATCCCAGCAGGACGTGCATCAGATAAAAGTGTACCAGTTACAGTTTGAAAGCTGCTCTGAATTAAACAGGGTATTTATGGTTATTGAATTGGTACATTTTGATTTAATAATAGGATAGATTTCCAGGATGTTATAAGAACTCTTGAGTAGAAAAAGCTTAAGTTGCCTTTGTATTTTCCTCCTGCTGCTTGTTTTAACATTTTTGGCATCAAGTCTTCAGAATCTAGTGCCACAAAAACTAGATAGTTTGTCAGGGGCACATTTGATTTTTGCTAGAAATGGAGGATTGGGGAAGGGGCAGGCTAGATACTAGCTTGCTGAAAAGAATGCAAGTGTTTTCCTTGCCACTGGTGCTGTCATGGATGCCACATAATAATAAACCCATTTTACATTTATAGAAATCTTTTAGTGTGGCAGCACCGACACTTTGGAACTCCCTGCTTATTGACATCAGGCAGGCACTTTCACTGTACTGTACTGTACTGTACTGTATTTGGCACCTGCTAAAAACATTTTTGCTTAGGCAAGCCTACCCAGATTCCAAGAACATTGATGTATGTTTTAATCTGTTTATTGCTGATTTTAATTTTTTAAGAGTTCTAAATTGTTGTTAATTACTTTTAGCAATAATTTTATTGTTTTATTCTTTTTGCAAACTGCTTTGAGGGTTCTTTCTTTTTTTACAATCAAACAGTATATAAATTTTATGAAAATAAATAAATGTTATAAATTTTATGAAATAAATAAATGTTGACTCCTCCCCCCTTTTTCTAACACTGCCCCCTCCCACTTGTATCTCAACAGAAACGCAAGAACATGGGGAAGATGCGAGGCCCAAATCCTAAGATGAAGCCCTCGGTGCAGTCCAAGTCAGTAAGTGCTTTAACACTTCTTCCTCTTCATCATGCAGCTGTTACCCGCAATGGAATAATCCAGGGAAGCTTGTTCCAAGGTTTGCCTTTGGCTGATTTAATGAAGCCATTTTGAAAGTGTTAAAACTGACCCCAGGAACTCTGCTTTCTTTCTCAACTGGTCTGGTAAAGCATTGCAAATTATTGTAAAAGTCCTTGCTTGCTTGCTTCTTATTTCTAACAGGGGAGGGAGCCAAATTCTGTGCAGGTGATTGATCTGATGGCTGGGGCCCACTGATCTTCCACTGGGAAGGAGAGATGCAATCTCCCTATAGTTAGTTATATGGTAGGGTTGCCATACGTCCAGAATTTCCCAGACGTAGCCACAATACTGCAGTCGGAAGCAGTGTCTGGGTGTAAATCGCTAAAATTTCCAAGGGAAATCCGGACATATGGCAACCCATGTTGGCAGTGTCTTTTTTGCTGATTAACTTTAAAAATAGCTCAAAAACATCATTTTTAGCTCAACAGCTTTGCCAAGTAAAGCTCAACAACCCCGTTATAGGGAATGTAGTTTTCCCCCCTCTCTGTAGCTAAGGGGTGCAAGTAACTTTGCTTCCATGAGCATCAGTTGATTCGCATGACAACTTGTGGGATGGATTTTTAAAATTATTAGTCTCATGAAGATGATGTTTGGATGGGGGGAGGTTTTCTGCTGCACTTCAGGTGCTGATAGCTGGAGAGCTGTTTGCTCTTCAGACCCTTTTGCTTTTCTTTCTTTCATTTTGGTCTTCTCCACTTTCCTTAAGTGGGCATGCTTGAAGTTGCAAATGTAAAAATCCTGGAGCTCTTGAGCATTTCATTAAAAATAAAACAGTGGTGCAGTAGTTAATTTTCTATAGTGAGAACTTTAGGTTGTTGAGCTGGCTTTCTTTTAACAGAATATTGGGGCAGAAGGGTCATATATTTTACCCTCCTTTGTAATTTCTGGCACAGCTATAGTGCATTCAGTTTCATTTAAGGCCCTGAACCATGCCTGTGCCACCCTGGTGAGCACCTTCACATTTCATCCACATGTAAGAAGGCATATTTTGAGAAATAGGTTTATGTTTGGCCACTTGGGGTTCTTACTGTGGACTCTTGGGTGTATAAAGGTGAATGCCATCTGTTGAGCTCTAGGTGCGTTGCTGGTGTTTTCAGTCTACCTCTCCCATGTCTCTGTTAAATCCTGTGTGGTTTGCAGGAATCTGAGGATGAGGATGATGATGACGACGACGACGATGATGACGATGAAGAGGAAGAGGAGGAGGACGACGACAATGCTGACTCCTCTGAGGAGGGAGGGGATTCTTCTGATTCAAGTAGTGAAGAGGAGAGCGAAGACGGGGATGAGGTGAGTGTGCTGGTGTCTGTACACTTCTCTATATACACTACCTCTTGCTCACACGAATTCTGCAAAACTGATTGTCGGGGCTGCGTGTTTCAGTGACTGCTTAGCTGTGCTTATTAAGCAGTGGGGGCTATCCCCAACAGCTGGGCTTTTCACGTTCAAAAGTGCAGTGCCTCTGAATATAACTAGAAGGCTTTTCCTCTTTTAAGGTGCAACCCTAGCGTCACACCCCCCCTGGTCCCACCCAAAACATGGTGGATAGCAAGGCTCCCAGGACAGATGGTGAGAGGTAATGAATGCAAGCCAGCACCTTGCATATGAAGGAACAAAAGCACTAGTCAAGGAGCCACTGTAAATACATATATACATTTTCTGTCAAAGCGATCTAAATTCTGTACCAAGAAAACGCTGGATTCTGCAACCTGTATAAATGACAAGCTGAACAGATCTCTCATTTCGCATAATTTTATTTGACAGCTTCTATTGTCCTGCATCATTCTGGTTTCTACTAGTTGTGGAGGATGGGGGCAGGTGTGCAAAGCACTGAAAGACCTAGCCACTGGAAAACATGCTCATTTCCCTCCTCGGCTTCTGTGTTTCAGTAGGTGGGGGCGACAGGTCTTCAAGCATATATCTTTGAAACCATAAGAACAAGGCACTTTTATTCTAAAAATAGATAAATGTTGCATTTCCCAGTAAACTGAATTCTGCACCCCTGCCACATTCTGCAGTCCCTCAGCATCACCTTGGGTACCCACACTAGACATAACTTCATAGCTTGCCTCTTCCCTCACCAGAATGAAGAAGAGGATGATGAAGAGGACGACGATGACGATGACGACAATGAATCTGAGGGCAGCAGCAGTTCCTCGTCCTCCTCAGGAGATTCTTCTGATTCGGACTCCAATTGAACCATCCCCTTTCTCCAGCTGCCTTTCTTGCTGTACTCTATTCGGTTTTGTTTTTCCGGATAAAAGTAACATCTACAGCTGGAGAGCTAGGATGGGGAGGAAAGGGAGGAAGGAAATCACTGTGGTTTAATTATCTTCCTCTCCTCGCACACCTCACATTGTATTTAACTGTGTGTGGTTGTGTGTGAGGGGAGCAGGGGGGTAGAAAATAGCTGACAACCAGCGGAGGGTTTTTTTGTGGCGGTGGTGTGGGGAGAGAATTTTTATTCTATACTCCTCTCTCTTATTCCTCCCCCCCCCCCCTTCTGAATCTCTCTGGGGGTCCCCCCCTTTTTGTTGAGGTGGGCAGGGTCCTGGCAAAATACAGGCCCCTTTTTATTTCCTCCCCCCTCACATATCTCCCCCCCCCCCCGCCCACCCCCAATTCTATCCACCAGCTTTGGACTTTGTACAAAATCTTTTTTTAAAAAAAACAAACCAACATGGCAATGGAGATTTCCCCACCCCCTTAGCAAACAGCCAGGGAGAGATGGGTTCCAGAGAGCACGAGCCATGGAAGGTTCCGGACTTTGCCAGTGTGACCCACCTCTCCTCAAAGTGGACAATCTTGTACAGTCTTGAAATTTTACACCTTGACGAAAGAGAACAAAATGGCCACAGCTGCACTTAGTTATTTCCTGTGATGAACTGGATATCCAGCAAACGTTTCCTGCTGAAGGAAACGGGATGGGAGGGTCTATTTCACGTGAGTGCATGGCAAGGGTCAGGGAATAGAAAAGGAACTGAAGAAAAGGATTTCTTTTGCAGAGAGAATATCTGACTGGTATGCTGTCGCAGGAGAAGACAATTTTGGGAGCTCCAAGGTTACTGACTTTATTTTGCAGGAGGTGGACTTTTTCTGTCGTTTTTCTGACCAGCATTTAAACAAAGACAGTAGTGGCCAGACCCCTTTGGGTTGTTGTTGTTGTTAATATATATATTTTTTTTTACAATGAAGTGACCAATAATTGTACCAAAATGGGGCATTTTGTTTGACTGTCTTTGGAAGCGGGAGGTTGGTTGTGGGTGGGATCCTCTGTGTCATTAAGCTTTTTTTTTTCAAAAAACAAAAAAAATGTTTTATAAACAAAGTGAGACAACCATCTTTTTTACAACTGAATTATCCCATCTTTGAGATTGAGTACGTCATATGTCTCTTACCCTTATGCAGAGGCTGGGATCTTGGGAGTGGATGGGGTTTGTATATAAGAGGCACATAGATTCCCCTGGCCCCCCCAGCATGCCTTGGTTTTATTCAGGCTGCATGTGTTCATTCAACTTTGGGCAGAGGAATGATGCCAAGAAGAGAATGATTCCAGCCACCAAGAAGTGTGTTTCTTAGCCTCTTCTGTGGGGAATAGAAAGGAAAGGAAACTCCAGTACCAACTTTATGTTTGCCCTGTAAATGATATCAGAGCTAGTAGACATGCTGTTTGGGGGGTCAGGTGGTGGTGGTTGTAAAAAAAAAGAAAAAGCAGCAACCACACCTCCTTTTCCCTTGTAAGATGCCCGATCATACAAAACATCACCATGCCACACATTCCCCTACCCATTCTCCCAGGAGTAACTAAAGGGGCAGGGAAATTTGCAGCTTGGTGATTTCAAGAAACACTTTGTATGACTAGACATTACTGGGCAAAAGGAAGGGCCAGAACTACATGGCTGCTGCTTCCAAGGGAATGTGTCTCCTGTAATGTTTAGTTCCAGCCTGAAAAAAGAGCAAGAAAGTATTACCTTGTTTGGATGTAAAACTAAGATGTGTGTTACCTCTACTTGAGCAAGCCTTGGACGTGTAAGCTTTCCCCTTGCTGTGAAGAGATCAGAAACATTTGTTTCCTTATTTAATTAACCATGGTTACTTCTTGTGTCCAAATGTGGACAAACTGGTTTAACTTTGCTTTACGGAAACAAGCCACAATTGGAAATCATGGTCTGTGATCCTGGCTTGTTTCCCTAAGCCATAGTTAAGAATTGCCATAATATTAAACCATGGTTTATTGCAAACAGAGAAGAGAGTTTCTAATCTCACAGTGGAAGAAAGAGGAAGGGGGCGAATGCATGAGCCTGAGACTTGTTCGCATAATGTTGATACACAGTTTAGCATAATGTCCAAACTAGATCAGTACAAATTAAATTGGCATTGGTGATTTTCTCAGAAAAACAAGCTGGTATGTTGCATCTTGCTATCTAATTGGACAGGTGGTATTTAGGCAAGGCTCCTTTTGCTTCTTCCCATCTGTGTTCCCTGTCCTTCTGTTTCTTTAATATTTTACATGCAAAACATAATTTAGTTTATGAGAGCATGCATCCCTGACTAGCCTTTATTTTTACATTCTTTGGACGATTACCTGCTCTAATAATATGACAAGGAATTTCTCATTGTTAAGGCCAGATCGTGCGACTAATTTGGCCTGCAAGCTGGTTCTGTACTATATCTTGGCTCTTCAGTGCCCTTCATAGCACCCTGTGTCTTCTGTTGACAAGCAAAATGAGAATTTTGCAAAACAAACTTCAAATGCATTGTAGTTTACAGAATTCATTGTTTCCCCTTGAAATATACTTTGGATTTTTATTTTTAAGCATACCCACCAGAAAAAGTACACACACACACCCTTTTTATCCCTCCCCCCTTGTGGAAATTGAACACATGGCTTGTGCTTTGCTGATCTCTTTTGGGTAAGTCTGGAAACCTCATAAAGGAAACACGGTCTTCTAAAGAAAGACTTGGCTTCTAGCACTGCAGATACTCCCCTGGAGGGAAGCTGGACCATTTGAGAATGCAGTCGAGAGAGGGAGTTACAAAGGGCACTGAAGACCCTTCCAGATGCTGGACCACAGCTCTCATCATCCCTGATCGTTGGCCACGCTGGCTGGGGTTGATGGGAGTTGGAATCCAGCTACATCGGGAAAGCCACAGGTTAGTCAAATCCAATTTACAGGATAAAAAAACTTAACAGCAGTATTTCCCATTTAGTCTGCTTTTCTCTATTAGTTCACTGTCTCTTGCAATGTCTTGCTGTGCCAAATGTATTCCTTCTCTTTGAGCATCTTGGCCCCACAGTTGCCCTTTGGAAGTGTGCTGTACCTCCGTTCCATCACTGGGAAGAGTCCAGTTGCTAAATAATCTTATTTTGAACCAGCAACTCAAATAAATACAAAAGTCTCCCACTATTGCAAAATGCCTTGGGAGGACCTACGGGTTTCAAGCGTTGGAACTTTCCCTACCTTTGCTAGCATTTCTAGTTGTTTTTTTTTAAAAAAAAACACCCACGTCATCTTGGGTAGCAAACTGTCAAAACTAGCCACAGGATTGATACTAAACTTACATACACCTGATTACAGGCACCACTGGAGCCTGTGTAAACCTGGCTCCATTGAAATTTTGAGTGGCTCTTGGTGGCCGTATTAATTTAGGAAAGAGTATTTTGCATTGTGGGAATGACTTGACTGAATAACATGCAAATGTTCCCATAACATACCTTGAGAAGTGCAGTTTTCCACTGTACTTTCATTGGGATGAACAACTTACTTCCATGAGCATTAACATATTGCAAAGCACATCAGTCTTGTTTATGAAGAGAAGTGCACCGTCACGTATGGGAGTGTGTTTTTGTGTGTATGCAGTTGTTGTGGGAATAGTTCAGACAAGTCAAGATTTTCCTCTGTCTTTTTTGTTTGTTTGTTTATGTTTTTGGTACATATTGGTCTGGGTTGCTTTGGGCTGAACTCTTGGAGGCAAAGCAACAGAAGTATGTTGTCTTTGGACAAGCGGTCAATCTCAATAGCCCTTTGGCTTTTCTGGCTTGGTATAAAATACCAGTAACACATCCAAGCAGGGATTTACTGAATAACACCAGATCATTTAGAGCGAAAGCTTTTCAGGGAAAAAGAAACTTACCTGAGAACATAGGAAATCAATTAATGTACAGTACACATGAAAATGGGTATTTTTTTGCCCTTGAATAGTACTCAAACGGTTATTAGTTTTTTGTGGATTCAGTACACTTGAAAAACCTCCAAAGATCTTGCAGACTTGAAAATATATTATTAAGTACATGTAATCAAAACTAAAACTGTTGAAGTTGATAGAAATGCCACTCAGGAAGAAGCACTAAATGATGTAGGGTGTAATCCATCCCTTTTGGGTGGGGCAAGGGTTTGGATTGGTAGGTGGAAGTGCTGCCACTGAAAAGGGACATTCCAAGGGAGGGGCTAAGTCGGCCACACTGCCATCAGTGGATAGCACTGGGTCTGATGCTGGTCCAGCTTGGCATAGCATTTTGCTGCCACCAGCTTCAACCGGTCTGGTAGGACTGCTAATGTGATGGCAGCCCTGCTGCTCTCTTAAGCCCTGCGAGGCAGTAACTCAGGTTTGAATGTCTTCCTAAAGCTAAACAACAGTGGAGCTGTATGACGATGATAAATAACCATTTACAAAAAGTACAAGAAAAGAGTGGCAACATGTAAAATCGTAAATAATCCGTTCAGCGTTTGCTTTTTAAGTCTGTATGATCACCAACACGTTCTCATTCCTGAAGTTCTTCGGGTTATTCTATAAATCCTTGCCTGCAACCTGTCACTGACCTTGAACTGGTGTATAAAAGATAAGTATTACATTTAAAAATGCTTACTATGTAGGGGTTTACTTGACCCAACATCTCATTTACATGGCTCTTCACCCATGTGCTGGTCCCTTGATATGCACAATTCCCACGCCAGTAATCTTTGATCAAGAGGGAAGCCTCACTGCCATGCAAATGAAGAGGCTATCACATGGGTTAAGAGCCTTTTCAAGCAAGGCACCAAACTACAGGGGGTAAGTACTGTCTCCAGATTGTGTGGTTGGGTGTAATCTTCCATTAGAACCAATAGGTGTTCCTCAAAGCTAGAAGTTGTTTTCGGTTGTCGTCATTGTACCTCATCCTGCAAGAGAATCCTGACGGGGGGGGGGGGGGTTAGACTTTTGAAGAGGTGTGGCAAGTTGTGTATGTTTCAGGTAACACCTTGTTGCCTCCTTGCCCTCTGCCCGTTTGGTGCTAAGTTTTTCTCATTACGTGAACTGCATGGAAGCTACCAATAAATGCTTTTGCACAGGGAGGGCCCATACAGAACCATGCTAAGAGGGCATCATGGCTATGGATCCCCAAATCATGTGGAGTTTTTACATGTAATTGCCTCACCTTCCTTGAAGGCAGTGGAAGCTGAAACTCCATCCCTTTTAAGTGAGCCTTTGGTAAGTGTATTTTAATCAGTTAACACCTCTTCTGTTGAGTTATTTCTTAGTGAACTTGTGGCTGGTATAATGTGTACTCTGATTCACACATGCGCACATCTTTTGTGGAGGTAGGCGAGAACCAAAACCTTAACATTTTTGGACTCCCTTTTTATATAATTTTCAAGCCTTTCCCAATTTTGTCTCTGCTGGGGTAGGGAAAACCTTGTCACCTCATAAGATGTTTGTCAGAAATTTGCCAGAAATGAGATGACCCAATGAAAATCTAGGATGCATCCATTTATGTACTTTTCACACCTCAAGGAAGTTGGTTATCATTTGTGGAATGGAGGCATTTGTTCTGATGCAGCAAATGTGGCCACACGTAGAAGTAAATTACGCAAAATATCAGCGGCAGGGGGAGAAGGATTGCATACAGTAACCAGGCAGTGTATGCAACACTTTCTGTTGTTCTAATGGAGCCTTCCCTACCTTGGTGCCTTCTCCAAAGGCCTGGCAAACTGGGACTGACTTGAGGGCATCAGGTTCAGGAAGTCTCTTAACAGATCCTACCCACTAGAAACCTGAAAAAAACACTTCAGCCATTGCCACATCAAGCTAGATTTCTCCACATTAACTTTGCTTTTCATTGCCATGTCTGAATTCTGATAGGATGTGCCCAGTCATGCACATTTGTCACACATCAACCCCTCTGATGCTCCTGAACTCTCTATTTCCGATTCCGTCAGTCAATCTTCCTTCCCCCTTTTCTCTCTCTCCTCTCTCTCATCCTTCTAAAGTGAAACACCTGGTTTGATTTTGCTGAATGTACCAGCTCTGTTGTATTTTAGTAGATGTGTTTTTTAAGTAAAAAAAAAACCTTAAAAAAACCTTGTTCTTTAAAGTAAATTTCTTACAGTACTGATGTCTTTTTAAAAAAGAAAAAAAATGTTACCAGGGGTTAGGGGGGGAGACAGATTGTACTGTAAGAAGGTGGGACTGAGTGCATTTTTGCACTGTTGACAAAATGTGATATTCCAGATAGAAGTTCTTGTGAAAAAGGAATCATTTTTTTCTAATATTTAAAGTGTTTTTGTAGATTTAAAAAAACTTTAAAATGCCAAAAAATATTAAAATGTACTGGATTTCGGTTTCTATTACTAAATGGGACTTGGCAAGCTCAGGATGCTTTTGGTTTCCTTAGAGGTTTTTGCTATTTGCACCAACATGGCAAGAACTTCAGCCTCAAGTCTAAATAGACTTAAAACTGTGGATCTCCCTCCCCTCCTTTTTTTTTCCCTTTTGTATAATAAAGAGCAAAAACAAAGCCTTTGTTCTCATGTCATTACTTGGAACATTAAAAAGAACTTGCAGGGAAAAGAGGATTTGAGGCTGTTTATATGGGTTGCTCTGTTCAAGTTGACCATATCTTTCATTTCTGGTGGATATACTAATTGCTATTACTATTTTGCACTTTTTTGTGGTACAGTAGAGCTGTGGACCTGGATATTGCCTTCCTCAAATGCAATCTGTTGCATCTCTGAAATACTGTACCTGAAATTAGAACTTCAGACTAATCCAGGCAGCAAGGCAACATTTGTATCAACGCTTCTAAGGCACTCGGAGGCAATAAACTAAAGATATATCCCTCACAACACACTGAAATAGGTTAGGCTAAGAGACGGAGGGTGTGACTTGCCCAAGGCCATGAAGTGAGCTTTATGGTTGTATGAATATTTAAACCCAGACTGCAATTGTACACACACTTGATTTGGGGAGTAAATTCAGTGGCACCTACTTCTCAGTAAGCAAGGCTACCCAGTTAATGTACTGGCCGCTATTTTTTTTCTTTGCAAAAGGTACTTGAGCGCAAGGCAGGTAAGTAGGCCTAAAGCCTGTTCCGAGAAAGATGGGCTAGACAATTTGAAATGAAATCCAGGCAAGTAGCTCTCTGGACTATGGCCCAAGTCACTTTAAAGGCTCATCCACTCTTAGAAATAATCACTGAATGTACATTATCTGAATGTTACAGCCTACTAGGGCCTTCAGTTTCCTTCTTTGCCTGAAACATTCCTACAGTTATTTTAACAGTTACTCACTGCAGAGGTGGAGAACCTGTGGCCCACCAGATGATATTGGACTCCCATCAGCCTCAATTTCAAGGTCCACTGCCCCCTTATACTCTATAGCTGTGTTTCCCAAATTTGGGTATCTGTTTTGAACTACAATTCCTATCATCCCTGACCACTGGTCCTGCTAGCTAGGGATGGTGGGAGTTGTAGTCCCAAAACAGCCAGAGACACAAGTTTTGGAAACGCTGCTCTACACTACTTTCATTAACAGCAAATGGCTCTTTCATTCTTCATGCCTCTTTCAGTGTGACCAGATGCCAGAGTTCTCCCTTTATGATAACTGGAAACCAAAGTGTGCCGTGAATGGGTGTGTGAAAGAAAATGGAACTGGGAGAGAACAGATACCTAGGATGGCAGCCATTTTGAGATCAGCTGTGGAAATAATGGCAGTCTTAAAAGAGGTTTGTTCACCGCTTGGCTCCTGTGGCATCAATTTTATAATCATATTGGATTCAAAGCAACGTTTGCATAACTTAAATGCCGCAGCTTCTCCAAACTGTGGACTCAGGCAAAAGAAGCAGCTAGGACATGGGTAGGCAAACAGGCCGGGGGCTGGATCTGGCCCAATCACCTAAATCCAGCCCACGGACGGTCCAGGAATCAGTGTGTTTTTACATGAGTAGAATGTGTGCTTTTATTTAAAATGCATCTCTGGGTTATTTGTGGGGCACAGAGGTGTAGGAAGGGGGGTGGAGGGGGTGGACCGCCCCAAGTGCCACTCTGGGAGGGGTGACAAGATGGCCCCTGCCTCCCCCCAGGCTGTAGAGCGGCCGAGGGTGTGCGCAGTCCATATGGGCACTGCTCGCGTGGCGTCCGTACAGGAGGGTCCCTCTGCCACTGGTGGGGCATAGGAATTCATTTTTTCCCCCTTCAAAATATAGTCAGCCCCCCACAAGGTCTGAGGAACAGTGCACTGGCCCCCTGCTGAAAAAGTTTGCTGACCCCTGAGCTAGGAGAACTATAGTTTCCAGAGCAATCACACCGAGGAGCAGGGGCTATTGCTGATGCAGGAAAATTGGGAGCAGAGCAGTGGAGAATCTTGGTGTCTCAACTTTCATTGGCACGCTGTTCGACACCAAAATACAGCCCCCCCCCACTGCTGACCATTGGACTCCATGGTTACAGCACCTGCTGCGGCACCCCAGAAGCTCCACACCCAGTGCCACCAAACAAGCCACGCTCTCCTAGAGCCACCTTTGAGCAGAGCCACTTTTAAAACATACGAAGAGTCTTGTTGCATGAGACCAAAGGCCTGCAAAGTCCACCCCTCTGTTTCCCAAAGTGACCAACCAGATGCCTACAGGAGAATTACAAGCAGGGAATGAGGGCAATAGCCCCCTCCCCATGTTGTTCCCTTTCATCACCACATCTTGTGGAAGCAAATTTCAAAGTTTTAATTATGTGGTGTGTGAAGATGTGTTCCCTTGTGCCTATCCTGATTCTTCCACTGTACAGCATAAACTTATATACCTCTTTTATGGTCCGTCCCCCTTATTTGCCTTCTTTTCCAGACTACTTAGCTCCAAACATTGTAAGGTCTCCTTGTAGGAACTTTTGCTCGAACCGCCTGCCCCCTATTATGTTGGTTGCTTTCTCATTCCTTGCTTGACCTGGTGGTCCGGGATGATAGTTGATGCAGCCCAATAGCATACCCTCCATCATTTATCCAATGAAAATAGGGACATCACATTCTATTACTACTACTACTACTACTACTACTACTACTACTACTACTACCCTGCCCATTTGACTGGGTTCCCCAGCCACTTCCAACATATGTAAAAGCATAATAAAGCATGAAACATTTTTTAAAAACTTCCCTATACAAGGCTGCCTTCAGATGTCTTCTAAAGGTTGTATTGTTACTTACCTCCTTGGCTTGGGGGGTCACATAACTCCCATACCCTCCAACATTTATCTGATGAAAATAGGGACGTCCTAAGGGAAAGCGGGACATTCTGGGATCAAATCAGAAACCGGGGCGGTTTCTGTAAATCCAGGACTGTCCCTGGAAGACAGGGACACTTGAAGGGTCTGCGATAGTAGCGGTGCATTTTAACACTGCATCTGTGACACGTTGGAGACTAGGCTAAATGCATGCTGCTGCTCCATACTGAAAGTTTAACAATGCCTAGCATGCAAGCTTGAGGCCTAGGTGTAAACTACTATCAGTGCCAGAATTCAGCCCTGGAACAAGTAGGGTTATAATCAAAAGGGTGTGTCTAAGAATGAGTAAAATACCTTCTCTCCTCCCCCCCGGCCCCTTTACAGTTTAAATTCAAGCATTTTGGTATTATTACATTTATTTATATTCCTCCTCTTTCCCTGGCAAGGACTAAAAAATGGCTTACAACTAAAACAGAAACAGGAGTCTATTTTCCTTGTATACTCAACCCCTTTCCACTAGTCTTAGAATCTGAGCACTTGGGAGATAATGGGCAAATCCTATTTGGGCCTGTTTTACTCAACTAGTTTTGAACAGCTACTGTTGGGTAGTGGTGGTGGTGGTTTCAAATTAAGCAAGGAACGGAAGAGCAGACAACTGTGGCTGAGGTTGATAGGAGCCAGAGTGTCCAACAACTTGCAGAAGGCCACAGGTTCCTCTCCGCTGTGAGGATTTCAGCAAGATAAATGCATATGATGTGGCTTGAATATTAAATGATGACTCTAAATGCTAGGTAGGGGTAGTAACCTCACTCCATGGACTACTGCCTGAGTGCATAGGCCCTTCTGCCAATGTGAAGGCTCTTAGCCACATGCTGGCTGCATTTACAGTAGCCTGTGTTGCACTGATTTGAAACAGGCTGTTGTTTATTAAGTTAGTGATAAGCTGCAGGCAGGGGGACAATGATAACATATTGTAGGGAAATGGAAAAGCCCCTTGGGTGGGGGCAACTAAAATCAGGGAATCTGCTGGGGGAGGGGCACTTTATCCTTTCCCTACCTGGTTCTTTGCCAGTTCCAAAACCCCTCCTCCAGCAGCTCTGTCTGTTAAAAGCTTTTAATGCACTGACAAAGCTATTGAGGGATATTAGAGCAGAGAAACAGTCATTGCCTTCACACACCAAACCACTACATCCACTACCTTACCGAAGATCATCTCCCGTTTTCCTCATCTAAAACCAGCAAGCTATCATTACATGCACTTGCACACAGCAAGTAGTTTGGGCATCGTTGCTCATTGTTATGCGTTTTATGTTGCACTAGTGTCAAGCTACATGCACACACATATATTTAACTTAGAGAGATCCAGAGGAAGTGGTCTGAGGAATTCCAGCTCTAGCAATATATGAACATTTATTTAAAGGCATCTCCAAAGGCAATTTACTAGGTAAACAACTTCTAAATAATCCTGTTTAGGATTGGTTCACATAGAGTAGCTGCAATTAGAAAGGAAGCCTTTTGTGTGCCAAAGTTGTGAACATGTTGGAATGTTGGAAGGAGGAAGATTGACACATTCCATGATGCTCCGTTTAGAATGATGCTCTTTAGAAGAAAACTAAACTGGGGCTGCCTAGCAACCATTGCCAGGCAGAACAACCTCCCTGCTTTCAGAGCATCATTGCCACCAGTATATCTGTGGGAGAGGAGACCCAAACTGGAAATAAGCAGGTGTTTGAAGGTCAGAAGAAGGAAGGAAATCTTTATATTGGAAAAAGGTGTGTTTTGGTGACACCAATGAGGAGGAGTGGTGGCTGGATAGAGCTGAAGGGTAATCTAAACCAAAAGCGGGGTGTAACTGTGAGAGTATATGGTCACCAGGACTGTCAGGCACCAAAGTTTAGCCTTATTGGTTGGCACTGGGCAAATCTTTGTACATATTAGCCTTTATAAGACTGTGTTGGGTTATGAAAGATTACCCATTGGGCACTGCTTTTACTGGCTAAAATTAGCCATAAAAGCTCCAAACAGCCCACTTCATTGTTGGTTTGGAACGGAGGCTTAGTTTATCATGTTCCTGTACTACTTGAAGACTTCCCTTCCAGACCTTGACAAAGGCCCCACACCAAAACGTGGGGCTACCACACTTGACCAGCTATGAGTATTCTGCCAGTAAGAAGATGCAAAGCAGCAGACAGGTAGGAGGAGGACTTGACTGTTCCATAACTGGAGCAAGGCCCTCTTAAACTGCCATCTTCACAACTGTATGGTTCTGCCCTTTACACAATGCAAAGGACTAAATATCCTACTGTAATACTTGATTTTTATTTCTATGCCTATGTTGTATGTTGTTCTGGTAATTTTTCAGAGAAGCAACATATGACAATTACCCCTTTAAAATAAAATAAGAAAAGTTGGTTTCTGATTGTTAGAAAAACCTTTTGTACCATAAGTAATTTTTAAAAGCCGCATATTATTTTTTCTGTGACAGCACACAAAATCTGTGGGCTTAGAGAAAGCAGTCTAACCTGTCAATATTAGCACACTTAAATTTTCTAGTTACAAATTCTTCAGGATGACGAAAACCAAGTTCCACAGAACCTGATTTCCGACATGTTATTATCAGGACTGTTATAGTCCACCCACCCAAAGAGAGAAGTGACACTCTATAAAGACATTATGGACTGGCATTTTTCAATGTGGAGCTTGGATTTCAGAAGCTTGACCCTTAAACTGGCACCCATCCAAATGCGTGTGCTGTTGGGGAGATGGAGTAGAGGTTGGAGCTGTGTGGGGCATTTCGATCGAGCGGGACAGCAGCACTCAATTTGGGGTGGGGTGGGGAGAGAAAGAATAGGAGACATGCCACGACACAAGCCTGGAAAGAGAAATCCCTCTCATCCTGCCATTGCTCGCTCAGGGGCACTATCCCCCCCCCATCTTTTCCTACTTTATGGGTTCCAGAGTTGAAAGTCTGAAAATAATGTCCGAGCCCCGCAGTGGTGAGTGACTCCCTCTCTGCGCAAACAGCTCTCTGCACCTGCTCAGAGGTGCTTTGAAACAATATTAATAATGCTTATGATGTGTCCCTGCGTTGATTTAGCCCAGGCACTGAAGGCGAGTGGCCAGAGCGCTGCGTCCCTTCGGCCAGTCCGTGGCACCCGAGCGACAAGGTAGCCGCCGCCAGCAGCAAACAGCAGCAGCACCAGCTCCTCGCGCACAACCTTGAATGACGAGAGATAGAGAGAGAGGGAGGGAGAGGCGGGCGAGAGGGGGAAGTAGGAGGAGCAGGAGGCCGCGCCGATTGGCCTCTCCGCGCCGCTCCGAGCTCCCGCATTGGGCGCTGTGGCTCACCCACCTCCCTCTCCCCTGTCCTCCGGCAGGTCCCGCCCCCTTGCCGGAGCCAACAAGCTAGGTTGCGCGCCTATTGCAAAAGGTGCCTCTCCGCCTCCCCCCCCCCCCACAACCCGCCTTTCCCTTCCCTTATTGCTGCTGCCGCCGCCGCCGCCGCCAATGTTGGTGCTGCCGCCGCCGCCGCCGCTGCGGAGAAGGAGGTGGACGTGCTAGGCCGGAGCGCCCTGCCCACTGCCGCCGTCCCTGTGTCCCCTTCCTCCTGCCGGGGGCCTTGCGCTGAGCTGGGGCCCGGCGGGGAGGGGGCATGGCTGCTTCGCCTGGGGCCCGGCAGGCCGCCTGGGGGGCAGGCATGGGCAATCGGGGAAGGGGGACCCGGTGGTGAGGGGACTCCTCCTCCTCCTCCTCTTCCTGCCTGCCTGCCTGTGCGTGGGGTAAGTCCATGGGGTGGGGTGGGATGCTGCTTGTCTCCAGCCCCTCTCCTTGCAAATCCCTCTGTGTGCGCCTATGTGGGGGTGCTGTGGGAGGAGTTAGGGGTGCGCAGAGAGGAAAGGGTGGGGTGGAGGAAGGAGGGGGGTGTTGGAGAGGTTGGGGAGGGTAAACAAGTGTGGGGCGCTGGGAGCAAAAGGAAGGGGTTCGGGGTTTTATTTTTATTTTTTTGGAGGGGGATTAAGGTGCGCCTTGTTAGTTTGCATGGCTTTAAACGGAAATTAAGATGACTCCATGGAGGAGCAGTTGTTAAACAGGATGGCTCAACAGAGTCTTTATTTCTTCTCGTCCCCAAATGTTCACATTCAGTGTATCTCTGTCAGGGAGCAAAACAATAGCGAGGGCTGTTGCATCCATGCCTTTCCCAGAAGCATCTGGCTGGATGCAGGGTGCTGGGCTGGACAGACCTTTGACCTGATCCAGCGGGACACTTTTTCTCTCTCTCCCCCTCCGCATGCTCTCTCAGAAAGGATTAGGGAAATTCCTGAGATCTGCTGAGAGCCAGTGTGGGGCAGTGGTTAGGCTGTTAGACCAGTGAAACCCAGGTTCGAATCTACCCCTCAGCCGTGAAACTTGCCGCCGGGTGACCTTGGGCCTGCCACCCTCCCTTAACACAGTTGTTGTGCAGATAAAAGGGGAGAAAAAGAAGCATGTGTGCTGCCCTAAGCTCCTTGAAAGACGTAGGAGGCATAAGTTATAAACTGTAATAATCCAGCTAACTATACTTTGAACCATACCTCCATGTCCATTGGCAACGTATCCCTGGATACCAGATGCTGGGGGGCATCCGATGGGCGAGGGCTGCTGCCCTCATGCCCTGCTTGTAAGCTTCAAGGGTATTGGCCCAGCTGCTGCTGGATTTCAGGTACCATTGCTCTGGTATGGCAGTTGTTCAGCAAGCAGAGAAGAGGAGGATGTTAAAGTGAGTCTGGGTTTTTCTGGGGGAGGAAAGCGAGTCAGCTATGGGATGTGGCTGGCAAGTCGACTTGTGGGATGCAGTGCTTAAAGTGGGTTTGAGGGGCTAGCAAGTGAAATAAGCAGTTAAGTTATGTTGCAGAGGGGAGAAAGGTGTGGTGGTATTCAGGGTGGGGCAGGGGAAGAGAAAGATTGGGAAAGCAGCTATAAGTCTTAAGGAAGGGATTAGAAAGTAAATAAGTGGGGCGGGAGAGGAAGTTAATGAGAATGCAGCAATTAAATAGGGTGTGGGGGATATTGAGTTTGAAACAGTGGGGTTGACAACATTGTGGTTGAAGGAAGGAGACTGGGCAGAGAAGTGATATGCTTTGGCAGGGGTCAGGCCCAGGTCCTTTTTTGGGTGTGTGGGTGTGCTGAAGATAGGATTAAAAGGTTAAGATGAACTGGCCATGATAGGAGGAGACTCCCGGGGGGAAACGTAGTAGTAGGAGTAAAGATGTGAGTTCATGGTAGAATCATAGAGTTGGAAGGGACCCCATGGATCACCTAGTCCAATCCCCTGCATTGCGGGAACTGCAGCTAAAGAATTCCTGACCAATGGCCATCCAACCTCTGCTTTAAAATCTGCATTGAAGGAGAGCCCACCACTTTCCAAGGTAGTCTGTGCTGCTGCCTTACTGGTAGGTAAAAAGAGGCAGGAAAAGAGGGGTATGCTTTGGTTCCTGTGTGATGTAAAGGCAGTGAGAGACCTAGAATGTGGGCTTGATCTAAAGCACTGTTTCCCAAACTTGTGTCTCTGACTGTTTTTGGACTACAACTCCCATCATCCCTAGCTAGCAGGGCCAGTGGCCAGGGATGATGGGAATTGTAGTCCACAAAACAGAGTTGGGAAACTCTGGTCTAAAATGACAGCTCTTATAGTTTGGACAAGCTGGCCCACAAAATACCATTGTCTTGACTGTCTTCAGAAACTCTTTCAGATGGGCTGAGTCTTCACCAGGTGCATGTAAAAAAGTGTGTGTGTGTGTTGGAACGTGCCCACCCCACCACTAACTCAGTTGTTTTGCCAGGTATGATTTCAATCGGATCTCACTCCCAGAACCTGTTTCCAGAATATGGGAAGTAATAAGCACAAAAGGTTCCTCTGAGCAGACCTAGAGTGCATTACTCTGACTGGGTGTTTTTTTTAAGTGCACATTTAGCTTATTACTATTATTTTATAAAATATATATAGCAAAAGGCAAATAATATACCAAAGAAAATAACAGAAAGCACTCATATTGTACACAACACAAATTCCAGCAGGAAGAAAGAAACTATATTGCCCTTGCTGTGTTGAGTAATTGTAGCCTGCCCACCACATGTGTCGGGGATTAGGATATCCAGGTGAGAGAGAATTTTGTTCTGCGGTGGGGATTTGTGCCTGAGCCCTTCTCTACCACCAAAATGCTTCTGGGTCTGTGTCATGCTCCCAAATTATACCCTGCTTAAGGGAGTGGGAAAGAACGGCAGTTTCCTAATGAAACAGTCACTTTGTTTAATCACGTTGTGGAGACACAGCTTTTCAGGATCAGAATTGGTCATGGGTTCTGTGGTTTAGACCAACCTATTTCCGACCGTGGCCCACTTGCGACCTTGTTTCCTTCCTGTGCCCCTCCCCATGGGTGTAGCCCGGGGGGCAGGGAGGCAGCAACCCCCTCCAAATAAGTAAAAATCAATACAAATATGAGGTTCTGCCCCCCCCAAAAGTCCTGGCTACACCCATGGCCCCCCAGCCTACTGGTAGAAAGGTAGCTGTTTAAATGTTTTGTTTGTAAATAGAACAGGTTTTGTTTATAATTTTTTATAAGTTATACAAAATACAATTATACGTAAAATGATAGCAACATAATAAAATATTGTTGAAGCAGAAAAACATAGAATCATGGAACAGGAAGGGACCCCAAGAGTCATCTTTCTAGTGCACCCCCCTGCAATGTAGGAAACTCAGCTGAAGTATCCATGACAAATGGCCATCCAACCTCTGCTTAGAAACCTTCAATGAAGGAGAGTCTGGAACCGCCATCTTCCATGTATTATAAAAAGTAAACAACAGTTATTTTACACATAAGGGGAAAGCTACTGAGGTCAGTCCTCACTGTCCTGGTGCAAAGAGATCTTGTCTTCCGGAGGAGTCCTGACTGCCTAGATAAAACACTACAGCGCCCCGCCCCCTTACCAGGGAGTAAGACCCACTGAACTCAGTGCGACTTTCTTCTGAGTAGACACTTAGGTATTTACTTGATGCAAGTCAGCAGCACCAGGCGGCCCTGCTCAGCTAGGCGCTGGGGTGGATTTCACCCTGCGCTTTGCAGAGCTGGGCCGACACTGCCGATGGGCCCTGCGCCCCTCAGCAACATCCGAAGACTCTGATCTGCTAGGCGCTGGAGTGGATTGCACCCTGCAACTTGCAACTTGCCCAAAACTGGTGGCAGCAACAAGCAGCTCCTGCTCGGCCAGCCTTACCCATTGCCACCCCACCACTGCACTTACCTGATCTGGAGGCTCTGGATTGTGAGCCCTTCTGGTCAAAACGGGAGCCTCAGCAATCGCCCTCTCCTGCCGGAAACAAACCAGGATTGCTGCAAGAAAATGTACATGGCAAATAGGAGTATTAGGCCCTGGTGGGCTGCCTCCTTACCCACTTGTGATTGGCCAAGCAGATAGCCAGCCAATCAGGATTTTTTTAAAATAAAAAAAGGATTCCCCCCCTTTTCACTTCTCTTTGTGGCCCCCTAACCTTGTGCTGTGGTCCCCGATTTACACATTTTCCACCCATGGCCCCCATGGAATATTCTGAGCCCCCTCCAGGGGGCCACATGTCCCCCTATTAGGAAACACTGACTTAGAGAAACCTTTCCCAGTCTTGGTTCCCCAGGTGCTGGACTACAACTCCCATCATCCCTGACTATTGGCCCTGTTGTCTAGGGATGATGGGAGTTGTAGTCCAACAACATCTGAGGACCCAAGTTCGGGAAGGGCTGCTCTCAAGGGTTTAAGTTAAGGGAGGCATAAATAGGACTGTTCTGACAGTGAATTCCAAATTGGGAGTATGGGGTGCACTGGGGTTGATGTGGTGGCATGCGTGCAGAGTGAAGCAAAATGGTGGGGAAGGGTATCAAGGTGAGACGAGAAACAGCTTTGCAGAATGGGTGGGAGTGCTGGGTCAGGGAGCAGAGGAAGACCTGTGTGATGGGGCTTGAGAGTTGGCTGAGAGGCCTGGTGGAGGAGAAAGTTATGTGAGGTTCAGGGGAAGCTGTACGAAATAGGCGAGCCAGCCTCACAGCTAAGGTTTGGAGTGGGCTATGGTATGTCAGGGACGCGGGTGGCGCTGTGGGTTAAACCACAGAGCCTATGGCTTGCCAGTCAGAAGGTTGGCGGTTCGAATCCCTGCAACGGGGTGAGCTCCCGTTGCTCGGTCCCTGCTCCCGCCCACCTAGCAGTTCGAAAGCACATCAAAGTGCAAGTAGATAAATAGGTACCGCTCTGGCGGGAAGGTAAACGGTGTTTCCGTGCGCTGCTCTGGTTCGCCAGAAGCGGTTTAGTCATGCTGGCCACATGACCCGGAAGCTGCACACTGGCTCCCTCAGCCAATAAAGCGTGATGAGCGCTGCAACCCCAGAGTCGGTCACGACTGGACCTAATGGTCAGGGGTCCCTTTACCTTTACCTTATGGTATGTCAAGACATGTATAAAATTGATAGCCAATGAAAACTGATAAAAACCCCTATTAATTGCTTCCTTCCTTCCTTGCAAGCCCTCAAAGGTTATGGGCTGAGGTTGAGGGGCTGAAGTGGTTGGTGAGAACTGTTCTTCTAGGTCTCCATTTCCTTATATTGCTGTGCTTCCTGCTGATAAAGGTAAAGGTAAAGGTACCCCTGCCCGTACGGGCCAGTCTTGCCAGACTCTAGGGTTGTGCGCCCATCTCACTTAAGAGGCCGGGGGCCAGCGCTGTCCGCAGACACTTCCGGGTCACGTGGCCAGCGTGACAAGCTGCATCTGGCTAGCCAGCGCAGCACACGGAACGCCGTTTACCTTCCCGCTGGTAAGCGGTCCCTATCTATCTACTTGCACCCGGGGGTGCTTTCGAACTGCTAGGTTGGCAGGTGCTGGGACCGAACGACGGGAGCGCACCCCGCCGCGGGGATTTGAACCGCCGACCATGCGATAGGCAAGTCCTAGGCGCTGAAGTTTTTCCTGCTGATGGTTCCCCTAAAAAAAAAGTCCCTTTCCTGTTGGGACCAACTCCCCCTTTGGCTTCTGGTCTAGACAGGGTGAGGGGTATCCTTCTGATTCCAGATGGCTGGCTGCAGGGAGGCATTGGAGGAAAGGAGGCTCCCATAGTGTCTGGATTTTGTTTGCCCATTGTTAGGCTAATGAAGCCTGTGTCTGGTGTCGAAGTAGCCCTTCTCCCAACAATAGGGGGCTAGGAAGAGCCCCAAGTTATTGGCAGGCCCTGCAAGCTGGTCCATTCTTTGTCAGCTAGCTTCCCCCACCCTCACTGTATTATGCCAAACCTTCCATATCTGGCTTTCCCTTCGGTGGCGGATGGCAGTCTCTGGTCCTTGCTTCAATAGGGAATATGGCAAGAGAGGAAGACGAGTGAGATGTGATTTAAAGAGCAGAACCATGGTACCAGTCTACTTGCCTCTTTAGGTATCCCAGCTGAAGATGGCCACTTGAGGAGAGGTTACTTCTACACCCCTAGTTAGATTTGGTATTTGAAAGGGGATATAGGTTTGCATGCATTTTACATGTGCATGCAGCAATTTGTCTGTCTGTCTGTCTGTCTATCTTATATCCTGCCATTACTCCCAAAGAGCTCAGAGCAGCAAACACGTCATGTGTGCGTTCGTGTGTTGCCACTATCTTCTGCCGATCAAATGCCTCGGTAAATTGGAATGTTTTAAAATTCCTTCTGAGAGTCTGGTTTCCTTTTTAGTTATGACTGCAGCATTGATAAAAAGATTGCAAACTTTCAGATGTCAAGACTCCTAAAAAAAGGAAAAGGAGAAGTGCCAGACTCAGAAAAGAGTAAAATTATACACACACATTTTTCAGTTCTTGATTTTGTTCATGTTGGTGTCAAATTTCTAGGTGCCTGGCACAGCTAGGAGATTCATTCTCATTCTCTCTCTCTCAACACACCTATAAATACTATATAACAAAATATCAGCCTGAGTACAAGGATAGAACAAATTGAAAAGCCCCCCCCCCCCCTTTGGACCAGATAGTCTTTAAAATATAGGAAATAAACTTTTGAGCTGCACAGATTCCTTCTTCAGGTTTGGATATTTCAGAGCAGCTTTTTTTGTCTGTATCACTAATACATAGATTCTTTCCCCCACCTCCGAAGTGAGCCAGCAGTGTGGCGGCTCCATCTTCCAAGCACTCTTCTCTATCCATGGTTGCCTCCCTGTATTCATTTTACCGACACAGGCTGTGGCTTTCCTTGAGGGCCTGGACATTCTCGGCAGGAGAGGGTGAGTCAGCAGGAACTTCTGGATCCTGGAAATGGCCGTGGGTCCAACACACAGGGAGAATTGCTGTGATTTGGACGGACTGTTGCTCTCATTGATGGGGACTTTTGCCTGCATCCTCTTAATGAACCCTTTCGAAGACCGGTCCCTTCTCCTGTCTTGTCTTTTGTGGAAGTAGGAGGGGCTTGATGATGGATCAGGGAGGTGCCTGGGAAGGCAGTGGCCCAGGAATGGAGTCTTGACTATTTTCAGATTTCTGTTTTTCCCTCCTTCTTGGTCCTCCCTGCATTGGGTAGATAGCATTGCTTTAATCTGTCAGTTTTCTCCTTTGCATGCATTCGTCTTGTATGTCACAATCTGTTAACGGTGCCAGCATTTTTTGATACAAAGAACACAGGCAGTTTGGGGATGGTGTTAGCCAGTTTGCTTTCTGCTTTGTGTAGGACCCCTGTCCATTGGAGGCGCTGGGAGATGTGCTTTCTTTTCTCCCTCATATGCTCTTCTCTTCTCTCCCCCTCCTTTGCATTGCGAGATCAGTTCATAGCTGCAGCTAGTGTTGAGGGGATTGTGGAGGCTGCAACTTAGTGAAGCTTTCGTGGGCAAGATTTGGTAAGTGGGATTTACTCCCACTTAAGACAACTGTTTTTGGAGGCAGAGATTAGACAGTCTAGCTCAAACCAGGACCAGGGGAATAAGTGTCCCTCTATTGTTTGGTGGCAAAGCCGTCTGCTCATGACTCACTACAGGCTGGTGGTGCAAGCTGACTTGGGGATAATCCTGGGTTGAGGTAGCAGGTGCTGTGTGCTAAACCATTAAGTTGGATTTTGTGTCCTTAGGAATCATGCTGGTTTGCATAACTTTATTTTCTCATTCTTGCCACTTGGCATAACTTATTCTGGCTTTGCTAGTCATGGAGGGTGCAAAGACCCCGAAACCCCATCCCCAAGCACTGAATCTTACTAATCGTGCTCTCTGCTGCTGAGATTTCAGCAGGCATTGTTGCTATCAAGACACATAACCACAAGGGCTAGAAGCCTCTCCAGCGATAGGTTGCTTGTTAAAATAAAATAAAATAAAAAATGTGAAACTGATATTCTCGGTCATATTCAGAACTATATTCTGTGTTCTCTGCCTTGTCTCTGCTCCTCCATAATCACAGCCCTGCTCTCTTTAATCTGTTTCAACTCAGTCTTTGGATTTATTGCCGGGTTTTGTGCATGTCCCAGTTCTGTGGTAGGAGAAGCAATTGTGGAATTTGATGCTCGCTATGTGCAGCATCTTGAAAATCTCAGCTTTTCATGTCATCTTAAAAAAACCCCCAAAACACCAAACCCTCTAGCATTTATGACGGTAGAAGCAAGCTTGAAAGTGTGTGTTCAGTGCCTGGTGAAGAAGCCAGAGAAGCGACTGAGCAGCAGATTCAGTTCTAGATGGGTAACGCTATGCGGTACATCAAAAACAACCGGGTGTCATGGACTGGCTAGAAAGAGAGGAGTGGTGGGAGGCACCAGTTGGGGAACCCCAAAGGGATGAAAGTTCAGAACCAGGGGATTGGTGGTGGGGCGACGGGAGGGAGGTGGTGGTCAGAGGGAGAAGACTTTGGGGAGGAGGTGTCGGAAACTGAAGAGGTAACAGGGTTTAGTGAGCAGGAAGAGTCTTATAGCAGAAAGAAGTCCAGAATCAGAAGCAGCAGAGGAGGGAGGCCAAGAAGCAGAGATGAGTCAGGCTGGTGAAGAAACCAGAGTGTGTTCCCCTCCTGCTGCAAGAAGCTCCCCTCCTCCCTCGTCTCCCAGAACCAGGGGAGGTGTGAAGCAGGAGAAGCAAAGACAGGCATACCGGCGTAGTCTCAGATTGCTTGGGAAGGACCTGGGAAAGGAGGAGACATACGCAGCTGTGGGAAGGTGGGGACCTTCAGTCTCCACAGCTGACTCATAGGGGCAAGACCTACCGAGAAATGTCGCTGTGCTCATTAGTTCTTGCACTCCTGAGCAGACTCTGCTTCTAATAAAGAGTTAACTTCATGTGTTGTGTTGCTGGCTCGGTCCTGACATCAGGCCTTGTAGTAGCTTAAATAAAGGTAAAGGTACCCCTGACCGTTAGGTCCAGTCACGGACGACTCTGGGGTTGTGCGCTCATCTCGCTCTATAGGCCGAGGGAGCTGGTGTTTGTCTGGAGACAGCTTCCGGGTCATGTGGCCAGCATGACTAAACCGCTTCTGGTGAACCAGAGCAGCGCACGGAAACGCCGTTACCTAACCCAATATACAGTGGTACCTTGGTTTAAGAACAGCTTAGTTTATGAACAACTTGGATTAAGAATGCTGCAAACCAGAACTAGGTGTTTTGGTTTGTGAACTTTGCCTTAGAAGCAGAACATGTTCCGCTTTCTGTTGAGTGTGTTCCATTTGTAAATTGAGTCCCCCGCTGCTATGGGAAAGCACGCCTTGGTTTCAGAATGCTTTGGTTTAAGAATGGACTTCAGAATGGATTAACAAGGTAGCTTCAGGCAAGCCACTCTCTCTCTCAGCCCCAGTCCCTAATCTGCAGTGTGCGGGTGGTAAGTGTTGACTTGCCTTGCAGAGCTCTTGTATGGGTTGCAAGAAGATTAGATGCTTGAAGAGTTTGGGCATTATATGAACACTTAAATGCTCTTATTGGAAAGGAGAGGGGAATGCAGCAAAAGGGCCAGGGATTGGAAGCAGTCCAGTCACAATGCAGAAGGTTATTGTGGCACAGGGAGCTGGATATGGTGAGTGCTGCTGGCTGCCAGGGAAAGGGGAGAGAGAATGGTACACACACAACCAACTGAGTCACACCATGGTGTGGCTGGAGGTTGTGTGGTGGCATGTGGTTATGATATACCCAGTGTCCCTCCTGGAACCATGGCAGGAGCTGCAGCAGCCTTGCAGGTAAGGAGGTTGCGAGGCAAAGGGGGACAAGGGCATCAGGCAGACACTGCAAAGGGGGGAAGAAACTTTACAAACCAGGTCAGAAAGCTATGACCATCACTATTATTTAGATTTGTTCCTTGCCTCTTCAAACAAACCGGCTTAACAGTGGCTCTGTTTTGTTCCTATTTCTAGAGTCAGGCTGTTGTTAAACAGTTCTACATGATATAGGTGGGGTTTTTAAGCTCCCAGATGGAAAATGGGGAAAAAGTTCCTTTTATAATATGCATATACTATAATATATGTTTATAATATGCTTATATAATATGCTTGCTAGCAAATTATTTAATCTGCTTACCGAGGCTGCAATGTTTAGTTGGTTGTTGCATTAGATTAATCAATTAAACTTTTTTGACAATTTCAGAGGTGCTCTCAACCAGGCAGTAGATGATGGTGGTGGTGGTGGTGGTGGTGGTGGTGATGATGATGATGATGATAATAATAATAATAATAATGTGGCTTACATAAACTACAGAAGGCAGGTGCCATCTTCAAAGAAGCATTCTCCATTCTCTTTCAAACAAAAGGGAATACACTGAGAATGGTGTCTGCTGCACCAGCTAAAAGCATTGTTTCTTTTTAATATGTAGGTGCTTCTAAATTAATATATACCGTATTTTTCTCTCTATAACACGCACCAGACCATAACACGCACGTAGTTTTTAGAGGAGGAAAACAAGAAAAAAAAATTCTAAACGAAACAGTGGATGTATGATTTTTGTGGTTCATGCTGTGGCCACAGACATGTGATCTGACAGTGAGTTTGGAGTAGCCCAATGCAAAAATCCTGAGGATCCATGTGGATCCGTGCTTTGTAACCACGTTTTGCACCACTGCGACCCCAGGCAACAGTGGGTGCGTGATTTTTTTGGTGCAAGATGTAGCCATGGACATGCTATGTGATCTGATGGTGAATTTGGGGTGACCCAGTGCAAAAATCCTGAGGATCCATGGATCCGTGCTTTGTAACCACGTTTTAAGTGGGGAGGGAAGGAAAAGCACTCAAGGGACAAGGAGCATGCATGGGGTGTGTGGAGAAGGATGCTGCTAATAATGCTATTTAGCGAGCTGAGTGGGGAGGAGAGAGGGACAGAGAGCCTGCTTGCTTTAAAGGAGCCAACCAGACAGGAGCCGCTTACCTCTCCTCTCCCGCTTTGCTCCTTTAAAGCAAGCAGGCTTTCTGTCCCTCTCTCCTCCCCACTCAGCGGCTCTTCTCCCGCTTTGCTGTTTCAAAGCGAGCCATGGAGGAGGGAAGGAAGGGGAACCATGGAACCATGGATCCTCTGCTCACGACTGCAGCGGATCCCCCCCGCCCCGCCACCCATAGGCATTCGCTCCATAACACGCACAGACATTTCCGCTTACTTTCTAGGAGGAAAAAAGTGAGTGCTATGGTGCAAAAAATACGGTAGTTGTTTAGAATTCACATCACTGTCCTCTTTTCCAACCCTCAAGCCCATCCTCCGGCTTGAATGGAGATTGCAGCCTGACCACTGAATCCTGTCTTGTCTTCGCAGGAGGATCCCTTCCCATTTCAGCCTGGCCTCTGCTATGTTGCGTTCTCCGCATCTTCTCCAATAGCTTTTGCAAATGAAAATGGAGGAAATGACTTTGTCGGGCCTGGATAACAGCAAGTTGGAGGTAAGTTGCCTCCCTTGAGGCTGAAAGGCTTCTTACAAGGATTTGGAGGGAGCAGTGCCATCAAAGGCAGGCAGAAATTGATGGGTTCGTGAAAAGTCTGAGGTGGAGGACCTGTTCTCCTAGGTACAGAAGTTCATGCCAGTGTGGTGTAGTGGTTAAGAGCGGTAGACTTGTAATCTGGTGAACTGGGTTCGCTTCCCCTCTCTTCCACATGCAGCTGCTGGGTGCCCTTGGGCTAGTCACACTTCTCTGAAGTCTCTCAGCCCCACTCACCTCACAGAGTGTTTGTTGTGGGGGAGGAAGGGGGAGGAGATTGTTAGCCCCTTTGAGACTCCTTAGGGTAGTGATAAAGCGGGATATCAAATCCAAATCCAAACTCTTCATGCAAGCCAGGACTTTAGCCCCAGAGCCTTTCCATCATGAGAGTTGCTGGAAGGATATTAGAAACTGGGATTCCTCCCCCCCTTTTAATAAAGAGACTTCATCCTTTGTATTGATTGTGTGTTGGAAGCACAACCTATTCTGACATCTATTAGGAATATTGATTCATTTTACACGGTTACAATTTCACAGCCTTGCTGCCATTTCTTTTGACTTTGGTGCCCCGGGAATTTAGAATGAGGCTACACTCACTCTTGTTTCTGTGGTTTACCTCTGAGTAGACTTAACTAGGATTGTATTGCAGTGTAGGCAATTCTGGGTGACCTTTTACGACTGGTTCAAATGACTTGTGTGTTCTGGGGTGTGGAAGTGCAAGCCACTTGCATTTCCTGTCCAACACCTTCCCCTCCGCTTTAAAAAACAGCCATGAAGAACGATTGAAGTCTTCCAGGCAGTGTTTGGATTGTAGGTGCTTCTTGCCTTCTTGAGAACAGAGTTGGGGAGTGAGGGGGGACATGGCTAGTGGAAATCCTCTTAGCAGGATGCAGCAATGTACATTAATTTGGCTGGATAGCTTGGTTGGTAGAGCCTGAAACTCTTAAACCCAGAGTCGTGGGTTTGAGCCCCACACTGGGTGAAGGACCCCTGCATTTCAGGGGGTTGGGCTAGATGACCCTTGTGGCCCCTTCCAACTCTACAATTCCAGAGTGTTTTATGGGGGCTGAACTCTGGACTGGGATCAGATTCTGAGGCTTAAACCATGGGCAATGGATGCTGCTCCCAGTTCAACCTTGCTCTTGTTCTCTATGGCTCTCACTGGTCTTGTTCTTGGTCTTGGTCTTCTTGCTTCCTAGGCTGTGGCTCATGATATCTATACAGACTTGATTGAGGATGCCTGCCTGGGCTTGTGCTTTGAGGTCCACCGGGCTGTCAAATGTGGCTATTTCTTTTTGGATGACACAGATCCTGAGAGCATGAAGGACTTTGGTAAGTATGTGTTGCAGCCAATCATTCCTCCACCCCCATCCCTTGCCCCTTACCAGAAATCCAGCATAGATTTTTAAAGGGTGCTTCTTTGTTTTAATGCCTTGAGTCTAATCCATGGGTAGGCAAACTAAGGCCCAGGGGCCGGATCTGGCCCAATCGCCTTCTCAATCCGGCCCGTGGATGGACCGGGAATCAGCATGTTTTTACATGAGTACAATGTGTGCTTTTATTTAAAATGCATCTCTGGGTTATATGTGGGGCATAGGAATTCATTCATTCCCCCCCCCCAATATAGTCCGCCCCCCCAAGGTCTGAGGGACAGTGGACCGGCCCCATGTGAAAAGTTTGCTGACCCCTGACTCTAATCCAATTCCTTGATTAAATTTGTGCTCATGCATATATTTAATACCATCACAGCTGCCAAAGGTTCATTTTCCATTTTTAAAAGTTACTTCTTTCTCTCTCTCCCCCGCCCCCCGCCTTCTAAAGTGAGTGATTTAAGAAGCCACTCATAATGGTGGGCTGCAGAATTTTATGCTTGGGGAAAGGGAGGGTGGTTAAATCCAGACCACAGCGTGGCACATACAAAGAGCAGGGGAACTGCAGAATGGTGCCTGCAGAACGAATTGCTACAGAGGCAATACGTTCCGTGCTGCAAGGAACTTGCATGAAGGGAGCTTGGTGGCAGGATGAGCTTAAAGTCGCCTGGGAAATCTTTTGCTCGAGACTGCAGGATTTAAGAAGAGGGGATCAAAGTGGTTAGGTGAATTAGTGGGGTTCCCCAGCTGGTGCCCCCCACCACTCCTTTGGATTCAGCTAGTCCCTCCCACTTGAGAAACCATCTCCCATTTCTTCCCTACTCCCAGAAATTGTAGATCAGCCGGGACTGGATATCTTTGGCCAGGTCTACAACCAGTGGAAGAACAAGGAATGTGTTTGCCCAAACTGCAGCCGAAGCATTGCCGCCTCCCGCTTCGCCCCACACTTGGAGAAGTGCCTTGGCATGGGCCGGAACAGCAGCCGCATTGCCAATAGGAGGTGAGGTCTAAGAATCGAAGCCTTGCCAGAAAACCAAACCTCTCAAAATGGTGTTTTGGGTAGCAAAGGTTGTGAGAAGGCCAAGGGTAGGATTTCTGGAAGAAGGAACAAATGCCAAAAACGGGTGAACTTTTGGCTTCTGGTTCATACCAGGTTGTGCATCTCCTGTGCTTAAAACAATTTTTTGATGTCTTTGCCATGCTGAACCTAAATTCTGCACCGCTAAGTAGCTTACGTGGCATGGCTGGAAAATACAGCCCAGATCAACCCTAGCAATTGCCTGGTCTGGTCTGGAGTCGTAGCTAAGAGAGGGTTCGAATCTTGCCTCTGCCCCTGACCTTCCCAAGTCCAAATGGCCTTGGTAAAGCTGCTGTTTTCTGTCCTGACCCTTCTTTTCTTCTCCCCATCCCTGGTCTTCCATATGGGGATCATTACACAGAATTCAGAGGGATATTGAAAGGGAGGGAGTACTGAGGGGTTTTGTGTGAATTGCTATAAACACTCAAAAAGTGTTATAATTGCAATGGCATAATTAAGAACCTGCTGCTGGTGACAAATCAGAAGAAAGTGTGTCTTTGGCCTTGACTCTGCTTGCTCCATTACACTGTATCCTAATAAGGTTTTCAAACTTTCCACCAACAGGGACCCCTTTTTAAAATTCCCTTTTTCGGCAAAAACCCCCTTGCCTTGTTGGCATGGGTGTGGGAGCAGTTTCTGGGGCCACGTGCTCAGTTCATGTAGATATTTGCCAGCCTTGCTTGGGGGCTTCACCTCTTTGTGGGAACTGGGAATGTGTCATGGACTACAGCCTTGTGCCTGCGCTTTGCAGAGGAAGACAGTGGTGGGAACACAGGCATTCCTGTTAGTTACGAGTCGGCCTTCAGACGTGGCCATGTAACTTTCAGGGGAAGTTAATCACCATTAAGTGTCATCTTCGCCATTCAAAACTGCTGCTCAAACTTTTCCTCCTCCCACCGCAAAGCTGTCTAGCTCACTTTCTTTTTTCCTCTTCCTGTTCCTTTTGCTATAGGATAGCAAGCAGTAACAACATGAACAAATCCGAGAGTGACCAAGAAGACAACGACGATATAAATGATAATGACTGGTCATATGGATCCGAGAAGAAAGGTAAGACAAGGAAGGGGTTTGGCGGCATATTATTTATTCTGTTTATAAATATTCTGTAATGTTTTCTGGCTTACAACAATAAAACCTCAAAGGAACGGGTGTTCAAATAATATGGATAAACCAAACCGTAACTAGACGAAAACGGGAATGATTTACAGATGGAACAAAAGAAATTCCTTTAGGTGGGCAGCTAAGGCTTTAGAGGAGGGACCGGTCTAACAGATGCAGATGTTGCTGAACCACTACTCCTGCCATCCATGACAATGGACCATGTTAGGGCTGATGGGAGTTGAAGTCTAGCAACATCTGGATGGCCACAGGTTCCCCATAGGCATCTCTGGCCTGTGGGAGCATGTAGCCCAGTTCAAAAGTTGTCCATTTGCATCAGGTGTTTGGCTTTATGAAGAAAGCAGAGGATGGGGGAAATAGCCTGGAAACATTAGACAGAACTGGGTTTGTTCTTTTTTTTCAGATTGGTAGGCCAAGGCTTTATCATGTTGAGGAATATCATCATTTGACTTAGAATATCATTGTGCAGCATTCTGTCTACAGTGTTTCCCAAACTAGAGGTCTCCAGCTGTTTTTGGACTACAACGCACATCATCTCTAGCTAGCAGGACCGGTGGTCAGGTATGACGGGAATTGTATTCCAGAAACAGATGGAGACCCAAGTTTGGGAAACGCTGGAAGGTTTTGCGGAAAGCATTTGTCAGAACTGGCCTTTGAGCTAACAGAGACTGTGCTTTGTTCTTGGGGTGTTTTGTTAAAATAGTCTTGTCTCTTTTCCTTCCTAGCAAAAAAGAGAAAATCAGATAAGGTAAGACCATCCTTATGCATACTGGCGCAGTTAAATGAGATGTACCTTTTCTAACTTTTTTTTTGCAAAGAGTCGTCAGTACAGGAGAAAGCTTAAAGACACACATCCCTTGTGCATGTGAGCAGACCTGCTGGTTTCCCTCAACTTTCTCGATCTTAATCTATATGCCTAATGTTGCTTGCCGAATCTTGGGAGGGTTGGGGGAGGCTGTTGATGGAGAGGACTGCATCCTTTGGAATGGCCTGGTGGTAGATTTTACTCACACTTGTTCTGATTGGCAGCTTCTCAGGAGGATCCCCTCCAGCAGCTTGTTGAGTGATTCTGGTCCCCAACTCTGTTGCACAAAGATCCTGTAAATATACTTCTGTGTACCTGGATGCTTCTTTTTAATTTTTTACTGCTAGACAGCGCACCTGCTCTGTTGGTTATGGCAAGGAGTGCTTGGCTTTTGGGGCTTGATAACTTTGGCCATTTGACCACTGCCTTCCTCTGATGTAACTTTTCTTTTCCTTTTTTTAAAAAAATAAATGTTATTAGGGTTTATAGAGAAAAATACATAATTTAATATCAAACATATTTCCCCCTCTTTTTTTTTTGTCCAAACTAAGCCTTTAAATACAGTATAAACATAAAGAGAAGGGGGGGGGAGAGAGAAAGAATAAAGAAATAGAAATAGAAAAGAGGTTAAGAGAGAGAGAGAGAGAGAAATAAAATTCAGAAGGTAAGGGACTTCTGATTCTTCATCTCTCGGCTATATATAAACAAAATTCACTTCACCCACTCCAATATAATACCCAGCAAAGCCACTTTCCATAAACAAATATTATCTTCAATCATCAAATCCAAATGTCATTATTTCTTGTTCTTTTTCACTCCAAAAGCCTACGGGAGTTTTCCAATCTTTTAACAAATGTTAGCAACGACTTTTCCCTGATTAAACATGTCTGTTTCACCATCTCAGTGGAGTCCGTTAGTTTTAACAGCCATTCTTCTGTTGCTGGTAACAATGGGTCCTTCCATCTTTCTACATATAAAAGTCTCGGAGCCGTAATCGTATATTGAAGCAAAGTTCCATAGTCCCCTCTGATGACACTTTTCAAAGTTAGCAGTAAGGTGTGTTTTTTTAAAAAAAAATGATCCTTTGCTGCTCTTCCCCTTTTGTTTCAGAATCCCAACTCGCCCCGACGATCCAAGTCCCTGAAACATAAAAATGGTGAGTGCATTATGTGTGTCGGTTCTCTTCGCTCATTCCCTCCTTACACACCATAGCAGCATTTCCTGGGCTCCTGAAGCATACTTCTCTGTGTTAATTAAAATCTGGCATCCAAGTAGATTGGGGTTGACAGGGAAAGGCGTAGTATGGATAGCCTTTAAATTGGTCTGACAGGTAGGGAGAGCTTTTTTAAAACACACACACACACACACACACACACAAAATTTGGAAGCTTCAAATGGGGCCTAATGGCTATCTGGGATGATGATTGTGTGTGTAGCAGTTCTTTAGACCAGATGCAGATGGAGCCAATGGAAAGAGGGTGTTGCAAAAAATACTTGGGAACAGGCGTTATGCAGGGCAGCTCTGAAACCACAATGCAGAATGGGGAACATGCTCCGAGATGCATGATAGCTCAGTTGGTAGAACATGAGACTCCTAATCTTAGAGTCGTGAGTTTGAGCCTCACATTGGGCGAAATATTCCTGTGTTGCAGGGAGTTGGACTGGGTGACCCTTGCGGTCCCTTCCAACTGTATGATCCTATGACACTCAGCCTATCCCTCAACTCAACTTGCCCCTGCATTCCTTCCTAATAAGCCCTCAGTGCTGCCGGGAGAGTGAAATGGGGAGGGGGGAACTTTATGGCCTTCCAGATGTCACTGTACTCTGATACCCACCAGCCACAGCTCGCATGGCCAATGGTCAGTTATGTTGAGAATTGTAGACCAGCAACACCTGGCAGTTGATAGTTTCTGCACCCTTGGAACAAAGTGAGCTTTTCACCTGCGCTGTGCTTGTGTTCACCTGCGCTTTTTACCTGCGCTGTATTACGTTGTGCTTGTGTGTGTGTGTTACTATACAAAGATAAAATATACCAGGCATGTCCAACCAGTAACAACTTTGCTGGTCTCCCCCAAAAAAGCTCAACAAGTTTGGTCAATCCAATGGGTTGTTTTTTTATAGTGCGAGTAGATCGCAGTCTCTTGAGAGTTGGACGTGCCTGAAATATACAAATGAAATTCATGGTTTTGCAACTCAAGTTCTTGTTTTGTGCATTTCCTAAGGTGGAGGCCAGACATCACTATTAATATGCATCCTCTTTTCTTATTTTTCTTTTCCCCCTTCCCTAGGGGAACTGAGTGGTAACTCGGACCCATTTAAGGTGAGTTTAGCTTGTCTCTGTAGCTCTCAACTTCTTGTGTCCTGCTTCAGAGAACTTCAGGAAGACCATAGAGCTGTCCACTGGGGTCTGAGTGGGCTTTCAAGGGCCGCAGTATGGAAGCCACTGTGAATAGAGAATGCCCTTGGAGAATTGGGCCCAAAAAGCAATCACTCTTATTTGTGTAACCTCTAAAGTGCCTTGGCCTGTGTGTATTCTGTTCCAATAGTATAACAACTCTGCTGGAATCAACTATGAAACGCTGGGCCCTGAGGAGCTCCGTACTTTGCTCACTACGGTGAGTACCAGAGTTTCCTTCTGCCTCTTGCTGTCGTGCACCATCAGCTGCAAGGGTTGCCTGTTAACTATGACTTCTTTGCAATTGGTCGTTGACTGCAATAAAATGACTTGCTTACTTTGGCTTCCTACCAGAACCTCTTTTGTGAGCATCCAAGTCAGTGATAGCCGGAGGGCTCGTAACATCTCTTAGCTAAGTCCCACGGTGTGTTTGATGGATAGATTAGCTATTTGCAACAAAATACTACCTTTAATATTTATTTAGCCCCAGCTCACTTGTTTGTTGGGGTGCACGGAACAGGGAACAGCAGAGGAGGTGGCGACACAGGCAAGGCTCTGTAGGGTTAGGTTTTGAAGCACAAGGTCAGCCTGGATAGCTCAGTTGGTTTAGAGCACAGGGCTGATAAGCAGGTTGCAGGTTCAGACCCTGTATGGGACAGTGCATATTCCTGCATTGCAGGGGGTTGAACTAGATGATCCTCAGGGTCCCTTCCAACTCTTAAAGGTCTGTGAAGGTTGCCGGAAAGGCCTTGACTAGCAACGTGGAGATGACAGTGGCTGACGGAGGTGTGAAAGAAAGCTGTGTGCGCAGGAATATATATTGATGCACTCTGTGAGCTGCTGCCTGGGCCTTGGTGTGGGTCCTCTCAGGTTTCCTTGTTTTTACCCCATGGAGTGGTATCGAGCTTGCCAGGGATCATGGCTTTACTCTCTTACCTTTCCCCTACTCTGAGTGGGAACGTTCCTCCACGTCTGTCTTCTCCAACTCCCAAGTAGGGTTGTTCATAGCTTCCTTAAGACCAGGCTCTGCCCCTTCCATACCTCACATGAGAGTTCCCTTGCTTCCAGGTAGGCCATATTGGCTCACCCGCTTCCACATTCCCAATAACTTTCCATCCTCCTTCAGCCCCGCTTGGAGCCACTGTAACTTTTGTCTTTATCCCGGCAATCCTCATGGCATTTCTGAGAACTCTACTTTCATTTAGAGTGCTGCTCCTCAATTTCTGGTGGCAAAAATTGTTCTTACAACCCCCCTCCCCCCGTATACTTTTCAGAATGTGTAAAAGTAAGAATCGCCTTCCATCAGAGCTCCCTTCCCGCCCCCTAATACATATGCGTGAGACACTGTTTTGAGTGCCACCTTGATTTGGAAAGGGCAGAGTGACAACATAAGCAGAGATGAAACAGGTGGCCTCCTCTGAGAGGTGGGCGCGTTTGGTTTGCAGGGAACAGCTAATAAATTCCTTATTCCCCAGTTCTATTATACCATACAGTTAGAGCATTAGTGATATCATGCTTGGCTGAAAGGGGCCAGCCCACTTCTGTCATACTCGGTGGACTTTGATTTGTTCGCTGCTGCACGCTTTTCATTTGTTGACGCTGTATATTTCCTTCTCCGTAGCAATGTGGGGTGATATCTGAGCACACCAAGAAGATGTGTACACGGTGAGAGCAGCCCTTCCTTCTACTTTCTTGAGCCCCATAACCTCTTTCCGTTCCTCTACCGGTGCAACCGTTCCCAGGTCACAAGGAGAGTGGGAGGTATTCACGACTGCCTGCTTGGGGTGGCTGGGTGGAAGTCCAGGTTAACTGCGATGGATCTGAAAGAACACCCACACCATGATCCGTTCGCTGCCGTTGACTCAGAATTTACGCTCGGGGCCAAAATATGTCCTGAAAGCTGGGGGGGGGGGAGTGTATTTCGCGTTGGGTTAGCTTGCAAACTGCCTGCACAGGCTGAAGGTGGAAGTGGGAATCTTCCCGACTCTTCAATCTACCCTTGCAACTTGCTGCTTCTGGTTTGCCTGTCCCAATGCACCTTGTTTTGCTGGTCATTTATCAGTAGCTTAAAAGGCAACTAGCTCTTAATGAGTTTGCGGAAGTTTCTTTGCCTGCTTGCTTGGAAGAGACTGGGAGTGGCCGCTGAGACCATATAACACCGGTCCTGAAAGACCTACATTGGCTCCCAGTATTTTTCTGAGCACAATTCAAAGTGTTGGTGCTGACCTTTAAAACCCTAAACGGCCTTGGGCCAGTATACCAGAAGGAGCGTCTCCACCCACATCGTTCAACCTGGACACTGAGTTCCAGCTCTGAGGGCCTTATGGTGGTTCCCTCACTGCGAGAAGTGAGGTTACAGGGAACCAGACAGAGGGCCTTCTCGGTAGTGGCGTCTGCCCTGTGGAAGGCCCTCCCATCAGATGTCAAGGAAATAAACAATTATCTGAATTTTAGAAGACGTCTGAAGGCAGCCCTGTTTAGGGAAGTTTTAATGTTTGATGTTTTATCGCTTTATTATTATTAATAAAAATATTCTGTTGGGTGCCGCCCACAGTGGCTGGGGAAACCCAGCCAGATGGGTGGGGCATAAATATTAAAATTATTATTATTATTACTCACCACACATGGCCCAGCAAACAGTTGCTTACAAACCTGCCTTAGTTGTTGTCATAGGACAGAGTCAGACCACTGGGAGCTGTGCAGGAACTGCTGAAAAACTCACTGTATGATTCCTGTAACCAGCAAATTAAGCCCAGTGTTACCACCACCACCACCACCCAGTTTCCCCAGAATTATGACTGGCTATGGAAGGATGTTGGCATTGGGCTTGACTGCCTGTCGGGGTGATGGATAACTTCCTTCCCAGATGGCAATGGGTGCCATGTGTTCAGTTGCCAAATGCCCACCGTAGCGCTTGCTGGTCTGCCGTTTATGCTCCCAGTTGATGTTAATTGGGCTCATTGGTATCCATTTAAGCTCAGTGCTTGTGGGCTGCTTCTGATATTTTAACCCTGGTGAAGAGACTGGGAGTTGTCCACCAGCTTGTGTTTCCAACCTCCCTTCTACCATGAAAGTTTTGCCTTCACTTCTCTTGTCAGCCTGAACACTAATGGGTTGGCAAATGTTGGTGTAAGACATAGTTGTATACTACGGCTAAAACCTTATCAGAGAAGAGAGGGAAATCTGAATATCATACAGGAGTGTACAGATCCACAGACCTATGCAATTGACAGGCAGTGTCAATGGTCTGCATGTGTAGCTTTCCACGCTCAGTGTAGAGTATCCAGGATTGTGTGCACCCCATGCTTTTTATATTTAAAAAGTCCATTCAAATTCTGTGATAAAAATTGGGCAGCTTGTATAAATTATGAAATTAAGCTCTGTGGCTTTTTCTTTATTTTTTATTTTTTTTATTTTTGCATAACACTGGTGGGAAACCTATTATCCTCCAGACGCTGGACTCCAGCTCCCATCAGCCCCAATCAACATGACCAGTGGTCAGGGTTTATAGAAGAAAAAACATCTGGGAGGCCACAGATTCTCCACTTCCGTCACACAGCCATGGAGAGGTTGTGGAAGCCCCATGTCTTTATGAGTAGAAATCCTGGTCAGCCTCACTCTGGCTTCTGAGGCTTCAACTGAGGTTGCCCCACACTTGCAAGCCTCTTGTTTTGCAGCCATGAGAGCTACCAACTTGCTTTTAATGAAAGACAGCTGAGGTCCAGAAAGTCACTGAAATCAGTGCCCACTTTCCAAATTTGAAATGTGCAAAATACACAGTTCTGGGTTTATTACTGGACCAAGGGGCCTATCTTTTTTTAAGGGATGCTCCTGGTTGTATGTTTCAGCACCCAAATGAGCCCTTCATATGGCTGGCTTAGTTACTCCATTTCCGGAATAGCGCAAACATTCTTTACTGCAGTCCAAAGACCCACAGAAACAGTTTTGGAAGCGAAATACCGCAGGAACAAAGGGAAAAGATTCCAAGGCAGTCACTGTGCTTTATCCATTTCTGGAATGAATAGCAATCCGTTTAGGAACAGGAAAACCTGTGTTTCTCAGCTTGTGCCTCATCCCTGACTTTTCCCCTTTTCCTGCAGGTCTTTGCGCTGCCCCCAACACACGGATGAACAGCGGAGGTCAGTCAGAGTCTACCTCCTGGGACCCTCTGCGTAAGTGTGATGGGATGGAGGCAGGGCAGGTGTGGTATAGGGAAACCCCCCCCTCCCAAAAAAGTGTCGTGTGATTAACACTTAAGTTCAACTGGAAGGACTCTGGAGAAGGACTGTGCTTGCTTTTTAAAGAAAAGCTGAATTATTCAATGGACATAAATTGAGCATCTTTCTCTAGCTGATTAGCATAATTCTGCATAGGTGGTCAAGGGGAGGCGGCAGGACTGGGAGAAACCTTACTTGGCCATCCTGCTCTCTTTTGGTTGTATTTTTGCAGCTGTGAAGCTTGCAGGTGTTTTTTGTCTCCTTTCTTAGTAAACCCACACTCAGTGCAGCGTTTTGTGTTCCTTTGAAACCGCAGAATTCATTTTGTCTTGCCTGGAATTTGTTGCCTGGATGGAAGCTAACCTGATCCAGCAGCAGCTCTCGCAAACATGTCTCCTCCTTCATTGGCTGCTGTGCTTCAATACGCAGCATGCATTGAGAGCACCCAAATTCTGCATACATTACTCACCTGAATGACCCTTGCATGCATGCATGCATGCATGCTCTCTCTCTCTCTCTTCCTCTCTGGCGTAACTTCCCTTCTGTTTGCACATGAGTGGAAAGCCAAGAAGTTGCCCTGAAGCCTTACCATCAGCAAGTCATCCTCAGCCTCTAGCCACTCAAGCTTCTGCAATTCCACCCCATGCTGCCCACACATCTTACAACTTGCTTTCTCAGTCAGCTAGACAATTTTGTTTTAATGCACTGCACAACATTAGATCACATCCCCGTTACTCTGTATCAGTTAATAACTAGGGACCCTCTAGTCCGCGTTCATTATTGCAAATTTAAAAATTTCCATTTTACCTGTAAAAGTTGGACCTGGTGGGGACAAGCCCTTTGTCAGTCCTAATCTTGGTATGACAACTTTGTTAAGAGTCTTGAAGTGTAAATCAGAAGATTTTGCCATTTTGGTCTAGTTCAAGGATTGGCAGCCTTTAGGGTCCTCTAGATATCACTAGATTCCTACCTCCTATCAGTCTCAGTCAGCGTGGACTGTGCTCAGGGACAGTGAAAATGGTGGTCCAACAACATCTGGAGGTCCACAGCTTCCCCATGCCTGGTCTAGTCTGTTTCCAGGTGTGACCAGTCAGGTAACCCTGGGGACAAAAAAATTCACTCCCATAGTACCTGGTATTCAGAAAATATACTGCTCTTACACATGGAGGTTCCATTTGGCTATAAGGGTTAAAAGCCATCTATAAGATCCATTAGCCATGAATTCATTCTAATCCTTAAAAAAAAAAAGGAAAGCCATCTAAGATAGCTATCTCCTTGAAGTCACACCCATAACGATGCATTACTTCTGTCTGCAGCCAATAATTAGGGGGCCTGAAATGCTAATGTTGGGAGTTATCTCATCTGCAAAGTGAACGTTTTGCAAAGGTTTTGCAGAATCCTTTCTCTGGAGAAAGCAGTCAGATTGGATGTGAAGGCAAGGAGGAGGAGTGGAGTGTTTTGCTTTGTGACGCTGCCTTGTTTCCTTTTTACTCTCCACGTGGCTTTAAAACCTCAGCTGAGAAGCTGCAGAAGCAGCAGCTGCTGGAGGGCGAGTCACCTTGCTCCTTCAACCCTTCTCATACATCTGCCCCTTTTCCTAGCTCACTTCCCGAGGCAGAAGGAAGTGTGGAGAATGACAGTTTTGACGTGGCGGAAAGTCAAGCCCTCATGAATAGACTGCAGTGGGACGGATCTTCAGATATCTCGCCTTCTGACTCGGCTTCATCGAAAGCAAGTAAGAATCGGACGGGGTGCCCAGTTAGAGCACGGCATAAGTTGGTGATGGACTGGGCTGCCATTAGTGCTGGGATGGCATGTTCTTTGTGCCTTTTCTAAAACAATCTTCCCCAAGAACCTTTTACAGTGGTATATCGGGTTACGAACTTAATTCGTTACGGAGGTCCGTTCTTAACCTGAAACCATTCTTAACCTGAGGTGTGCTTTCGCAATTGGGGCCTCCTGTGCTGCCGCATGATTTCTGTTCTCATCCTGGGGCAAAGTTCTTAACCCAAGGTACCACTGTACAAAGTGTTGTCAACAGAGGAAAGTGTCTATGAAACATACCAGAGGCTTAACAGGCACTTGCCTTCTTCTCCACCTCAGGTACAAACAACTCAGAGTCCCGGAAAACCAAAAAGAAGAAACCGCACATGAGCCTGGTAGGAGGTGCTCCAGGAATGAGCTCCAGCAAGAAGAAACTGAAGCCGAAGCAGCTTGCACCTCCCACCCCCAGCCTTTATGACGACATCAATTGAATAATGCTGGGATGAGGATAAAGAAAACAGGGAGGTGGGGAGATGCCCCGGAACCCCGTCCGACCCAGTTCGCGGGAAAGGAGCAGGACTGTCTCCTCTCAGGCACACCTTTTTATGAACTGTGAAGAGAGTTGGCTGCATGTCTCCCTTTTCCTCCCAAGCCTCCAGCACACATTGCACAGCCCTTTGTGTCCACTGGATGTGAGAACGAAAGGACCGGACTGCTTTTGGTGCAGTGGGCACCCACCTCTTCCGGGGAAAAGCGGGGGGTGGTGTGTGTTTTGAGGCGGGGCCTTGAAGATGAGTGACTCCGTCAGCCAGGGAGTCGCTGTTCTCTTTCCTCCCCCACCCCACCCCCGTCCCCGTTTCAACACGTCTATTTATTGTGATGTTAGTGGATGTTCAATCATGACTATATATACGGTGGCATTGTATCGCTTCGCAACCCTGGAGACTGACTGGGCGGGGTGGGGTGTGTCGGCCTGCAGCCTTTTGGGCCTGGTTTGCAAGAGAATTAAAGGGTCTCTGGGGGGAAATGGAGAATGTCTGTTGCGCTTCAGTGCCTGCCCTCCCTTCTCGAGAGCCTCTGCTCCAAAACGGAGCCTCCTTTCTGTCGTGCGAAGGGGGCACCAGATCGTGAACCTGCCTCTGAGCTGCTGCGGCGGCGCTCCGTTGTTCAAAAGGCTGTCTCCGTGGCTGCTGTATCCCTCTTGCCCTCCAAAGCAGGAATAATGCTCTTGCTGCAGAGAGCAGTCCTCAGACGTCTGCACAACCTGAGCAAACTGGGATGGAGGCCGAAGAGAGGTTTGGTCTTGTGTTGCTGCTGTCACTACTGCCAAACGGTGTCTGCTTCCCTGCCAAATGGCATTTCCAAGACTGTGTATGAAGCAACATGATGAATGGCTTTGATGATGTGGGCAGTCTCTCCCGGCGATGCATGTCAGGAAGCTGGTGCAGCTGTTTGCTTCCTAACTCTTCCTATACTGGGCACAAAACTACGTTTTGCCCAACCCTGGTGAGCCAATACCGTAAGATTTGCAATGCTTTATACATACTTCGTATGCAGGTATGAATCTCCGTACAGCCCTAAAAATTGGCTGTAAATTTAGAATAGTTGGTTGTTGCTTTTTTAATTAAAAAAAAATGGCTCTGCTGTTTAACATCCCCCAGAAGATGTTAATGAAGGTCAAGCACAGGAGGGGCAGCGCTGCCTTCCCTGCTGTGGCCTGTGTGGGTCTATAAATCTAAACAAAACCTTGCTGGAGTATTAGAGCCAATCTAAGTGTGCCTGGGTGGGGCAGTAGAAGAGATGGGAGGGGGGATGTATACTCTTAAGTGAGTACTTCCACCGCTCTCTCCCCATCTATATAAACCTCCCTTCCACCTCAATCCTGGCCTGAATTCTATTCCTTCTGTAAGCAGGTGCAGTTTTTAAAACGCCAGAAATCATGGTGGTCCTAGATGGAAACTTGAAATTGCAAAGTTGATTCTGGAAGGTGGAGTGTTGCTGGTTTTCATTGTGTCTCTGTGCTTCTCTCTTTTCCGGAATTTTGACAAGACTTAGAAAAGGGCATGTGCTGTCCAATAAGCTTTGTGCAAGCCCAGCCCCGCCACCCCCAGCTTCTGAACATACTTAAAGGGAATTTCTCGTGTATTCTTCTTCCCTTTCCTCTATTCCAGAGAATGCAAATATGTGTGTGTTTGGGGGGGGGATGAGAGACTTAAGATTTTCCTCCCATAACTCTGTTCTGTTGCAGCTACGCACATGCCTGCTTCAGCACAGCGATGTCTGCTGCTGATGCTGGTTTTTCAGGACTGAGCCTTTCGAACCTTTTCCTCTATTCTCATAGCAGCTGAAAAAACCAGTTGGGTTGCAGATGAAAGTCCGCCTTTGCCACGGCTAAAATTCATGGGCTCAGTTCTGTAAGGAGAGGCTTCTCTGAGCAATCACCTCCTACAGTCCTGAAACAGAAAACTTTTCAGATGTTCAGCTGTTTGTATGGAGGGTCTCCGAAGAGCCTTATGTCTTCCTGCTTCCTCCTTAGTTTCCCACACTTTTCCTGCCTGTGAGGGCCCAAATTGTGGCAGCCGTGTTTCCCTACATTGCAGCATAAATGCTGAATCTGCAGTCACTGAGCAGGAGTGTGCGACTGATGATGTTCAGCATGTCTGGAAGTAGAGGTAGCCTACTCAGCAAGTTAACACCATTTTTAGTTTTCTCTCTCTTTCCCAACCCCCCTGCTCTTCACTTTGCTTCCCTAGGCAAAAGGTACAAGGTATGCAGGGGCTGTTCAGAGGGTGAGGCAAGCTTTTGCCACACATGGAGCAAGAACTCCATGTTATTTAAAGGTAAATAACATGACTTGGAGCTCTACCAGCTGAATTGTACAGTTCTTTTGTCTTGAAGGGATGGATCCTGCACCACAACCAACCTTTCTTTTTTTTTTTAAAGGTCACCTGTTTTCTTCTATGGCAGTCTGCACTCCCCCATCATTAGAAACCAGTGCTTCGTGTTGTGCTTGAGCAAATGTTTTTGAAAACATGACTTGACAGCCTGTGCTATGCAGGCAATGATCAGCCTTGCACCCGCTTCTGACTTAACTAGTTGAACCGAATCATATCTTTCCAGAGAGAAATAGTAAGGAAGAAGAAGAGGTAGACTTTTATTCAAACCAGGATCAGTTGCCTTCTCTATGCCTGGCAACCAGTTGCTACCCCATTAAAATTATGTACCTGTAAAACTGAAGTGGCGCAAAAGTGGCCAGACTGAGGGAAAAGGAAGACCCCTGCTCAGCCTCCGTGGTTGCAACTGAACCCTTTGGGATCATGTTGCAGATAACCTAGGAAGTGTAGCATCTGGGGAATTTTGAACATTAATTGAGGGAGGGGTAGGGTGGGGGGGGGAAGACCTAGGTCTTTTTATATATGGCTCTGTATCTGCACTTGCACCCTTTAATTTTTTTAAGGTAGGCCTGTTTCACTTGAAGAAGAAAAAACAAACCCGTGTATTCTATCATGAGTGGACTGTTGAGAGGTTTTTAATTTGTTGATGATGATGTACAAACTGCACCTATGTTGATATCTTTGAACATGTGCAGAAATCATTGGAGTAAGTACTGTACTGTGGTCTCTGAATTATTTTTTAAAACTTGTTTTGTGTATGTAATCTCAGCTTGTACAGGTAGGTAGCTAGATTTTTTTTAAAAAAACAAAACAACCCTGTCAAATCTGTATTTTTTTTCTGCCCATCCATGGATTGCGGAATGCCTGTGTAAATAAACTGCAACTCTGCTTGGTATTTGAGCCACAGGCTGTTCTTTGTTGTTTAGTCAATTAGTCTTGTCCGACTCCTCATGACCCCATGGATCAGAGCACACCAGTCTTCCACTGCCTCCTGGAGTTTCGTCAAATTCATGTTGGTTGCTTCGAGAACACTGTCCAACCATCTCATCCTCTGCTGTGCCCTTCTGCTTGTGCCCTCAATCTTACCCAACATCAGAGTTTTTTCCAGAGAGTCTTCTCTTCTCATGAGGTGGCCAAAGTATTTGAGCCTCAGCTTCAGGATCTGTCCTTCCACTGAGCACTCACGGTTGATTTCCTTCAGAATGGATAGGTTTGATCTTTTTGCAGTCCATGGCTGTCCTTAGTTCTGTTAAATTGTTGCTTTCAATGCCTACTCAATCCTCATCTTGAGAGTAGTGTTGAATCAGATCTTCTGTTGAAACCAGAGGGCTTTTTGCATTTACATAAATGCAATTTTGGACAGCACCTGAAAGACTTGAGTGTGAGTGTGTGAGTCTAAAATAATCTAATTGTCAAAAGGCAGGCATAAGCACATTGTGAACTCTCAAGAAGCTGCAGAGCCAACAGCTTTGCAGGGTTGGGGAAGAGATGAGTGCGCCTCAAAGCTCCTGCTCCCTCTCAAAAGCTAGAGTAAATCACAGGAGAAAGCATGTATGTGCTCACTCAGAGTGCTGTCCAACTCCCAGAATGTTTAGCTTTTCTTGAAACAAAATTTGGAGTCTACATAGAGCACACAATCTTGCTGTAAGGCTAGTAGTTCTGGTTGGGTGTTGCAAGATCACTCCCATCATCTCTGAGTGCTGGCCATGCTAGCTGGGACTAATAGGAAGCAAGCAGGTAGAGAACCACAAGTTAGGCACCCCTGTTTTAGACTGTAGATCAGGGATGTCCATCCAACAGGTCGATCACAATCTATCGATCAATTGTGGGGTGTCCCTGATCGATCCTGGTCCCCCAAAAACAAAACAACTTTGCTGAAGCCTCCCCCCCCAAAAAAAAAGCTCAACAACTTTGGTCAATCCAATGGGTAGATCACTGCCATTTTTTTATAGTGGGAGTAGATAGCAGTCTTTTGGGAGTTGGACATGCCTGGTGTAGATCATGTAGCAAAGCTGTTCTGAATTTGGTGGTGTGAAAAGCCTATATATGAAGAGTATATAAAATTTGGGTATGGAAACTTCCCAGCTCCAGCAAAAGCCCTTTTAAGCAAGTAAATAACTGGGCATACATATGTAGAACACCAAAGACTGGGGGTGGGGGGGCAGGGGGAAGAGTCCAACCTCCCCCAATTTACAAAAAGCTTCCCTGCCTAGTCATTTAGAGGCGATGCTTAATTGTCACAGGTAGTTACTCAGGTGCCTGTTTTTATTTTCCTTCCTTATTTTCCTTCATCTTAAAGCAGATTTGAACAAACTCCACAGAAGAAAACACGACGACATAAAATCTGCATGGATTTTTATAATACATTTCACACAGTGGATGTCAAGCGCAGGTTTAACTTAAAAGAATGATTTGACAACTTTTAATAAATGCCTTGATTTTAAAAGCTAGATCAGTGGTACAAATACTAGAGATTGATTTTGAGGAGTGGGAAATTACTTGGCACTGATAATTACCATCGGAAATATCTGAAGTTGGTTATTCAGTTCCAACTTAGGTTAGCAACCATGAGGCCTGAAATTTAATAAGCTCCCCCAACTCCCTCCACTTAAGAGACAAGTTGTGGGATTTAAAATACTTTAGCAAGCTCAAAGAGAAGTCGCCTACAACCTAGCTGAGAGGGGTGTAGTGATTACATTTACCAGTCCTGGTCTTTTATGTCTTCGATGTCAAATCATCACCTCTGACACAGAAGACAAGGGAAATTCAGCTTGCCTGTCTTCTATTTGAAGCCCTCTCAGCCAATGACGGTGAATTCCAAGGAGATACATGTGGTTTCAATACTTGTAATTCAACCTGGTTAACCCCCAAGTGCTGCCAATATTCTTCCTGTAGACAGTTAAGAGGCAAACCATGCAAGCGTCTTGGTTACTAATGGCATTCTGGATCATAATCCTTGCAGAGTGTGCACATGCAAATGGCCCTCTTTGGAGAGGGCTCTTCTTTTCTACAGCACAGGGGTAGTGTGAGCATCTCAATGGAGTCCGTACAGTAAGAAGTGGGCAGGTGTCTTCAGAACATAGTTCAAGGTGCATGTATCTTGGCAAGGTGGGAGGGGAGAAGGCAGGTGTCTCACTAGTTCACAGTGCGTCACTGTGTAACTACCATGTAATTAGTGGCGGTGAAATGGAGAGAAGCATGAGCCCAAAGATCATTCCATTCATGCTTTCCAAAGCAGTAGCAGCAGCAAACTAAACAGGCAAATGCTTAGGTGGAGAGCCCGTTTTCTCTATTGCGGGGCTCAGAAGTCTTAAGAGCATAAGGGACAGGAACTGTACTTCAGTACAAATGGGTTCTCTACGATAATCATCACCAAGTTCCAAGTCCTAGTAGCTGTGGAGGAGAACGTGGCAGCCATATCTCTCTTTGAGGCCTAGAAGCCGGACGACAGCAAGGCAATGCTTCTGACAGCTGAAAGGATTCTATCCTGAGAGTAGGGGGAGATCAGAGCAAACACCTGTGGCCCTGCTCTCTTCTATACTTGTATCGTTCCCCTCTTCTAGAATCACTCTTCAAAGATACCCAAATGCTGTAGCGATAGAAAATGTAGAAATTAAGTACAATTTTTCAACTCAAAGGTTTTGTGGAGCTCTAACCTCCATCAGCGGAGAATTCTGGATAAGAGCTTTATATGTCCCTCACAGGGTATGAATGAGTGGAAGTATGAAACAGAGAGCACTCAAGATTTGGCAGCTAAGGCCACTCCCTCCTTCCCCATGGCTGCTCATCGTCCATACATCCCGAAAACAAGGAAACTAAAAAAGACAGTCGCCCCAACCAAGGAAATGGTGGCCGGGGCTGTGAATAACTGCCGGTAGTTGATACGGAAATACCAGATGACCGCCAGCATCACCACAAAAATGGGAATCATCAGGTTGCCCATGCTCAAAGTGATACCGCCAGCTTCCGATGGTGCAACCACTGGGTCAGGCATGGTGGAGGTAGCAGTCTGAGAAAGATGACAGTGGATTACGCAATTGTCCAGGATATTGAGAGAGCGAAGAGTCCGTGCCTGGTCCTGGAGAAGCTGGCCCTGGTAGATAAACTTCATCTGATTCTCCCGGCCTGGGAAGTACTTGCTTTGGAGAGAAAAACAAGGAAATGAACATCTAGGTCAAAGAGAGAGAGAGAGAGAGGGAGGGAGGGAGGGAGGGAATACTGATGGGACTGCTTTTAAATGGGTGTTCTGGCAGAGACTGAGGAGAGTTGTAGTACAAAATACCTGCAGGGCATGATGTTGTGGGGTAAGGCCGCTTTAAAATAAGCAACAACATACTTCACTACCTGTCAGAGCTGGCTCCAGGTCCCAGCTCACAGAGGACCAACGCTAGCCGGCAGTAATGTGCAAAAGTCTTTATTGAAGTACAGTTTCCATTTTCAAGCCGGAGCGCCCCAGCTCTACGTCTAGGGGTTAGATCGGCGAAGCTCCATCTGAGTCTCCGCCCCCTGTACACCAGTTTAAGATTCTAGCCTTACTCCACCTCTTACGTCTCTCCTTTCTCCTCTGGGTCCTGCTACCCCCCGGGGTCCCTTCCTTCCTGGATTCTTCTGACGCTGACCCTCCTGACTCCTCCCCCTCTTTTCGGCGGGCTTTGGGACCTGGCTCCCTATCCGGGCTGCCAACTGCGCCGCCCTCCTGTACATTTGAACTTGGCGCGCGCGCCCAGCCTTCAACCTTCCTCTCGACCGTTTCCTCGCTCCCCGATGGAGGCGTGGCCAATCCTGACTCATGTCCTCCCACTGGCAGTGCGCCGCCTGACCCCGATGCCTGGGACTCCTCCCCTACTGCACTCTGGTGTGGACGCTGGTCCTGATTTCCAACTGCTGCTCTCTGAGTCCCCTCTGGCCCCTTCTTCCTGGGGTGTCCCCCTCGGCACCCCCTTGCTCTGACCAAGGGAGCCCCTTTCTGTGAATCTTCCGATTCGCTGGAAAGACTCAGAGACCTCGGACCGCTGTCATCGCTAACATTTCCTTCGGACTCCTCCCCCTCGCTCTCTATTTCCTCCCTTTCCTGTGCCTCTGCTCCTGAACCCCTGACATCCATCCCCCTCGAAGCCCCCCTTCCCCCTCCCCTCCTTCAGGTGTGGGTACTGGGTGCTCCGTCGTTGTGGGGGTGAGTGCCGGATACAGTTCGTCCCCCGTGGCGTGCATCCAGCCGGATAAGTCCGGCTCGTCCTCCGTGCTCTCGCCGACCTCAATTTCCTCTGCTTCCATCTCTTTGCCGCCGTGCTCGAACCCCAGGTCCTCCCCCAACACGTCCATGTCCGTCTCTCCCCCGGTCTCCTCCGGGGACGTTGCCTGCCAAGGACCCCCCCACCACTTCCTGCGCCCCTGCTCCTCTGGTTGATTGTCCCACCAATAGGAACGGTCTGAGGCAGACCCCGAGGGTGATCCCTCCGGGGAACGTGTTTCTAGTGCCGGTTCCTCGTCCGAGGTGAACCCCTGGAATGTGCTAGCTGAAAATGTGGGTGTGAAAAGCCAGTCGTCGAAATACTCGGCTGGCATGGGCCTGTGTGGGAAAAGGGCATGGAACTCGTCCTTAAGCCAAGATTCCTCCAGAGCATAATCTGGCACCCAACTGTTGGCGCTAGCCGAGGTACCTTCCTTGGCGAGGAGGTATTCCACTCCCTCCTCCCCCATCTCGAGTCTAAAATCTCTGTGACTTCGTTGACGGGTTCCCGCCTTGGCGACCCCCCCCTTGTGGGCGTTTCCCTGAACGGGTCTGGTGCCGTTCCTGGCTCCTGAAATCTATGAGGTGCTTTGTAGGGCGTGAGCACTGATCTATGGAAAACTGGGTGCATTCTGGATCCCTCCGGCAGTGTCAACCGGAAGGCCACTGGATTGACCTGTGCCTCGACTTGGTAGGGTCCTAGCTGCTTATGCCCTAGCTTCTTCTTCGCTAACGATCTGGCCGGCACTGCCTGGGCTGCTAACCAAACCCAGTCTCCCACCTGTATGTCTTCCCCAACCCTTCTGTGCTTGTCAGCCTGCAGTTTGTATGCGTGCTTTGCTAGTTCTAACTGCCTCCGAAGCTGTTCGTGAACCTCCTGCAACTCTGATGCTAAGGCTTCCGCTGCCTGTGGCTCCCCTCCCCCTCTCTCGCTAATCCCGGGAAGGTTCTGGGATGCCTCCCGTTGTTGGCGAAGAACGGTGTCACCCCGTGGACACGTGCTTCGTGTTGTTGTAGGCGAACTCAGCGAGCGGCAGGTAGTCCACCCATGTTGCCGGCTGCTGATTTGCGTAGCATCGCAGGTACTGCTGCATGATGGCGTTGACTCGCTCCGCTTGTCCGTTCGTCTGCGGGTGTCTCGCCGACGCTAGGTTGATCTTGACGTTCAGGAAACCCATCAGCTTCTGCCAGAAGTTCGAGATGAACTGTCGCCCCCGGTCGGACAGGATAGACCGTGGCAGACCGTGAACCCTGAACACGTGGTCTATGAACAGTTTGGCGGTCTGTTCCGCCGTGGCCACCTTCGCGCACGGAATGAAGTGGGCCATTTTGGTGTTACCATAAAGCACCAATGCTGCAGCAAGCAAAGGCTCTAGCAGCTCAGCCAGCTGCTTGTGGCTGGAAAGCCAGGCAGGATGTTTGTGACTGTTGCCATGGGAACAAAGGGGCAGTCCATTCTGTACTGAGCACCGGATGTTAGCTCAGTGTGTGTGTGTCATATGACCCGTACTGGATGTACTTGGGAGGAGTTTCTTCTTGCTGTTGTTGAGTGCAGACATGATTCTCTGTACTGATGTAAGAGGCAGAAATAAATGATGTAAATAGTTTTCTGTCTGCTTCTTTCCCCTCCCTGGGGACACCAAAGGGGAGAGAGGAAGAACGGTGTGTTCCTCTCATACATCTGAGAAGAATCGCCGGACCTCGCCTGCTTATCAGCAGAGTGGAGACGACAGGAATATCTGCCGGTGCCTACGCTGTGGCACATTCCTCTGACCCAGGCAGAATTCCAACAGTGGTAGCAGTCGATGGTTCCGATCCATCGGACCTCTGCATGAGAGGCTGGTGGATTGTCCTCCTCTGCTCCAAGGAGGAAGAGAAAAGCGTCTGAAAGAAGCCAGAGGCTCCACAGACAGCTGGTGGAAAGAAGAGGTGTTTTCCAGAGCAACAAAGTTCAAGGTATGCTGCATTTCGGGCTAAAAGTGTGAACGCAGGAAGATTAATTCCCTGGTTCACGGAGCTGCGTTTCAAAGAAAACAAGAGCTCCGGGAGAAGAGGCCTGCAGCTTGAAGGCTGAAGCCTGCATTCCACAAATTTTTGTGGTAGATAAGATGTCTTATTGAAATGCATTGTTGCTAGGTAACGGTCCTGGAAAGTTACTGGCAAAGGGGCTGGACTCTGAGTGTGAGCCTGGGAAAGCGAAACAAAATCAGAGAATGTTTTGGCTACAAGTTTATGAGCTCTTGGAAGGGACTTTTCAATAGCCGCCTGAGTTTAGCTGCCAGGTGCAAAAAGAGCGTAAACAATTTGCAGTTTGCTGCGTGAGAAAGAAAAAAACGGCTGTTGGATTTTGCAGCTTGTTTGACATTGTGAGCTGGAGGCTTGGCTTCAAGATGGATGCCAAGAAAGGGGGAGGTTTGCCTTGCCCACCTCCCTTAACCAATGACAATTATTCATCTTGGTCTGTAAAGATGAAGGCCCTGCTGCAGAATCAGAGGCTTTTTGATGTAATTGAAAACCCCATCCCTGCAGCACCAACCAGAGGTTGGGAGTCACAGAATGTAAGGGCCAGGACTGCTATAATTCTGTGTGTCTCAGATGATCAGTTGGTGCATGTTCAGCATTTAGAAAATGCGAAAGAGGTATGGGACACGCTGCGTACAACGCATCAGAGAGATGCTGGTTCTTCAGCGTTGCTGTATTTTGAGAAATTGACCAATCTGAGACTTGCGCCTGATGGAGATGTTCAAGCGCACCTGACAGAAATGAAGTTTCTGCGTCAACAGATGGTGGAACGCAATTTCCGTCTTCAGGAGGAAGTGTTTTGCTTCATGATGATAAACAGCCTTAGCCGCACCTACAAGGTTGTTGCCAGTCAGCTTGGTTCCCTACCGGCCGCGCAGCTGACCGCGGAGAGAGTTTGTGCTGTGGTCCTGAATGAACACGACAGACTTGCTGCACTGGAAGAAAAAGACAGGGGAGGGAAGAACAGAGTTCTAATTCCCCACTGCTGATGCTACTGGAGAGCATGGTGTAGCATTGAGTGCTGTCCGATGCTACAATTGTGGACAGACTGGGCATCTACAGCGGAACTGTAAGAAGCCGCGCCAGTCAAGAGGAGCAAAGAGCAGCTCTACGAAGCCTCAGGCGTCAGGCAAAAGCCGTACCAAGTGCCAGGTGAAACCTGCAAAGGCTATGATGGCGAAAGGAACCACGCCAGATGTTGGGAACTCGTTCATAATTGACACGGGCGCAACGGTTCACATGTGCCCGCACAGAGGACTGTTTTCGACGTTGAAGAAGCAAAGCTTCACTGTGAAACAGGCCAACGGTCAGGAGTTGGAAGCGACTGGAATTGGGACTGTGTATCTTGAGAGTCTGAACTTGACTATAAGTGATGTTTACCTGGTTCCAGAACTGAGATTTAATCTGCTGAGCGTGTCGCAGATTGCAAAGAAAGGACTGAAACTGTCCTATGATGCTAAAAGCTGCAAGATCTACAAAGATGGAGAACTGTTTCTTACTGCCAAAGAGAAAGATGGACTGTATTTGTTGACTTTTGATCAAAGTGATTACATGAAATGTAATTCTTCTGATTTCTAACGAAATCTCTCTTGCAGGTAGTGACCAGTGTGAGCACCAGGAAGGTGACTAAGACCAAGAAGGTCGACAGAGCATTTCAGCGGGTGTATGCTGATGTGATTGGTCCTCTAGAACCATCTAGAGGCGGTGCACGATTTTACCTTGTGTGTGTGGATTGTTTCACTAATTATTCTTGGGTTTATATGATGGAGAAACCGCAAGAAACTTTAGAAAAGTTTCAGGAGTTTTGTGACAAGGTTAAAAGTATGCATGATGCTAACATTGATTGTCTTTTCACAGATGAGAAGCAAATTTTTCTGTTGCAGAAGTTTCAGAAGTTCCTGGATGGAAAAGGGATAGACCACAAAGTGGCAGTTTCGCAAGAAGCGTGGAACAGGGGGGTCTGTGTGAGAGTGAACAAAGAATTGCAAAAGGGGATGAATGCGCAATTGCTGAGTTCACATTTGCCACATGAATATTGGGCCGAATCGCTAGCGTCCTATCTTCATGTGTGGTTGAGAAAGGTCTCAACAGAGTTGGGATGTTCTCCTTTTGAGAAGCTGTTCAATAGAAAACCTTCTGTTGCCTATTTTAAGGTTTTCGGGTCTCATGTGAGAACAGAAGCTCCAGGTGGAGTAAAGAATGCCAGAGGCATTTTCGTAGGTTATGAAAAGGTCTCTACAGAGTAATTTTGTCTGAATCTGGTCAGGTGATTCTCACAAAGTTCCTAGAGAGTGCTCCAAAGCAAGAGCGGATAGTACAGACATTTCCCACAGGAAACGATTCTGATGATGATGATGATGAGTTTGATCTTATTGAGTTCAGTAGTACTGATGATGACAGCGATAGCTCAGACAGCTCAGTTGTCACAGTCATTGAGAGAAAATCTCACACAATGGATAGACCTTCACAGGTGAAGGAAGAACCACTGATTGCTACTGGTTCTCAACAGAGTCCAAAGGTTGAACCAGTGAGCACAGAGGATCAGAACCTCATACGTAGGTCTGAGAGAGCAACGAAGGGTGTACCACCCAAGAGGTATTCAAAGGAGTTTGCTAACCTTGCATATGTTGCTATTGTAAACGACCAAGGACAGCTTGAAGCTGTGTCTGAGTCAGAGACAAAGGCACAACAGAGAGGTGTTAACCAAGGTAATGCGAAGTCACACAACCAGAGAGGTACATTGGTTAAACCAGTGGCGGGTAGTTCCAAGGGTGGAACTGAAACAACAGGGAATGTTATAAATATAACAACTGTTTGTTTTCTTCTCTGGATGACGCTTTGCTCGCAGCACACATTGATACTTTAGGGGGGTATGTTACCATAAAGCACCAATGCTGCAGCAAGCAAAGGCTCTAGCAGCTCAGCCAGCTGCTTGTGGCTGGAAAGCCAGGCAGGATGTTTGTGACTGTTGCCATGGGAACAAAGGGGCAGTCCATTCTGTACTGAGCACCGGATGTTAGCTCAGTGTGTGTGTGTCATATGACCCGTACTGGATGTACTTGGGAGGAGTTTCTTCTTGCTGTTGTTGAGTGCAGACATGATTCTCTGTACTGATGTAAGAGGCAGAAATAAATGATGTAAATAGTTTTCTGTCTGCTTCTTTCCCTCCCTGGGGACACCAAAGGGGAGAGAGGAAGAACGGTGTGTTCCTCTCATACATCTGAGAAGAATCGCCGGACCTCGCCTGCTTATCAGCAGAGTGGAGACGCGGGGAGGTCGACAGGAATATCTGCCGGTGCCTACGCTGTGGCACATTCCTCTGACCCAGGCAGAATTCCAACAATGTCCACCACCACTAGCACTGCCGTCTTGCCCCTCGAGCTGGGTAGATCCGTGACAAAGTCCAGGGCCACCCTCTCCCACGGTTCGATCGGTGTCTGCAGCGGTTCGAGCAGTCCCGCCGGCGGTTTGTGCACTGACTTGGCCCTTTGGCAGGTGTCACACCTCGAGACGTAATCCGCGACTTCCCCCCGCATCTTGGGCCACCAAAAATCTCTGGCTACTAATTCTACCGTCTTCTCTTTGCCAAAGTGCCCGGCGGTGGGTGCGTCGTGCAACTGCTGCAGTACTTTCGCGCGGAGGTCGTCTCCCGGTACGTAGAGGGCCCCTCTGCGGATGAGCAATCCGTCGCGTATCTGGAACTCGTCGTCCTCCGCCGTGCCCCTTTGCACCTCTGCCATCTTTGCTTGCGCGAAGGGGTCCTCCTGCAGTGCTCGACGTACAGCATCCAGGTCCACGGTTGCTGAAGCGCACGCCCACGCTTTCGGTGCGAAAATGTGCTTGGCCGCTGCTGGTGCCGCCTCCTCGAGGTATTGCGGCTTTCTGGACAGTGCATCCGCCATGATGTTGTTGTCGCCTGGGATGTACTCTATCCTGAAGTCGAAATCCGCAAAGAACTCCGCCCATCGTATGTGCCTCTGGTTCAGGAACCTTGCCGTGCGCCAGTACTCCAGGTTTTTATGGTCCGTGCGGACCTGCACTGTGTGTTTGGCTCCAATGAGGAAGTGCCGCCACGCCTTGAATGCTGCATGAATGGCCAGCAACTCCCTGTCCCAGATGGTGTAGTTCTGCTCTGACTTGCTGAGCTTCCTGGAGTAGAAGGCACACGGTCTCCAGTCCCCATGCGGGTCTTGCTGCAACAGTACTGCTCCCACGGCTCTGTCTGAGGCGTCCGTTTCAACCCTCATCGGTCTGCTGGGATTCACATGCAGTAGCTGCTCTTCGGACGAGAAGAGACGCTTGAGTTTCTGAAAGGACTGTTCCGCTTGCTCCGTCCAGATGAACTTCTTCTTCTTGGAGCTGAGTGTGTCGGTAATGGCTGCCGTCTGCATCGCGAACCCCTTGATGAACTTGCGGTAAAAGTTGGCGAAACCGACAAACCGTTGGACCTCCTTCCGATTGCGCGGGCTCTTCCAGTCCAACACTGAGCGAACCTTGGCGCTGTCCATGGCGAGCCCCTTGTCCGACAACTTGTAGCCCAGGAAATCTACTTCCTTCATGTCGAACTGGCACTTTTCCAGCTTGGCGTACAGCCTGTGCTCCTGCAGTCTCTGCAGAACTTCCTTGACGTCTCCCTCGTGGGCCTCCTCTGATTCTGAAAATATCAGGATGTCGTCCAGGAAGCAGACGCATTTCTTGTAGAGGAGACCCGCCAATACGTGATGCATGAAGGCTTGAAAACAGTGGGAGCCATTTTGTAATCCAAAGGGCATAACTCTGTATTCATAGGTGCCCAGGGGCGTGAACATGGCAGTCTTCCATTCGTCGCCCTCCCGTATGCGAATCAGGTTGTACGCCCCTCGCAGATCCAACTTTGTGAAAACGCGTCCTTTCCTCACCGTTGCGAGCAGGTCATCTATCTTGGGCATGGGAAAGGCTGTGGGCTTGGTTTTTGAGTTCAAAATTCTATAGTCCACCACAAGCCTTTTTTGGGGCGTGTCCTTCTTCTTCACAAAGAATACAGGACTGCCCCCCACTGCCTTCGACTCCCGGATGAAACCGCGCTTCAAGTTGAGGTCTATGAACTCCCTGAGTTCCTGCAGCTCGTCTTCGGACATGGAATACAGTTTCCCGGTTGGCAGCGTCGCCCCTGGCAGGAGGTCAATCTTGCAGTCATAAGACCTGTGGGGAGGTAGCTTGTCCGCTTCCTTCTCGCAGAAAACCTCCAAAAACGCTGCGTACTTGAGTGGCACTGCTTGCAGCGTGCCTAATTGTAGCTGCGGGTCATCCTCTTCCCCTTCCGGGCTAGGCAGAATGCAATGTTCCGCACAGTATGAGGAGCCGAAGGTCAGTTGTCGCTGGTACCACGCCAATGCTGGGCTGTGCCTGTGCAGCCAACTCATGCCTAATACTATAGGCGTGTCCGACAGTTGGGTGACATTGAAGCTGATGACTTCTCGGTGATTCCCAATTTGCATCACCATCGGAGGCGTTTGCTGCACCACCTGCCCCCAGCAATTCCCTGCCATCCACCGTGACAACTTTCAGAGGCAGCGTGGCTGGCAGGAGTGCTATGTTGTGCTCTTGAAGGAAATCCAGTCCTATGAAGTCTGCGTTACTACCAGAGTCAATGGTAATCGGCACTTCCATAGTGAGTCCATTGGGTAGTTGGAGCGATGCTGTGAGCTGCACCACTGGTTTGGGCGGGAGGGGGTCTGTGGGCTGCAAAATCTCTGGGGACGGCTTCATTGACTTGTCTGGTTGGGCCCCAGTGCCTCTTCCTCCAACCAGACTCTGTCGTTTCCCTGCTGTGTTTCTCTCTGCTGAGTTGCTTCTGTTACTGTTGCTGAGGCTGCAGTGTGCTTGTGGAGCCTCTGGGGACACTCTTTCGCCATGTGCTGAGCACTGTCGCAGATGTAGCACTTCCTGTTCCCTCTAGGAGGCTTCGCTTTGACTGCTCCCGGTGTTAAGGCTCTGGTTGTTGACTGAGCCCTGGCGCCTCCAATCTCCATCGGTTGCTCTCCCCCTCCTTGCGGAGGTGGGGATTGCACACGCGCTGTATCCTTGGGAAAGAGGGGAGGTGCTCTCACTGGCGTACGTCCCCAACGTCCTTCTTCTCTGTTCCATGGACGTTCTTCCAGACGCACCCCAATTTGCAGCGCCCGCCGGACAACCTCCTGAGTGCTCTTTGGTCTCTCCCCCCTTGCAATCTCATCTTTCACATTTGCATTCAAGCCTTCCCAAAAAAAGGTCTCTGACTGGGGCAGAATCCTTCTCCCATCCCAGCGCATGGACTAATGCAAAAAAGCGGGAATGGTACTGCCTTACACTGGCTCTGCCTTGTTTGAGCCCATGTATGTCTTTTCTGGCGATATCAATGTCTATATTTGATAAAAAACACGAATCCATCGCTTTAATGAATGCATCCGCATTTTGGAGCGCCGGATCCTTATCTCTCCACAGATTGCGCAGCCACGCTTTAGCTTCCCCATGCAAATGGGACAAGATAAACCCCACCTTCTCTTGCTCATCTCTAAAGTCTTTATCCAGCAGTTCCAGCGCAAACAGCACGTCTGCTCGGAAGTTAGGGTACTGCTGCAAATTCCCATCGAAATGAGATACCAGGCTGCCTCCTCTTTTCCCCAGCCCAATCCCCTCTGATTTGGGTCCCGGTTGCCCCTGCTTAGCAAGCACTTCCAACCTGGCTTGGAGATCCCTGCAGGCGGCAGCCGCTTCCTCTTCCCTTTTCCTGGATGCGAGTACCTCCGCGTTGAGTTGTGTCACTGCATTTTGCAGGGCTGCTAGTTGCTGTTCTGTAGTCATCTTGCCTGACTTTTGTGAGCTCGCAAAGCACCAATCTTCTTCCCTCGCTGCGTCCACTCACGTTACGAGGTTTTTGGTGCAAAACTTTATGAGATGGAGCTTACTGTCAGAGCTGGCTCCAGGTCCCAGCTCACAGAGGACCAACGCTAGCCGGCAGTAATGTGCAAAAGTCTTTATTGAAGTACAGTTTCCATTTTCAAGCCGGAGCGCCCCAGCTCTACGTCTAGGGGTTAGATCGGCGAAGCTCCATCTGAGTCTCCGCCCCCTGTACACCAGTTTAAGATTCTAGCCTTACTCCACCTCTTACGTCTCTCCTTTCTCCTCTGGGTCCTGCTACCCCCCGGGGTCCCTTCCTTCCTGGATTCTTCTGACGCTGACCCTCCTGACTCCTCCCCCTCTTTTCGGCGGGCTTTGGGACCTGGCTCCCTATCCGGGCTGCCAACTGCGCCGCCCTCCTGTACATTTGAACTTGGCGCGCGCGCCCAGCCTTCAACCTTCCTCTCGACCGTTTCCTCGCTCCCCGATGGAGGCGTGGCCAATCCTGACTCATGTCCTCCCACTGGCAGTGCGCCGCCTGATCCCGATGCCTGGGACTCCTCCCCCCTACTGCACTCTGGTGTGGACGCTGGTCCTGATTTCCAACTGCTGCTCTCTGAGTCCCCTCTGGCCCCTTCTTCCTGGGGTGTCCCCCTCGGCACCCCCTTGCTCTGACCAAGGGAGCCCCTTTCTGTGAATCTTCCGATTCGCTGGAAAGACTCAGAGACCTCGGACCGCTGTCATCGCTAACATTTCCTTCGGACTCCTCCCCCTCGCTCTCTATTTCCTCCCTTTCCTGTGCCTCTGCTCCTGAACCCCTGACACTACCCTATAAATAAATGTGTTCACAAGTAGAAGTTCTCATAGGGGATGTGGAAGTTGGTGGGGTGCATGAAACGGGGGGAAATTTCAGCGTGCTGGATCCTAGTCGCCTGGCAGCACTTCCTGGAGCGCTCATGGCTCACATCACCCCAGGGGTATTCCAAGAAGTGCTGCTGGGCTGGTAGTCGGTGCACAGAAGTCTTGCACTGCTGTGAGTGCGCTTGGAGGTCTCAATGTTTTAAGAGGAATAAACCTCCATCCCAACCACTTTGTAGGCTAATAAACTACACACAACTCTTGCCATTGACCTACCCAGCCACCCACCCACCTGCAAAGCTTTCTTTGAAGCTTTCCCACTCTTTGGAAACATTTTTTGTTCATCTCCCACCCCCACCTTCAAATGTGTAGTACTGTTTTTTAAAGGTCAGGTGAATGATTCAGCTCAGCAGACTGCTGTGCAACATGCTTCATGCCATTCAAAGTGAATAGGGTTCATCTGCTAGCGCTGCTCACAGCTGCATATAATGCATTGGTTCCTTATAATCAGTATGCCAGAACCACCCTCCACTAGTCTCCTTTGGACAGAACTTCTTTATGTGCAAAACTAAAACTTATTTCACAATACTGAAGAAAGTATACAAAAAAATGTCAGCCCTAAGTATCCAAGACAGCATTTACCTGCATGATCCTCTACATTATTCTTTCTCATTGTATTGTGTCATCCAGATTACAGTAGAATCACAGAACTGTAGAGATGGAAGGGACCCTAACGGTCATCTAGTCCAACCCCCTGCAGTGCAGGAATCTGAACTAAAGCATTCACGACAGATGGTGATATGATCTCTGTTTAAAACTCCGCCATGAAGGAGAATCCACAACCTCCCGAGGGAGTCCGTTCCACTGTCGGAGAGCTCTTACGTCAGAAAACTATTCCTGATGTTTAGTTGCAATCTTCTTTCTTGTAACTTGAGCTAAAGGTATTTTTATGCACATTTTAATGATCAGTGACTAAAGATTTTGAGATGTTGCATCCTGTTTATCAAACCTTTTCTTATCAATGGTTTGAACACATGTATAGATGATGTACTTGTGCAAGTATTTCTTTTGGCTTTCAGTTGTTTAGTATTGTTGACAACATATGAGACAAACCATTTTACTTACTTGCTTTAACTGCAAATAAACCAGGTTGCATGTTACTCACTGTTAATATGTGGACACAACACTTTGGACGTGCATATTTGATTCATATTCAACACCACTCACCTCTTGAGGATGCCAATGGTGTCTTCTGGCTTCACAATGGCCACCTCCTCTGTGTCATTGAGGAATTTGAGGCGCACCTTGATAAATCCTGGGTTTGGTTCACTCTCCTCCATGACAGGCACAGCTTGTGGAACTCTCTGGTTCTCTTGGGAATCAGCAGCAATAGAAAAGGTCCTTTGGGACAGGCCCTGAATGTCCAACAGACGGTCTAAGGTAGCATCTGAGCTACTGCTGCTGTCTCCTTGCTCAACTGCAGGACCTGCATCAGAAGCAGGACCCTCTTCTGCCTTCTCTTCAGCCCCTTCTGCAGCACCTTGGGGCTCCGACTGTTCTGACACCGAGTTCCCCACGTAGCGTTCGATGGGGCTCAAGTGGATCACTGCTGAATCTCCAGTAGCCACAACCGTTCCCAGAAGATGGCTGCCACCATCCGCCACATATGTGGAAAGCCAGGCCAGGACCAAGGCCATGATAAGGACCACGACGCCAGCCACAACAGTGACTTCATCCCCCACACCTTCAATGATGGTCACTTCAAGGGGCTCCATCTCTTAGCTTTAGAGAACGGGGGAGCAACAAGGATAGCAGTTCTGGCCTTGACAGCAGAGGGAAATTCAGATGGCATCTGATTAGGATTTCAGTCCCATGTCTCACTGCAGTTTTTAATTAAGGAGAAAGAGAGACAGTGGTTTTTACCCCTGGTTTTACCCACTGTTTTCAGTTTTCCTGTTTCTCTGAATGTTACATAAAATAGGCATCAAAGTCAGAGAGGCACAATTCATAGTTCTCAACCTAGTCCTGTGAGATTTAGCCCCTACCTCAGTCATGACCTCAAGGAGCCTTGGGCAAGTTGCAATCTCAGCCTCAGTTCTCCAGTGGTAAAATGGGAATGAAAGGGTGTTGCAAGGATAAACAAGACAATGTACAAAATGCTTTACAATCTGTACAAAGATGGATTGACGATATATACTTAGTGAGAAAGAGGATCTAGAAAACAGAGCAGTTAACATTGCATGCTGGTGCACACTATCTTTCCAACAAATCATCAGATTTCTGAAGACCTATGTTTCTTTGTATTCCAACAAATCTTTTTTTAATTTACCAGCTTTGTACATGTTATCAGGAGTAAGATATCAAGCAGCCAAAATTTATATGACTTAAGGACATACTTATAGGGACTAGGTTTATTTGTTTCTTACTTACTAAGTGGGATTTAGATCTAATATTTGTAATAGAAGCCAAAACTTGTAGGCTGAAGCCTTCGTTATCCTACTAGATTGTAACCTAAGACCTTCACATCCTCTTGCCTGCTAGCCTCCCTGTCCAATATTAAAAAATAAAACTGCCTCCAGGTTAAGAGAAGTTTCCATTTGCAGAACCAGTTTGTGACGCAAAACTATGTCTTCATGGAAGCGCCTGGGGAAGATTAGTTCACAGAAGTACATTACATTGCTCTGTGCTGGTTGTACTGGTTTTCAATAGATTTTCAGCCCAATTCAAGGCAGTACTTTTGATCTATAACATCTTATAATGTCAATACGGTGAAGAAAGCAGATTACTTGGGGAAAAGAGACAGCTATGACTGAGTATGCTTTCCTCAGTCTCAGTTTTGTTACTGACCTTATAATAGCAACCCAATGCACAGAAACTAAGCAAGTGAAGCAATTCCCACTACTTATCTCCATGCCAGAAAAATATATTTAATTTCCTCTTGTCCAGTTGACGTTAAAAGGGGTGGGAGGTGGGGAGTGGCAGAGATATACTCCCCTCTATCTCATTAGGATTTTTAAGATTGACCCAGACCACCCCCTTATCCAATGATGGAAAAAATACATGTGACAGGCAAGAATTAGCCTCCTGCCATTGACTTTAATGGCCTGCTGGGGAAGTAGCCACAGTAAACAAATAACTGGGGCACATTAAGTTTCCACTGATAAGGGAGGGAGCAAGGAACCAACAACTTGGCATGACATAAGCACTCCATGTAGTCCTCCTATTTGCACGATAAGCACAGGTGATTTCCATGTCCTCCTTGGCCCCCAAGGAAGTGTATGCTAGCTAGAGCTTTTATGTTTTGCCCAAGTGCCTCAACCTGCCTTTTGCTGGGTTCCTGCTTCTCCCTTCTACGAAGCCTTCAAGGAGCCTGTCCTCAACTCCTGTCTTTTAGCCTTGCTCTGATCTTCCCCATCACCTCCGGTCCCAAGTTTCAGCAAGATCCGTCTCCCGGGTATTAACTTCTATGGGCATTGCCCCTGCCCGATGCCCCCCCCCCCCAAGGTTTCCTTCTCCATTCCGTTCTCCCTCTTAGGCTTCTCCATGAGCTTTGCTTCCCAAAGTTAAAAACAAAACAAACAGCCCACTAGGTGGGGGGGGGGGTGCTTGGGGGGAGGGACGTGGAGCCTCGCCAGTGCAAAGGGAAGCAGCTTCAGGGCCGCGCGAGGTGACAGAAAGGAGGCAGGGCGAGGAGGAAGCGGGGCCAAAAAGCAGCGTGCAAACGAAAAGAAAAGGTGCCGGGGCAGAGGAAACGCTGCCCGAAAGAGGGGCGGAAAGTTCCGACATTTCGGCGGGCAGGAAAGCGAAGGCAAGGGCGGAGAGGCGCCGAGGGGAAGGCGGTCCGGCCGAAAGGGCAGCAGCAGCAGAGCGGGGAGCGGGCAGCGCTCGCAACCGGGAAGCGCCGAGGGACTTCCCGGGGGGGAGAAGCGGAAGGGTCCGCTTCACAGGGGTCTCGGCCCCGGAGCGTCAAGCTGGGGGCCCGCCGGGAACCTGTCACTCACCTGCCCGAGAGCCCTTTCTTCCCCAGAGGTTACGTCACTAACGCCCGCTGCTCACGTCACTTCGAGGCGCGCGAGGTTGCCAGGATGGAAGGCCGCGGTTGCTATAGCAGCGGCTGTGGAAGGGAATGGGTGACGTGTATATTTCGCGTCCAAGGCGTACATTTATCATTTTATATACAGTACTATCTAGCTATGAAATGTTGTTTTTCGCCAAAAGCGTGAGAGGGGATGCCTTTCGTTTTCCAGTGAACAGAACAAACAGCACCATATAATTTGATATATATGCGCATGTCCGCGTAGTTTTTATCCTGCCCACCCCCACATCTTTCCACCCAAGGGGGGAAATCGGAGAAATCGGGATTTTTAACTGCAATGTTAAGAGATCGCACTGCAAGGCTGTTTCAGGTCACTCTTTGCTGGGCGCAGTCCACCAGCTTCCCTGCCCAGCCTCCACGCGTAAGAGGATAATAGAGGAACTTTATTAGTAGGGGGAGGTTTCCGAAATGTTAAAAGAACATTTAAAAATTTGTTTCCCACCCCCCCAACACGAGAGCAGCTGTTAGGGCCCATTAGACACTTGTAACACTGTCCGCTTCTTCTAGCACACCCTGGTCCCATTCCACATAAAAACTCACAAATCGTGAAAGAAAAGTTTCTGTATTAACTCTGAAGTTAGGTTTCCTACATTTCTGAAATTACGCAGTGAGGTTATACTCTTCTGACAGTAGAAATAAATAAGGTATATTTATTTAACTTACAGTAATTATTTCTAAATGTGTATATATACATAAGCATCTGCAAATTCTCCTTCTGATGGTAGGCCACCCTGTTCATGGGAGTCTGTTGCTGCAACTCCAGGCATTTTTAGATGATGGCCGTTGTCGGGGGGGGGGGGGGGCTTGCATTTCAGTCTGGTTTTTGGCCTGTTTGGTACTGAAACATCTTGGTTGCTGAAATATACTCAGAGTCGCAAAGTGATTTCATGCTCTTTATTCAGCTCATAGTGGTGAGGAGGAATGAATGAAAGTCCCCTCACAGTATCTGCTTTATATACATTATTTACACAATGGGCTGCACATGATTGGCTAATTCCGGAATTCTACTGTAAGCCAATCAGGTTGTGGATTCACTTCTATCTGGAGCAGGATTGGGTGGTTCCTGCCAACCAATCATACTGCTGCATTGTTCTAGGACCAATCAGACTGCTGCATTCTGAATCCTATTGTTCTAGGACCAATCAGACTGCTGCATTTTGGATCCTATTGTTCTGGGACCAATCAGACTGCTGCAGTTTGGATCCTATTCAACTCAGTACATAACAGTTGCCCTGATGGAAACAGAGATAGAGAGACAAGGGGAGGGAGTTCAGCTCTGTTAACTCTCCTAAAACTTTTGACAGTCTTTGATATTATCAGTCCTACTATCCTAGTGGTTCCCAGTTGGGGATCCATGGACCTCAAGGGGTGCACGTAACACCACACACACACACACACACACACACACACACACAGGTTTGTGGCACCATTTGCATAATAAAAACCACCATAGATATATCAAAATTTTCAAAAGTAGGGGGTCCATGGCTTGGCTAAGTCTGCAGTACTTAGCTAATTTGGAACCCCCGTCCTGGAATGAATATTAGGGCATAGTGGCAGGGGGCATGCACACTAGAACACGTTGCAACAGTTCCCTTTCTAGGTTGATGGCCACTTCTATTGTTGACGGCAACAATCCTCCAGGAGTTATGCTATGGCGTTCCACATGGCTCCATTTTGAACCTCTCACTGCTTAACATCTGCATTAAGCCACTGAGCAAAGTTATATTGGTATCCAGAGCAAGGTATCCTCCATCTGCTGCAGAAGCAATATATCTCCTTTTCATTGTATTCAATAAAAGACTTTGCCCAAGGAAGGGCACATGCATCTCACGGTTGCGTGCCTTCTCGTGAGCTTTTCCAGCAGGGTATTATGTGGCACTGTCTTTTGAAATAGGCTCTTCTCTTATTTTTATTCTGTTTTTGATTGTATTGTCATTCAGTATTTTTTATTGTTTAAAAGTTTGCTGTGATAGCTGCCTTTAATATATTTTAATACAAAATAGTTGATTAAAAGAGGCAGGTTATATAAATAGATAGGCAGGTTAATAACAATGATGATGTCTACGACAAGGTGTTGCGGGCAGGAGCTAGAACATTGCAACAAGAGATTTTGTTAGACTGCTAGATACAAAGGGGCATCTTTGACTAACATTTTGATAAGAGAAAACAGATAAAAGCAGACACAAGCTAAATAAAGGAAATAATCAGTTTAATACTAATCAGTATTAGTGCAGTCAAAGATTATATGGTGAAAGGGCCTAACAGTACATCGTGGGGCAATTGTCAGCCATTTTCAGACCTAAACATAAATATAAATGTGTTAAAATATAATTAAAATAATTTAGATTTAAAGTGTCAGGTGCCCAAGTGCTCATGCAGGCCCCAGGTTCTAGGGTGATCCTTGACCACTTCAAGATGAGAGAGCAGGTGGCTGCTGAATATACCATTCCCAGACCATTTTACATTTCACCACAACCTTATTAATCGTGCTTAACGAGCAGCCTCTTAAATTTGGAGAAATGGCCACTTGGAAAAATAAGTATGTCATTCTGAATTTTTGACTTCCATCTTCTTGAGGCCAGTGTATACATTCCTCATCACTGGAGATAGCCCTCCAGTGGGAGATGCAGGTAGTCTTGCAGAGAAGATGGCAGTTTCAACTGAGCAATGCCCTGATGGCATTGCGGCCCCAACTGCTTCCGCACAGCACAACGGGCCAGATGTTGCAGAGGGCGAGGCTGATTCACCAGGTAGATGGCTGAATCGTAGAACACCTGATGCTCCTGTCAAAATGCAAAGAAAAGTAAAATGAGGCATTGAACGCACACACACACACCACAGCACCAGGCTGGTCCATGGAGGTGAATTGGGTACTGCCCCACCAACTGCAGTCTGCCCTCAGGCACTTCCCACCAGCCTGCCTTTTTGCTTACAACCAGGCTAGGGAAGTGGTCCTGGCAGTCAACTCCCTCCTCCTTAGTCTCGGTGTTGTCACTATAGAAGTCAGCAGCGAGGAGGAAAGGCGCAAACCTAGAATTAGTTGGCTCTGCCTGTTATTAGCCCTGGGTCCACTGTGTTGGCCTCTCTGCCTTCTGAGTCTTAAGACACATCAGCCTCCACTGACCACCACGAACATAATCCTCTCATTCTTCTCCCTGAGCCTTGGGCTGAGGCCAATAGGAACTGCAATGACTGGAGGGCCACAGGTTCCCTGTCTCTGTAGTAGCAGAAGCAACCAGGCAGGCATGCCATACAAAATCATAATATCCTATAGGGCATACAGGGTGAGCTCCTGTTGCTCTGTCCCAGCTCCTGCCTACCTAGCAGTTCGAAAGCACGCCAGTGCAAGTAGATAAATAGATTTTGCAGGACAAAACAGCAAGCCTTGTGATTGCATAAGTGTGTGTATATGTGTTTGTTTTTGTGTTGCATTACATTCGATTGGAGGAATTTACCTGCCACACTTCAAGAGGCACAGAATCCACCCAAGAATCACAGGGTGGGATCCGGTCATAGGAATTTAGAACAACTTCCATAGCCTGAGGTGACAAGGCACAAAATTTTAGCATCTGAAGGCAAAATTACCAAGGAGAGAGAGAGAGAGAGAGAGAGAGAGAGAGAGAGAGAGAGAGAGAGAACACATGTGTGAGCATACTGGAAAGAAAAGAAGAGGTAGATTCTGTTATTTATTTAGAAATATATATATAAACTGCTTAATGGAAAAACTTGCTTTAAGCAAGGTACATAAAATAATATAATTATCAATCCTGCACAGATAAAATCAGAGCAATCTCCTATGCTACATCCCTTGGAAGTCTTCAGCCAGAACTCCTGTATTATCACAGTGCCTAAAAATAAATTTAATTCAGTATTAAGAAAGAAAAAGAAAAGAAAAGAGAGAGATTCCAGTTAGGACTTCTGAGTATTTCCAGGGAATTTTCCTTGGCAAAGGAAGGCAGAAGAGAGATACATTCTAGCTCTTATAAACTTGAAAGGATGAAATCCAAAAGACCAAGAGGGTGCATATATCAGAGACCAAGATTTCAAGGGCTCAGTAAAATAATTAAGCACAGTATATGTAATCCTGGGTATCTTGTAGTACACATTTTTAAAAGAAATGTTTAGAATACATATGGCTGTGGGAAACTGTTTAGGAACATGCTGGCAAAACCTGGTGGAAATCTCAGGAAAAAAGACAAGTGGGGGTTGCAGAGCATGACTTCCAATAACCAGGAAGTGGGACATCAGACTCCTGCACAACCCCTGGTTCCACTCCTACTCCCAGGGACCCCTTCTTCCATCTCCAGGCCCCACCAAGCCTTGATTCTCTCATATCATTCCTTTCCTTCTATTTACAGACATGACTTACGGAGCTGTAGTCCAGAACATCTGGAGGGCACCAGGTTGGCCAAGGCTGCCACAGACAAATGTTCTCCTCCCCACCGCCTAAGGACCAATCCAAACCATGTTGCTGCCTAACCAAAGACTAAATACTCCTACCCACTTTGTTTCCCACATACTGAATGGTAGGTTAATTTACTACTGCGCTGACAATAGGAGAGAGTGTCCTCCATCATACAAGAGGACAACAAGGTAACTTAAGGGGCGCAAGGCAGACCACACCCTACAAACAACTCTGCCCTCCAGCACCTCTTTGCTACCCCAAAGCTGCTTAATGTTGTGGCCAGCCTTGCCTTCTCCTAGTGGGTTGAATGTACAAAAAAGTTCCCCAATACCAAGGTCAGCCAGCAGCTTATAGAGGTGGTGACCCTTACCTTGGGATTGATAGAAGCAGCACCATGGTCGAGCAAGGTGGCTATAAGCCTCTCAGGTTGCCCCTCCAGGTAATCTTCCACTGCTTGCAGGGCACAATCCACAGGTGTGTAGCCGGCGCAGTTTCTAACGTTGACCTGTGCCCCGTGCTGCAGCAGAAGCTCCACAATGCGGATGTGGCAGTTGCTGCAGGCGTTGTGCAGGGGTGTGTGGTTCTTCCGGCCAGCTATCCGGACGTCAGCCCCACCTTCCAGCAGCCGCTTCACCACCCGGTAGTAGCGGCCAGCCTCCTCAGGCCTGTCTGCACTGGCGCAGGCCGTGTTGAGGGCTGTCTCTCCCTCTCGGTTCCTGTGGGCAACCTTTGCTCCATAGCAGAGGTAGAGCTTCGCGTGGTCGTCCAGGCCGTGCTTTGCAGCCACGTGCAATGGAGAAGCACGGTGGTCTCTTGTATTCTGGTTGACCAGAGCTCCGTACTCCAGGAGCAGCTGGGCACACCTGGAAAGCACAAGGAGTAGCTGTGGGGAATTTGGCAACCATCACACGATCCAACCCATGGGTGGGTGCAGGAAGCTTGCACAATATTTATCTGGGGAAGCAGCAGTGAACACAGACTTCTGCCACTCTGTTGTTGTTGTTTTTGTTTTAAAAGAATCAGGACCCATATAGGACATGAGCCTGCAACTAGAAGTGAAGGGGCTAGAGAGACCCTTTTGGCCTAAGTGTGTCCATAACAATGGCTTCTCTCCCCCCAGTTAGATATGCTTGCAAACGATATGGCCTACTTAGCATGACCCATTTAGCTGCCCACAAGGTGCTTTGAGAAGCAAAAGTCAAGTTGTCCACTTGCAACACACCTTGTGGTTGGAAAATTCCTGGTAGTGTCTGGGAGAGTGACAGGACTCTGGGAATCGAACTCCAAGACCAACAGGAAGACTGAAGGCAAGGTATTCTGTTGAAGCACATGATCACGTGTCCTTCACGTTTAACAATATACCGGGACTTTATAAATATGTGTTGTGGACTTTTCAGAGTTGTGGAGAGTTGGGTATTAACCTAATCTGTGCCTTCTGCCATGGCTTTCCACCCTGGTGTGTTCATTGACTACATTCACCCCAGCTCAACTGGACACTTTTCATTAACAGAAGAATCCAGCTTTCTCAGGAAGCGTGGCTGTAGAAGGGTGCCAGTGATTGGGCTTCCACTGCCCTGCAAAGATGCTCTCCACCCCCATGACTAGTAGGACCAGAAAACAGTAGGGAACAGAGTAAACAAAGGCAATTATGCAAAACAAGATGAAACTCGGTGGTTCTTGCTTCAGAATCTGAATTGCCCATGGATTGTAATATTTAACAGCATGCTTTGCATCATCTATTGAGGTAGTACAATCTACCGTACATTTAATTTCGCATGGGAGAAAGGCACTTTTGCAATTGAATTAAGGAGCCCCCTGCCAAGTCCGCCAGGAAGGCTAATTGTTAGTTTCATAGAGGCTAATTACTTTGCTGCTATTCTGCTGTCGCCTTATTGCTGCAACACTTCAACCCACAAACACACACCCCTTCCCAATTTCCCAGACATACGGCAAAGACTCCTGAGTGGTGCAGAGATGCAGAGGGGCCAGTCCGTCCTCCGAAAGAAGGTTGGGGTTTGCGCTGTAGCTCAGGAGCAGGCGGGTGCACTCTGCGCGGTGGTTGGCACAGCTTTCGTGAATGGCGGCTTTCCCACCAACGACAGCATCAACCTCAGCCCCTTGCAGGAGCAGGTGCTTCACACAATCCTGGTAGCCTCTGGCCGCTGTGATGCACAATGGAGAAGTGTGCTTCTTCTGGGGGGTCAGCACCCACAGCCCTGCAGAAGAAGATTATTGGGCAGGAGGATCAAAAACTGAGAAGCGGCAGGTTAATACTGCCATTTAAATGGATTTGCAATAGTTTCTGGGCAAACAAACAGAAAATCCTTCCCACAGCGCATAATTAGGCTGCCACAAAATCTGACGATAGAACTATCAGCCATGATAGCCAATGAGCGAAACAAATACCTTAATAAATATTTAGAAGCACAGAATTCCATGATTCTCTGGTGATGGGAGCAAACAGCACAGTACGACTTTCTCCATCGTTCTCCGCTGGGGAGCTTTCCCAAAGCAATAGCCTCATGGTAGACCAGCTCTTGAATTTAAGCACTAGCCTGGGTAACCGTTAGTGATCAGAAATTCCATGCAAGCGAGTGAGCATGAAATAATATTGCTGTTTGCCCTGAAACTACTTAAATCTGGGCAACGTGTTGCAGGTTGTGGATTAACGTGGGCCTCTGAGGAAGTCTGAGGAAGTTCAAGGCTATTGCTCTTAAAAGTGTCGCAACTTGTTGACGGCAGAGAGAAAATAGCAAACATTTTCTGCCAAAGTTGCTACTGGTTCCATGTCAAAATACCTATGTTGCAATAAAAGCAATGTGACAGAAGGCTCTGCTTACAAAGAATACCACTTTTCATAAGGGGATTCCAAACTAACCACTTTTACTGAAGTGGCCACATTTTTGTGATTATAACTAAATTTCTGGCTATTCACTTTTCCTGTTTTTTTTTTTTTTTAATTACTGGGCATTTAAAGGGCAGTGAAACTGTTTTCAGGACAGTGAGTGCATGCAGATTATTCGTTTTATATACCTCTATCATGTACTTTTTCGTCTCCCCACGCCCTTCTAAGCTAAAAAGAAATCCTAATAACAGACCCTGCAATGCTGAATCTTTCCCCAGTGGGACCAAAATTCCTGTGCTCCAACTTGTCGTCCTGCCAGAACCCAAGCCTTGAAAAGTCTCCCACCCCCACAGAACTGAGTCAAAATCTAAAAGGCCAGTGACCAATCCAAGTGACAACCCCTATGGACAACCCCCACTATGGACAACCCCTTCTTACCCATTTCGGCAGACCACACCAGCTCCTCACTGAGGGTCTCCACAATCAAGTTGGCAGTAGATTCATCCTTAAAAATGCTCCGGACTCTTGGAAGGTCTCCTGTGTACAGGGCATTGTGAACAGCAGGATCCCGACAATACTGTGGGCGTCGGGCAAGTTTGGGGAGTGCAGAGAGGCTCCCAAAACTAGGCTGGTACCTCCGACTCACAGACTGGCGAGACGCAGCCCTCCGCCGGTCTTCCCATTCCAGCATTTCTTGCTGCAGACGCAGGGAGCGAAGGGTGGAAGAAGTGAACGTGAAAGTTTCCTTCGACATTCTTCCACACAAGAAGAAAAGGCAGCCAAAGTTTCTCCACACAGGCCTAATTCATCTACCCCCAACCTGTAAGCTGCTCCCAGCTTCAATTTTAAAAGGTATGGTTACGACGCGGTGTCACCAATGGGCACATCTGTTTATTGGACAAACACCCAAGCTTTGCTGTGTCTATAAATAGAAAGGAATAGTCATCATGACAGCAAAAATACTCTCAGTCTCTCTGCAGTGTCAGTTTTCCTTTCTGGATCTCCGTGCAATTAACTTGTTGGTGGATCCGTAGAAGAAAGCTGAGAAGAGTACAGTGATAAAGGAACAAAATGAGGATGGCAATCACCAAGTTTTAAGTATTTAAGCCTTCCTCCCTAGCCCCCCCAAGTTATCTTGTAAGCAAAGTCTGCTGTCTGAAAAATAAATATTAATATGGGAGGGGAAAATTCAGAGCACACACTGGAAAGGGGGATTCTACCCTCTGTGGTCTAAACCTCTGAGCCTAGGGCTTGCCGATCAGAAGGTTGGCAGTTTGAATCCCTGCGATGGGGTGAGTTCCTGTTCCTTGGTCCCAGCTCCTGCCAACCTAGCAGTCCAAAAGCATGTCAAAAGTGCAAGTAGATAAATAGGTACCGCTTCGGTGGGAAGGTAAACGGCACTTCCATGCGCTGCTGTGGTTTTGCCAGAAGCGGCTTAGTCATGCTGGCCACATGACCCAGAAAAACAGTATGCGGACAAACACCGGCTCCCTCGTCCAGTAAAGCGAGATGAGTGCCGCAACCCCAGAGTTGTTTGCGACTGGACTTAACCGTCAGGGGTCCTTTACCTTTTTACAGCTGTTTAAAGTGGTATGATACTGCTTTAAATGTGTAGTGTAGTTGCTGCCAAAGACATGACGAGTCAGCTATCCAAGGATTTGTTTTACAAATTGCCACCTGCCTTCTGCTTATACCATGGGAAAGTAATGTTGCCACTTCACTGAATTTCATTGCCCATCCATTACGGCTCTCTTCCTTATTGCTTCCTTTAGCTATGCAATCCAGCTTTTATTGTTTAAAACTCCCATCTCTAACCATTGGCTATGCTAGCTGATGCTGGTTAGAATCTGGAGGGCCACAAGCTCGCTATCGTGATTTTGTGTCTGTCTGCTTGCCAATCCAGAGGCAGTCTTTGATCATTTGATGCCCCCAAACAGATCTTCTGAATTATGGATCTTCTCAATTTTGCACCCCCTTCGGCTTGGCACTGTGTGTGGGAATTGCCCTCACCGCCCTAAATCCAGCACCGGCCTATTTGGAACCTCTACCACCAACCATGTGTATAACGGGCAGCTGAGCATATGGCATTTGAATGCTAGAACTCGCCCCATAACACTGGTCTAACGATTTGCAAACCTTATCCCAATTTGAGTTGGCTGGGTACCAACATGAGCACAAAGAGGACAATATCCTGTCCCCAGGAAACTTGCCAAGAGTCGGAGATGGTTGCCGCCTGCTTTCTTTCTGGCATTTGCTAAAGATGTTCCTGTTTACCAAAGCCTTCGATGTAGCAGTTAGAAACCACTTTGCTGTATTCTTTTACGTTTATTATTCATGGCACCATTTTTATCTTTTGTACACCACTTTTGATATTCACAATCATTAGCAGTATCTTAAGTGTTTTAAATAAAAATAAATAGGGTGACATTCGGTCAGCTTTTCTTGAAGCTTGTGCACAAACAGTAGTTAGTGTACATTTTTTCTTCTTCCATTGTATCATTTCCTGATCTGTACTTGTTATTTTATGCACAGAGGTTTTCCTCTTTTTATTTGTGATTAACTGAAATATCTGTTTGAAAAAAGACTCCAGGGGCTGTATTTTTTCCCTCCGACCAATCTGACAGTGAGTTGTTCTCTGCATGCCACGGTATTATAGTTCTATAAGCGTAGTTAAAAACCTAATCTTGCAGGGGATGACGGCAGCAATGACACACATTTCTTATTATACACTTATGAGACCATCTCTGAAAAGTTCATGTGGACAACCAGTTCCAACACACCAGTTTTTGTCATTTGAATAAATTTATGAAATTTGATCACATACATTGACGCAACTGGTCAAATTACCACAACATTGACTGCAGCACTTTATGGGAAGAAAAGGGCATTCCATTTTTGCTGTTTCTGGTTCTTTATTGCCAGCATTCTGTTTTGCTCTAAATTTCCCAAGGAGACAAACAAGAAAAGCTGGGTTTATCCAGCTTCAATATCTCAGACCCACATTATCCATGTAGTATATGGAGGTGATTGTATGTATCCAGGAAGCTCTATATGAACAGGGGATGCTCCTCACTTCAATATGTAGAGAAGTGCAATCAGGCAATGGGTATACGGCGCCAACTCTGAAAATTGAGAGGTAGCGGGGATGGGAGGCTTGTGGTCCTCCAGTCCAAGAGCTTCCATCCATTAGCCAATCAATGACCATTTGCCAAGGGGGCTGGGGCTGATGGGAAGTGGAGTCCAACAACTGGAGGATCACAGACTCCCCATCCCTGCTTGTGTGAAGTAACCAGTGCGCATATAAGTGCCTCAGTACTAGGAATTGCTGCTACGACATCCAGAGTTCAAATTGGCATGAGCTACCTGGAAGAGAAGGTTACTTGCCTTTCTGGAGCCAGATCTCTAAGTTAATATGTATAAAACATATTATGCACACACTCCCTTTAAAACCCACAATCAAAATGTCAATCGCAAAGGAATAAAAGGTAAGGATTAAATAAAAAGATACAACACGCTCAAGACCTTCCTTTCACAAACATCTTTTTTGCAAGGTTCTATCAGCAAAAGTCAACTTCACACATTTTGCTAACTGCTTCCATCCACATAAGATTATTATTTGCATATTGCCTCTGACATGGTTTGTGACAGAGTACCGAAGCAGGCATCAGGAGAGATATTGTTTCAAATCGGAAGGGAACGACAGCTGCGTAACGTGTTAAACGACCGTTCTGGCTGGTTTAAACATCCAGGCAAAGCGCCGTGCAGGCAGAAGTAGGTCTGGAATAAGGTGTGATGCTAGGTGTGCACTGCCAGATACCTTGTTGCTTGGAAGGCTGTGCCTTTGAACAAATGGCAGGCTGCAGTAAAATTAGTAGCAGGAGCTTAATGTCCAATGCTATTCCTGCTGGGGCTCCCGTTTCTGTCCAATTCCATCAGATTTGTTATCTGTCTTATGAAGGAGCTTCTTTCCTCCAATCGCAACCAATGTTGATAAAGATGCTGAAGGCAAAAATCTCAAAGATATGTGCAAGGGAGTCAGACTCACTGGGCAAAAAAATCTCTGCAGGGCTCAGGACAATAGCCATGGTTCTATGACAGCAGGTCCCCTTACTTGAGCATCAGTGAGCAATCATAGATTGCTTTGGGCATCAAAGTTGGAGAAAAAGTCATCAGGTAGTTCTCCAAGAAGCTGGTCCAGGTCATCTGCATAGGAAGCATGAAAAGTTATTCAGGCTGCAGAACAGGAACTAAATCACCCCAGCACCCCATGCACGGGTTCCTATTTGCACATGAGATTCTCCAAAGATCAGGGGCTGCCCCATTCTCTTCAGCCCATGGGAAAGCTGTGCCCCTGGGAATAAAGGGAGAGGAAAGAAAATATTGCAGACTCATTTAGACTCAGTGAGCAAGGCTCTGGTCAGGGCTTAGTCCAGTCTATGCTTCAGACACATAGTGCAAACACAACATTTCACAACCAGTGAAGAATTCATATTCTGATAATCTCTGCACCATCCCCACTTTTTTTGGGTGGGGTGGGGCTCAATTATTGTTGTTATATATATAAGGCAAACAGTACCAGGGTGGGTAGAATTATCACTGGTTCAGATGACATGGCCCCATCTATGCAGTATCTCTGCCAACCTGCATTCTAAGCAAATATAGTCCAGTAGCACCATTGTTTTAGCCGAGGCCCAACATGCTTATGTTCCTACTCAGCTGTGAATATCTTAGGAAGCGCCTCTTTCCACGGCCAAACATTTTCTACTTTGCATCTGTGTTTCATACATTTGACCTGCTTCTATGTTTCAGGTTTTCCAAAGTATTTGGAATTTTCTGGGAAGGAACCGGGGTGAGTGGGCAGGAATGCAGGTAGACAGCAGTAGTCATGAGGAAGGGCAAAGGAGCAGCACAGAGGCATGCAGCTTCACCCCTTGGCAGCACAAAAAACCCTGGTCAATCTCTCTCTGCTTTCTAAGCTGTTGCCAGATGCTGTTTATCAAAGTTCTCCCCGGGCAAGGAGGGCTAGCTTGCCCGTTTTTCAAAAGGTATTTTCAGTCCCCGGGATGCCAAGTACCTTATTCTATCCTTGAACAACATATCCGCTTTTGCTGCACACTCTCAAATCAGCGGGTGGGATGCAGTGCTCTATGTGTGGCCACTGAATGGTCACACACAGGGCTCTGCATGCCATCTGCTGATCCGAAAGTCATTAAGTGCTTGGGGAGCAGCGGGGAGGTTGGCAACATGTAGTCCTGTAAGCTGCATCTGGCTCAGTAGGACTTTTCTGTAGTCCATCTTGCTGGTTATCTTTCCTGATCATTGGCCATGCTGGCTAGAACTGAAGGGAACCCAACAACAAATGGAGAGCCACAGGTTCCCCATCCCTGATGCAGTCCACACTTCCTATTTTCCTTGTTCTGGAGGAGGCAGTGGGAAAAGAGAGACAGAAAGGCATTATCAGTCCATTGCTACTTAAGAGTTCTATTTACCCAAATCAGTTGTTTCAGCCTTTGGGGATGGAAGGTGCAAAACTGATTTGCCTGCTCCAGAGACCCCTGGAATTGATGTCAATGATGACCCTTTATCTAATGCCGATACGCGCTGATAGCGGTCCTCATCCATCTTATGTCCTCCTTTGTTCCTGTTGTCTGTTGTAGTCATGGCAACGGGGGCGTTGGTGGGAGGATCCTGCTGGAATTCCGGCGCAGCCTGCACTTGCAAGGTTCCAAGAGGCCACAGAGAATGTTTGAGTTTAGCATCCTTCATACTTTTATCACCAAGCCACGGTCCCATAGCATAACTGGCTCCCAATATCAATTACAGGAAAGGATAAATGGAGCTTCCTTGTTATCAGGACACCAACAAATCTAGCACAGCCCTGTAAGAGTTGGGAGTCCAACATCATCTCAAGGACCACCCCAACCCTGGTCTGCACAGCTCAGTTAAAACAGGTGTAGGGAACCTTTGGACTCTGGGATGTTGCTGAACTACAATTCTCAACAGCCTTTGCAAGCAAAGCCAATGGACAGGAATGATGGGAGTTGCAGATCAGCAACGTCTGGAGGGCCAAAGGTTGCCCACACCTGAGTTAAAGCTTTCCGAGGTCTGAAGCAGGTGAGATCTAGCATGGAGTTTGGTACTTGAGATGCTAGTATAGGCAGAGGCTCAGCCAGAGATATTCTCAGTAAAAGATCATGTGCTCTACTAGTGAAGTAGTATGACTTCTCCAAGTGATCGCACACGGCCTAAACTTCAGAAGGGAGATGTGATTTGGGAAGAGAATGAGAAGAAGAGGAGTTTGGATTTGATATCCCACCTTTCACTCCCCTTCAGGAGTCTCAAAGCGGCTAACATTCTCCTTTCCCTTCCTCCCCCACAACAAACACTCTGTGAGGTGAGTGGGGCTGAGAGACTTCAGAGAAGTGTGACTGGCCCAAGGTCACCCAGCAGCTGCATGTGGAGGAGCGGAGACGTGAACCTGGTTCCCCAGATTACGAGACTACCGCTCTTAACCACTACACCACACTGGCGTAGAAGTATGCACTGCAGGGGTGCGACTAGCTAACCCTTGGGGTCTCTTCCAACTCTATGATTCTATGAACAGTGATTACAACTGGAACAGATCAATCATCTACTGATGGGTGTAGTGGAATCCCTTGTCTATCTCACTCACTCAAGCCAATTCCCTTGAGTGGTGTAACTCAGTGGCAGTGCATATACTTTAAATGTAAAAAAAGGGCTTCAGGTCCAATCCCCGGGATCTTCAGGCAGGGCAAGATTTGTCTCTGCAACCCTGGGGAGCCAGTTCCTGTCACTGTAGAGTAGTTAAGTCTGATCTACATTACTAGTGGTCTGACCTGATAGAAGACTGGTTTCTCAGTGTCCTCCAATTTCCTCTCACGGAGCAGGCCCTTAGCTGCATAGGAATTAACCAAGGCAGCAATGGCTGCTTCCTCATTCTCCATATCCATCCTGACTTTGGACAGACCTGAGCACGGGGTGTTTGAGAAGAGGGAGCTCTCTTGTTGCTCCCCCCCCTTTCACCTTGAACGTTTTGTTAACATTCAAGCATTTCCTCATGCATTTTACCTTAGCGGCTGCTATTCCCATTTTACAGAATTTGCTGACAAAGTTTTAAAAGAGAGAGAGAGAGAGAGAGAAAGAAATCGGCACTAGAGCAGTGGAAATACTGCATCAAGATACACTTCAAAACTCACCTATGTAAACTAAAGAAAATAGGAATTTAGGCAATTTTTCCAAGTTAAATTAGGATGCAGAATTTGCTAAGTGTGGGAAGAGGAAAGTACCTATGCAGGGCCAGTCCCACCCCACCCTGCCCCCACATTTTAACAGTTAATACATCGCATATGGCTGCCAATCTTAATGAAATACAGCATCCCAGTAATTAAGAACAAGTGCCTCCATACACTTTTTTTAAAAAGTATCCAGAGTACACACAGCCTCTCCTATATCCTAGCAGTTGTGCCAAGGAGAGCCTGCTCCTTACCTGTGTTGGCTCCATCTGCATCCCTCCCTCAATCTCTTGGCATAACTGAGGGGTCTTCTCATTGCTGAATCCCGGAGGATATATCTTCACCAAATTACTGGGTGTCACATTGAGGTAGTGGTTGCGATAGGATGGGGAGAACACACCCACCTGTGAAACCCAAGGTAGGTATCAATACTGCCTATGGTACACGGCACAATTGACTATACTTTAAAAAATTAAAAAATTAAAATAAATACAACAATAGAGGGGCAGATGTTTCATCGCTGGGAAGGGGTAGTTCACAACCAAAGAATGAAATATACAACCCAACTTCTAAAAACAAGGAGGGAGATAATACTATTTAATTGGTGTCCTGGACCAGCTCATCTGAATGCAAGAGGTTTGAATAAAAGTGACGCATACAATCTCCAGAAGTAAGATGGACTAAGTGAGTCTCTAGAGCAAAGAATTCTAAGACACCTTTCTACATATTCTCATGGACCTCATTTAGAGCACCCAGATAATAGTAAAGAAAGCTCTCTGGGAGTAGAAGGAGGAACATTCCACCATCCAATGGACAATCTTTGGTAGATGGTTCCTGACTTGTCAGTTCTGCTTTCAACTGACATTGGTTGCATCTATTTGACACAAAGCTAGAAGGGGTAACTTGTTTTTGTGTTAATCTGGAGGTGATAACTGCACCAGCAGGGGCACAAACAAGCAGAACCATCACTCAAAAATGTCTCTGGATCCCCAGTAGCAGGTGGTCTTAAATACCAGTTATTCGCTATAATTTTTTTGCATGGAAATGAAAGCTCACCCAGCCCTTGATTTCTTGTTTTCTAGTACCTGCTTTAGCAGAAGCACTGAACCAGCCTTAAATTCACTTTGTTTCTCCTCCAGCAACAGGCGATGTATTGTGCCCTGCATTTCTCCTGCATGACAGAAGGCCAAACCAATCAGGTACAGGAGCACTAAATATACAGTGAAGTCAAAGAGGAAACACATGAGCGTCACACACCAATAGCTCTCACTGCCCTTTATACAGGAACACAGAGATGGGAGGGAGAGCCCAGCGAAGGAAGGGTCCCAAGCACTCAACACCAGCCACATAATTTGCCAGTGACCTGGAGCAAAGAACAATTGGTCCCAGGCAAATGCACATATCAGCCCCACCTAGGCTTAGGACTTCTGAGGACAACTTCAGTGTTGCCTGTTTATTCCTTGTGATGGTCAAATGAAAACATATCCTAGAAAGTCAAGAATGTGGCTGTGTAGGGAGTGGCAACTAAAACAAACTATACTGGAGAGGCTTGCAGTGAATGTTTATGCATGAAAGTTAAGAAGCAAACCATCCCAAATGGCCTACTTTTTTTTTTAATGCCCTGTTAGTATTACCTGGTAGCATAGAGCACCAAGGTTTCAAACTATGCCCACAAAAAAACGGTGCCAAAATGTCAGTCTGGAACCTCCATGTACATTTGTGGGACTAGCTCAACTGAGAAATTGCCTCAATATTTGCTGGACTGCTTGTTCCCTGGCAGATGTTGGATTTAAATCGGGTGAGGAACCTTTGTCCCTCCAGATGTTGCTGAACTACATCTCCCATCAGCCCCAGCCGGCATGGCCAATGGTTAGGGATGATGGGAGTGGGAGTTCAGCAACATCTGGAGAGCCAGAGGGTACCACTGGGAGTCAAAGCTGAAAAATGAACAAAAAGACTACTGCCAATATAAATTGTAACTGGAAATGCCAAGGATTAAATTGTGTTTGTATTTTTTTGTTTTGTTTGTGTTTTTGTTCGGTGCAAGTTGCTTTTTACCCAGTCTTCTTTTTTTGTTATTGTCCATGCAAATATGTTTTACATACGTATTTCCAATAGCAAAGGGAAAAAAGCTTAATTAATATTTGAGCAGTCCATTGAAAACTAACTCCCTCCAGCCATTGCCTTTTTTCTTGCTTCACTTCTGGCTTGAGAAGCCAGCCTGTCTAGGCAATACTCCCTCCCAATACCTATTCACAAATTTTGTTTAGGCACCTAAAACATTTTACTTAAGAATTTGAAACATTTGTCCAATTCTTTGCTGGCTCCAAAGAAGTTTTTTTTTTTTTTTTGGAAAACCCCATATCACAACTATCCAGTCCCTTTCCCTCAATCTAATGAAAAGACAGCACTCTCCCTCTCCATCCTTCACCATCAACACAAGGGGTCAGCAAAACACACAGATTTGCTCAGGGCTATATACAAGCTCCATTGTTAGGCTAGTGGAAGCCCGTGCAACAATTCCCAGTAGCACAATGTGCCTAAAGGACTGTACCATATTTAGTCGGAGTCAATTCAAACACCCAGAAATGAGTCAGACGGTGGCCATTAACAAACAAGGTTTGCCCAGACACCACAGGCAAAGCAGAAACGCCCCACCAATAATGCATGCAGAAGAAGTAAGTCACGACACTGAACTCTTTTCATCCTTACCAGTAGGGTCTTTGAACACGGCGCCCGCGTCAACGTTGGTCTGCATTACCGACTTAATCATCACGGCCATGTTAGGAACCTTGTTCTTTGGGAGCTGCTTCAGGGCTGCCTGCATGAAAGTGAACGAGCAAGGGAAACGCACTATTTGTGGGAAGTCAGGGTGGCAAATCTGAGACAGGATTGTATTAACTTTTGAGATTTGAGAAAAGATGCCTGATCGCCAGAGCAGCAAAGGATATGGAAGAGGCCTTCTAATATATCTTTCTTCCTGCCCTTTGTTGTATGGTGACACACAGCGAAAGGACAGCTGGCCAAAGAGGCCTCGTAGCTCGCTTCCTGATGGCTCGAGGTTGGTGGAGAGGACGACAGCTGAACGTCAAGCAACCGCCCACACCTCATTTATCGCTTGATGCGCAGCAGGAAAAGAGGCAGGAGGGAGAGGCATGTGGGAGTTGCCTAGCAACCCACCATGTTTACCTTCTTACCAGGCTAGGCCTGCTCCGGGGGTCTAGTGCGTGTCGGGGGTGTGTGCGCGGCAAGCAGTGTATGTCCCAGGGCGTGTGCAGTGAGCGTCCTGGGGATAGCCACAATGGCACCCCCCCCCCCGATGGCACCCGGGGCGGATTGCCCCACCCCACCTTTGTTCACCAGTGCATGCAAACCTGGTGCAAGCGGTCCTACCAGAGGTGTGGACAGTTATTCCCAGCTGTGTGGAGCAGATGTTGGCCTTCCCTGAGCTGAATTTAGAGTGAATACTAGTCACCAACACTTCCAAGGTGTTATGGAGGAACTTCTGTATGTTCTTTTGAAAATATGTTTATATGTATTTAAATATTTATATGTATACTGTACCCTTGCAGATGGATAACAGTATATATCCCATCCAGATTACTGATAAGGTTATCCATGGCTCCAGTAATATTGCAATACATCCTTGCTTCCAGGCCCAACCATTTTATCATCTTTGGCGTTTGCACTTCAAGAAGAGATTCTTCTTCAAGTGACGTGGAATTTTCCCACCTGCAAAACCAAACTTTACCTTACGAAGCACCATAACAACGCTGTATGTCCTAAGGAAGCAGGATGGATCTCTCTCGTCCAATCCCAGCTCCGTTTTCATGGCAGCCCAAGGGCCTCTTCCAAATTCGTCTTCTATTGGCTGCTGGGAAGGAGGCATCTCCTAGAGTCGCACACACAATTCCAGGTTAAAGCTTACTTTTCACCTTACCTTTGGGAAAAGCACTTAGTCATTTGGAGACAACATTATCCATGGGAGCTGTTTTGCTCTACTGGGTGCAGGTCATATTGCTTATGCTCCTTCCTCTGCTCACTCCAGAATCTCCTCCTCGCCACCTCACCCTCTCTCACACACATTAAAACATATAAAAGAATAGTTAGAAGAAACATCTCTATTGAAGCAGAACGAGAAAGTGTCTCCACGACCAGACGTATGAAAAACTTGCTGTAGTCCAAGACATGCAAGGGCTGGTTTGGGTTACTCAGTACATGCCCAGAGGCATCTTTTAAAACTACCTGAACCCCTCCCTGACAGGGCTTGTTAAATGTTGTTTCCAGGACTGCTCTGGCTCATGAGGTGAGTTTCTGCAATTCATCATCGTTAATATTGACCTTATCAGTACAATGAGAATAACCAAGTGACGCTTGGAAGTACTAGACTAAAGATTTCAAGATTTTCCATGGATGAGTTAGTTTTTCTTTTTTGAAATACAAAGAAGGGATGGAAACTTGCAGTTTTCTCCTGTAAAGGTCATTCTGCACAGCTGCTTCAGAGTTGGGTTTTAAAAAAATTAATAGCCAGTACAGGGCACCAATTTTTACTAGGACTACAGTGTTTGGAGGGGTGAGGTTTAACTATTCCCTTCCTGCGCTTGAGCCTGATAAAAGTTACCCGCCCCCAGCTTGGCTAGCAATGCCCTGTGGCACCAATGGGAACGACCATCACCATTAATACAGTAGTTACACGGTAAGGAACTCTTTATTGGCATCAGGACTGCGAAAGGCAGGGGCTAAATCTCCCATTCCCATGAAGTTTGGTTCCAATGAAATTCATATCCCATTAAATGAAAAGACACCCAACAGGGTTTGTAATCGTGCGCTTAGCATCACAGCTGGGTTCTCAGAGGCAATGCAGAATTTCCAGTCCCCATCTGCAGCATGACTTCTTCTATTAAGAAAGGGAAGAGTAGAACCATGAATTACCTCCGTCCGCAGCTTTGCTAGAGCCCCATGAGTTGGTGTCTGTGGAGCTGTAATGAGAATCTCTTCTAAGTTTTTTCCATCAGGCTTTTTTAGGGAACAAGGAAAGGAAGAAAATCTAATGAACACAAATTCTTGCCAGAGTTATGGACTCACTTTAAAGTAAGATATCCAAAGGTAGGTAGATCCCTCCCTCCCACCCAGCCGCATTTAAAAAATGAAAGCTGAGATTCTCAGCGTGCTGAATGTGGTAGTCTGGGCCCAATTCTGTGCTCCCAAGGCAGTTACACAACCCTACCTTAACACTTTGAAGCCCTAAACGGCCTCGGCCCAGTATACCTGAAGGAGCGTCTCCACCCCCATCGTTCTACCCGGACACTGAGGTCCAGCACTGAGGGCCTTCTGGCGGTTCCCTCACTGCGAGAAGTGAGGTTACGTGGAACCAGGCAGAGGGCTTTCTCGGTAGTGGTGCCCACCCTGTGGAACGCCCTCCCATCAGATGTCAAGGAAATAAACAACTATCTGACTTTTAGGAGACATCTGAAGGCAGTCCTGTTTAGGGAAGTTTTTAATGTTTGATATTTTATCATGTTTTTAATATTCTGTTGGGAGCTGCCCATAGTGGCTGGGGAAACCCAGCCAGATGGGCTGGGTATAAATAATGAATTATTATTTATTATTATTACTTATACTGTAGAAACCATTGGCACAGACTAAAATTATTAGCTTGACTTCCTGTCCTCCCTGAGTCAAAGCTATGTCCCAAATCAGGATAGAATGTACAAGTTTTCTTTCTATATTCAATTTCCCTTCAGTCCCAGTCAGAGGTCACTTTTTAGTGATTTTTGGATGCGGAATATTTCAGCAAAAATATTTAACTGAGGTTTCAATTTAATATTTTATCCTTTTTCTATATTATTGATTTCATTAGCATTGTTTTTCTAAGCCACCACAGAGCATTTGTATCAGCAGAGCAAAAAAAGTTATTTCATCTGCAGGCACCCCAAGAAGCATTCAGTGAATCCATATAGGGAGATAATTAGTAATCCCCATCACTAGGATAACCATATAGCAGCCATTTTGGAGCAGAGAAAACTTAGGGAGGATGGCAGCTTTTATGCCCCTTTTGTGACATAGCAACTGTGGATGGAGTGGAGGAAAAAAGGTAATAATATTTCACAACACACATATACCGTATTTTTCTGTGTATAACACTCCCCCGTGTATAACATGTCCCCTATTTTGGGGGACTCAAATTTATGAAAATGGGGGAAGATGACCCCTGTGTATAAGACGACCCCTGTTTTTAAACATTAAGATAAAGGGACCCCTAGCCGTTAGGTCCAGTCACGGACGACTCTGGGGTTGCGACGCTCAAATCGCTTTACTGGCCGAGGGAGCCGTCGTACAGCTTCTGGGTCATGTGGCCAGCATGACTAAGCCTCTTCTGGTGAACCAGAGCAGCGCACAGAAACGCCGTTTACCTTCCTGCTGGAGCGGTACCTATTTATCTACTTGCACTTTGACGTGCTTTCGAACTGCTAGGTTGGCAGGAACAGGGACCGAGCAACAGGAGCTCACCCCGTCGCGGGGATTCGAACAGCCGACCTTCTGATCGGCAAGCCCTAGGCTCTGTGGTTTAAACACTATTTTAGAGTAAAACACCTAGTCTTCTACATGGAAAAGTACGATACTTCCAAAGCATCCTCACTCCTTTGTACATACAGCAGGGGTGGCTAACCTGTGACTCTCCAGATGCTGCTGAACTGCACCTCCCCTCAGCCCCAGGCAACATGGCCAATGGTTAGAGCCAAAGGTAGCTGTAGTTACTAGCTGGACAGCCATACACTCCCCATGCCCAACATAAAGATTGCCCTATTATCATGCTGGTCCTCTTACTTGATGTGGCAGAATGCCAGCAGGTCCCGGGAAGCGCCGCGTCTTAGCCCGCAAAGGAACTTGGGTAACTGGCTCTGGCATCTTGTTGGCTGCTGTGACCAAACGGACAAGGTGATTGGTGACCACAGGTGACTGGAGGTTTCCGGGAACTTTAGGGTTGGCAGGTGAAGTCTCCATAGAGGTTGCTGGGGGACCATATGCAGAAAGCAGCTGAGCACCAGAATTGGCTGTTCTGGACACAGAGCAGCTCTGATTGGGCATCCATGGTTTGTGCGGCCTTGTTGGGGTACTTGCTGACTGAAAAGAAGAGCAGGGTCTAACCAGAGGCAAGCATGGGCTGTTGGATGCGGCAGTGGGTTTTTGCAGAGATGCCTGGAAAGGCCTGAGCACCTGGCAGCTGGAGTTTGAAAGGGCACATGTGCTGCTACTTAACCCTAGGTGAGACTGAGACAAGGAAGCGTCCACGGCAGGAGGCCTCAAAGGCAACTTTGGAGAAGTCTCTGCCGGCTGGAGATGGCTGATGACCTCTACCACAGGTTGTTTCCAAGTCTTTTCCAACTTTGAGGTCTCTGACCCAAAAGAGTCAGTCAATGCCAACGAATCAACCACTCGTGGTTTCTTCGCTGTTGCTACACTATTATCTCGCATTTGCTCCCAGGACATATAGTTGGACCTGAAGGACCCCGGATACGACTGTGTATCAGACTCTTCCAGATCCATGCACGCAGCCAATACAAGCTCGTTGTCAATTTCCTCATTGCAGGGGACACCCCCAGTGGGGAGCTTAGCTGGAGGCTGCTTCACAAACCTGAACCTTGTGTCTGAAGTGCCGCTCGATTTACATTCAGTTGCAGTGGGTGCCAGGTCCTTCTGAACTGTGAAGCTGGTCGCCAGAGGAGTCTTCTGGTTGCTTTTGACATTACCTTCTCCAAACCTTAGCCTGGAGCAGTTTTGCACCTGCAAGACTGGGGACATGGTCACCCTTGGCCCCTCAAAGACCGGAATGGTGGTGCTGGGGGCTCTCAACCCAGTTGAGAGGGGTCTAAGACATCTTGAGCTATCTGTAGGTAGATCCAGGGCTTGCTTCTCCACATCATTCACAGCTGACAGAAAATCCTACCAAGAACAGAGAAACAGAATGCTTGTCATGAGGTGCCATCCCTCAGCTTTGTACTACATGAACATTGTGAGCCTGAGAGCCCATGAGGGCTTAAGGGTATCTTTTGTTTGCCATTTGGCCAACAGAGTTCTTCCATCCAAAGTCACATGTCCACCTGAAGTCGTCCAAAGTACACTTCAGCCAATAAGTAGAAACCTTTGCCCTCTCCACCACACCCAGATTCACAAATATTCTCTTACCTCATCTTCAAAGTCTGCCTCCACAGCAAATAGCTTCTGTAGACCACAGGCCTGTTGGGTGAGGGGGAGAAATAATAACTTAAAAAAAAATATTCTATACTACGTGAACTTATACTACCTGAATTATTCTAGCTACATGCAGTTTTTGTTCCAGCACAAGTCTGAGTGGGGTTTGGGGGTTTGTTGTTGTTTTGGTACACCACTTTAAGTGTCTCTTTCGGCTGAAAAAAGGAGAATCCAAGCATTCTAAACAAATAAATACATAACAGGCTTGCCCTTTTTTTTAACCTGACCATCTTCCACCCACAAGGAAGATTTTTGAGATATTCAAAAGACTGCCTGATAACTTTAACTATAACTTGCATTAACTATACCTTTACTATATCTTGCATTGTGTTAAAAATAATGTTTCCCGGGGTTTGAGGGGAGTGTAATAGCCTCGTCAGTCTGCTGCAGCAAACACAAGAGAGTCCTGTGGCACTTTACAGGCCAACCCCCTTATTATGGGCTACAACGTCATGGGCTACCGTCCTGCTGCATGGGCTGTGGCTATGTGTTTATAAGGCATTTGTCCTCCCTCTGGACTGCCCTCCTCCCCAGTCCCTCCTGCCCCTCTATTACCATCGTGGAGGCAGAAGAACCAAAACTCCAGGGTTAATACGGTGTAAAGAAACAAGGACGACGCAGGGATGCAGCGAGAGAGGGAAGTCCAGCATCCAGGCCCGCACCTCCGCTCACCGAGCTCTGCATTCGAACTGGCCGCCTCAAAGATGACGAGCCGCCCAGCCCCCGCCCTTCTTCATTGCACCTGCGCAATAGCTCGTTCTCTCCCTGCCCACAAAAGGGCAAACGCTTCGTTTCCTGGACTACGCAAGCGCCTAGAGCTTTCGCCCACTCAGCCCCCGCCCGGTCGCCATAATGCGGCGCTCTTCCTATACGTTAGCGGGGGCTGAGTGGGCGAAAGCTCTAGGCGCTTGCGTAGCCAAGGAAACGAAGAGTTTGCCCTTTTGTGGGCAGGGTGACAACGTAAGCGTATTAGAGCGCCTGTTCTCGTTTTAGGCAAGGAGGGGATCGTCAACGTTTTTTGGCCGCTTGTTGAAATAACCTGGTTTGTCTTTAGCGCGCAGGCGCCAAGCTTCCGCGGCTCGTGTCCGTTCTCTGTCAGAGGGGGAAAGCGTGTTTCTCTCCACACGGACGTAAATAAGACCGTTGGGAAGAGGTCGAGCTCGTTTCTAAAAGTTACCTTTAGTGTTAAGCAGTTTGGACTCTATGTCGTCAGTTTAAGCTTTAACGTGGGCCAAGGTGTATTTTAAATATCAAAATGTAGCTCTGGAGCAAGTGAAGCACTGTGCCTCGGAGCATATCAAAAGTTTTTTTTCTTTCACTGAGTAGCACGTACTTCTTTGGCGATCACTCGTAGCCAGTAAGATTGTCTTCCATGAACACGGTTTTAACAGTGAGTCCGTAAGTGACTGTGGAGGCCAATTCTGGATCCACACACCCTTCCACAGTGGGAATATAGGTTTCCGGGCGGGAGTTGATCACGGTGAGGGTTCGCCATGTGTGTCTTCCTCTTAGCGCGTTTCTCCTTTTCATCCTGAGTTCGAGCGTCTTCAAAGCCCATGACACCTTTGGCAAAGGCTGTTCTCCAATTGAAGCGCTTGCAGGCCAGTGTTTCCCAGTTGTCGGTGTTTATACTACATTTTTAAAGATTTGCCTCGAAGAGAGTATTTGAACCTCTCTTGTTGACCACCAAAATTACGCTTGCCATTTTAAAGTTCGGAATAGAATAGTTGCTTTGGAAGATGGTAATCAGGCATCCCCTCTTTTCTTCCCAACCCTATACAATGGTGCCTCAGTTTACGAACTTAATCCGTTCCAGAAGTCTGTTCTTAAACCAAGGCGCGCTTTTCCTAACAAGGCCTTCCGCCACTGGTGCCCTTCCACCGTTCAGATTCCGTTCTTAGACCGAGGTAAAGTTCTCAAACCAATACACTATTTCCGGTTTTGCGGAGTTTGTAAACCAAATCGTTCTTAAACCGGACTGTTCTTAAACCGAGGTACCACTGTGCTGCATATAACACCAATGTCTCACAACAAATGTAACTGAAGAACCTGAAGAAAGAGACAATGCATGTGCTTTTGAAAACGAGGGGAAATTATTATTTTTTTAAAGAAGAAAAGGAGTGTGTGGCAGCCCCCAGTATTTAAAGAGCCCCCACCCCTATTACATCATTAGAACCAGAACATAAACCTATGAACCTATAAAAAGAGCAGAAAAAAAATATCAATGTTTGGTCCAGATCCTAGGTACTGCACCCTCACTAAAGGAGACTGTATGGATGATTCACTAAATGATTGTAGGATGACGTGTGTACCTGAGCTTATGGTCTCAGATTCTCTTTATCTTATATGCTGCTTTATTACAAAAATGACGACTAGACTACTGATCCTAAACTGAATAGTTAGTTGCCCAACCAGGTCCTCCAGAACCCACTGCTCTCAACTCACTCTCAACTGCCTCACATTCAAACTCCCTTTCAAATCCTCATCCAGTCATCACTCACCACCAGAATTCCACACTCTCCCTTTCCCTCTCCTTCCCTCCTTAACATTCCCATAATAATTCTGATATAATTACCTTAATAACCCTATTACATTCAATATTTTATACAAGCGGGGCTCCCTATAACCATACTGTTAGACACATTTGAGCTTCCCATTCCTGGTTCCTAGGAAATGGGGGTGAGCAAACTGCAGGTTCTCCATCCATGTTCTAAAAACCAGAGGTCTTCCCCCAAATGATCCTGGGAATTGCAGTTTGTTAGGGGTTCTGAGGATTGTAGGTCTGTGAGAGGGAAGTCACAATGGCACAAATCATTTCAGTGGAAGTCATATGCTTTAAAGGCGCATTGGGTGCTCTTGAAAACATAGCATCATAGAATTGTAGAACTGGAAAGGACCCGAGGGTCATCTAGTCCAACCCCCTGCAATGCAGGAATCTCAACTAGATGATCCATGGCCGATGGCCATCCAAGTGCTGCTTAAAAATCTCCAAGGAAGGAGAGTCACTGCTTCAGGCCCTAAGGGCCTCTGGAGCAGGAGAAAGCAAGCTTGCTCTGTCCTCCATGTGACAGCCCTTTAGACTTTAGTTATTGAAAGGGCTTCATGGTGTGGATCTCATCCCAGTGTTATGAGAGTGTAAGCAACACATTTCCCTCTCTCCTTTCTCCACTCCATGCAGAACTGCAATGGTAACCAGAAGGCTAGAGTTTGGAGCCCAGCCAGGGCTGGCTGTGGGCAGGATCCTTGCATTGCCAGGGGTTGGGCTAGATGACCCTTGGGATCCCTTCCAACCCTGCCATGCTATGATTCTATCAAGCAACTAAAGGAACAAAAAGATGCTTCTGAAACATTTGGAAATCATAGGAACACTCTCCCCACCAGTGGCTTCTATCTTCCTTAGGAAATAGGCAGGCCAGAACAAGGAGGGAAAGGCTCAGAGTTCAGGTAGGTGCAAATGCCAATTGAGTGCCCTATACTATAGGAATGCTTCCTTCCTGTGTCCCCCACCCTCATGCGCCAGACTGCTGCTAGCATGGCTGGGAGCCAGGCGCCTGCTGATTGCTCCGTTTTCTTTGCAGGGAGGGAGCCTTTCCCCAACATATACTTTGTTCTGGCCAAATCCCTGGAGAGACGTGATGACCCTCAGGTATTGGGGCAGAGGGAAGGAAGGGGTCCCTGTGAAACACGTTTGGGGATTCTGTGGCTTCCAACAAGTGCTTTTCAGAAGCATTGCTCCCTCCAACAGGGGAGGCTGAGCCATAGCCATAACAGCTAGTTGCCTTTGATAGGCAATTATCTCACCCTCTTTGAAAACCATTCCATCCAAGATGCTCTTGTGGTGCATCTGATTCTCCTATGCTTCCTTGCTCCTGCAAGGAGATGACTATTGTGAGATCCTTTGGTTAACATCTATCTAGGCTGGAAAATATTAAAGAATCAGAGGACTGGTGAGCTTCCCTTGAAGCACAACTGATCAAAAACAGGCAGATCTGTTAGCATCTTGATAAAGATGCTCAAAAGACAAAGGATCCTATAATACCCCGTTAGTGTCTCAGAAAAAGCTCCCAAGCTGATGGAGAAGAGAGCAGTTAAGTGGTCAGTGGGGCTGCAGGTTGCCGCTTCTGGATCCCACCACAGCCCTTCCAAGTTGCCAAAGAAATCAATGTCACAACAGTTTTTCCCCTCACACCTCCTCTCCATGATCCTTCGTGGGGCCTTCTCAGACATATGCTGTGTCTGAACCAGCAGATCCCACCAAACCAAGTAATCAAGGACCCAGTCAGAAAAGGAGTGTGCGCAGTCATACCAGAAATAAGCAAAATACCGCATTTTTCTGTGTATAAGACTAGGGTTTTTAACCAAAAAATGATATTTAAAATTGGGGCTCGTCTTATACACGGGTAGTCCTGAGGGGTGTTTTCTTAATTTGGAGTCCCCAAAAATATATGGGGCATCTTATAGATGGGGACGCCTTATACATGGAAAAATACGGTAACTAAACAGGTACTAGAAGTCACCCCAGAACTAGGGGGCCGCTAGGGGGCGCCTTGGAAGATGGCGGATATTAACATCTATCCAGCTCGCACGAGGTAATTAGAGGCTGATTATGGGGAGTATATCAGTCTCCCTTCATCTCTCCAGGGGGGAGAGATGCCGTTTTCACCCGCTGTTGCCATAAATCACCCCCGAGTTCGGAAGAAGGAGGGGGTGAGGCACTGGGTGCACAACCCTCGGCGGGCCTCGGAACTCCTCCGAAGCTGCTTCCAGGAGCGAAACTAGTTGCGTTACTTAAAAGGAAAAAAAAAATTGGGAAAGATAACGCACATGCTTCAAGAGAGGCAGGAGGTTTTTATCTGCTAACAATTTTACCACTGAAAGGAAGAAGACTGAGACGGACTGAGATGGAAGATTACATCAAAGTACTACAAATATGGTATGTGGATTGGAATGCCGGAACTAAGGGGGGGGAAACGACTTTTATTTCTTTTTGCTCTATGTGATTATTAATAACCCTCCCCCTGAAGATCTGTCTCAGAAATTAATTGCAAATGGGACTAAAAATGAATTGTGTGGGAATAATTATGAACTTAAAGGTTTTACTCTGTGAAGGATTTGGAAAGAAGGGCTCTCTCTTGTGACGCAGTAAGAATGGAAACTTGATAAGAGACCTGTGTTGCTGGAGTTGGTCTTGGGGAGAGCGAGCCGAAGATATATTATTTTCGAGGAGATTGTGAACTGGAAGAGGCAGCCCTCCTGCAAAAAGACTAATTTACGATGCAACAGGTCGGAAAAGCTAAAGAGCGAGCTTCTAGACTGTATTTCATCGGAACGACAAAAATGGCGATTACTCGCTCGAGCGGAAAGGCCTGTTGGAGGAGAGTGATTTACGAGAGAGCAGCACAAAGCCCACACAGAAATACAAATAAGACTGTCTTTTTCAACCCACTTGCGGAGCATATCGGAGGAAAATGGAAAGGAAAATGAGTAATGACAAGTATTGAGAAGAGGAAACTGGAAACATCATTCTTAATATGGAAGCAGAACAAATATTCGAGGATTGGACTCCTGCCAATCAAGAAGCATGGGTACCCCCCACAAAAATTTATAATTTGGAAAACAATTGGATTATATGATATGTATTGTTATAATTTGGACTAATTGATTTGATGTGTTTAATTTGGAAATATGAAATTTAATAAAAATTATTAAAAAAAAAAAAAAGAAGTCACCCCAGAACTGGCCCTACTGAACATCTTCCAAGATAACAATGCCCACTCACATTAGAAAGAGCTCATAACCCACCGACAGCATACAATTCAATATGACTAACTTAACCCAACAACCCCCCTCACCCACTCACAAACAAATCCCACTGCAGCCAGCCAAAGACGATCAACCACACCCTAGGCCACCCCAACCTCTCTCACCACCAAAGAAACATAACAAGTGAATAGAAAGAGAACTTCCCCAGGTGATGCTGACAGAAAAAACCCAAGCATACGCTAAATAAAAGAACTTAAGCTTTGCCACCCTAGTCCCTCTCTCCTGCTCTCCTGCATCCATACAACATGACCAGTCCAACAAAGTTGATGTTGAAGAATCATTGCTTTGACACTGGTGATCTTTGCTTCTTCCAGTACACTTGGCATTAGTTTGCCTGTCTTCCCAAGTGATGTGTAAATTTTTTTGGAGACATCATTGATGGAATCTTTCGTGGAGTTGGAGATGACGTTTATAAGTGGTTCCTGTTTCACAAGCGTACAATAAGGTTGGTAGTAGAGAAAAGTGAAGAAAAGGGCCTCCACTTGAACTAAAGGATATGCATATTGTGAGGTGGGGGTGGGCTTTGAACATCCAGGTTGGCTTTGAAGCTATTTTTGTAATGGAGCCTAATTTGAATAGTAGAGTGCTTGGTATCTGGTGGGCGGGGCTTGTGTGTTTTGCTGCAGAATCAGCCTTCAGTGTGTGTTCCGTTAAGAGTGTCAGTTAAGAGGGACCAACTGCCTCTTCTTGTTTCTTGCCTCAGACTTGCCCCATGTTGTTGTATTTAGTTTCTCTCATTGTGTTATTTTGTTACAGTTTTCTTTATTATCAAAGCTTAGTTCACATTTACATGAGCCACTAATTTTGCTCAAAGAAAAAGAAACTCTGCTGAAGAATGGTGGAATATCCTAAACTTGGGTGAGTGAGGGGATATTCCCAGTTTGCCAGGAGGATTGATTTTGTTAATCATCCCCCCCCACCTCCACAACAATGTTAGCCCCTGCCCTTTTAGGATGGACGTGAGAGCTGACAATCATAGAAATCATTTGTAAAATCTATTAGTGTAGTCTGGCTGCGGTAGGGCAGCAGCATGCCCTGATCACTTTCTAAATAAAAGGTTGCAACAGAAAGTTAATGCATTTTTAAACTCTTATAGCGCTTACTAACAGTTCATCATCATTTTGGAAAATTGTGACAGGTGAGGTGCTGCAGGGTTCTGTCCTGGGCTCATTCAATGACTTGGATGAAGGAATTGAGAGGATGCTCATCAAATTTGCAGATGGCACCAAACTGGGAGGGGAATCTAATGCTGCAGAAGGCAGAATCAGGATTCAATAATGATGATATTAACAGATTGGAGAGCTTGGTCATTTTTTAGAGTCCTGATCTCTGAGCACACATTTTTGGTCATTTTTCAGCTGCTAACCCCTGGTCATGTTTTTTTGTTATTTTTCAGAGTTCTGACCCATGGGTCACATTTCTGGTCATTTTTGGAGACCTGATCTGGTTATGCTTTCAGCCATTTTTTGGCATCCTGACGCACATACCACATTTTTGCTCAAATACCGTAATATTTTAGCAGCAAATCTGCTAATTTTAGCAGCAAACCAGCACTTTGAAGCAGGACACTTGTGATAGTGTTTAGGGATAGGAGAAGACATTTCCCCAAATCCCATCTGGCTCAAACCTTACTCCAATGTGCTCAAGAGCATTGGCAGAGGTCATCATACCAGCCAACCAAAGCACCTGTATTACTTACCTCTTTGGTTCAGGGATCTGTCCCCTCCTACCTTCCTCTCTCCCTGCCATATTTCGCTCTCCACTGCCACATTGGAACCATCAATTCAACATTTCATAACTTAAAAGCTTTCAAAAACTTATTTGCTAGACATTGTGATCCAGTTTCTTTCAATACTCCTTTTCTGAAAGGAAATTTTAAAAATTGAATAGATCCTGGCAGGGCCATCTTAAGTATATCTGGCACCGTGGTGCAAAGATCCCTCTGCCCCGTTTCCCAGAGTTGCCGACCTTTTTACAGCGCTGCCGGCAGCTTTGCGGGGTTGGAGGAGACGGGCAGCGGCTGGAGGGCGGCTCCTCTGGCGGGGAAGAGGCGGAGGCTCTGGGCATGGTGCTGCTTTAGCGAGGCGGGCGAAGGCGGCGAGCTGATGCCAGGAGGCGCCGCGTCCAGCCTCCAGCTCTTCCCTGGCGCCCTCCAGAACTTGGCGCCTTGGCACCCTGCGCCACTATGGGCAAGACGCCCCTGGATCCTGGATCTCTACGAAAAAGGTCAGCTTGCTCTTCAGTGTAAACCCATGAGTTCCTTCTCCAGACATTGAAATAAATTACTCATCAATATTTTTTTAATCTCACAATTTGTGTAGATTCTGGAAGTTCAGAGTTTGTTGGAGCTGACAATGCAGTGTTTTTCATTTTTTAATCAATTGCTCAACTAAAGATACACAGATACCTCATGCCAATTGAAAGAGGCCATTAGAAGAGGGGTTACGGAAGATAATAAGTTTCTATACAACTGCACTGTAAGATCCAAATAATAATTTCTGAAGAATGCATGACATATATGCCCAGCTTCAATGCACACTACAATCCTGATCTGAACTAGGGAATATCACTCCTTTTATATGCAATGGGAGGATTTTTTAAAAAAAGACATTTTCTTGATAGTTAAAGCCAGATAAATTTTGTTTTGCTTAAATAAATTCCATTTTACTTTTGAATTACCTGATTGACCTATGATCAACCCATCCATGCTCCTCCTTTGTCTATAAGCTCTTAGAAGCCTTCCCATAAATATATGGGTCCTGTTCTGTTCTTCAGTAGGAGGTTTTAATAAGATGTTCCTCTGGTGTCTATTTAAATGCTGGAGTAGAGTAGTGACACTTCAACAATGTATTATTGTGGGAGAGGTGCTATGCAGCCCAGGAAGGCGCTAGAGTGTAGAGCTGTGGATTAAAGAATAACTCTGAATATTTAGCTTGCCATAGCGGTATTCTTTGCATACTCCACCTCGTGGTAGGTACCACTAAATAGCCACTTGATATTCTGGCATATTTATGCCATGGAAATAAAGGAATGGAAAAAGTCCATGCCTGCTGTTGTGACAAATGAGCTTGGGGTGGGCTAAATCAAATGAAAAACCAAAACTGGAACTCCATACAGTGGTGAACACTGAAGTTTCACTCAACTAACATTTTTAATCCATTATATTTAATTCTGAATAATATATCACACAACTGTCCTAATTTGTTTGTTGAGAAAAAGTAAATAAAATGACTAAGGTCATCCATGTTTATTTGTAAGACATGTTCATTTGTCCACCACATCAACAGTATTAACATCTCACTGGAGGCAAGCATGATGGCAGAAATTGCAGATCTTGGAATATGTTAGAATTTCCTCTTTATTAACTGCTCCTTACTGTTCAAATAGGGCCTCAGCACAATAATGTAGCATTTGGGAGCAAAGATGGAACCCAGCAAGCCAGAACTAGAGGCCAAGATGGAGAAGATCTCCACAGCCACCATGTATTTTCCTTTGGTGCTCAAGTAAACTGGAACAAAGGATATCCAGACACTACAAAACACTAACATGCTGAAGGTTATAAATTTGGTCTCATTAAAGCTGTCTGGCAGTTTCCTAGCTAAAAATGCCACAACAAAGCTGACCATAGCCAGGAAGCCCATGTAACCAAGAACACAGTAAAACATGGCGACGGACCCTTCATTACATTCCAGTATCATTTCTCCCACCATGGAGTGCATGTCAAGCTGGGGGAATGAGGGAGAGGTTATCAGCCACACAGTGCAAATACCTGCTTGGATAAGAGAACAAGAAAACACAATGGTGCCTGCCAGTCTTTTCCCCACCCATTTCCTCATTATGGATCCTGGTTTAGTGGCCATGAAGGCCAGAACCACGGTGATGGTTTTGGCCAGCACACAAGAAACGGTCACTGTGAAGATGACAGCAAAAGCAACTTGTCGGAGAAGGCAGATCACTCTTTCTGGTGGGCTGAGGAAGAGCAAAGGGCAGAGAAAGCAGAGCAGGAGGGAAGTGAGGAGAGCGTAGGTGAGATCCCGATTGTTGGCTCTGACGATTGGCGTGTCCTGGTTTTTAATAAAGATGGCTAGAACCAACACTGTGAGCAGAGAGAGAGAAAGAGCTAAGGAAGCCAAGCTCATCCCTAGATGCTCTTTTATAGACAGGAAGATTATTGCCTTTGGAATGCATTGTGATTGGCCTTTGTCTGGATATCGATCTTCACTACATCTGTCGCAATTGTCCATGTCTGGAAAAAGAAGAGATGCAGGTTCTGGGTGTGCCGGACAGAAACTGTCTATGACATCCTAACATTAAACTGGAGTACCAAAAGGTTTCCTAGACAGAACAAATACACTATGACCTTTGGACCAGAAATCAGCATAATTTGCTGGGTTGTCTGCCTATGTTATGCTAACTTCCCAGGGGCCATCATCTGTTGTATAGATTGCTGCGGAGACAATGATGTTTGAAGATTTAAGAACATTTATAGTGGAGTGGCTCCTTCAGACATATATTCAATCTCCCATGCATTAATCATAAAGTGGGAGATACATTTAGGGCAGAGTTCTATCAACTGCTTGATTGCAAGCTTCTCTTCTATTACCCCACCCTCTCCCATATCAGGCTATCCAGATGTTTAGGTCCCCATCAGAGACCCTCCTCCTTATGTCTCCTCTGAAAGAGGTTTGGAAGGTGGCATCAGGGGAAAGGGGCTTTTCAATGGTGTCCCTCATTTATGGAATGCTCTCCCCAGAGAGATTCACTTGGGGCCAACTTTGACATGACTTTGGTGCTAAGCAAAAACATTTTTGTTTCCCCAGGCATTTGAATGTTGATGTCATTGTTCCTGGGATTGAGTTGAAGGTGTAGATTATTTTGTAGTGATGAAGTCATGGTTGTGGGAGAAGACACTTGTAGGTTGGGTATGCTTTATGTGCTCACCAGCTTGCATTATTGTTTGTTAACTATGGAATTTGTATGCTTTTATATTTCCTATGTGCTATTTTAAATTGTTCATTCACCTAAGAAATCTTCTTAAAAGGTGATTCATACATTAAATAATTATAATAATATTAGTAAGTCCTATCCAAATGCACTGGATGCATTCCTGTGTAAGTTATCTTACGGACCCATCCTCAGTTATCTCCTGCTGCATAACACACCAGAAAATGAGGGCGAAATTTCGATTTCTGAAAAAGTTTAGATAAACTGTAGAAATGCTGCCAAAAGAGACCAACACCATTCAAAGTCAGTGGTAACCTCTGATTGATCATCAATAGGAGTCCCATGCAGATCACATCACTAGGGTGGGGAAAGATGGCTTCTAACTTAGAATCAGAAGGAATATCATAAAAAGATACTAGTTGGGTTTCTGAGTGTTGCTGCAATAAGATATGAAAATTTATACAATTATTACCATTGAAAGCCTCAAGCTTCTGAGCTTCAGCTATTATAGAAAGAACAATGGCATCAATGATTGGTTCATTTTTTGCTGAAACAGTCTCCTTACGTATGTTACAATGTGCACTATTTTTGAAGTATTTCTTGTCTCTCACCCTTCTGGGATGAAATCTTGCCTTGAGGGCATGGAGAACAATCATAGCAGCAGAATTTCTCCCCCTCCTTCTTTTTCTTGCTGGAGCCAGGAGCGCAATTTGGGTTACATGTAGAAAGGGGTGGAACCTGTCATTTGAATAAACACACGGATAGTTTATCACCGAGAATAAAATAACAGATGCAAACTCAAGGTGTGCTGGGTGGGTTTTTTTTTTGAGAAACTTGTTTCAGGTTTTTTGGGTGGTTGAGGTTTGATTGACTGATTGATTTCAAGCAGTTAAATGGTTGGAATACATTGGCTGCATTCCTATCAAATACTGTATGGATATAAAATAGCTTGTACATGATGAGGTTTTAGACAGGACTAAGAGTTGCTGATGGTCTCCATTGCCAATGGGACAAAATACAGATTTTTAGTAATGCAGCAGCAAAATTGTGTACTTTTTCATAAAAATACTAATTTTACATCATTTGTAGCCTAACGCTTACTAATCATTTTATGATATAGAGGCATGTGATGTTGCATGTGTATGCATGCACGGCCAGTTGAACGCACAGTGGCTTATAACAGTGTTATGCTTTTTTAATATAAGCATTAAATTTACAGATTTATAGACATAGTGATAATTTTCATATATGGAAACATGGTGTTATAGGCTTCCATAATTACGGGTTCAGGATTTGAGTTATGCAAGAAGTGCACCAAGACTGCTATCCATTTGCTCTATTTTATTAGTCGGTGCAATAATATTCAATTTCCCTATAGAGCCTAGAAATCGCAGTTGTGCCCCACCTGCTTAAAGCTTCTGTGCCACACCATTTTTTCATCATCAACTGAAAATTCCTTGCCTGTGGGAGCCTCCAAATCTATTTTTCCAAACTTGACTCTCAGGAAGGAGTTATTTGGAAAAATGACAAAATTGGTAATATCGAATCCGTTCTTCAATTCCACACTCTCATCAAAAGACACTGTTTCTCCCACGCTGTTGTTAAATGAGACACTCCTAAGAAAGGGGTGCAGCTGAGTAGAAAGAGGAACAGAAGGACAGGAACAATTGATTAAAACTCGAACATCTCTCAGATCTTTTCCACACACAATTATTTCCAGGGGAGGGAACTTGTTAGATTGAAGCTTTTGTTGGCAGTTGAAAGATGAATGAGAAAATAAACAAGTGCTAGTCTCCAAACCCAAGCATCTCTGGGTAGGGCTGCAAGTGACTTTTTCCTGGAATGCAGGAAAGTCACTATCAGTAAGTGTGAACAATACTGAGTTTGATGTTCTTAAAGATCCTATTTAGTATAGGGTAGCTTCCTATAAAGGCACTGTTCTATATGCCCCTAGGTTGTCATTCCTCTGCTTATATCAATAGAGCTGAGTCTCAAGAAAGATATTACCTGCCAAGGCTGCAGATTTGGAAGCACCCACCTCCCTTTGTCTTCCATAGTTCTGCGTTTGTACCTGGTTTGGAAAATGGCATGTAAAGCATGTGCTACAACAGAGACTGCATTGTAGATGCTGTAGCTGTGGCCAGTCATGCTCGTCTCAAAGCCAGATGAAGGGAGATCTTCAAGCTTCTCCTTTCCAGTGCAGATTTTATAAACCTGCTTCTTTGTCTTAGAGCTTGGAAATGAACATCTGAATGCTCGTTCCCAGAACAACTTGAGAAAAATGTCTTCATTGGTCCCCAGAGGATTTAAGAGCTGAAGAAATGTTCTGAATCCTTGAACCTCTTTTGAATGAACCCTGAAGGAGATGGAACCGTGGAAGGCTTCCATACTTAAGGTCATTTGGTAGAAGAATTCTGTAAACTCCAGCTGAGCAGTCATAATCCACACCTTTCCTACTGGTGTATTTGCGCCATTTGTTATTTCACCTATGATGAGCATTGTTCGTAAACAAAGCATGGACTTGGTTTCTCCAAAGACAACAACAGCACTGGCTTTGCTCTCCGCAATAACTTTGTAGATTTGGAGCCACTTGAGACTTAAAGAAAATAAAACTCTCCAATATGTGTTTTTTGGAGTTCTCTCTGAGAAAGCAAAGCAGATGCCTCTCTGGGAAAGCAGAAGTTGCATGGACTGCAAAAATCTCTCCCCGCTCTCTCCCTCTATAGCGATAAACCCAACCCATGTCCAGCCAAAGTGCAGAAGCAACTGAGCAATGCCAGTGTATTGATGGGCTTCGTTTGGAACCATCCGGTAGAAGGGAGTAGACTGGACTTGATCACTGTCTTCTGGAGCAAAGGAGCCATAACTGAGCTAAAAAGAAATAAAGAAGCATATTATGGCAATGTAATAGAGGGAATTGCTACATGCATCTGCAGTGAAAGGGCAATTGCGATTGGGATTCACCTCTCCTGCTAGGCCAAAGTGTCCAGGATGGAGCAAGTTGATTTGATGGCATCACAGCAAAATCAGTGCATCTCGAATGCAAAGATATTCCTGAGAGTGTCATCAGCTTCAGCCTTTGTAAGAGTAGAGTGTGGTCCTAGCATAGTGAATTTGTGGCTTGTGAAATATTTCATGTAACCAATAATGTTTACTGGAGATTTGTTAAGAGTGCTGGAATTGTAGCTCTGTAACAGGTCTCCTAACAATTCTCAGCATGCTTAACAAGCTACAGTTCTCAGGATTCTGAGTGTTAAGGTGGAATGATAGTGCTTTAACTGCATAGTGTGAACGTGATCTTTGTCTCTCAGAACCGGAAAACTTTTCTGGGTAGAAAAGGAAAATGCAAATGACTCATGAAGTTACCTGTATCTTACCTGTGGAGTCTTGTAAACACCCAGGATGGCTGCCATATGGAGAGAGGTTTCAAAATCAAGTCCCCCAATGACAGCCAACAGACTTTTCTGAGTGTCACACTTGTAGTTGGGAACTAATTTCTGCTGTGTGAATAGAAGCTCCAGAGTTGCCCGATAGGTCATCCTTTCATTGTAATAACTATCGTAGATGTGAAATCCCAAGGTGACATTTGGCAAGATCTCAAGATTCTCATTGATCTCCTTGACAGCAAATACCAATGCCAGAATATGTTGGTAGTTCTTTGGCACAACCCTGCAATGAAAGTCACTTGATATTGAGTTACCAGGTATACTAGGCATTGTGTGACATAGAAATGGGTGAATCTGTCTGTTTGGGTTTCTTCCTATTTATCATTTTTTTTCAATCTTAAATTCTGTTTTCAATCGCATATAGGATATATGTTCCTGATTCAAACCAATACTCAATTTTCGGCAGGCAAAGATCTAAATATGGGTGGATCTGTCAGTTTTTATTTCTCTCTGTTTCTCATTTTTCCAATCTTAAGTTTACATTCTGATATCAGTTTGTGATTTTCAAAAAAAAAAAAAAAAAAAAGGCCACCAGCATTTTAGTGCAAATTTCTCCTAATATTCATATTTTTGTATGCAGTTCTGCCCAGTGTAAACATTTTTGCAAAGTGATGTCTGCAGATATAATGCATTTTTAAATGTTATTTCACTAAAATATGCATTGTTATGTACACTTTACTTGACTGGGGAACTGCATTGCAAAATTTGGAAAAGTTTGAAGTTCAAGGCATAGCTGGCTTCTGGTTTGCATATTGTTTCATTACTGTTAAAAAGATAGGTTCATCTTTAAATGAGAGCAGAATGGAGTTTCCCCACCACCACCCTTACTTCTCTCACTCATGCACAGATAACCACCTCTCTCTGCTTCAAACTGCATTAAAGAGTATTTGTCTTCATTTCTGTGTAAACAGGGTTAAAAGGTAAAGGGACCCCTGACAATTAAGTCCAGTCACAAATGACTCTGGGGTTGCGGTGCTCATTTCACTTTAAAGGCTGAGGGAGCCGGTGTTTGTCCGCTTCCGCAGACAGTTTTTCTGGGTCATGTGGCCAGCATGACTAAGCCGCTTCTGGCAAAACCAGAGCAGCACACGGAAACGCCAGTAAACAGGGTTAGGATCTGGATATTAATGAGCATCAAATAAAGTCCTTACAATACATTAAGTAATTGCTGGAAGGTGTGGAATTTCTTGAAGTCTTCCCAGTTAAGAGAAGGAAAGAGATGAGAAGTAAGTCCACCAATGATCAGGTCACCTGGCTGATAATACTTGTGTGGAATATGGAATGGGTCACTGATGGTGCACGTACTGATGATTTTCCCATTACATATCATCCATGGAAGCAACAAGAGCACTAGCATCACAAAAATATCATGCTCATCTTCCTTCTAGGCAGAGAGCCCTGTATTCCATTTACAACATTGGTCTTCGGATCAGTCACAAAGCAGGTTATCTTGAATGGTACTACATGCTACCTAAGCAAGAGATTAATTCCTGGAAGCTTGGTTACAAAATCAAGAAAAGATCTGAGATTAGACTTACAGAATCTGGCTTTCCCTCTTACTTGAAATGCCAGAGACAGTGGGGGTTGCATTTGCATTTAGATATCTAGTAGTGGTCTCTGGAAATGCACTGGGGCCTCATGAAAAACACATTCAGTCATCTTGAGATTGGTAATTATAGGGGAGTTAATGATCGGTTATCCAACCTGAAGCAGCAGGCGTGTTGGAAGAACAGGGGGATACTTGTCATATCTTAACCATAATAAGTAGTTGTTGTGGAACAGCTGAAGTGTATAGAGAATATGCTGTAATGGGACAAACAAAAGTATAAATCCTGGGCCTTGGGACTGAGTCAGGGTGGAAGTATGTCTGCCTGATAGGGATAGGTGAATCTCTCCATTATGATTTTGCTCCATTTCTCAATTTTTTCTAATCTTACATTCAGGTTTCAGGACCATATAGGATATATGCTCCTAATTCCAATCAATTCTCATTCCTGGCCAAAACTTTTAAGGAACACTTACAGTTTGCCACAGGGGATAGAATAATTTCAATATATCTTAATGCCATCTTCAATAAAACTTTAGAGAAACAAACAACATCTCCCTTAGGTTCCTGTCAAGGAAAGAACACAGATAGCTTTCCTGTAGGAATGTTTCTTTCACACAACCCTTCAATGAGAGTTGCTTGAACTGCACTGCAAAATTTTGAGAACTTCAGATTTCAATTGATGGCTGTTTTGGTTCACATATTGTTTCGCTGGTGAGAAGTTTCATCTTTAAATGAGAATTGAATCAAATTTCTCCCTATATGCTAGTATATGAATCATTATATGAGCATTCAAATGTTTAGCACATGTGATAAAGGGGAAGCAGATGTCTAAAAAAATCTATTCACTGATACAAAAAGATGGGAGTGTTACTTATGATAATGCAAAAATAAATTCCCTATTTGGGAATTTATCATTACTAAAACTCAATAGCTTGATGAAACCTTGAGGTGAGGACATATCTAATGTAAAATGTATAAGTGGGACACATTAGACCAAAATGAATAGAGATATTTTGAAGGAAGAGATTTATCAGACTATTAACAGGTTGAAATAACAAAACACTTGGACTGGATAGCTTTGTAAGTTCTTTCTACAAAAAATAAAAGGATCTGCTGGTTGGGTTGGTGGATTAAGGAACAATTCGACAATTCTGAAGTTAGCTTGCTGTAGCAGGGTTTTTCTATATTTGTCTGCCAGATGTTAGGTACCACTAAATAGTCACATGATATCCTGGCATTTTTGTGCCTTGCAGATGGATGAGGGGGAAATGCCAGTGTCTGCTAATGTGACACATGAACTTGGGGTAGGATAAATCAAATGGAGAGCCAAAACTGGAAGTCCAAATGTCCCTGCCAAAATGTATTACTGGAGAACCTGGAGAGATTCACTCAACTAACATTTTTTAATCCATTATCTTTTATTTTGGGTAATATATCACACAAATGTCCTCTGATTTGTTGATAGAAGTGAAGAAAGTGACAATGATGATCCATGCTAATTTGTAAGTTTTTTAAAAAATAATATTTATTAGTAGTTTCAAAGTTATAAAGAAAAAAGAAAAATTAAAAACAACACTGTAATACATAGAAAAAAAAGTGAAAACAACAATACAGCAAAAAAATAAAAATAAAAATGGAAAACACAAGAAAAAAGAAAACAACATAGATCCCAAATTACATATCTATAACTTCCATTTGCTTGTTTCATTGACCTCCTCACACCTCCCTTTTTGTATTCTAGTTTAATTAATTATTTCAGCAAATTCTTTCCATCTTTCTCAATTTTTGTTAAAAAAATTATCTTGACAGTTTAACTTTATAATTAGCTCAGCAAATCCTTACCATCTTTCCCCATATTCTGTTATTCAGGTTGCCTTAATTTATTTAACCTTATCTTAGTTTTCAAATATACTGTCAGGGAACTGCCATCGGAAGGAAGGGAGGTGAAAGGACTCAGACAGGTTGGAAGAGACTCAGCAGCGGAAGAGGGAACCAGCAAGGGGAGAGAAGCTGAACTGAGGGAGGTGAAAGGGCTCAGACAGGTTGGAAGAGACTCAGCAGCTGAAGAGGAAACCAGCAGGGGAGAGAAGCTGAACTGAGGGAAAGGGAGCTGGGGGATGGCTCAGAGATACTTCCAGCGAAAACAGTGGTGAGGTTTCCGGACCTCCTGTTGGGACACCCACTCCTCGCCGGAAACTGTCACGCAGAGAGTCCAGAAGACGTGTTTCCGTTAAGGAGCTTTTATGTTGGAAGCGATTACGAAAGCAGCCACTGTCGGAATCTTCTAGTGACTAGAGGAGCCATGTCAGAGGGGCTCAGTCACAGACAGAGGTTTGTGGACTTGAACAAACTCTGAGGGAATACGATTTTACGCACAAGCAGCTCATCTTCCCATCACAGCATTCCGACAGTCTTTGAACGCAGCTTGTGCAGGAGAAGGCATAATGAGCAACCCAGCAGGAACCGGAGAAGCAGGGGCTGGAGCGGGTCCAAGCCTGGAAGAAAGGTACCGGGTGTTGGAGGTCCAGCTGGCGCTGCAGACGGCGAGGCTGGAGGAGAGGAGGGCTCAAGATGCAGACAACAGGGAGAAAGCCACCCAGCTCGCCAGAAAGGTACCAGGATTGGTGCAGAAATTTGGGGGGGAGCCCAAAGACTATCATAGCTTTCGGACAGAAATGCAATATGCCCTCAATCTGCAGTTTGATGATTTCCCTGATGAGGAATCACGAGTGGCTTTTGTGATTGGGCATCTTGAAAAGGGGCGAGAGACTGGGTTAGACCCCTGATGGCAGCGCATAGTGACGTCCTAAAGGACACGATGAAGTTCTTTCGCGCCATGGATCTGATGTTTTCCAGCGATATTGAAAAGGGAGTGGTGCGCAGACAGTTAATGGCTTGCAAACAGGGAGCCGATCTGTACGTGAGTACTGGACTGAGTTCACCATGCTGATACACAGATTGGGGTGGGACTTATCGGCGGAACCCATTCAAATGCTCTTTGAAGAAGGGCTTTCTTCGGCTGTGAAAGATGAACTTTCCCGGGCGCCCAGGGCGGAGTCTATGGACCAGCTGACCAAATCAGCGCTGGCCATAGGAGGCGCGCCAGGAGGCGAGAGCATTGGAGAGGCGGGAAGGGAAGGGGAACGTTGGAAGGAGTTCCGCATTCCAGACATTCCAGAGCCAACTTTCCCGCCGGCAGAGCCGATGGAAATCGGAACAGCGCGCGCGCGCAGTTTCAAAGCCCAGTGAGGGGGGGAAAAAGGAGGGAAAAGGCGCCCGGAAATGCTATCTCTGCCAACAGCCAGGGCACTTTGCCAGAGTCTGCCCCCAGAGGAAGGAATGGCAAGGGATGGTGGGAGCTGTGGAGGGAAGAGAGGAAAAGATACCGGAGCAACTAAAAGCCAACGCCTGGCTGCCATTGTCGGGGCACAGCAGCCAGGCCAAAGAGCAGTGAAAGTGCCCACGCCAGAACCTCCTAAACCCGCCCTAGTGATAGAAGTGACACTAGAGCTGCCAAACGGACACCCTCTAAAGATAAAGGCGCTGTTGGACTCAGGCAGCTCCTGCAATTTCATGAGCAAAGAGTTTGCAGCTGAACACCAGATACAGACGCTCCCTTTAAGCAACCCCCTGCAGGTAACCACGATCGATGGCAGGGAGCTGTTGGGAGGAGAAGTCAGCTTGCAGACCGTCCCAATGATAATGAAGGTGGCAAGGCACACCGAACTCATTGCGTTTAATGTGGCCACCTTGGGAGGAGCTCCCATTATATTGGGGATGAGCTGGCTAGCGTTACATGATCCGCTGGTGGGCTGGCATCAAAGAGTGGTTTCTTTTGGGTCAGCACATTGCTTAGAACACTGCAAAGAGGAAAGGTTTTGGCAGGGGCCCAAGCCACCCTAGCAGGGACTGAAGTAACGGAGAACGTGAAGGTACCACGACAATACGCAGATCTCCGCGACGTCTTCAGCGAAAGGGAAGCTGACCAACTACCACCGCATAGAGCCTTTGACTGTCAAATCAATTTGCTCCCTGGGGCACAGCTCCCTGTGGGCAAGCTGTACGCCATGTCAGACAGAGAGATGCAGGAGCTAAGAGAGTTCATTGACAAGAACCTGAAGAGAGGGTTCATCAGAGAGTCCAGGGCGGTGGGGGCAGCCCAGTGTTTTTGTGGACAAAAAAACACGAACAAGCCGAGACTGGTGTGTGACTTCAGGGCCTTAAATGCAGTGTCAGAACCAGTGGCCTTCCCGATGCCCAGGATTGACGACATTTTGACAAGGGTGCGGAAGGGAAAGATTTTCACCAAGCTGGATCTAAGGGGGGCGTACAACCTGATACGAATAAGGAAGGGGGATGAATGGAAAACCACCATGTTCACCCCTTTAGGGGCATTTGAATACTTAGTTATGCCCTTCGGTCTACAAGCAGGCTCCGCAACATTTCAATCGTTTATGAACCACGTCCTGGGGCCGTTGCTTTACAAGAATTGTGTGGCCTTCTTAGACGACGTGTTGGTGTATTCTGAGAATGAGGAGCAGCATGTGAGAGACGTCAGAGAAGTGTTGAGCAGGCTGCAAGCCAGCCAGCTGTGGGTGAAACTGGAGAAGTGTCAGTTTCATACCAAGGAGGTGGAATTCCTGGGGTATCGCCTGTCTGACAAGGGGTTGGCCATGGATCCCGGCAAGGTCAGGCGGTACTGGAATGGAAAACACCCAAAACAAGGAAGGATGTGCAGAGGTTTTTAGGATTTGGGAACTTCTATCGTAAGTTCATCCCAAACTTTGCCCACCTGACGGCGCCCATTACGGACTGTCTCAGCAGTAAGAAGAAGTTCGTTTGGACGGAGGAGGCGGAGCAAGCATTTGAGGAACTAAAAGGGCCTTCGCCTCGGAACAACAGCTCCTGCATGTGGATTTACAAAAACCGATGAGAGTGGAAACTGACGCATCAGACAGAGCGGTTGGGGCGGTGCTTCTCCAGCCAGGGAAGGAGGAGTCAGAGTGGAGACCGTGTGCTTTTTTCGCGAAAGCTGAACAAATCCGAGAGGAACTACACGGTGTATGACCGAGAACTACTAGCCATTCATGAGGCGTTCCGGAGATGGAGGCACCTGCTAATTGGCGCACAACATAAGGTGCAAGTGTGCACTGACCACAAGAACCTAGAGTATTGGAGGACGGCACGAGTGCTCAGCCAACGGCAAGTGAGGTGGGCCCAGGAATTCTCCAAATTTAACTTTGAGATTTGTTACGTGCCAGGCCCAGAGAACATTAGGGCGGACGCTCTCTCACGCAAACCTGAATATTTGGAGGGAGGGAGCACCCGAAGAGAGACATGTCATTCCAGAGGACCGCTGGGTGTGTGGGGGCGGCATTGGTGGGACAAAGAGAACTGGTAGAAGAAACAGAGAATGATGAATACGCCCAGAATAAGCTCAGAGGTCTTAGGGATGAGGGAGAGGAATCAAGGGGTTTCGAGGAAAGAAATGGAGCTTTGTATTACAAAGGGGCACTGTATATCCCTGAAGGAGACTTAAGGGGAGGGTACTCAAGCAGTTGCATGACAGCCCCACGGCGGGGCATTTTGGGCAACACAAAACCATGTGGTTGGTCACCAGGGAATTTTGGTGGCCTAAGGTGAGGAGGATGTACGTGAGTATGTAAGAGGGTGCGAGCAGTGCCAGCGAGCCAAAGGGAAAGGCGGGCGCCGGCGGGGCTGTTAGAACCCTTACCAACACCAGAACGACCTTGGGAGGCAGTGTCGATAGATTTTATGACTGATCTGCCGAAGTCCAAAGGGAAAACAGCCATCATGGTGGTGGTAGACCTACTAACAAAGATGTGCCACTTTGTAGCTTGCTCGCATGCAGTCACGGCGGAAGAGACAGCGAAGTTATTTGTAGAACACATTTTTAGGTTGCACGGGGTGCCATTGAGGGTGGTCTCAGACCGAGGAAAACAATTTACTTCCAGGTTCTGGAGGAAGCTCATGAGCTTACTGCAGGTGGAGGTCAACTTTTCGACTGCCCGGCACCCTGAAACCAACGGGCAGGCGGAAAGAGCAAACGGTGTCCTCCAGCAATACCTGAGGTGTTATGTCAATGACAGAGAGAATGACTGGGTAGAAAAGTTGGCGCTGGCGGAATTTGCCTACAACAATGCCGAGAATGTGTCCACAGGGATGAGCCCCTTCTTGGCTAATTATGGGTGTCATCCCAGGGCTTTCCCAGGGGAGAAGGGGAGAGATGGAGCGTACCGGCAGCCGAGCATTTTGTAGAAGAAATGGAAGCAATCCACCGTCAGCTCCAACTCAACTTAGAAAGGGCGAAGGAAGAATACAAGAGGCAGGCAGACAAGAACCGAAGGGAAGGTGAAACCATAAGGGTTGGAGATAGGGTGTGGCTGTCAACCCGAGGGTTGCCGTTCAAAGGAGGTTGTAAGAAATTAAGACCCAGGAGGTTGGGTCCCTTTGAGGTCATTCAACAGGTCAACCCAGTGGCTTTCAGGCTCCGGTTACCCAACCACATGAAACTGCACCCAGTATTTCACAGGTCGTTACTGTCACCGTACGCGTGGGGACGAGAAGGGATGGCCCCTCGGGGACCGGTCATAGAAGAAAGAGAATGCAGCAGTCATGTGGCCGAAATCCTAGTTGCCAGGTGGAAGGGAATCAGGTGGAGTATTTGGTAGCGTGGGAAGGAGAACCGGAGTCAGAAAACACGTGGGTAATGGCCGAAGATATCAATGACAAGGTATTGATAGAAACGTTCCATCAAAGGTCCCGAGGAAACCTCAGCCTGTGGAGAGGTTCCGGAGGGAATACTTTGGGACCACTGAGGAGGAGGAGGAGTTGGAAGGATTCCCAGAATCGGAAGGGGAAGGGGGGATGGACTCGGAGGAGGAGGAGTGCTTCGAGACCAGGAACCGCAACAGGTGGAGAGAAGTGTTCGAGACATCGGAAGATGAAGGAAGTTCATTCCGGGGTTTTGCCTCCTCACCGCCCGTAGTGGTGGGGGGGGCGAGAGGGGGTGAAGGGGGCCCTGGAGGGGAGGTGGATGGCAGGGAACTGCCATCGGAAGGAAGGGAGGTGAAAGGACTCAGACAGGTTGGAAGAGACTCAGCAGCGGAAGAGGGAACCAGCAAGGGGAGAAGCTGAACTGAGGGAGGTGAAAGGGCTCAGACAGGTTGGAAGAGACTCAGCAGCTGAAGAGGAAACCAGCAGGGAGAGAAGCTGAACTGAGGGAAAGGGAGCTGGGGGATGGCTCAGAGATACTTCCAGCGAAAACAGTGGTGAGGTTTCCGGACCTCCTGTTGGGACACCCACTCCTCGCCGGAAACTGTCACGCAGAGAGTCCAGAAGACGTGTTTCCGTTAAGGAGCTTTTATGTTGGAAGCGATTACGAAAGCAGCCACTGTCGGAATCTTCTAGTGACTAGAGGAGCCATGTCAGAGGGGCTCAGTCACAGACAGAGGTTTGTGGACTTGAACAAACTCTGAGGGAATACGATTTTACGCACAAGCAGCTCATCTTCCCATCACATATACATAACTCCTGATATCATTTCTGCTAGAGTCATATAGTTTCATTCCAACATTTCCCCTAATATTCATTAATTTTTAGCCAATTCCCTAAATAAAAAGTTTCCTTTATAAATTTTCTTCCAATTTTCATCCAGCGTTTCATCTTCCTGGTCTCGGAACGTGTCAGTCCTTACTGTCCAATCCATCTAGTCCATCAACCTGGAAGCCTTATGTCCGAGGCCCTTAAGTCTCTTCCATGTCCCTTCTGCATTTCTTCTTCTTCTTGTTAATACTTGCCCTTTTCCTTGTCTTTTGTTGGTCTCTTTCTTAATTCCTTACCTTTCTTATTGAGGAGTAGTTCTCTGGGGGGTTCCAACCCAGAGTTGTCTCCATCTCCCTTCATCAAATCCACCCATTCCCCAAAGTCCCACTCCCCACAGTCCTCGATAAAATCCAAAAAATATTTAAAAACATATTTCAAGGTCTCTCCAAAGTTAGGAACCTCCTCAACACCAGATTCCCCCTGGCCCATTCCAACTTCAATCTTCAATAACAGCGGCTTATGCTCCTGTAGGGCCTCGGGTCTCTCCATTTGTATTATTTGAGGTGCAACCGCATCCTCCTCCATTATCTTCTGTTCTTGCCCAGTCAGTACTAATTCATGAGTTGGTCCCTGAATATCAATGTTCCCTGTTTGTCCACAGTTATTAACCACAACAGTCAAATCCATTTTTTCATTCATCAAGTCCATCTTCTCATGCATCTGTTCCAACAGGGCACTTGTCTTGCATAAAGCAAGCACCCAATCTTCCTCCCAGCTCATCTTTAGGCAAGGTCAGAAAAGACTGTTCCCACGGTCTTAATCTCACAGCTGTTGAGTCCTCAAATATACTGCTGCAACAATTTAACAAGCTCCCTCTAGAGGAGATAATTTCTATTTGTATCCATTTTTTTTTTTTAAGGCAAGTCCAACAAAGGAAAATTACTTTCGTTTTTCAGATATTTTCCGGATATTTTGTTCCTTTAAGATGCAAAAGGCAACATTGGAATCAGCTTGTTTCTCTTCTTTAACTATCTGTCAAAATGTTCCATTCACAGTCAATGAACCTACAATTTCTGTCTCTGACACCCCGTTCCCAGGTTAGAGATGGTGGAAACTCATCCTTCTCGCTCCCTCTCCTGCAGGGGTTAAACACCCCCCCCTTTTCTCCCGCTTCCAAGGGGGTTTCAGTATTTCTGAATGAAGGAAATTTAGACTTTTTTGACAGCTTTCCAGGCTTTAGCTTACGAAGTTTTTGCTTTAGTCTATATACAAAAAGCGGAAGGCGGACTTCCTGTTTTGAACCTTCCCGCTTCGATGCCAAATTAAGATATTTCTTGATCCAATTTTCCGTTTCTACTCATGGGTACTTGTTTTAAATCCAATTGTCCACAGGAAAAAGTCAGCGCTCTCCGGCAATGGCTGTGCGGCTTCACTCCGTGAAAGTAGCAATCAGTTCGCAGCACCGTGCCGCTCACCCCGCTTCAATCTGGCGCCTGAAAAAGGGGTTCCCGGTGAGTAGGGGGGGCGCTTCTGGTGCCCTGCCGAACCCCACGTTCCCAGGCTTCCTCCGCCTGGGATTTCTAGCGGGTCCCCACCTTCGCCGTGGCGGGAAGACCCAGTTTTCACGGAGCTAGTTCCTCCGGTCGGAGGAACTCCGCCATTCACCGATGGCGCTGACCCGGAAGTCCTCCCATGCTAATTTGTAAGTTATGTCCATTTACTTACCACCTCAATAGAGAAGAATATTATGGCAGAAATTGCAGACTCTACAATACTTTAGAATATTTATTGATTGACTGGATTTACAGTGGATCTCACACAATAATGTAGCATTTGCAAACAAACATGTAACCTAGTAAGCCAGTACTGGAAGCCACAGTGGAGAAGATCTCCACAGCCATTTGGTACTCAGGAACAAAGGATAGCCAAATACTTTAGAATATCACCAAAATTGTCATTTTTTTTTTTAAAAATTGCTTTGGTGTCCTCACCCACAGGTTATGTTTTCGTTCCTTTTTTGGAGTTCTGACCCGTATGTCATCATTTTGCTAATCTTTCAAGTCTAAATCTGCTGGTCACCTTTTTCTTCATCTTTCAAGTTCTGATGCACAGGTTATATTTTCACTCATATTTTTTTTGAGTCCATTGTGTTTTTTGCTCAAAATACTGCAATACACCTTTCCTTCTAAAAAGAGTGATAATGTTCAAGATAACAGCTGCCCTGGAACAGGAAACGTGGTGGTCTTTAAGGGTAGGAGAGGAAACTCATTCCACCTTTCCCATCTACCTCAAATCTTACCCCAACATGCTAGTGTTGCATGTATCTCCAAAACTTGCTGTATCTCCAGATCTGGAGATTTGTGTACAGCTATTAACCAAATGAAAAACAACACAGCCAGCAGACCTGATGGGATACCTGCCAAAGTCTTCAAAGTGGGCAGAATTGAGCTTACCCAACAACTTCACAAGCTCATCAAAAAAATCTGGGAGAGAGATGCCAGGAGACTTTAGAGATGCCAAAATTATCAATCTTTTTTAAAAAGGTTATAGAACAGATTGTGGAAATTATTGAGGCATCTCTTTCTTAGCCACAGCCAGCAAAATTATTGTAAGGATCTTAGCCAACTGTCTCCTACCTTTATCTGAGGACACACTTCCTGAATCCCAAAATGGTTTTCGACGTTCTAGGGGACAGTGGATATGAATTTCCCTGCTTGACAGCTTCAAGAAAAATGCAGAGAACAAAATCAACCCCCTGTATATGGTGTTTTTCTACCTGACTAAGGCTTTTGATACTGTAAATTGTACTGCCCTGCGGACTATCCTTCTGAAAAACAGCTGCCCAGATAAATTTGTGAATATCCTTTGGCTCCTCCACGATAACATGACAGCAACAATCGCGGATAACAATGGTTCTCAAAGTCAACCATTCACAGTGGGATCAGATATTAAACAGGGATGTGTTATCGCCCCAACTCTACTGATTATCTTCATCTCCAACTGGAGAACATCCTTTACCAAGCGTGTCATGGACTTAGAATAAGCACGAGCTCAGGGCAAAAGGAGAAACAGCAAGAGTAAGGCACATTTGACAAACCCTCACCGTGATCAACTCCTGCCAGAAAACCTACATCCCCACTGTGGAAGGACCTGTGGATCCAGAATTGGCCTCCAGTCACTTATGGACTCACTGTTAAGACTGTGTTCATGGAAGACAATATTTCTTGCCAAGAGTGATCAGAGGAGGAGGAGGAGGAGGAGGAGGAGGAGGAGGAGGAGGGCGGCTCAGGATTGGCACCAGGCTGAAACTGCTTTATGATCATATAGTTGAATATGGTATAGTGCGAGAAGGAGAGCATTCTAATTTCACAATTTTCATGTTTAGGATAATTTAGATTGCCAGGATCAAGGAAATCATTTTCTTCTCTCCCTATATTTCCCTGTCCACTGCCACATCCCATATCTTAAATGTTTTCAAAGACTTAATTGCTGGGATCAGGCCTTCTGGTCTAGTTTCTTTCAATACTCCTCCTCTTTCCTGGGAAGGAAGTGGAAGCTGATATTTTTAAAACTGAAGAAATTCTGCATTTTTACCAAAAGGGCAGTTAGTAGTAGTAAACCCAAAAGTTCCTTCCATAGCAGCCAACTCCAGGGAGGCACAATAATATAATTGTGGGGGCTGGGCACCCACAAAGTCAATGAGAAAACCCGGCAGCGTCAGTGGCACTGCCTCTGAGAGAGTTCAGCTCCATCCTCTGCAGCCAGCCAGCAAGGCATCCTTTCCTGGGGTGGGGGTGGGGTGTTGGATCCTGCCTGCAGAGAGGAGGAAGAGAGATCACCATGTGGATGTGCAATGACACACACGCCTGTACATATGCGTGTGATGTCGCACATCCGCGTTGCAGTGGTAGGCACCCTCAATCCTGAGGACAAGATGGTATCCCTGGTTCCTTCTCCATATACAGTCATACCTCATGTTACGTTTGCTTCAGGTTGCGCGTTTTCAGGTTGCGTCCCGTGGCAACCCAGAAGTACCGGAGAGGGTTACTTCTGGGTTTCGCCGCTTGCGCATGCACAGACACGCAAAATGACATCACACGAATGTGCAGAAGCGGCAAATGGTGACCTGTGCACGCGCAGGCGTTGGTTGGTTGGTTGCGTTCTTTTCAGGTTGCGAATGGGCCTCCGGAACAGATCCCGTTCGCAACCAGAGGTACCATTGTATTGAGATGGGTTACACGAGAATATTTGTATCTCACCACTGTTTAACTTCTGGAAGTTCACAGTTTGTTGAAGCTGACAATGCAGAGCTTTTCATTTTTAATCACAGACTGACTCAATACACCTCAAGTCCGATTGAAAGAGGCCTGTTAAAAGAGGCAATACTCAAGATAATGAGTTTGTACACCACTGAAACTATAATACCCCAACCATAAATTCTGAAGAAAGCATGGTATATTTGTTCAGTTCCAGTAGAGTGGGGGAAGAATAAAAAAGCTAGAATATATCCAAACGCTACAAAATAACAACATGCTGAAGGTGATAAATTTGGCTTCATTGAAGTTGTAAACATATTTTCCCCTAGCAAAAACTGCAGTAAAAAATCTGAACATGGCCAAGAAGCCCATGTACCCATAACAATATTCTTGTCTGTGGCCCTTTACATAGCTTAAAGGGAGGGAATGCAAGAGCAGGGATAGGGACCTTCTGGATAGGTAGGAGTCGCTTTTTTTTAAAAAAAGTTTTTATTTATACTTTTCAAGCTTATACATTTCATTAGTTTTACAATCAATTTAACATTTCGAAGTTTGACTTCCTTTCCCCTCTTTCTGCAGTTCCTTAAATTTATGTTTTAATATCTTCTGCATATCCAAATTCATTTAATTTGCCCATTTAATTATCTACTTTAAATATATACTCTTATGAAACTGCAGGTTATTACAATAATCCTGCTAATGTTTTTATCTGTTTGCAATTTATCTGTAAATATTTAATAATTTCTACTCTTTTATAAAAAGTCTGTTATCTTGATTTCTTATTCTCGCGGTAAGTTTCGCCATTTCTGCATATTCCATAGGTAGAGGGACCCATGCGAAATTGGTAGATAGGAACTTGCTATCTAACTTTAATAACTGTCACTTGAGTCTGCTTCTTTCTCCCTTCCCCTCTTTTTGTGTCATGTCTATCAGCTTGTGAACTTTTGGGCAAAAGCTGTCTTGTTTAAGTGGACAGAACCGCTTTAAAAGCAAACCGGCCCACTGACAGTTGGCCCCCAGGCTCGCGCGCCTCCTGTCGGGGTGCTTTGGCGCGCTTGTGATTGGCCCACGGGGCGACGGTACCCGCTTTTTCATGCGCACGCAATCCGTTATGCTCTTTTTTCTTTTAGAACCCGCATTTGATCTGAAGGGGGCGGCCTTTGATTGGCTGTAATGACTGAGGGTGGGGTTGGGAGGAGGGAGGCGGGAGGTTAGGTTGCGCCAGGCTGCCCGGAAGCAACACAAGCGCCTAGAAAGGCGAGAGGGTGATTGGTCAGGCGGGGGGGGGTGATACGTAGGAGCTGCAATCTCGCTCCCTAGAGATAGGAAAAGGTGAGAAAAGCGCGCAGCCTGAACTTCCTGTAATACACAAGACGCAACCCCTAGGTTTTCCTACCCTCGGGCAAAGACGCCTGGGAATGCAGACTAAAATGCGTTGTGATTTCTTGCGTTGGCTCTTTGCTCTACGGGGAAAGCGACCCTTGCATTCTGAACGCCTGAGCTAATGGAATTCGAGAGCGGAAATGGCCGGCGCCGAGGGGGCTCTCTTCACTTTTTCCTATCTCTAGGTCTTCGCTTGCTCGCGCACCTATTCTCGCGAGAAGGTGCTGAGATTCCCCCTGTCAGCTTCGAAGCCGCGACGGCGGTGCCCCGAGCAATGGGAGTGGGGAGGTGAGGAGAGAAAGCAATAAAATAAAAATTAGTGACCCCCTCACCCGACTTCTCCGCCGCGAGCCCTTCCTCTGTGTCTCCGTTCTCGGCGGTGGGCAGAGGGGCATTTGGGCCGCTTTGCCTCCTTTCCCGGTGGGGGGGGGGGAGGAGGGAGAGAGAGATGGAGACCTGCTGTGGCCCCGCCCCTTTTGCTCTGCATATTCCCCCCCCCCAGGTCATTTCAAACTCTGGAATATCCCTTTCCTTGCGGGGGGGGGGGCGGCGGCGGGAGGCGGCTCATGACATTCCCTCCCCCATCCCTTTGGGATGGTCCTCAGTTCCTGCCACTCAAACGTTCTTCCCATTTCATTCCAGATTAGCTAACCCGGAATAATGGGCGTAATTGGCAAAAAACCCCCTCAAACCTTTCCTTGCCCTCCGCCGGCCCCCAATTACTGATGCACGTTAGGACTTCCACGGTCGGGTGGGTGAAAGCGTGTGAATGTAAGGGCGTCGCCAGTCTGTTTTCAGCTGCCTGTGGGGTGGTATTAAAAGGGTCAGACTAGGACCTTGGGGTGTGTGGGGGGGTTGTGTGGGGTGGGAATCCTGGCTTCATTCCCCCACTATTTGGCTCTGAAGCTGGTTAGGGTGACCTTGAACTAGCCACCCACCTCACTGTGTTGTTGTGAGGGTTGAAGTGAGTGGCAGCAGTGGAAGAGCACCGGAGGCATGATCCCCCAGGGGGATGGATGGGATACAGGTTTTAAAAATAAATAACCCCTTAGGAGATCAGCAGCTGAATGAGCTGAATGGCTGTGAGATGTATGAAACCTTCTGTCTAGGCCTCTCTCTGTTTCACTTAAGAGCAGTGTTTTCTCATTCCTATCTCGTACCGCTGTATTTTCTCAGCACCAGCTTTTGCTCTCCGTTTTCCTATTTGTATCCTTGTCTGGATTCCGGTGTTGTTGGGCACCATCTTGCCTCTAGTACAACCTAAGTGATATCTGCAACATCCAAATGTGAGCCAACCTGGCAGTGAGGGAAGAAAATTCAGCCCTAGCATCATAAAATAAAATGCCGTGCAAATGAAAATAATGCCTAAGCCAAAAGGTGGAGGGTTAAGATCTCTGAGAGCTTATACTTCAGCTACCATGTTACATTGGATCTATTTAGGCCAGCATTCTGATGCAGCATTGGCCAAGTAGATCCTCTGGAATGCCCCACCCTTCCCAGCAGTGGATGAAGGCAACTCTCATTCCCTGTTGCTTTGTGCCAATATCTGGTAACTGGAGACCTTCAGTTTCAAATGTTGAAAGGTATGGCCACATATACAATGGGTGGACAATCTAAAACTAACAGCAGGAAGCAAACAACAGAGAATGCTGGAGAGAACTTGGAAGAGGTGTACATCCAAAGATGGATGTAAGAGGCTGCGGAAGAATAATTTCCACTTATAGCAGTTGATGGTCTTCTCCATGAACATGTTCAATGCTCTTTTCTTTTTTAAGTACTAAGTACTAAGTTATCACATCTGGGTATTGAATTCACTGCATTAATCTGCTGTGTGCAGAAGCACGTTCCTTTCCCTGTCCTTGGCCTACTGCCAAATCAGTTTTATTAGGTGACCCTGTTCTAGTATCCTTTCCCCCTCAGCACTCATAATTTTATATTGTTTTGTGCAAGTAATTTTCTCTTCGCTTCAGATTCCCAGTTTGGTTTTTGAGCATTTTGGTTTGATGCTTTGTCTCCCCCCACAACCCCAAACCCTGACAAGAGATTCAGTAATCTCTGACGAGAGCTTCAGTAATCTTCTTCCAAAGGATACATGGCTTGCACAGCCTTATGCCAATTCCTGAAGATGGTTGCTCTGCTTTTAGAGCTGTCCAAACCCTAAGTGTATTTACTTAAATGGTTTCTGGGAGATTGCCTTAGTGTTATAAGGATGTTATATGCTGCATTGCTGTTTCTGCTGTTCTACAATGAGAGATACAGAGGCCCAGAAAAATATGAAGGGGCTTTTCTCCCCCCCCCCGTCGTTATTTCTGATTCCTTGAAAAATAATTGAAACAGATGCAAACAGAGAGTAGGTGCTCATCAAGTATAACAAAAGGAAGAACATGCATGACTTGAGAGTCAGCTTGTGTGTATTCCATGCCAGACTGAAAAACTTTCTGTGTTCCTGTGCAAGGGATCCTGCTTCTTCAGAATCTTAGATGTCTTGTGAAGGTGGGCTTTAAGTTTTGTCTGCAATGCTGGTGAAATCTCATAAACCAGGTGGGTGGATGAAGATGATTTCCAGTAGTTATATTGTGGAGTGGGACTTCGCTTCCCTATATAGCTCCTTGTCTTAACCTCTGCCTAAAAAACAAAAACTAGCAGATTATGCAAATAAATTGTGCTGATTAGAATAATTTATACAGTTTATAGAATTCAGATGCTTTTGGCACCAAATTATGATAACTTGTTGCAGAATTTTGGGAGTTTCTTAGCACACTTAATCAGCTCTTGGGGCTTATGAATACCCAGCATGCCCCTTCCTCTTAAAATACAAATATAATAGCTTCTATAGCTTACCCTGAGTCTTCAGGATAGTGTGGGTTTTAAAGTTCCTCTCTTTTCTTATAGATGCCCCGCCACTGTTCTGCCACTGGCTGCTGCACCCGTGACACTCCTGAGACACGCAACCGAGGCATTTCCTTCCATCGGTGAGAGTTGATGCTATTCTGGGCCCACCCAATCTCCCTTTCAAAATGGTGCCCATTTTGAATTGAGGGCTGGCTGGTACTAGTCTGCAGGAATATCACGTTGGGGATATTAGTATTTCTTCTTATATTTCTGTCCCACCCTTCCTTGAGGAGCTCATGGCAGAAAATAAAGTGTGTGTGTGTGTGTGTGTGTGTGTGTGTAGCCATTGATCCAATGTTAGAGCTGTCACAAGGCAGAGGAAAGGCTAAGAAAACCTACCAGATTCCTGCTGTCACTCCTTTGACTAGTTGAAGATCTTTCCATTACAATGGTACCTTGGTTCTCAAACTTAATCCGGAAATCCGTTCCAAAACCAAAGCGTTCCAAAACCAAGGCGTGCTTTCCCATCGAAAGTAATGCAAAACAGATTAATCTGTTCCAGACTTTTAAAAACGACCCCTAAAACAGCAATTGTACTATCTAACAAGACCATTGATCCATAAAATGAAAGCAGTAATCAATGTACTGTACTATAAAATAAATAAGACAGTATTGTAGATGATAAAAATTAAAATTAGGTTTTTTTCTTACCTGCACTGATGATAGTCATTGTTTGGATGGGGGGCTTTTATCCACTTCCGCAGTCACATAGTCAATCAATCAGTAGCTGAACTGGGTTCCACACAGTAACAAAAACAAATTAACTGAAAAAGCCTAAAAAACAAAAATGCAAAATAAATAGCAAAAACAAAAGTGCCAAACTTTATCCATTCCGGAAGTCTGTTTGACTTCTGAAATGTTCGAAAACCAAGGCGCAACTTCTGATTGGTGCCGGTGCCCCAGAAACAATAGCCGACAGCCGCACCAGACGTCCAGCTTCCGAAAAACATTCAAGAATCGGAACACTTACTTCCAGGTTTTTGGCGTTTGAGTACCAAGGTGTTTGAGAACCAAGGTACCACTGTATTTCCCTGTTATCATTTCTGGAGTTCACAGTGCCTTTTTACGGTACCTTAAGCAGATTTCGCACAAACAGAAGCTGTAATATGCATACTTCTTTTTTAAAGTAACCATCATGTCCTGCCCTCTCCCTCACCAAAAAAGGTGTTCAAGTTAGGGGTTTGTTGGCATGAAATGGGAATGGGAAGGGCAAGTTGCAGGGTGGCTTCACAAAAAACTATGGAATATTTTACCTAGCTACACTTACTTTCCTTTTGCACCGCAGTGATACTGTTGGCTGAACAGCCATAATCTCTGGAAATAGTAATGTAGATATCCTTGTAGTGTCTCCTAGCATTAAAGGGCTAGAATGATGCTGTAGTTCTTTTTCCAGCCTGGGAAAGAGCCTTATGTTAGCTAAGGATCTGGAGTCCCAAGGGATCAGTCAGACTCTGTTTGACACTAAGCTACTCACCCAGAGCAATTGTTATTCCATGCAATCAAATCATACTTTTGCTCTATGATGCTCTAAGTCCACATGACAGGGAAGCTCCTGGGATGACATTTTCAGACAAATGTCCTTGTGCCTGGGAAGAAGGCCTTCATTGTTTGCTACTCATCCTTGCCTGACTCACCTCCTGTGTATGCTCCTAGACTTCCAAAGGACAACCCCCGGCGAGCGATGTGGTTGGAGAATTGTCGGAGGAAGGACATGAGCGGCCAGGGTCTTTGGGACCCTGCCTCCAAGTATGTTTACTTTTGCTCCAAGCACTTTGAGAAGAGTTGCTTCGAACTGGTGGGCACCAGGTAGGTCACTGGAATATGAAAGGGCATGAACAGCTAAGCAGAATTAAAACAGGTGGATATGGTCACAATTGGACAATGCCTTAGATTATACATTTGACATTGGCAAAGGTGCTGCTTGCAGAGGGGGTGGAGAAGGGAGCTAGAAATGACTTAAAGGCCAGTGGGGAGGGGGAACAGTGTTGAAGGCCAGAAAGCTGTCATGGAAGACCTGCTCTGTGTGGTTTATTCAGGGTGACCAGCTTTCAATTTAAATACTTTTTTTGGGGGGGAGGGCAGAATGCAATGTGTGCAGATGCTGAAAAGATAAACCTAGACATATCCAAGTCACCAAATCCTGTTAGATAAGTTCGATAAAGTAATGAAGGTGTGTGAGGATCTTAAGTAGTATGTATTGAGAAAAGCCTCTTCCTGAGTCCTTAAGTATCACCTAGAGCTGATAGTAGTGGGCAGTAATGGTCCGACTCATTATAAAGCAATTTTATATCTTCTTAGGAGAATAAGCAAGTGGGAGTGCTGTATTGTGGAGGTCATGCTGTATTATCTCCATTGAGATTTGTGGGGAGAAATTCGAATTTAAGCAGCATGTGTTACTTACAAAGCTCATTCTGTTTATTTGGGACTCCGCACATGCAGTTGCACGTGCAGAGATCTAGAGGGAAAACATTGCAATGCAGAAATATAACTGGCTAACCGCAGGTGCAGCTAGCACCTCCCAGAACCCAGCAGCTCCCCAAAAAGAAATGTCTTGCTGCAAGGTCTATAGTTCAGATGACTTTCCAGAGAAGGATGCTTGCCTGTCTGAAGCCAGAGATGGCTTATGAGTGTTGATGCTCCTTTTTGCAGTGGCTACCATCGGCTCAAAGAGGGTGCTGTTCCCACAATATTTGAACTTCACGCCAAACTGCGCCAAAAATCAAAGCTAGGCAATTCAAAACTTTCGAAACGTCAGCAGAAGCAGAGGTGAGTACTGCCCTTCTGGCTTCTCTTGCCATGCTCTGTGGAAGGTCTTCCCTCCCTTCCTGTACCATCCTATGAATGTTAATTATGTTTAGTGGGGCTTGCTTCTTCGGAAGCTGTGGTAAAAGTGTGGCAGATCTTCCCCACTCGGTTCCTGTCTGACCAGGGTTCTGTTCCTTGCCTACAGCTGCAGCCCTTGCCTGGAGGAGGAGTCGAGTCCTTTGTGCATGGACATCTCCTGCTTCCCTGCACAAGAGCTGCCAAGCCCTGGGGCTGCTCCCACCAGCGGCGAGCCTCGAAGCCAGCCTGACCTCCCGGGGCCGGCGTCAGAGAGCCTGGCCACCCTGTCAGACATTCCCCTGGAACAGTCACCCGCTGCTACTGGCCAGGAAGAAGCTTCTCCTTCTCCGGCCCTCCCGGAGCCTGTGGGGGATTCATCCCACCCCGTTTCCCTCTCTCTCTACATGTTGCGCCTGCCTCCCCCAGCTGGGGCTTACATCCAGAACGAGCACAGCTACCAGGTAGGCAGTGCCTTGCTGTGGAAGCGGCGAGCGGAGGCGGCCCTCGATGCTCTGGGAAAGGCGCAGCGGCAGCTCCAGGCCTGCCGGCGCCGAGAACAGCGACTCCGCCTTCGGATCTGCGAGCTTCAGCGCGAGCGGCGGCCGCACAGTGCCGAGGCACATCGACGGCTCAAGGAGCACCTGCAGGTCTTTGAACTGCAGCTCCTCAATGACCTTGAGTAACTTTGGGGCGGGCCAAAACTGACCTTTCCCTGTTTGGTGCACTCTCAGCTTCAGGCTGTGTGGTGGTCCCTGCGGCTAAGCTGTGCGCCAGAACTCGGGGTCCTCCAGTCTAGCTGGCCGCCTGGCACTTGCCGCCTTCCCTATCACCATTCGCATATAATCTGTACCTGTAAATAAATACTGTTTTGTATGATGGATGCTTCCTACTCGTCTGAAAGACACCTTTTACATACAGCAGCTTTGCAACAGCTGTCAACCTGCGGCCTTCAGCATGGTGTTGCCTGAGGCGTAGGAAGAATCATACAGTTTCTAGCAAGTTTTGGCTCAACCTTGCTCACAAGGAGATTGAATTAGGGGGTGTATGGGATAAAGGTTGCCCTGTTTTCTGATGGATTATAGGTTTACAAGGATCTTAAGATCCTGTGGGCCAAGGCATCCTCATCCCACTGAGGCTCATCCATAAAATATACATGGTGGAGTGATGTGCATCAGCAGAAGAAGAGCAAACTCGCCATGCGGGAGACGGCACTATCTTTTGAGGAACAGTTCAGTAAAACCACTCAGATGGTTTTAAGTAAGTGAGCCAAAAGCTTAAGTGAAGTCTGGGCTGCTAGACTTGCTGCGAAGCAAAACCTGTCCGTCTATCAGCTGAGTTAGGCCTGGTGTATGTAAGAAAAGGACAGAAGCGCTAAGACAGGAACAATAAGTACCATTTGTTGGGCGTTTCTCATGTGCACTCATAAACACAACCATCTGTGCTCTTCAACTAGCCTTTTGCAAAAATGTTTTATTCAAAATGCTGGAGGGTCATGGGTGAATATGAGTCTCATTACTGATAATTGAAACCTGCTCTGGGAGCCTTTTTCAACTCAAAAGAGTGGAGTGAAAACAGTTTAAAAATGCACATTAGTGGCATGCAGAAGGCTGCTTACCTGTAAGGATCTCTTGTTGGACTGGGGCAACTGTCTACAGCTTGAACCAAAATGATTTCTATAGTTTGAAACGGTTGCAGGTTATTTCACTTTGTGCTGGCACCCGTCAAGGACTCAGCTGCCTGAACAGAACCACTTACATGCCTATCATGACTATCACAACCCATAAGGGTGGGTGGAACAAGGATGTGGCTCCTCAGAAATATTCCTGGCCTCTCTCCTGAATGTTCAGCTGTTTTTTTAAATAAAAAAACCTAAGTCTCTAGTCCTTTTTCCTGGAAAGCACCCAGACAGACTTTTGTCCAGTTGCTCACTAAAAATAAAATTGCTGTTGCCTTCTATTGTTTTCTGGCTAATGAATGAAAAGGCACCGGAATAACTGATGAGCTCTAAGCCCTTATTTAATTTTTTTGTACTTTTTATTTGTATTTAACACTATGAAACAAAATAAATATACTGGGCTACTCCAACTGATATTCTGGTTGTCCTGAATAAAACGTCTGGCTACAGAATAGGTGCAATGATCTACCATAAAATGTGGAGAACTCAGCCAGTGGAAGAGAATTACATGCCCATTTCTTCCAGGTTTAGGGGTCCCACAGAGAGGCCTTGTCTGAGAACCTCCAAAATCCTGTTGCTGGGTTTATTTTTTAAACCAGGGATGGGGAACCTGTGCCACTCCAGCTATTGTCAACATAGCCAGTGGTCAAACACCCTTTCATGTGCAGTTCATGAGGCAGAAAGAGTTTCAAACTTTAAACACTTCCTGAAGACCCATCTATTTAAGCTGGCATTCCCAGGCTCATCAGATTCACCATGTTCTATTATTTATTGATATCTGAATGCTTTATTGATAACTTTTCTGTTTTTACTCATGTATTTCTTTGTATTTTTGGTTTTAAATGTTGTACATACATTTTTATTTTTCTTACCTTACTATGCTTTATGTAAACCACTTAGGTATATTATACATTAAGTGGCATATAAATCTTATTTATGATGATAGTAGCAGCCACATGTTCCCTATTCCTGCTTTAAACAGTGCTATATAAAGCTGTTACATAGCCTAATTCTAGAGTAAAGCACAATATACAGTTCTAAAGAGACATGGGATAAAATATGAATGGGAAATATACAGGAATCCTTCCTTTCTGTATTCAATACTACGCACCTTGAGAAAATGAGTACTCTGAAGATGTCCTGGTGCCGAAATGCCATCAAGAGACAATGAGTGAAGTGAACCTGCTCCTCATCCCTTCAACCTCAACTGCACCTTAGCAATAAGATGCAGGGATAACCTGACTAATCACCATAGGCAACATGACCAGTCACCAGAGACTGCCTTTGTGACCTCATCTATCCATTGTGACCTCCTATTCATAGGCTGTGGCTGTGACTGCCTGGGAAATCCCACCCCCAGTTTACTTATAACTGCAGAAAAGACTTGTATCTGTTAGCTCCCACCTCTACAGTACTTTGGGTTACCTGCTAAACTTACGTTTTAGCAAACTGGCATGCGCTGTGTCGTGGTCCTATAACAGAAGCGCATGTCTACAGCAGGCACCAAAGCTAAACAAGCTACAATCATCAGAGCGAAACACGTAATTCGTATGGATGCCAGTGGCAGAATTAAACCCAATCTTAAATACCACTAAAATCAATGGAAATTTAAAGTGGTCAGCTTTAGCTTACTCATACCCATTAAGTCTAAAAAGCTGAGCTCACTCTTAGTGTGTAGACTTATGGGCCAAGCTACACATGACAAGATGTCACTTGAAGATATATAAATCTCCCACTCCCCCCCCTTTTTTTAAACTGGCTGCTGGATGGTCTAGTTGAGCCTGTGGTGCACTGGGAAGTGGGATTTAACTTGTCCCACCCCCAGTACTATAGCCCTGTTGAAAATCACCTCCCCCCCCAAATAAAAGCTATTGCATTGGGATGGGAGCTTCCCTCCCTTTCCAAAAGGCAGTTGGCATTTTTGTTGAGACCACGGAATGAGAGGAAAAGGCTACCCCATCCACCCCTCCCCACCCCCTTGTGCTGCTATATACTGAACAAGAGACTCAATGTCTACAGTGAACAGGAATGGGACCACACGAGGGCAGCATAAGCACAGGAAAGGAGCCTGTAACTGGAGAAGGACGAGGGTGGGATTTCTTTAATGGAGGAGAACTGGGATTCCCAGCATGCAACAATTGGATAGCTTTATCTTTCAAATCCCAAGCTATTGAGAAGAGTGGCGGAAAATGACAGACCAAAGGGGGGATGCACCAAAGAAACAGGTACAGACTCCTAAAGCTTTTGCCAGGATCCCTGCTCTATTCACAAGTTAATTAAATTTCTAACACGCTTTACCAGGGCGCTAAGAAGATAACAGCCCCGGCTCCCAGTATTCAGATACCTTCCTGTCTCATTTCTTTGGCAGAGTGGGTCACAGTCTTACCAAACTGAACATCAGCAAAGCAGAAGAACATGAAGAAAATGAATGTGCATATGTGTGTGTGGGGGGGGGGTTAGATTTCAAAAAATGTATAAGACCCCTGCTTCTATTACTTTCAACAGTAGTTTAATCGGCTGGCATTAACAGCTGACAAACCCCCAGGCCATGAAAAGCTTCCCTTATTGATCTCTGCAGATGGAGCTCCTGTTAAAGTTACTCAAGGATTATTTCCTCTTAAGCAGCTGGCTAGCTAATGTATGCTTGTTTTCCTATAGAGCCAGAGCAGATCGTTTTTTGAGAAAGGTTTCTAACCTTTTTTAAACTATAAACTTTGAAGGAAGCAACGGTGTTCAAAGTCTGCGCGGCACAAGGAAGCTATGACGACACTTTCAACTTTGGGAGGGGGCAGAATTCCCCGGAACTTTCACTTTCATTTGCTGTGCCATGCCAAAGAGGACAACCGCAGCAAGGAAGGAGCGGTGAGTTTTCCCCCAAAGTCTGAACCTTCCCTCAAATTAAATGTTGAGCCTGGGCTGTTGACTAGAAAGGGGCCTTGCTTCTTGTTCTGTAAATACATGTCTCTTTTGTCCTCCTGTCGTCGCTGATCAAACAGGTTTGGCTGGGTTTACAGAATAATAAACAAACCTGAGCCAGAGCTGCGGAAGCAGGGTGATATACTGTTTATAATATACAATATATATATACCTGTGTCAGATGGAAGTGGGATAGGCACCCACAACACAACTTCTGCACTAGAAAATAAATTTGTTGTGCTTACCTGGGAGAAAAAAACCATTGAATTCAATATAATTTACTCCTGAATACGGACAGACATAGTTGCTGCAAAGTTCTTTTCTTGCTTTTGCTGTAATTATCACAGCTTCCCCTCTAAGTTTTTGTCAAACAGACTTTGGAACTTGACCTGAATGTACCCAATATGCACACATAATGGAGTACTCTGTGGTATATTTGATACTCACAGAGCATGAAAAGGCAGGACATCAGTTCTACAGAGCTGTGTGGAGATAGAACATATTTGTTTTGTAACAAAAGGAAAACTGAGCAGAATGGGGCCAATCTATTTTTATTATATGACTCCTACCTATGTAGCATTCATTTTGGGGTGAGGTTGGGCTCACCTTTCTTTAGAGGGAGGTAACTGATATTTGCAACCACTGGTTCCCCTTGACATTATGCTTTTTTTCCAGAAACTTGTCCCTCTTACTGTATTGTTGGATGAGCATTTTAGGAATGTGGTATTGTTTGTTGTTTCATTCTTTTCAATGGCTTTTTTAAAAAAAAATGGTATTTATTACTTTTTTAGCATTTCCAACACAAACAAAAAAGAGAAAAAAGAAAAAAGAGAAAAAACAATGCAAATACAATACACAAACGCTACATGAACTAAAAAGAACAAATAAAAACAAGCAAAAACAATTTAAAATCACCTCAAACATTTTCAATATCTTATATTTCATTCCCTTATTTCCAGCGACCTCCTCCCACCTCCCAGCAATTCCTTTCCATCTTACTCTGTTTTCTGTTCTATAATTATCTTAACACATTCTTGCCATACTTTTCCTTTAATTTTCTATTAATCTATTTATACCTGATTCCTTATGACATTTCTACTAAAGCCATATAATTTCATTCCAACATTTTTCTAACATTCCTTAATTTTACAATATCTCTATAAATGGTCTTTAAACCTTTTCCAATCTTCTTCCACCGACTCTTCACCCTGGTCTCGGATCTTGCCAGCCATTTCCGCCAATTCCATATAGTCCATCAATTTCATCTGCCATTGTCCAACGCTTCAATGTTTTCAAAAAGCAACCATTCTCTCAACCAGCAAAAAGCAGATGGTTCACAGCAAAATTTAAAGGTCTAGCAGGGCAGGTCCTCCTCCTTCTTTGGCATCCATCAATATCTTAAGTTTTACTCGAGGCTTCCTGCCCTGCCAGACAACTCTAGGAGCATCCCTCTGCCACCTCCTGAAACCCTCCATCCCATCCAAAGCTTGCAATGTTTGAAACAAAAGCAACATCCCCAGCAACACAGCAGCCCTCATCCCCACCACAATAACTTGACCCAACAATGACAACTTCTGATTTGTCCATATTTCCAGATCCCCCTTCTCTTCAATCCAACATCCTTCACAGTTATCCTTAAGCAGATTCACATTTTTGGCAGTCATATCAACCCCCAAATACCTCTCCTTCTCAACCAATGTTAGTATCGCCTCCTGAAACTCTGTCAAGCTTTCCTTTTCCAATTCAGATGTCAACTTATGTTCGTCAGGTTGTCTTTGTATAGATGGGACTCTCCTCTCCAGTTGTATTATTTTAGATTCAGCAGCAAGGGTTTCCCCCTGACTTCATCTGCAATTTGCCATATCGAAGTAGGTTCCTGTGTCAGTTTCTGAGTGGTTTCTGAATTGGTATTCACCTTTTGCCCCAAGTTGTTTAAGCTTTCTACAGTTGAATCAATTTCAATACTTCCAACATCCAATTTCACATTTCTCGCATCTATTTTCTTGTGGAGTTGTTCCAGCGAATCGTTTATTTTCAATAATACAGCCACTAAGGCCCCCTCTGTCGACATCCCGTCTGTTTTTACCTTTCCGTTTGCCATAACACTTAAAAGATTCAAGGTCAATTCCAAAGCCTCACACTTTCTTATCTTGCAGCTGGAAAATCCACTAGCCCAGCTCCTATCAAGTAAATTTCGAAAGCTTCCACAAGGGGAGAACAAGTTGTATTTGTATCGTTCAGTATGTCCTCTTTTGAACACAGTTTCAATAATCCAAAAATTAGTTTCAATTTTCAGTTACTTTCTTCCTTTTTTAATAAAGTTCAGTAAGATTGTTTCAATTTTTCGTTACTTTACTCCTTTTTAAGTACAGACGAAAACAATGGAAACAATGTATCTCTCTTATGCTAGCTGTCACCGTATTCGCTGTCAATGAACCTTCCAAGGCACGTCGGTTTTACTGGCAGCCTGTTTCCAGGTTCGGAGCGGTGGTATTTTAACTTCCTCACTCACTCCTACAGGAATATACAATCCAAAACCTCCCCCCTCTTCTCCTGCTTCCAAGGGGGGTTTAATATTTTTTACTGATGAGAATTTAGTCCTTTACAATGGGCTTTCCAAGGCTTTAGCTTGCAGCCTCTTTGCCTCAGTCTTATTTACAAAAAGGGGAGGTGGACTTCCTGTTTTGAACCTCCCCCATTTCGGTGCCAAATTAGAACATTTAAAAATCCAATTCTTTAGTCTACTCACGGGTAGTTGCTTTAAGATCAAATTGTCCACAGGAAAAAGTCAGCGCTCTCCAGCAACAGCTATGCGGCTTCGCTTCGTGGAAAAAGCAGTCGATCCGAAGCACCGCGCCGCTCACCCCACATCGCTCTGGATCCCCGAAATTGGGTTTCCCCGTGAGTAGGGGAGGCGCAAAAGGTGCCCGCCGAATCCCACGTTCACAGGCTTCAACCGCCTGTGATTTTTAGAGGGTCTCCGCCTTCGCCGTGGCGGCCAGACCCAAATTTCCACGAGGCAGATTCCTCCCGGTCAGAGGAATTCTGCCATTGCCGGTGGCGCCAACCCGGAAGCTCCTTTTCAATGGCTTTTGATTTCCCCCCTTTGCATTTTGTCATTAAGTTGCTTATACACTATAATACTAATACTACTACTACTAATAAATGGGTTAAGGAGACTCCTTTTATGAAATCGTTCTGTAAAATTATTGTGCATCCTTCAGCTCACAGCTCATGACACTTTGCAGAAACTGGTCAGCCCCGTTTTTGCTTCTTCAGTCCAATCAGAAGAGAACTGACTCACCTCCCTTCTCCTAGAGACTATTTTTCCTCCTTCCGTAAACCTTTGATTGGGAGGGGCCAAGATGTCCATCAGTGTCTGCTGCAAATTGGTGGACTACTTGGACGAGCTCACAGAGGAGGAATTCAATAGATTTAAGATGCACCTCGAAGACTACCCACTGGAGCAAGGCTACAAGCCGATCCGGCACTGTAAGACTGAGAAGGCCGACCTCACTGAAATAGCACGGCTCATGGTCAGGGCCTACGAGGAGGCGAAAGCATTGCAGATGACAGTCAACATCCTCGACCGAATAAATAGAAAGGATCTGTCGGCAAAAATCAAACAAGAGATGCCAGCGTGTAAGTAAACAAAGGAGCCCCGCCATTCCAGGCTTCGTACGTCTCTTGTCCAATTTGCTGTGAATTCTGCGCTTCATCCGTGTATCAAACATGCTTGAGAAATGCCCATAGGCTTTGCCCACGGAATCCTGGGAACTGCAGTTCAACCATCACAGAGCTACGAACTATGGCTCCCATAATTCTTTGGGCAGAATCTGTGTGCATGGTGTGGTTGTGAGCACCAAATGGTCTTCGCTCGTCTGCTGTGTGCCTGGGTCGGCAACAATGGATGGCCATCTGTCATGGATGCTTTAGCTGAGATTCCTGCATTGTAGGAGGGTTGGACTAGATGACCCTGTGGGTCCCTCCCAACTCTACAAATCTGTGATTCTAAGATGAAAACCCATCTCTCCAATGCAGCAGTATAGGGCCAGCAACAGCCCTTGAAGGGCCTCATACTTGCAGTGGCGCCCTTGTCCTCCACGCCTGGTGAGCTCACCACTGTCCCTGATACCTCGAACTCATGCTTTGTTCCCTTGGCTCCCTGGCAGCAGAGATTCTCCCTTCCATGCCCATGGCGACATCACTGGGACTGCCACTACCTCAATGCAGCTGACTAGGGCTTAGTGAGTAGCAGTAGCTGCCTGGCCCAACCTCCTGTGTTTAAAAAGGCGGCCACATGCTGTTCCCTGCTCCATATTGTATGATGGAGCCTCGCAGTTGCAGGAAGCTGTACAGTGGTACCTCGGGTTACAGATGCCGCTAACCCAGAAATAGTACCTCGGGTTAAGAACTTTGCTTCAGGATGAGAACAGAAACCGCGCGATGGCAGCAGGAGGCCCCATTAGATAAAGTGGTACCTCAGGTTAAGAACAGTTTCAGGTTAAGAACGGACCTTCAGAACAAATTAAGTTATTAACCCGAGGTACCACTGTACTAGCCTTGTGAAAAAGTCCAAACACATATGGAGGCTTAGCCAATGGGCAGCTACATTGGCCAGCGTGGTGTAGTGGTTAAGAGCAGTGGACTCATAATCTGGTGAACCGGGTTCGATTCCCTACTCCTCCACATGCAGCTGCTGGGTGACCTTGGGCTAGTCACACTTCTGAAGTCTCTCAGCCCCACTCTCCTCACAGAGTGTTTGTTGTGGGGGAGGAAGGGAAAGGAGATTGTTAGCCGCTTTGAGACTCATTAGGGTTGTGATAAAGCGGGATATCAAACCCAAACTCTTCTTCTTCTCTTCTACATACCACCATATTTGTTATGTGGTTTTGGGGGGCTGGGGGCCCTGGCAGATCCAAGACTATGCCAGCTGTGACACTGGGCCTCCAGCAGTTTCTTATTGTGATATTTCTACGTGACAGCGGCCCTCCGATGATGGGTGCAACTCTGCCCACAGAACAGCCTCAGGCTTTGTACTGCACATCTCTATTCCATGAGCCCTATATCAATGATGCAAAGTCTGGAGGAGCCCTAACTATTGCAATACTATGCAGACCCTGATCCTATTTGCATGGTGGGACTTCCGCAAAAGGACACTGTTCTTGTGCGTGTAGTGTAAGAGGAGCAAAAAGGGGATGGGAAATCTTCTTTATTTTATTTACTTATTTTTAACAAGAGCGTCCTTTTTTTAAAACAACAACAACAGTTTCCCTGCAGCCTACGAAAACAGCGGCCTCAACCAGGGAAGAAAAAAGAAAACGGGAAGAAAGGTTGCTGTCCAGTATCACTGACAAGTTTTGCGGGACTCAAAAGAAAGGTTAGTTTACGGGGACAAATAGAAGAAGACACCTACTGGAATGGTAATTTTGAAGATAATGTGCAATTTTAAGTTATACTTACCATATTATAATTATCAAGGCCTTTTTCTTCTTCTTAACAGCAATGATATAGTTATGAATATGAGTTTGTAATTATCATAATAATTACATCATAAACATATACCTGGAATATTTCAAGGAAGGCTTTCCTGGGTTCAACCTGAAATTATGCCCAAATCTACAAAGTTGTTTTTTGTTTTGTTTTTAGAATTTATCCTAGGAAGGAAAATAGTACATGTTTTTTTCTGGTTAGCAAAAGTACCATTAAATAACATTCACTGTTCCTAAAACGTTCTCCACCTTGAGATGTCTGTGCTCTGGAAACTGTTACCACTAAAGCAGGAGAACAGGTATGGGGAACAGTTGGCCCTCTGGGTATTGCTGAACTACAACTCCCATCAGCCTCAGGAAGCACGGCCCATGACCAGGGATGATGGTAGTTGTAGTTCAGCAACATCTGGAGGGCCAAAGGTTCTCAACCCCTAGAGTAGAAAGTCATTTCTTCAGCTGATAAGGTTGTTTGCAAACTATTCTCCGTCTCTGTTTTTAGTGGAAGTCACACTGGATCCCAAGACAGCCTTCCCTACCCTCATCCTTTCTGAAGATCGGAAAAGTGTGTACCTGGGCAGCCAGGCCCAGGTTCTTCCAGACAACCCTGAGCGCTTCAATTTTTCGCCATGTGTCCTCGGAGCAGAAGGCATCACCTCTGGGACTATGGAATGGGTGGTAGAGGTGGGCAAGGCCAAAGCATGGGCCATCGGGGCAGTCCGGGAATCCATAGGGAGAAAATGGTACCAATGCATCAGAGTTACTGAGGGGTTTTGGGCACTGCAGCTGATTGAGGGAGAATACATGGCCTCTACCTCTCCTTCCACTGTCCTTCCACTGTGGAAATCCCCGCGACGGATCAAGATACTCCTGGAGTACGATTTTGAAATCCTCTCCTTTTATGACGCCGACTCCATGGAACTTATCTATACTTTCAACTATCCTTTCTCTGAGAGGATGTTTCCCTTTTTCCAGGTCTGGGATACTGAGATCCCCCTGAAAATCTCATAAGGGCACATTTTTAAGATGACTTAGGCTGCAATCCTACACTAGGGCTGTGTACATGTTCCTGTTTGCTCCGCAACCAGTGTGCTTCCATCGCTGGCTTGGGAGCAGTGTACACAACATTAGTTACAATCCATATGTGGTTTCTTAGGAAATAATCACAATTTGATGTGTTTTCCACCAAACCTGCCTGGATTCAAATTGAGGAACCAGGACAACCTAGTAATGTGTACGCAGCCTTAGATGTGGCAAGAAACAGTGAATCCACCAACCAATTATGAAATTGAGCCAGTAATTTAAGGAGAGATGAGTTGGTGAAATGGCCCCCTCACCTGGTTCCTGGTACCGACCAAAGAGGAATGGCTATGTAAATTATGTGAATATTTGGAACTGGCCAAATTGACGGATATAATAAGACTAAAGCCAATGTATACAGTCAAGAAGGAATGGAAGTGCTTGAATGATTATTTAGAAAGCAAGGTTCTAATGTAAAAAATTGGCTGTGTCTAGAATGACCTCATGAATGGAAAAGGGGAAACATACATTTATACATACCTATATATTAAGATGAAAATAATACTGAAATACAGATAAAATATGAAATGTGAAAGGAAGTGTTGTGAGAGTGATGGAAGTCTTATTACTATTATTATTTTGTAAAATAGTGTTTATTGTATTGAAATATTATACTTTTCTTTATTCTTTTACTGTCTTCTTTGCTCCCCCCCTTTTCTTCTTTATTTTTCTTTCTTTCTCTTTATATTATTCTTTATGTGTGGCTTGGTATTGATGTATTTACTTTGCAATAAAAATTCTTATCAAAATCAAGAAAAGAAAAGAAATGGCCCCTCACGCAAATTTGTTTCTTTGATGTGTTTACTTGAGATTGTCCCATTGAGCTTGGTGGGTCTCCTAAGTTTTTGATGAATATGCTTACATTGTTCATTCCTCCACCCCAAAGAATGGCATGGGTTGCCTTTTAAGCCTCTGCATCTGCTGTCAAATAAAAAAAAAACATTGAGGGGGTTTGCAAGACATTCCACTATGAAAAGAGAAGAAATCCAAATGTGTGTAAAATGTTCTTTTTGTTGTTTTTATACTTCAGGTTTAAAAATAGGGTTATGTGGAACAGCACACTGTGATTTTATATTTTCCACAAGTCTGATTCAATCTGCCTTTTCTTTGGAGGGATATTTAACATTGCATCTCTCGAAGAAAAGGGCAGTGCTTAGAGGCACAGTCTGCCCACTCAGTAAAGGTGTGTGGTTTTCTGTACACATTCATTTGCAGCCCACTACAACGGTGGTCCCCGGTGAGTGGCAAAGGAGGCAGCCATTTTGAGTTTCTCAAAATTTGAAAAACCACCTCAGAAAGAGGCTTTGTGTGAAAAACAAATGGCAGCTCCTGCGATTCTCTTCCCCTCAAAGTAACGTCACCTCAGCTAACAATACAGCAAACAAAGAAGCTATATTTTGGTGTCAGGATGGGTGACATGACTGGGAAGTGGACACCTACTTGGGAGTAAGTCCCATTCAACTTGGTGAGATTTGCCTCTGACAATTTGCTGTATTTCTCTCATATATTCCCCACCCCAGTGTGTTGTACTTGCAAAAGAGGGTAGCTTATGGGTATATTTGCTCCACCACTCTTTAGCACACTGGAGATTCCAATGCACCTTTGCACTTCCAATATTGGCTTGTGGTTTCAGTACTCTCAAATGCCTACTTCAGCAACACCTCATCTCTCATGGGAGAAAAAGCAGCTGCTTTGCTGCTAATGATATGTGTGAATGGACTGAGTCCACTGAGAGGACTGAAGTGGCACACAACAGTTATTTTGGATTTGTTAATATCCAAAATATTCTATAGGTATCAAGCTTCTAGTTCAGCATAAGGCTACCATCTCCATTCCCAGCCTATTTCCCTTTCCCTTTGCGGCTTTTTACTGTAGGGATGCTCCACCACCTCATTTCAGACTCTCTTCCTCTGATTTTTTTTTTAAATCTTAAATTCAACCATCTCCTTAAGCCAACATCTGTTCACCATGATTTTCCATGACTGTCTTCTTGACTTTAATATATATAAATGGCCACATTTGAGAGGGTGGGCAGGAGGAATTAGAAAACCTTTTGGCAACACAGCAGAGGACTTGGAGTAAGCAGTCTAGAATCTTGACTCAATAGGAGAAATGGCCTGTGTCCAGGTAGGTAGGTTGTCAAGGTAACAATGGAATGCCTCCTTTGTGACATTCCTTGTTGATGACTTAAAAGTATGGAATTGAGAGGTGTCCAATGAAGGAGTTAGGATAGGTAGCAAGAGCCTGTGAGAGAGAGGGCAAAGAGGAGATATAGATAAGATACCTTGGGGCGTATTTATTTTTTGCATTCCCCTTTAGCTTACCTAGTCCATAAAATGTTACACGCAAGCAGCACCAACCTCAATGTGTTTCCCCTACAAATTTGGATTGACCTGATAATCTGCTAAATGGGGCAAAATCAAACTCCAAACCACTCCTCTTGGGGTTGCAGGTGAATTGTTTTGGGGTGGGAGGATCACTCATCACTTTCAGCGACTCTCGTTTTCATGCCCATTACTTCCTCAATGCTTTTGTTTCTTTTTTGGCAATGTTAAATGTTCATCTTGTATCAAAACAATGTTTCCTCCTAGAATCAGTTTCTATACAAGTCCATCGTGTGGAATAATTAAGTGATTAAGCAAATTGCATGTCTCCATCTGCTCTGCCACCTTACTGGATGTATAAAAATTCACAAATGGATCAATGACTTTCAGAAATGGTATTTTTCCCTATTGCTTTAGCCAGGGCTCCTTTGACTTCCTTGTTCCTTAGGCTGTAGATTATAGGGTTGAGCATTGGAGTAACGACTGCATAGAAGAAAGCCAGCATCTTGTCCTGGTTGGGCGAAGTGTTGGATCTGGGGCTCATGTAAGCAAAGATTGCTGTGCCATAGCAGAGGGCAACTACGGTGAGGTGAGAGGTACATGTGGAGAAGGCTCTCTGACGACCTCCTGAAGACTGGATACGTAGGATAGCACGGATTATATAGACGTAGGAAAGTGTGACCACGATACAGGGGATCACTAGCACAATGGACCCTGTCACCAGAAACAGAATCTCATTGATGGAAGTGTCTGAACATGCAATCTTGATAACAGCCAGGACTTCACAGGCAAAGTGATTGATGATGTTGGAGTTGCAGAAGTGAAGGCGCACAGTGAACACCGTATGCAGGAGAGCATTGAGAAATCCAGCTGTCCAAGATGCTAGCACCAACTGCGTACACACTGTCCTGCTCATGATGACCTTGTAATGCAACGGATGACAGACAGCCACATATCGGTCATAAGCCATGGCTGCCAAGAGGATAAATTCAATGCTTCCGAAGGCGAATGAGAGATAGAGCTGAGCCATGCACCGGTTGTAGGAGATGGTCTTGTAGCTGGTCAGGAAATGGATTAATAACTGAGGCACCACACTTGTTGTGTAGCAGATGTCCAGGAAGGACAGATAGCTCAGGAAGAAGTACATGGGTGTGCTGAGCCGTGGGTCTATGTGGATGGCCACGATGATGAGTGTATTACCTGTCAGGGTGATGAGGTACATGAAAAGGACCGCTGTAAAGAGGTAAAGGTTGGTGTCTTGATCTTTGGAAAATCCCAGAAACACGAACTCCAGGGCAATTGTTTGATTGTATTGCTCCATCACACACACAATGCTTGAGCTAAGAGAATGAAATCAGGATTGAAATGGGAAGTTTTGGAACAGGGATGGTTTTACACCTAAGATACGGAACTTGTCACCCTCCAGATGTTGTGGGACTCCTGTTCCCATCAGCCACAGGCAGCAAGGTCAGTGGTCAGGGATAGTGGGAGTTGTAATCCAATAACATCTAAAACAAGGGTCAGCAACCTTTTCCAGCCGTGGGGTGGTCCACCGTCCCTCAGACCACGTGGGGGGCCGGACTATATATTTTTTTTGGGGGGGGAGAAGAAGAACGAATTCCTATGCCCCACAAATAACCCAGAAATGTATTTTAAATAAAAGGACACATTCTACTCATGTAAAAACACCAGGCAGGCCCCACAAATAACCCAGAGATGCATTTTAAATAAAAGGACACATTCTACTCATGTAAAAACACACTGATTCCCGGACCATCCGTGGGCCTGATTGAGAAGGCGATTGGGCCGCACCCGGCCCACGGGCCTTAGGTTGCCTACCCCTGATCTAGAAGTTTCGGGTTCCCCATCCCTGCTTAATACCTTACAACTCTCAATGAATACAGGCATTGGCTAAATATGGAGGTAGAAGATGTGGCAAAAACAATACAAAATGCATTCAGGATTAAAACGAAGACAACAAAGGCAAAAAAAATTCCCAGGAGATTGTTTGATTATATTTAAGGATAGAGAAATGAGAAATTTGATTTTGCAGAAAAACAGATAAAAAAGATTATGCATTGATGGAATATTCACAATCATATTTAAAGACATCCCACTTCTCTCGTTAAAAAAACACGACCAATATAAGACATTAACTCAGATTTTGAGAAAAAATGGAATTGAATTTAAATGGGAATTTCCAGAAGGAGTTTCATTTTATTACAAAGAAAAGAAATTTAAATTCAAAAATGTGGATGAGACATACAAATTTCTGAGAAGATACAAAGAATTGGGAAAGGGAGAAGAGGCAGCAGCAGTGACGCCAGAGGGAGTAGATCTTAATAAATCAGAAGAAGAGGAAGAAGAAGGAGGAGGAGGAGGAGGAGGACAGGTTTAAGAACTTTAACAGTTTTACTTACCAAAGAAGGCCAAAATGGCATTGAAATTATGGACTTGGAATGTTAATGGCATAAATGATAACAAAAATAAAAGGAATAGAATTGAACAGTTTTTGTTAAAAAAGAATTTGGACATTATTTGTTTACAAGAGACTCATGTAGCCAGGAAACACAGTAGTGTATTAATCAACAAACAATTAAGAAATGTGTTTGTCTCATCAGATAAAAGTAAGAAGAGAGGAGTGGTGATGTATGTAAAAAACAAATTAGAAGCTCAGCAAATCTTTAAAGATGAAGAAGGCAGAATAATTGCAGTACAAGTCAACTGGCAAGGTGAAAAAATGATAATTGTCGGAATTTATGCACCAAATGGCAGTAAAATGGAATTTTATAAAGATTTGGAATAAAAACTGTTTGAATTTATGGATCAAAAAATTATAATCATGGGAGATATGAATGGAGTGGTCTCGTTGGAAATGGATAGGTCAAGCAAAAAAGAGAAAATAAAAGAAGGGAAGTTACCAAAGACTTTTTTTCTCTAATATAGAGAAATGCAATTTGATAGATGTTTGGAAACTGAGACACCCATTAGATAAGCGGTTTACGTATTTTTCAGAACCAAATCAACCGGCTTCAAGAATTGACTATGTGCAGATATCCAGTGAACTAACACCTAGAGCAGGGGTCTGTAACCTTTAAGACAAAAAGAGCCACTTGGACCGAAGAAAACAAACAAACTGGGAGCCGCAAAACCATTGCGACATTTAAAACAGTGGGGAGTGTCAGGGCACACAATGTGCCTCCTCTCCTCGCTAGTATCCGCCCCGGAGCCGCGGCAAAGGTGTAAAAGAGCCACATGCGGCTCCGGAGCCACGGGTTGCTGACCCCTGACCTAGAGTTACAAAAATAGAAATCCAACCAAAGATACTTTCGGATCACAATGCAATTAAGTGTGAATTAAAAGAATTAGAGGAAAAGACTTTTTGAGGGAGATTAAATGAAAATTTGTTAGAAGATGAAAAAATAAATGAGGAGGCTCAGAGGATGCTAACAGAGTATTTTGTAAATAATTGTAATAAAGAAACCCAAATGAATGTTGTTTGGGACGCTAGTAAAACTGTTATGTGAGGTTTCTTTATACAACAAAACAGCATCAGAAAAAAGTTTAGAGAGAAAGAGAAAAAAGAGATTTTAAATCAGATTATGGAAAATGAAAAAAAGCTAATAAAAAATCCGAAAGATGGAAAAATTAATCAGAACATTAAGATGTTACAAAGCCAATTTGCAACGATAATTAATCAAGAAGTGGAGTGGAATATAAAAAGAATGAGACCAAAGAATTTTGAATATGCCAATCAATCAGGTAAAAGGTTGGCATGGCAAATTAAAAAAAAAAAAGCTCAAAGCACAATAAATAAAATAATATTGGACGGAAAAGAAGTAGAAAATCAGAAAAGGATTTGTTAATTTTTATAAACAATTGTATTACAAAAAACTGGAAAAGAAGATGCAAAGAAGATAGAGGAATTTTTGAAACAGAAAGGAGTGCAACAAATTCCGACAGAAAAGAAAGAACAGTTAAATGGAGTAATAGAGGAAGAAGAAAGTAAAGATGCAATAAAGCAACTAAAAAAAAAAGTTTTTTTTTAAAAAAGTGGAAAAGCACCAGGACCGGATGGATTTACAGTGAAATATTTTTAAACTTTTATTTTGCTTTAAACAGGTACATATAAATATAGACAACCAAAATTACAAAGGAAAATTCCTTAATAGCAATGACAAAAAAACTACAAAAAACTACAAAAAATATCGAAGTACATGACACAGAACATAAGCAACTATGGGAAAGATAAAAGAAAAAAAAAGAAGAAAAAAAAAAAAGGAAGATGAGCCAAAGCAGGAAAGCTCATCTATTGTACACTTCCGTCACAACAGATCATTATTCTTATCAATTATCTCTATCTGCATTCCAGAGGAATCACTCATCTTGGTATCAGGGAACATTTCTCTATGCGGTATCATTCTAAACATAGCCAGATCTTTCTTGTTGAGCCCTTGTCCCCTAAATACCGTATTTTTTGCTCTATAAGACTCACTTTTTCCCTCCTAAAAAGTAAGGGGAAATGTGTGTGCGTCTTATGGAGCGAATGCAGGCTGTGCAGCTATCCCAGAAGCCAGAACAGCAAGAGAGATTGCTGCTTTCACTGCGCAGCGATCTCTCTTGCTGTTCTGGCTTCTGAGATTCAGAATATTTTTTTTTCTTGTTTTCTTCCTCCAAAAACTAGGTGCGTCTTGTGGTCTGGTGCGTCTTATAGAGCAAAAAATATGGTAATTATTTAAACATTCCCATTCTTCTTTCACCAATTTTTTT